ACCCTAACCCTAACCCTAACCCTAACCCTAACCCTAACCCTAACCCTAACCCTAACCCTAACCCTAACCCTAACCCTAACCCTAACCCTAACCCTAACCCTAACCCTAACCCTAACCCTAACCCTAACCCTAACCCTAACCCTAACCCTAACCCTAACTAACAAAAGATTAGATTCCTGCTATTTGTAGCTACAACTACATAACTAGATACATTATTTATAGTATTACAACTTGCTTATTTTTTTGCAAACCTATTATTAGAGCACTATTAAGCTGCTAATAGAGTGCTCCTTTACCTCTATAAAACCTAGAGAATTACACTTTAGATAGGAGAAGGAGATAGATTTAAGGTAGCAAGTAATGCCTTATTTGCTAATAATACAATAAATAAAAGAAGTTCTTAAGGATACGCAATTAAGCTATTTAGAGGACTTATTGTGTAGAAGGCAAACAAACAAGACACTGTTACTATATTAACAACTAAAGCTAAGTTACTTGCTCTTGCTTAAGTAGCTAAAGAATTAATATATATTAAAAGGCTTATGCTAGAACTAGGGATTAAACTACTAGAGGCAATTAAAATATAATGCGACAATTAGCAAACAATACATTTGCTAACAGAAGAACTTGTAAAGCTTGTTACTAAGCTACGCTATGTAGATATCTACAATTACTAGCTAAGGCAAGCAGTAAATTATAGTAAAATTACTGTAATCTACTATTTAACTAGTAAAATAATTGCTAATAGATTTACTAAGGCATTAGCACTAAACAAATAGGCTCCCTTTCTATCTTAACTTAGATTAGAAATAGTAAAGAACTACAAAACAAAGAAAGCTCTTAACCTGTCTATAAAAGAGACCTAATTAAGTAGGTTGTTTCTAGCTTAACTAATCTAGAACACTACAGAATTATTAAAAGTTACTATAGAATTGCTTAGGTTAGCTAAACTAAAGGGGTATGTTAAATAAGAAGCAATAAATAGGTGTGCACCTGTGCACACTGGCTTTCTACCTAGAGTAAAAGGGGGGGAGTAAAAGGGGGGGGGTATAGCAAAGTCATAAGGTCTAAAGAGATAAACAATTAATTATCAATTTCCATTATAATAGTTATCACTATAAATCACTGTGATATCTGACAATAGTATATACTTATATAAATAGTATAAAAGTAAATAAGCTATACTTACCTATAAAATTTATTTAACTTATACTAACTACTTATAAAACTTATAAACTAGTATAAAGTAAAAAACAAAGTAATTTTTAACTTTATAAAAAGATTAATAATAATATAAAGCTATTAAGTAAAAAGAAAGACATTATAAGCTTTTAAAAATACTAAAAAGAGCTTTTTAATAATTTCACTAAGATGCTAAGCTAAAGTAGTAAACAAAGAGCAGTTGCGCAGAGTAAATACTGTTAGAAAAATGCTTAAACAAGATTATTCTTATTCCTTGTTTCCCCTTTATATCTATCTAATAAAACTACCTTCTGTCGTCATTTGATGACCCATACAATTCAGCTAGCGGCTCTCTTGCTTCCATTTCCTGCAGAGGCGCTTCAGCTTCCACTTCTTGCAATTGCACTTCAGTGTCAAGTTCGTTTCGATTCCATCTAGCTTCCATATGCTTCTTATCGTTGTTCAGCGCGGATGAAGAGTCCACCTTGGGTCGTCTGCGCTTCACTACTGCTACAACTCCTATCGTAGCGAGTAGTGCCAGACCCAAGGGGATCCCTACTCCAAGCCCGATCTTGAGCGCGGATGAAGGGCGGGGTGGGGGAAGATCGGTCGCGCTTAGTGGCAAGGTTGATGGTGACGTTAATGGTGGACTTGATGGTGGACTTGATGGTGGACTTGATGGTGGACTTGATGGTGGACTTGATGGTGAAGTTGATGTCAAGTTACTCGAGAGGCTCTGACTCGTTTGCGAAGCAGAACTTGACTTCGATAGTCCAGCCAGCTTCGCAGTCGTGTAAATCGTAGGCCAAGGTGCGGAGAAAGTAATGGATGTCAAGGCCGGGTCGTCGCATCCATTTGGGTATTTCAGCCAGAGCTGATATGCCTGTTCATCGTTTCTTTTCGGCACGCAAGCCCACGCGGTTTTTGGATTCAGGCAGTTGAGGATTACGATGTTGATACTTCTGTTTCCTAAGGGGAAGTAAAAAAGTAAGTTTCAGTTTAACGCTTTGATGGGGTTGAGTATAAGTATGAACGATGCTGTGAGAAGGGCGAGGATTGGGAAAAGGAAACCGACTCTGGCTTTCAGTACAGTATGTTGGACATGCAGCATCTTGGAACGTAGGATCTGTGCAGCCTTCTCTCCAATAGGCATTATAGTGGTTGACGTCGTCGAAGGATGTCCGACACATGCCGTTGTCGAGGCATAGATCGGCGTTGGCGCAGCAGACAGAGTGTTTATCATCCTCAATGGCCGTGGTGTTGCAGGGTATATAGTTCCAATCCATTTTCGTTCCACTAGGCAAGTAGCACTGTCTAGACATGTTTTTGTTCTATGACAAGAGTGCAAATTCTCAAACTAGCGGCTTCGCGGGGGAGAGATAACGGGCAAATCGAGGTAAATTGTGGAGCATCTTTGCAAAATTCAGGGGAAACATACTGAGATATGATTTCATAAGTGAAAACAGGAAAGACTGCCTTCCATCGAACAGGGAAGCGCAGCGTCTATCAGGCAATGGTGAGCCCAAGACGCTACTGCATATGCGTGACCAGATGTGGAACTAATAATGCTTTGGGAGCCTATCAAGTTTTCTTGCTTTAATTGTTGCAATGGTTTTGATGCAAGCCCCTCTTTGTGTGCTACAGAGCACCCCCCTGCTCTTGAGTTTGCCTTATTGTCAGACAAGGCTGCCTGACAAACAGCTTGTGTCTTTATGACTTCAAGTCCGCCATCAAATGCGCAGCCAAAAACAGCTTGTATGGTAAGTATGTCACAAGCGCAGAGCAAATAATTGGGGACGGAATGCAGGAGAGTCGTGGGTTTTCACGGAACACCCTCAGAAGAAAGGTACTTCGCGATTGGGCTGTTATGATTGGCGTTATAAAGATAGTTCGTCGAATAGCGATCAGATACCCTTCTGTTGAGGGATCATTAGATAACTAATATCATGTGGCTCAACTGAGCCAATCAAGGCCTTCGTCAGAGTGACGGGATACCCAACCCTCGGGATTTTACACGGGTGAGTGAGATAGCCGCCAATCTTCGCGGTAAAGAGTATTTCGGACCCGGGCCTTCTTGCCGGACAAATGTAAGAGTGAGACAGTCTCAAATAGTTCAACACAATTCGACTGTTCTCGCATTCCATTCGGCGAGTGCCCGACGCAACTTTCAGCCTTCGTATCTCCTCAATCAAGCGAGCAGACCGTAGAAATCCCGCGGTATGGTAAACAGTGTGATCTCGGGGACGCGACAGATCTATCAGAGAGATAAAACGTGCCTGTGTAGAGGGGACGTTGCGGGCGAAAGCCTAGAATCACTTTTAGCTAGTAGGACTTTGTATGCCTGCTAGGCAGTCAACCACTACCCAAAACTTTCGTCGTGTGCTTCACACCAGCTCTTGCACACTGCAGTACCGAGTAATGGATACACACTGGCGTAAGTAGTTTTAGGGAATACGCGTGCGGAAGTGGTGTCATAGAATACGCTTACCGTATTGTTGTGAAGCCGTACCGTTTTCTCATAACTATCTGTTTCGTGCTGCGTGTAGTAGTAGAAGGTACTTTGTGTAAAAGCCAGTCGTAATCACCAAATCCTCCAGGCTGGAGAGTGACGTTCTCCTTGGTTAGTCGTCTAACATGTGTAGTCCAGCAATATCTGATGTGGCCGTCGCGTAGGATACCATGTCGCTTCATGATCCGGTAGTCGCGACGTATCTCGCTTTGAATGGCCGACGAAACGACTTCTGCTGTGTCGCTCACGACTTGATTTTGTTTAGTCTTATTGTGGTCCATCTCTTTTGCGTTTGCCTTGGCTACAGGAATAGTTGTTTGTGTTGATGGCATGACACATAAGGTGGGTTGTTGTTGTGTGAGGCAATGGAAGGCGTGACTTGAATGTTGGTTTTCAAAGCGGCTGAATCGTGCGTGGCATTTATACATGGTAAGCGGACCGAAATTCTGACTTAACTGTCGCGCTAGATGGAAGGATGTCGCCTAGGTTGAGACATCAGCAGCACATACCCACCTGGCAGGGTGAGAGACGCAGGGAAACGCAGCTCGGGATAATGCTCAAGGTTCGGCTGCTGTACAAATATGACGCGCGCGCTGTTCGGTGCACTAATGCTGACTGTTGCGCATCTTTATCCCCACACTCGAGTGCTCCGGATCGGCGGGTTTTCAGTTGCTCGGTACCGATGATGCTCACTCACAGTGGTCAATCTACTGATATTCCGTTGAGCTTTTTTGAGGCAACACTGGGACCAATGACTGTTGTGGTTTTGGAGAGCCGCACTCAGACAAAAGGCGCAACGACGTGGATCCAGCATGTATGGCTGCCGCTGCAGCGAACCTGCGTTGCTCTACACTCACTTATAACCTCACACAATGGCTACAGGTTCCTGAAAGCATCGACGTTGCTCGCCCAGGGAATTCGGCGTATCAGAAGACGTGGATCAAGTGCCTCTGCATCAATCGCGACCAAAATTGTGTCGCTCTCTTGGAGAGAGTCAGAGCATCAGTGTATTGTTGCAGCATTAAAGACCAGTAATGGGGGACATAAAAGACACATCATAGACATAATGTTTTTGATTAATTGCGAGCCAGATGATTTGCGGCAGCCTCCTTATAAGATATTGATAGGACCCAACTGACTGGCAAGTTCCTCAGTCATAAATTCGCCATACATCGCCCCATGTAGATAGCTTTCGCCAACCAGCAAAAATTGACGGTCGACAACTTTACGAAGAATGGTAGGCATCTTCGCTCCTCTGAGCAGCCAAATCTCATCACCCTCAACGAGAGAAACAGGACCCGATCCGAGAAATCCGTCAGTCGTTAGATACCATCGTCCGGTTGTGAAGGACTCACAAGCGAGCAGCTCAAACGGGTGATTCTCCACAGCGTCTCGCTCAACCTTACTCTTCACTTGGCCGACAACCTCGTCTAACGTGGGCAACACTGACGACAAGTAGGTGCTCTCGCTAACTCGCTGGAGCAATTTCACTGCCCTTTCAAGTGTCTCGGCGAATGGCACCGCGCCTTGGTCTAGGCCCCTGAACTTCAGCGCACGTACAAGGTGATCTAGTAGCCACGACCTGAAATGCACGCCTGGCTTGGTATCCCAGCTCTCAGGTATGCAATCAACCATCAAAGTACGCCACACGGCTTCGATCCAAGTTTGATCTGAGTTTGGGTACTTTGCGCTACCCCTCAGGCACAGATCTAGGAAGAAACAGAGATAAGGCAGATTTTCGGATCCACTCACGACCCTGCGCCGATCGTTGCGCTTCTCAATGATACCTATTCGAGAGCCATGTACAGTGAGGATATTGTCGCGGATTATAGGCGGATGGTACTCTACAATATCGATTCTTGACGCGTTGTAGTAACATTTCCGATTACTAACCAAGTATACGGTGGTAGACAGGCTAGGTGCGAAGGAAGTTTCATTGGAAAAGTCAGGGACCCAGGTCGGCCAATCAACTCGATCGCCCGGGTTGCAAACTTCGCCGCCACATAGTCCGTACGAGACAGTTGATAAGAGGTATAGCGAAGGCGTGTTCTCGAAGATCTGCGCAGCAAGGTTTTTGAAGACGATCATAGTAGAGGATATGTAATCCGGAGAGACGGGGCATCTCAATCCTGGTGTAAGAAACTCGGCCATGATACCAAGCAGAGAGTATACATGGTCTCTAGGATTCCTTGCGGACATAAATCGGTTGGTCCTGAGAAAATGGAGGTAGATGGAAAACCAGATCTGCTGTTCATCTTGAGGACCAATGTCCCAGGCAAAGTTCGCAAGCCAATCGTCCAGCTCGCTGCCCCCACGAACTTGCATATCCACGTAGCGCCGGCCTTTCAAGAGATTGAAAAGTGGTAGCATCGGTCCTACAAATCTTTCCTCCCAGGAAATGTATAGATATGGCAGAGAGTGATGCCAAGAGCTTCTCTCAACAAACCGGGTGAAAGCGTCAAAATCCTGCCACTCGAGGTCTACCTGTCCGCAAGAGATGTGGATTAGACTTAAGTCTTTGAGCGTCACTTCTTGAAAGATCCATGCACGCAAGAACCAGCGCCGAGTGTAGAAGAACCAGAAGAAGTCTTCGCGGCTTTGTCGCCACTGTTCGCATACTTCAGCGCCCAGACCATCTATCATCTCCGGAGTGCTGCAATTCCAGCTGTCTGCTTCTAGAGATATTCCTCGGTCTTTCAGCTTCGTCTCGAGCTGAAGCACGCTCGGGATGAAGGTCCGATAGACCCAAAGAAATGGGGGCGACGGGCTGGTCTTGCCCATCCATACACGAACACTGTTCGCCAACTTGTAGACATCCCCCATCATGAGCACCTGGCGGTTGCGCTCTAGGGAATCTTCTTGGTTGATCGAGATCTGGTCGATCCAATAGCATGTTCCCAGTGAGCCCCCTCCTTCTTTCCTGGCAGCACGCTGCAAGAAGTGCAGCAAATTATCCGTCACCTTGATGACGCCGCCACCACAGCACGAAATGTAGTGTTCTTTCTCGGGTGAAGCCGTTCCCGTGGCGCGATCCACCTCCGCAGCTTCCCACGTGTATGACAGCGCCACATATGGAATGGGGTCATCGAGGGACGTAGGCGACAACTCGAGCTCAAAACCATAGGAGTTATCATCTTTAGGCAGTATTCGAATCAGCCTTATGTCTCGTGCACCTACGAGAGGCGTGTGCACTAGACTTGTACTCTTTTGCTCGCCGTAGTCTGAGGCCATGTCGTGTATGCGCACTAGGTAGATCAAAGTGGGGGCCTCGACCGAGGCTCAAACAAGGCCGTGATGCGAATACGAAGATGAGGTAATACGATTACGAAACTAGTCACTTCTGTTCTTATATCTCGACCCTGCTGTGGGCACAGCTCTCAAGAAGTGAATATAGTGTACAAGTTGGTTGATTCAGCGAGAGGGGAGACTAGCTAACTAGCATAGTGAGAGCACTAGCGCAGATTATGCTTATGTAAGCATCCATAGCAGACCCTACCCAGCATGTCAGCCTACAAACAAAGTGTTTGTGCAGCATAGAAGATGCGATGATTACATGCTAGACCTGGTCCAAAGATAAAAATTCATGGGTGCAAGACAAGCATTTTGCTACACCCTGCATGTGCGCCCATGTCGTCATAGCCCATGTAGTAAATTATATCATATTGGCTGACCACGTACCCCGCGACGCCAGCTCTGGGGTCGCACCGCAGATGTCCATCCGCGGTAGTAGTCAATCAAAACACTATGACCATGCTTGGTATCTACATACCAAACCGTCCGCAGCCAGTCCTATTAATCTACTCATTAGGCCCTCGACTTTCAGCGAGAAGTCTCTCAGACAGCTACGCCGTCAGCCTTCGCCTAGAATGCTGTACACACTTTCCACTTTGTTCTTGCTGGCCTCATACGTGCACGCTTCAACATTCAACTACACTACTATTAATCAAACATGTACTCCTTCGGTGGATGGCCTCAAAATCTCAGACAACGGGGTCGACAAAATTACACATTTCCTACCTACCTTTCTTCCCTATAATAAACCGGGAAGTATGTTCAATTTTCTTTTATCCAGTGGCATACTTGCACTGACGCTTCGTAGCCACACAGCGGGCCAGTCGTTCGGAATGTACAGCCTTCTTGCGGATTCAGACCGATCGAGAATGGCGGATTAGGATAAACGACAGAGGCACAACCCTGAACGCTTGGGCGAAGGTTACGGAAAAGGAGTTCTTTTCTTTCGGGACCAGTTACCAATGGTGGGAGGACACAGGGTTCCCGGGGGTTGGTACGAGTGTTTACATCACTGAAGGTCCGATCGAGGGCAGGATCACAAATATGGTTGTCGGTACAGATGGGAATGGCCATTCATCGAGCTCTTTGTCCTACTGTGGAGGAGGGCTCCTGCAGATCAGCTGGAGATCGACTGTAACTACTAGCGAGGACGAACCTGCACTCCCCCCGGGTGACTCAACGGATCAAAGTTGGACGATTGACCACAGCGTAGGGTATGGTTATTGTAATGAATAAACAGGGTTTAATCGTCTTGGTATCATTCAGTTCACAACCGTAGCCGATCCGCTTCATTGGTAACGAGATTGTAAAGTGAGAGCCCCATGCTGTAGTGGGTCTTTTAGGGGTAATCATAGTCAGTATTCAGTAGTTGAGCGTTTACAAATCCTAATACAACACGGGTCCAGATTTTTAGCAATTCCACGAAACAATGAATGCATTTGTGAATACTGAGATTGCTAGCGTTGGAACAAGACATTCGATTTGCGTATCTCTACCGTGTCACGGATGACACTTACTATGCAACCCAACTATATATCACCTCCTCAAGAAACATACTTATGCGGTGAAAGACCTCTTAGATCCAGTTCCCTTGAATACAGCAGGTCCGGGTACGGTGTATTCCTGGGGAGCGGAGTGGTCGTTGATGTTGAACTAGTCATAAATCAGTGTCATGTTCTGTGTATTATGAGGTTTTGACTCACGCTGATGTTGGGGTCGCTCTGCTTAGCGTACCCCGGAATAGCGGCCTTCTGGCTTGAGCTGGGCTCTGCAGTACCAGATCCAGTCACTTGGAGTTGCGCGCACTCGGCGTACCACTGTGGGTTCTTGGCCTGGTGAAGGGCAATCAATTCGTGGCGGATCAGGTAGTTGCCTGGAGCGAGGCCCTGGGGAATCTTGCTCGTCCAGCCCTTGTTGCCACCGACGAGCTTGGCAATGTCCCAACCACTGCCAACCTCGGTGTCAAGGAAGATCTTTCCATCACCATGGAAGCCACCTTCGTCAATCTTGAACCAGTTGGATCCGCTACCGTCGCAAGACGAGAAATCGCCGGAGCACTTGTACATCCATACAATGATGGGACCTTGCGAGTGCGTCCACTGCTGCCAGATAGCCTGGACGCTATCGCCGGGTGCGACTGGCGCTGACAGCTTAGCTGAAGTGCCTCCGTTGCAACGGAGCTTGCTATCGGTAGCAGACATGGTAGGGTTGTAGTCAGGCCACTGGCGTTGGATCACGGGATCGCTGGTGGGGGAGAAGCCCTGGTAACTGATTTGAATTAGCCAACTAACAATCTTATGTGGATTGCAACGTACTACTCACCCTGGGTAGGTTTTGCCAGCAATGACATAGCTGGTCACAGCACCGTGAGCTGCAGCCTCTGCGGCGAACAGGGCGAGGGCGGTAATGGCAGCGGAAAACATGGTGTTAAGACAAGAAATCTGGTGAAGAGAACACGAGCGAAGGTGATGATGAGTAGGTACAGAAATCTTGGAGGAATGCGACGGGCAACGAGGCTTTAATAATCACGAGAATGGTCATCTGGGCTGCCCGCGATCGCGGGAAAGCAGTGGTCATCTGGTATTACATGGTAATTTGAAGCCGCTGCCCAAATGCTATATTGTTAATATAATCTGGGGCTCGTGTTGGACGACGCGATATTGCCGGGAGTGTTCCCGGGCGCTTTGTCGTGCTGGGATTCTATTGGCCCAACCCCATATCACCAAAGTCAACCGTCAAGGCCGTCAACTTCGATACCGGTATTTCGATATCTCTTGGTAGATTATGCCGCGTGGGTGCAAGGTTGTTTAAGAGCGGATGCGATATCATTTTCAATCAATATTGCGATTGCGGCATGACTTCACCTTACTAGAGTCACGTCCTGCTTGCCGCATGTAAAGCCTCCTATCAACATTGCCTACTCAGCTCAAGAAGATACTCGACTGAGCCCGATCCATACACAACTACCAGTATGAAGGTTGGATTCTTCAGCAATTTCACTGTTCCATAGAACCGCAGATAATTGGATGTAGATATTTCGCGATACAAGACTTAAATGATCCGAACCGTACAAAAGTTGTTCATGGAACTCGCTGGCCAAATATTTCGTACACCAGCGCAATTGAGTAAATATCCTTGTTATTCTTTCCGATAAATTGGGAATCTCGATTCTATTAGCTACCTTCGCCTATATAGAAACATCGAATTGTGTTCTCCGAAGCTCGATCATACACGGTTTGTTCGATGATCACAAAATGGTACGTGAACGAGAATCCGTATCAGAAACCGGACAATACATCCGGATTGATGTAAACGCTGCAGATTTCGTTGTTGTCGCGACGCTTCTTGGGGCATTCGCAAACTTAAACGGCCTTAACCACGATCCTCCAACAAAATGCGGTAGAACATGGCTTCGCTTTTCGAAAAGTGGTGAATACCATCGCGCATAAAGATATCAAGGCCTCGGCTATTGGAGAGATTCCGAAATTGCAAGATAGCTACGAATGAACAAGACTCACTGCAGCAGTGAATGATATCAGCGAAGCATTACTGCTCGCATGATTTTGTCAGCGCACTTGTAGATATTCAAGGCTGTCGATTGATTGAGCGCTCCAGGCCTAAACCCCCCTCCCGTGGCGTCAATGAGCTGGACGCTCCCAAGACTCATCAGTCCGATTTCGATTGATTACACCTGTCGCTGACCGGAACAGTGATCCAACGTACAAGGTGGCTTCCTAACTAGGACAACGCGTAGGCGGAGCACTATAATATGCGGGAAAGACTCACAAAGACGAGATTAAGTTCCCAAGCGTCACATTCCTTGACATTCAAATCGCCGTCCCTGCTTTCAAACAACTTCTTAGGATCGTCGCATTCCAACTCTCATGCTTTGTGCGGTGCAGAAAATAATCCTCGTGGAATATTATGTCTATCCTCATACTACCCTCTCAATACATTGTCTCCTATCGAAAGGCATACAAATTGTTACTAATTACCAGCTCTCATCACTAGCAGCGTTGCCGTATCTTCTTTCATCTTCTCAACTTCATGACAGTGGAAGCCGTTCAGTTGGTTTTGTGTTTTGACTGCGTTAGTCTGTCTTGTCGGATGCGAAGCCTCCATCATAATCAAAATCTAATACAATTTGATAAAATATCACAGGTGCGTAGACATCTGGACCATTTTGGTTTGCATTACGGGACACAAACATTTAAAATCACGTGATCGTTTAAGTAACAGCCTTCAATGCCGAAATGCTTGTATTCGTTAGCGGAACAGTAGTGGCAATCTTGTCAGTCTTAGAGCGAATTAGAACTGCTGTTTAACTTGGAGGATGTCTAGTTTATTTATGCATAATCGCATTCACTGATTGGTAGCCACAAATCCATTTATCTAGTAAAACTAGACGTTTCGCACCGCTTACATATTGCTCATTGGACAGATCTGCTTCTTCTCTCCGTCAAGACCAAGCTGAGTTGTATACTCGATATATGCTACTCTGCAATAGCGAACAAATATGTGCGAGGGTCCGCGAAAGACCCTTGGCCTTAATTGCTGAGATAATCGATTGCGACAGGGGCATGCACTTCTGCCGGCAGCCGGCTCCACACTCAATCTAATATCGACCCATGAAGAAACAAGACTTGCGTATCTTATACCCACTGCAATATTAACGGTTTGAACAGCATCATCGCACGTGAGGACTATGTAAAGCTTAGGGATGGCCGTACGTGGCCTTCTCCTGTGCACATTGCTTATCAAGTCAGATACGCAAGATAAACCAATTTTCGTCGCAAAGCTATTGCCATCTGGATGTGACGGGAAGACGACCGACTGTTATAAAGAGCATGTCAGCAGAACACCCACAACTCGTGCGGTCTATCCGGCTTCTGGCCCATCTCCTCCTTGCATTACCGACAGCCGCTCTCTTTCCCACAGGCATCAGCCCCACGATCCAGGACCCTCTCACCAACCCACCGCGCACATTTTGCCCCGTTGCCCAAGATGGCGCAACATCAAATACCTTTCCATGGACAGTGACACCAACCTGTTTCAAAGGCGTCTTACCCAATGAAAAGGAAGATCATGGCCATGTCGGCATCCACGAACAGTTCTGCGTATTCACCAACTCCTTTTTCCGCGGAAATCGAGGAATAAGTCTTGTTACAATGCCAGAAGTTGCCGCCGAACTTCCCTACGCATCATTCGAGCCATTCGAGCTCTCCATTTCTAGCGCAACGCCATTCTTACAAACGCACGTTGAGGGGAAAGGCGAGGGTTTGATTGCAACCAAAGAAATTGGGGAAGGGGACTCGCTCATGTTGAAGAGTCCTGTATTGTTTGTGCATAAAGATGTCTTGAAAACACCCTGTCGCCACCGCCGCCATGTTCTATTGGAAAAGGCGGTTGAACAATTGCCAGAGAAGACAAAGCAGGCACTAAAGCCGCTTAGCCGGGTAGGAGATGAGTATGAAGTTGAAGATATGATCAATATCAATGCAATGAATGCCGAGGCTTGGGAGGGTAGTGGCCATCTTATCGTGGTTCCCGAAGCTGCTGTGAGTGCTGCCCGAGTTCTCATAATTGCCCTTAGATTCCCTTGCAAACATGAGACCGCAGTCGTTAAAGTGAATATACGCGGATCAAGCAACTCGAGTGGCTAACATGCTATTACAGAGAATCAATCATGCATGCCGTCCAAATGCGTACTACCGCTTCGATGACACCGCGCTAAACTTGGACGTATTCGCCATGACGAACATCAAAGCAGGAGAAGAACTCACCTTCAGCTGTACGTCACCACCTAGATCTTCATTGATTCTACAGGCTTTGCGCGAATACATCACTAATCTAGTCCTCAGATGGTTTCTCCCACCTCCCGCATGATTCTCGCATGGAAGCGTTGCAGGCAGCCTGGGGCTTCACATGCACCTGCCCACTATGTACCGCCAACTCCACCTCCCAATCAACGTCCAACGCGCGTCTTCAACAGATTTCGGAAATCAAATCTGTACTCCCGACTTCCCCCTCGTCTATGCCGCAGCTTCTTGGCTTGTTGCCCGATCTTATCTCGCTCCTCGAAGCTGAGGACTTGATTCGCGAGCTCCCCATGTATGAGGAGATTATGGCGTATACATGGAGTAGCTTTGGCATTGAAGATCGAGCGCGGATGTGGGCAGGCCGTGCAGCGAAGCATTGGAGTATCGTTGCGGGAATGGAGAGCTGGGAGGTGAAGAGAATGAGGGATATGGAGAGGGATGTCAGAGGACATGGGACGTGGCTGGGGTGGGACGGGGAGGATCCTTGGGAAGGCGTTGGAAAGGGGCATCCATGGGATGAGCACGAAAAGCATGACCATGGACATTAGGTGAAGGCGATCAAGGACTCCTGAAGGTTGTTTTCACCAGGCGTTTTTGGGGTTGGGCTGTATGGATGGCGCGCGGGTGTCGTTATATCATCGGATTTGATTCAATCAACAATAACAACGAACGGAAACAGATGGATGATGTGGGAAAGCATGCATTCACTATCACGATCGCAGATCGCCCGCCTCTCTCTTCATAACTGTATCGAACATATCTTGCGCAACACTGTCGTACACAAGGTCTATCCACATAACGCGGTGCAGCATGGACTTGAGATCGTACCATGTTTGCACATAACAGGTTTCCAGAATTATTTTTAGCCATGGAATAAGCCATTCCAGGCTCTTCAGCTCGTGCGCTTTTGACACAGCAGCCACCATTAACAGCCATACCAGTTCATGGGGTTCGATGTTTGTGGATTTGAGGCGGAGAGACATCTATCACAGCGACACGGTCAGTTGACATTCGTGCAGTGTTGTGACAAAATTCTTCGGCAACTTATCAAGTCGTACGTTACGACGTGTCGTTGTCTGACGAGATTCTTCGCGAGGTTAGACTTACTATCGCATGACGGTATGCAGCAATGAACTTCTCATCTGGAAGCTCCACTCGATTCCAGTGAAGAAAAACGGGGCTCGAGAAAGCAATAAGGCCCAACCGAAAGGCCTCATCTATGCTGCCTATCGGATAACGTCGGAGAAGTAGGCGGTACATGATGGAAGTCATGGATTCTAGGAAATGTTCTTCGCTTATCCGGGGTCCTGCATCATGTGATGCGGCGTTGACTTGCGCACTGAACCCAGCCATAGCGACCCATATTGCTGCGAGCTCGGGGTCAAATCTCTGACACAGCGCAGTCAAACTCATTTGTTGCATAGGAATATCGTATGATCGCAGAGGCCATGGGATATTTTTTAGGGTCAGGAGAATGGGGGTAGACATGCTATCATTTGCGGTGTACAAGTCGCAGCTGCATAGAACACAGTATTAGTCTGGGGCAGCGGAGGCTAGTCCGATAACTCACCGTATAATTTCCACACACAGCCTCGTATTCCGGAGTAGACTTTTCACGCCTCTCATACTGACAAGCTTGAGTAGTCCATGGCAATGTTTCTCGGCAGTGACAAGATCCCCTGATGTATATGCATGACCCAGCATACATAGCACTGTCATTATTGTGGTGTCCGACAATCTGATTTCATCGTCTTCACTCGTAATCCGTGCCTGGAGCATTCTGATGGTTTTAGCATAATGTATGTGATCTGCCTGCTGGGTCTCTGAGCTATGCCGCCTCCCTAGACTTTCTCTGAGATATGCTCCCACTGTCATACACACACCGTTAAAGAATGCTGCGTCTGTGAGTAAAGGTGCGAACCATGCATCAAGCATGCCGCCGATATCAATCATGATGCAATCATCTAATTGGTACATGGCCCGGGATGACATAGAAATGACTAGGTGGGTAAGCATGCATTAGTAAAGAACTAACGAGAGCTGCTAGCACCTACAACTTATCATGTCTGCGATCATCGAGGGCTCAGCGGTGTCGGCAAAAGGCAGCGTCACCATCTCGGAGCAAATGGGTCTAGGGACCACGAACTCGGACGAAAGACACTGCGCCCTGAGCCCATCGGCCACTGGTGTAGAGGACAATACGCTCGGACTATCCACGGGGGCGGATTTTGGGGATTTTTTCAGTGATCTTCCTTTGTTTTTCCCACGCATGACATGGCTCCTGATGAGCTTCCGCGTATCTGCGCCTACTTTCCGCTCGTCTGTCAAGATGATAAAAGGCAGTGGCACTGCGCGTCTTATGAGTCTCTCTCCCAAGGCACTATACAGAGTCTTTTCAGTCTTCACTCACTGGTTGGAATGTGTTGTCTGCGTTGTCAATTTGGCACCACACCTCGTATGTACCTGACAGGGGTCTCCTCGGCAGCGGCCCACTCTTGGATAGATTCACTGGGTAGCGAGCTCTCTGCTACGGCGCCCGAGGCTTGCGAGTGTGGAGCGGAGTCGCCTAAGATAGTTATGGAATCAAATTCAGGCAAACAATGTATGGTAGTAGATGCATGAGTGAGAAAGCACTTGAGCGGTGCAAAGTAGTCCCTGACGCCCGAGAAGGGGCCGCCAAGAGTGAGATTATAGCCCATTTTGGGCTTAGCGGCATGCCCGGATTCTTTACTCTGTGATGATTGGTCGAAGATCGTACTACCGCCTATCTTTGGAATACTTCCAGTTCATGACAGCTCGTCCGTAAACGCGTCCGAAGATACGCCCGGATCTTGTTATAAATCAATGATGCTCCTAATGATTGGAGTTCATAACCATCTTGAATCTCTCGAACTATTCAGCTGTCCCCAGTCGATCATCTCCAGCCCGATCCATTTATCTTCGTTCAATACACTATCACAAGCACAGATCCAGACCAAGAAAAAGAAAAAGCATCATGGCCAAGTCACAGAATATGGCCCCGCACACAGCGGCATTTTTCCCCAAACTCTACCTCAAGAACCAAATGTGCACCGACACAGTCTGGCCATCAAAGGACACCAATCTTTCCGGCAAGGTGGCGGTCATCACCGGCTCAAATCAAGGCCTTGGGTTCGAAGCAGCAAAACAACTCCTCGCACTTGGTCTCTCGCGATTGATTTTGGCTGTGCGATCCCTAGCCAAAGGCGAGGAAGCCGCGCGGAAACTTCGATCCGAATACCCCAAAGCGGTGCTCGATGTATACATCGTGGACATGTCCTCCTACGACTCCATTCAAGCCTTCGCAACCAAAGTCCATCAACTTGATCGGATCGATATCGTCATCTTGAACGCTGGTATCATGCCGAGTGTATTCAAGCTCGTAGAGGGCACGCGCCACGAAGAAACATTTCAAGTAAATTACCTGTCCACGGTGTTCCTCTGTGTCTTGTTACTGCCGACGCTCAAAGCAAAGGCAGTAGGTGGACCGGGTCGCATGACGATAGTCTGTTCAGGACTGGCGTATGCTGCGCAATTCAGCAGCCGCAAGGCCACACCTGTACTCCCAACTCTGGACTTGGAGAAGAACTTCGGGTCCGACACGTACAACACCTCGAAACTGCTTCTGATGATGTTCTTACTCAAGATGCATGAATACGTATCCGCGGATGATGTTGTGGTGAATCTCGTTGATCCGGGCTATGTCAAGGGAACGAATCTGCAAACCAATTCCTCGCTTGCTGTGCGACTGGCCACCAAGCTTGTGGATTTCACGGGGAGGACATTGGATGTTGGCGCTTCGACGTACGTGGACGCGGCTGTGACTCAAGGGAAAGATTCGCATGGGAGCTATGTTATGGGGTGGAAGATCAACCCGTAAGTTGTTCGCTGACATGGTACCGTATTTACACTTTTTGCTGATCGATGAACCAGATTTGCCAGTATGATGTACACTCCGGAGGGTAAAGAGACGACGGAGAAGGTGTGGAACGAGACGTTGAAGGAGCTTAGTTTTGCGAACCCACTGGAGATTTTACAGAGTTTGAAGACTGAACAAAAGATTTGAGATGCATTTATTTCAGCCGGCGGGCGGTGACAGCTCGTTGTGGGAGAATGGGGAAAGCTAATCGACCGTCTATCTTTCTTCTTCGGGTATTGTTTCTGTATGCAAGTATTTAGGGAACCGGAACGGACCTGGCAGACAGCTGGTATTTCTTCATGTTTTAGAAGGAGCTTTAGTTCTCCGGGTAATATTTAGATGCGCTGGGTACCAATATCTAATGAACGTTGCGCTTGTCATTCGCCGCCTCAACAGCCAACTGCACCATGGCCGTCTCCTCGGTGATGAAAACACTATGCGTAGTATCATACGTCTTCCTCGCCAGATCCGCGCCAGCCTTCTCCGCCCGCTCCACCATAATCGTCTGGAACGGCTGCGGTACCGCATAGTCCTTCAACGTATGTACGTACGTAACAGGCAGCTTCTTCCAAAGATCGCCCTTCGCGGGAGTATCAAAAGCCGACAAAGGGGTCCTCACGAACAGAGCCTCTGCTTGCTTCATAACATCCGCACTAGCTTCGCCCGAGAAGAAGGAGAGATTGGCATCTACAGGGAACGTGGTGCCGTCATCGAAGTTGTTGACAAACTGCGGCCACAATTCGAACATGCCCGCTGCACGAGAAACGTCGCGCACGCTGGTATCCGGTTCGAGCATGTATGCGCATTGGTAGAGGAGGTGGGTGACTCCGCCGGGCTGTTGTTGCGCCGCGCGGGTGGGCCGGAGTAGGTCGTTTGTCAAAGCATCAGTTCCCACCAGGCCGCCGTAGGAGTGCATGATGAGCAGAACTTCCTCGCCGGCGTCAACACGCTCTTTGATGATGGCATTGACGGCTGCGACATCTTGGGCGGTGGAGATGGTGGGTGGTGTCGTGTACGTGTTGGAACAGCTCGGCAAGCGGGGGGCGTGGACGGAAAAACCGCGGGCCGTCAGCGCGTCGAGGAAGGTTTGGTAGTTGGCCGGCTGGTGCCAAGCGCCGTGCACAAAAACGATGGTTGGAAGACTTGACATTTTTTCTCGTTTCTGTTGGTATAACAAGTGATGGTCTGATGTGCTTGATCCAGTTTGCTGTGGAGTTTTGTACCTATTTGTATAGTAGAGGGAAGAGGCTACGCCGCACACACCTGGCCACCTTGAGGCGAAAATAAGCCTACGCCGCTAGAAAAATGTAAACATGGACAGCCTCGTTGAAAAGCACCGTATCATTGTCATCTTCTGGGCCAGGATTCAGTATGACATGCTGTCGGACACCGAATAGAGTGGAGAAGGCTGCTAAGCACACGCAAACCTCCAGATGTCACTTTCCGACCATATCTTCGCTTGGGTATCTTTTCCACGTGCCGTGTGCAGCTGTCGAGTATCACACCATCACTCGGTTTCCAGATTCCCATCTTGCATGATGAGCTCCGGGATCAATAAGTCGGGGTATTGAACAATGCAGAAACAAGATTGAAACTAGCCAGCAAGCTTTAGAGGGCCAAGGGGCTATGGGTAATCTGGGAACCACCCGGTCGTCTCGTATGGCATGTGATAACATTATTCTGACTTCTGCTCCATAACCCATAAAAACCATGACGTGGTTAACTGTATAACCAGTCCCACCTACACAGAGAAGTCTTCTTCATAGATACCTCCAACCTCTCCACTACACAAAATTAAGTCGTGTACAAGTACCTTGGGTTATCTTCACCCAACTCCGCCGCCTCCTCCTCGGTCTTGCCCTCGACCCTCCAATCCTCCTTACCCGCAAGCTTCCTCTGGTTAGCCCGGCGTAGGCACCACCAGATGGTGACATGGAGAACCAAGGCAAGAAGCAACATTCCAATGGTTGCTCCGTATCCGGGTCGGTAGCTAGGCGCATCCTTCTTCGCGAACAAGAAGGGCGATGCGACTCCCGCCGAGTTTCCAATGGTGATTAGCATTCCACTGGCGTACGCTCGTTTGCCGTATCGCGGGTTGTTCACGTTGATCCAGGCCATCGAGGTACCAGTTGATGTCCATAATCCAATCGCGACTAGGAAACAACCTGCAAAACTCATGGCCACGCTTTGGTTTGCTATGAGCAAGCAATAACCCAATATCATAACGATTCCACCTCCAAAGCAGAAGATGGCGCGCTGCTGTATCCGATCACTGATGAGAGCGCACGTGATATACGTAGCGGCTCCGACGGCGTAAACGGGGACAGTGAGGGCTTGGATTTGGGCGGTGTCCCAAGTACCCATTCCTTGGATGATGGTCGGCAGGAAGACACTGAAGCTGTACAGAACGCTGTGTCCGCAGAACTGGGCAATGGACCAAGCGTAGATCTTCCAGTCCTTAACACCATCCATGACATCTTCCTTGTGAAGTTCCGACGCGTTCTTGGTGGCTCCAATCTCGGAATTTCTCATGATGACGAGATTGCGTCGATCTTCCTCGGTGAGAAAAGAAGCGGTCTCGGGACTGTTCGGGAGGACCCAAGGGACCGCGAAAGCTGTGAGGACAGTGGGAATACCGTTGATCAGAATGATCCATCTCCAAGCACGCCATCCAGCGGTGCCCGCGCCGTCGTTGTCCATTGTACCTATGCCATAGGCCACAAGTCCTCCTACGGCTCCAGCTGCGGCAGATGTAGCGTAGAAGTAGGCATTGCGCAAGGAGATCTGGCGCTTGTTGTAGAATATGGTCTGATACAAAAGAATGCCAGGGAACAGGCCAGCCTCAAAGGTGCCGAGAAGCAAGCGACAAGCGACCAAGGCGGCGAAGTTGTTGACAAAAGCGGAGAAGGTAGCGACAAGACCCCATGCCAACATCAATCCGCCCAGATAACGCGCCGGTTTGAGCCTCTTGATGATCAGATTTGAAGGGGTCTCGAACAACTAGATTGTGTTAGTTGTGGGAGCTGCCACGAATCGGGACAAGACGTACGCAGTATGTAATGAAGAGAACGGCTACAGCAAGATTGTACTGGGAGCCAGTCATCCCCAGCTCCAACTCCATGTCGTAGAGACGCGCATTTCCAATGTTGACTAAACAGGTCAGTATGACATCTTCCACAGGAGGCAACACTGGTACGAACCTCGATCCATGAAATTCATCAAGTAAATCCAGCAAATCATGGGAATGAGCCGGCGATCCAGCTTCTTCAGAAGCCTCTTCTCCGTCTCCGCGTCGACAGTCTGGTACCCTTCAAGACCCACATTATTGACGCTTTCCAGCTTCTCGGGAGGAGTCCCTGTGCCTTTCTCGTTGATAGGGACACGTCCCTCTTCTGACAGATTGCTCATGGTGGTGTGCGATCGAAGGATGTGATAGGGAGAAGACGAGTTTGTGGTGGAGAGCAGATCAACTGATCAACTGGATGCAAGGGGTCCTCATTTAAATCTTATATTTGCCGGTCGTTGCTGCAGGCACGATCCCACACGTGCTTGACAAGACATGCCATGGAATTGTTTGTCTTGGTCGGCCATCCCGTGACAAGGGCGTTTTATGTCTGGGGTAAGGGAATGGGGCACGCCCCAGCGGATCTGGGGTAATTGACTGGAGAACGCTCGAACGGATGGATTGAAACCACACGAAGCATCCTTTTGTCCGTTGCTGTGGGGAGCTGACGCTCTTGTCGTGAACCCAAGGCCGAGATTCGAGGGGGCGTAGCTGGGACTCCAAGCTTTACCATCCACATGATTGGAAGCTCCTTTCTTGATTCAAGGTGTTGAGCGACTTGATCTCTTAGCAGTATCTTGGGGCGACCAGGCTCCATGACAAGCGCAATATCCACAGGCAGCTTCGAGATTGTCCAAGAGATAGTTGTCAGCCCGAGCGTCTCGAAGTGACAATATAGCCGCAATAGCTCCTTGGCCGAACGAATTCATTGAAGCTGGAGGTGGATCTCTGGGGAGTTTACCCCAATATCGCGGGGGAGTGGTTGCAGTGGGGTCCGACGAGGCCAAGATGTATATCAGAACTAGTCCGCCCGGCGCCCAGTAACTTGGCTTGTGATTGGCTGACATCACCAACCCCCTACACGCTTGGTTGCCGTGTTATCCAGGTGCTGCACAAGACGCCCGACTCAAGTTGTGCAATTGTCTAATGTAGCAGTTTGATTTGGGATGACCATGATTGGATTGAGATTTTCACGGAAGACGCTCTTCCATTGCATTGTTGTGGAGCTGGGGGTGACCGACATATCGCTTCGAGAGCCTGGCCTCTGGTTCAAAGAAGTACCCCAATAGACAATGACTAATAAGGAAGATTCTCAAGTATCTTTGAGACGGATTCGTGATAATGGTAAGACTTTAGGCCATCGATGCGGTGTACTACTCGAAAGACGGGCCAACAGTCAGTAACAGTAAGCTGTCCCGGAATGTGGAAACCCGCCTCCTTGATCATCAACGCAGAGAGCGATCGGTTTCCGGAGTGATAGATGTATGCGCTTGCGTTGCTATATTCGCATCTTGATACATGTTTTACACTCGCTTTTGCACGGTAAAACTTGTACGTCAATCTGACAATGATGAAGTCTTCATGTTGGCGACCAATGCATAACCGCAGGTTATGAAGAGGTCGAGTTCAAGACTTGACAAAGGAGGGTATTCCTCAAATTGAGAAGGCCAAATTCTGATGTGCAGCGCGCAATGCTTGGTTGGTTCCAGATTTTTATTGCTCTTGGACTCACTTTCTGGGTGTCTTCCGGGTCCCTGGCTTTTGGGTGACCATGACGAAGCATCATATGCAACGCGTTGGGGGGCCCTGCCCTGCCAAATCCACGCGCATTACATGACGCACCATTGTGTCTCTTAGATCAATCGCGCCAATGTCTCGCAATCTTCGTTCGCTGCTCTCCAACGACGTGTTGCCTGGAATCGCACATAGTACATGATCATCCGAATGCAGACAGTGATCAGCCACGCTTACCCCCTTACTATATGTGATACTTCCGCAAGCAGCAGCGGGTCGAAGCTATATTCAATTTCACGTGACCTCGTACCGCGATCGTTCCGCACCCCCCGCGTTTTGGTAGATCGCTAACTCTATCGCGTTAACCTACGGGGTAGTATTTGTCGTGAGGGTTCGGCATCGGGCTCCGATGGCTGATTTCTGCACTTGAAAATCGATGGCTCCTCTGGAGTAGACGATAACAGGAAGATAGAATGCCTGCTAAGCACGGTAGTGAATCATCGCATTTCTATGCGGCACGAACACTTGGTATTATAAAAGATGGAATGGCTTGGTAGATCTACGGTGTACTTTTCATTTGATTGCAAATACACGCGCCACTGTGGTATGGCATCCATTCCCCAACCCCATATTTTATTTTCTAGGGTATATATATCTTCCTAAGTCTCCTTCTCCAGCCATGGCTTGCATGCGTCGAAAATCTTGGGGAATGCAGGATCAAGAGCCATATATCTATCAAACAAACCCTCCTTGTTGATACGCTTCATCATTTGCAGCAGGGAAACGAAAATGAAATCGGCGTAAGATACCTTCTCTCCCAAGAAGAAAGGACCTTCGTGCTCCCTCAGCATATCGCCGACCGCTTTTGCGGGCGCTTTTGCCTGTTCCCAGTGCTCCTCGTTGGCCGACTTCTCAATCTCCGATAGCGGCGCACCGAATATCTTCTCACGAGTCTCATTGAAGTAGGTCGCAGATCGCTCGTTTAGTAAATATACCACTTTGGGGATTGCATGTGGTACAATTGGGCCCATCAACTTCTCAATGTAATCGCGAATCTTGACATTGATGGGGTCGTCGAGTTGGAGGGATGGCTCCGGGTAGCGGGTCTCCAAAGATCGCGCAATTGGCCAAGAGTCCATTTCGTATTTTTCGTCCTCATATTTGATTGCAGGACTGCTGTAGTCGGTAAAGTAGCCAGGTGCGTTTTTGTCGGTGGGCGGGAGCCCGCTTTGACAGCTACGTCAGCATGGTCAGGTCAATCTGGATACGGAACTGGCGTACAAAGACTTGAATGTGGGAGCGAGATCGGGATATTCAACCCATTCGGTCTTGTAGTCGATGCCTTTGTAGTTCAAAATCATGCGGGCTGAAATGTGTCAATATGACATGGCGTTTGTTCAAGGTGGGATGTACCCACTTTTCCATGGGTTCAGAGACCAAGCGGTTCCTTGCTTGCTGGGGAGATCGTATAGAACAACCTGGGAAGACATTATGTATGGTGTTAGATAGAAGTGTGAAGATTAATGCACGTAGCAATGCGTTGGAATTAATTATTGCGGGCTTTTATAATAATGTAGGCATTGATGGTCTCGTTCCTCACCCTCACCGTTTTCATTTGTAATCTGGTGAGACTACGAGACCCATCGCGCCAACCAAATTAGGTCAAGATAGTAAGCAACTAACATCAATCGTCTCCACTATTTGCGCCCATCAACTGATTTGTGTGTATGAATGTTGAGTCAAAGGAAACTCATCTATCTTAAGAAATCCTAGTATGCGGGTTTCCGCCAATAATGTTGTGGCGCATCAATTGCAGATCCGCTACGCTGTACATCGCCGGTGGAGGATCTCGTCAGACCTCTGAAAGAAATGTGGTTCAGTAATCAGCTATCCAGACAGACCTTTTTAACAGTGTCTGGCCCACTCCGTATAAGAAATAGCTGACGTTTCAAGCAGGGAACTGCTAAGAGCCCCAGAATTTCAACTAACAATCACATTTCATATCCAAGTGCGTCCAATAATTCATCGTCGTGTATTCAAGCCATTACATGCGATACATATCCTCATCCATTGATGCAAGTCATAGAGATATAGTATAAGCCCCTACTGCGGATGGAAGACCCTCCAATGAACGAAGTTCACCATTCAAGATGCCTTCTATGGCCTGGTATCTACTCCCCAGCACCGTTCGTGCTCCCTTTTAATGGAAAGATCTCTCGTATAGACAATCCGTCCTCGATATCACAAGTCCCGTGCCTTCCTTCATGCTGTAACTCCCGTCCAGACTCTCGATGGGTGGATATACGAGGACTTTCGGAGTCCCCTACCCAATTAGGCGCTACATGCCGGAGGAATAATCGCATTGTTGGAAGTGCACCAGTGATAATGAAAAGACTACCTTCAACCACGCTGATAGAGAAGGTCAGTGAGGAGACTAAGAGCTTTGATGACTTGTTACCCGTATCAGGATGATCGAATGACACTACTAGCGAATCGAGAAACTTACATCAGGAAACTAGGGTATACAGTATCCCAAGACGAATCTTTCGTGACCAGCATAGGAGGAAGCGCAGCTACTCTCACTGCACTCGTGACGCATGTTCTATTACACCAGAATAAGTCAAATATTCACAGATTCTGTAGAAGCAAGTCTTACATCGAGCCCAAGCTGAACATCAAGATCAGCATCATCTTCCGCGACCTAGCCATTTGCAGCCCTAACACCATAGGAATAGGCAAACATAGAACCATGACGTCCGTGACAATGTTGAGAATGGCAGTAGCAATGTACAGCGCGCCTTTGTTTATGCACTTTCCCTCTTTTATCGTGACATCGAAGTTTTTCGCAAAGGGTGTGCAAGCTGCCAGCAGTGAAACGTCAATGCCGACGCATGACCCGATAACGACAAACATCGTAATGTAGACGCCAATGCGGAAACCTTGCGCTGGATTCAGGTTCAAGTAGAAACAGAGAAAGGACATCTTCGCGAAAGCGGTGCCAGGCGAGTAGAGAACCGTTGTGATGAGGGTTATCTGCGGTAGTGATGAGCAAACACCAGCAAAATCAGGGTCGCGTGATGGACAAACCTTTGAGATCTTGTTGAGTTGGTGACCAGTAAGCTCCCATGTGTGTATGCCAATCAACCCAGCTGGAGCGCGATCTGTAATCTCGTGGTCAATGGATGAGTTCTAATGCGCGAACCTCATGTTGATGAGTACTTACACACAATCATGGACTGTACCGGTATGCAGAAAGCCTGAGCATATTTTCATCATACGTTAGCAAAAGTGATGACAGAGACGTAGAACTACGTCAGTTACTGACCCATGCAAGTATGAGACACCCTGTGCAGTTTGAACGTCAATATTTTCACTGAGATATCGCGGCTGCAGCACTCACAATCGTCTGAGGCCAGTTTTCTGACCACGGTTACCTTCGTGTAGACTCGAATGATCAACAGGAGTGTTCCAATAATCATACCCACGACTCCAACCCAGAAAATGAGCGCCTCACCACGTCGATGCGGATTCTCGAGATTGACCGCATATCCTCTCGGGGCGGGCACGATGGGCTTGTTCAAATCCATGGCTGCACATATGGGGACGGCTCTAAACTCCAGAGGACCATCAAGAAGATGACTGTACGAGCAATGGAGCGACAGCAATAGAGATAGTAGAAGAGAAGAAGAAGTAGAAGAAGAGGCCATTATATGAACCCTAACCTACTTCAAGTTACAGGATCGCCGCCACATTAAGTTTCCGCAGCTGCAGGTCGACCAATCCTCCGCAAGCCACTGTCCTCGTGAACAGGAAGCCGGGAGTAGGGAACGCAACAGCATTGGATAGGAGAATTCCAAACCACTGGAACTGTACTTGCTGACACGAACTGAAGGATGTGATGGCTTGCACAATTGTTCATAGATCATCCAATGAATCTGATTGCCAGAACTGTCGCGAATTCCCTGCAGTCCATTTACGCGGCGCGAGCTAAGCAGCGCAACACTCGAACACTACAGAAAACACATCGAAAAATCGTCTACAGTTTAGTCTACATGATGTTTTCTCCATTTCCTACAACCATCCGAGAATTCTTAGTGTGGTACGGGACGTGCCGGCTGCGGAGCATAGTCCTGCGGGCCGTGATCGGTGAGCAACTTTTCCAACGCATTATTCGCACAGCTCGATATGTCCAAACCGAATTCGAAAAAGGAGAAAGCCATGAAGGATGCGGGACATGCGGGTTGTGGGGACTGCAGGGGTAGTTGCTGTCGCCCCCGCAAGGGCCCTCACCTTTTAGGGCAATTGTTCATCTCGTATCTGGGGAAGCCATCCCTATTACATGCCGCACCATGCAGCCACTTTCAACTCATTTGAGGTTCAGTATGTGCGTACGGGGAAAGAAACCTACGTGGGACTAGCCTTGATGAACGAGGACCCCAAAGATCTTGTATGAAAAGCTGCAATCCCGCTCTCGCTTACCCCCCTGAACGTCACATCGGAAGTGCGCCTTAGGGGTGTTCGGATCATAAAACTCGGCTTCTTCCTCCCAAATCTCGTACCGAACATTTGGATCGCGAACGAGCCATCACCATGCGTCACCTGTGCTTTATCCTACTCGCCGCAACCCTCTCGGAGGTGTCACATGCCCAGAATGAGACCGGATCGAACTGCGTAAGCTGCTGATTTGCTCAATCCAATACGATCCTGACAATTTCCAGTGCGCGGATCTTGCTCTCAGTTCGGTATCCCTGAGGGTCAGCTACCCCGGAGAAGCAGCCTACGAAGCTAGCCTGGCATCCTATTTCGATGGGAAGAGCAGATTGTCGCCCAGCTGCATTGTGCAACCGCAGTTTGCCGAAGAAGTGTCGGGCATCGTGAAAGTTATCACGGCCGCAAGCTCTTCAAAGCCGTGCCAATTCGCTGTTCGATCTGGTGGCCATACCCCGATTCCTGGCGCCAACAATGTAAACGATGGAATCACCATCGACCTTCTCTATATGAACGGGACCACCTACAATGCTGACACTGGACTTGCAAGCATTTCACCAGCCGCTCGTTGGGGCTCCGTCTACCAGGCTCTTGAGCCACTGGGTCGGATGGTAGCTGGAGGCCGTGGGTCGACTGTTGGCGTGGGAGGCTTCCTTCTCGGTGGTGGCATCTCACACTACGCTCCCCGAGTCGGTCTATCCTGCGACAACGTCGCAAATTTTCAAGTCGTACTTGCAAATGGTAGCATCGTGTACGCTAACAAGAACACAGACCCTGATCTGTTCACTGCACTCAAGGGTGGCAGCAGCAATTTCGGCATCGTGACCAGATATGATATGGAGACCTTTGAGAGTGAAGATCTATGGGGAGGGATCGTCACATACCCGGCTTCCACTGTGGACCAGCATTTCAAGGCACTCGTCAATTTTGGTCTCGACCCGAACCGGGATCCCAATGCTGCGCTGATCGTTTTCCAAGGCTACTCGACTGCCAGCCCTACTGATGTTGTGCGCGCGGCGTTCGATTACACCAAGCCTGTTGTGCGTCCGGACGCGTACAAAGAGTTCTTCGCTGTTACCAACAATATCTCTGATACTACAAAGATCCAACCCATGAGCGCAATCTCGGCCGAGTTCGGCAGCGATACTACCAAGAGGTAAGAATGCTCTGATGCGTCATATTCTTCGACCCTGTTCCTGATCCACATACTGTTTTCAGGGTCCAGTTCCGCACCGTCTCGTTCAAAATCGACCTCGCTACCCTGCAAGAGACAGCCCGCCTCTACAAACTAGTCATCACAGAGCTCCAAGCAAAAGCATCCGGCCAATGGCGCGTGTCCTGCCTACACCAAGTATGGTCCACCAGCTACACGGCAGACAGCGAGGCCAAAGGCGGTAACGTGCTTGGCATGGAGCGGTATACCGAGAATTTTATTATGTACCAATCTTATCTCTCGTGGTCTGAAGCCAAGGACGATGAATTGTTCATCGATCTAGGTATCATGCTGACTGATGGAATACAAAAGTTTGCCGCGAGCGCGGGTACCGACGTGAAGTATCTGTATCTCAACTATGCGGACAAAGACCAAGATCCCCTCACGTCGTATGGAGCGGATAAAGTGGATTTCATGAAGGCTGTGGCGGCGGAATATGACCCTTCTGGAGTCTACCAAAATTTGCTACCTGGAGGTTTCAAGATTTCGAAGGCATAGAGGCTAATTGCGTACAACATCTTGTTTCCTCCATGTGCGCGAATTGAGTTAGAAGCTATCGCTATGATGTGACAAGTCATGCAATAGGATTTTGAAGGAAGATAGAGCCTCCAATTTGCAAACACAAACCCCAACGTAAACTACCGCAACTTGTCATATGTGATGCTCTGAAGTTGGGTTACCAATTTGTCAAACATAGGTAGCTTCCCGTTACATCAACACCTTAGTCAAAACATCCCCTAGTCCCTTCTCACCAAGCCATTCCTCCACGGCCTTCATATCCCCGCGATTTGCCCTCGTACCTCGCCTTTCGCCAACAGTGTCTGTGATCTCCTGCATATCCGGAAATACTCTCTCCTTGATATCTTCATCGCGATACCGCTCGGAGACCTTCTTATGATGCGCCGGAATGTCGCCCCAGCTTTCCGTCTTGATCCACTTCATGTAGGCATCAATCTCCGTACTCGTGCCTTCGAGGCATAGAAGTCCAGGCTTTCCAGCGAATAGAAAACCAGTAAGAGAGTAAGAAGGGGCGTGTATGATAAAATCGTCGCGCTTAGAACGTGTCGAGATGGAGGGGAAGTAGAACCAGGCGCGGACAAGCGGACCAGCAGGGACTTTCGAATTCAAAATAGCTGCTTGCTCTTCTTCTGAAGTTTTTTGCAGGGCAATGTTATCAGCTGCTGATTGGGAGGCGAGCTCGATCATGCTGAAGAGGTCTTCTTGTTCAGGGATTGTGGCGTTGATGTGTGCTGTGGCTGCTCGATTCATCCAGAGGGGCTGCCGGATCCGCACTTTCATCTTTGAGCCTTCTTCTGGCGAACTCCCTTCCTTGTGCGCAAACGGTATCTCGATATCAAATACGAGTCGATTGGTGTTCGTTATGGCGAGGTTCAGTGAGACCATGACTGAAGCGACACTTTGGCGGTCGAAAGTAGACACACTTTCATCTTCTATGCATATCTTCAATCTTTCCAAGAAGTGTTCGGAATCCTTATCTACTGTTATCTCTTCGTCTGGATACATGGCCATCAAAAGATCAATTTGCGCAATCTGGTGTTCGATCAGGTCTACCGGCAGTAAGTGCCATGTCTTTGAGGCGGACATTCTCATATGCGTCTTGCGGATAGATAGCTCTTCGAAAGCAATTTCTTGCTTGTATTCAGTGATGGGAGTTATTGAAACCTTGATGCGTACGTGGACAGCATGATGGAGCGATAGCGGAGATCGATGGAAAATCGAGTCAGCTAATCCGTAACAGGCTTAGCGTATCTGAGGCCTCGCAGTAGTATCCACCGTCATGTATCTTGTTCTGAGATGTGAGTCGAAATTCTCCATTCATATCTATCAACTCGAGATTGACCGTTGGCAAGATCATAGAAGCCCTGGTTTCCATTGGGGTGGGTAATGTCCACTGGTGTGTCTTGATAAGTCCATTAACGCCCCAAAATTATTGGTAGAATAATCGCAGCATCGCCAATGAATGTCCAATCTCCCTCCCTCCTATTCTTGATATCTTCAAGATTCATGTTCACATAAGCTACCCTTGCACCTTTCTTCCGAGCCTGCTCGGAATATCCAGCAGCTGGCCAAACCAACCCCGAGGTGCCTATCACAAGGCACAGATCCACCTCATCTTCCTCGAACCACGCATCAACCTGTTCCACAGTATCTTGCGCGAGGGCTTCCCCGAACCATACCACATCAGGACGTAACATGTTGTTTCTACATCCTGGGCACTGGGGCAAGTCGCTTGTCTGAATTCCGGAGTGCAACACTGGTGCCACGTCGGGTTTCTTCGGGACATTCTCCCCAAGCTCCTTCAATGGTGCCGCATCGGCAGTACTGGGTTCGCTCTTCTCGAAGCGCTCGCCGAGTATTTTCTTGTTCTTCGCTGCGATAGCTTCAAAAAGAAGCGCACTCGCTTTCGGTGGCTTCTCTCCACTTTTTACCCCAGCGCCCATCACGTTTGCCCTGTTTTTGGCGTGATCCTCGCTTAAGACAGGGCACAAAGGGTCTTCGAAGCTTTGAGTCGCGTATCCACAGCTGCCTGCACATTTGAGATTGAAAAGGTTGCCATGTAGCAGCTTCAACTGTGCGTCCTCAGCGTCTTCGCTATGGCCATCGCTCATCCCAGCGCGCTGCAATAGTCCGTCGACATTTTGGCTCAGCGCGACAAATCCCGGTTTTCTCTTTGCAAGCTCGACCAGAGCGTAGTGGGCCGGGTTCGGTTCGGCCTGCAATGCAGTGCGCCGACGATCTGAGTAGACTACATTCAAGGGTATCAAGTCAGCGAAAGTATGTACGGTGTTGAGTGTTTAGAGCATTGCGTCCGGTCTACATTTAGTATACACGTACACTGCCAAACCAGCCCTGGATCCCGACGCCATCCTGCCGGTGATGCGATGAGGTGTACATCGTAGTTGCACCACAAGCCATTGGCATCCCGAAAGGTAGACAAGCCGCTAGAAGCAGAAAGACCAGCTCCTATGACTGCAACGACGCGGTTGGACTGAGAGAGATGAGCGCGAAATGATGCAACCGCAGCGGGGTCCAATTCTCCAGAAGCCATGATGGACAATGTGTGTTTGAAAGCTATCGCCTCCTAGGATGTCTTAAATTTCGATTTCTTTTCTCTTTGGGTTGTGGGAAACCGACTCGAGCCAATGCTTCCAAAGTGATGTCTGGAGGAATGTGAGCTGGCACTGCTGGCGAATATGGTATACAATAGACAGAATGCCACCTACCACGATGATATCTTCGATTAAAGAAGCCTTATCGAAGCATGTTTAATGTGAAAAAACCGTGTGGAAGCGTTACTTGTTCTTGGATTAGGCAGCGATGTTTGGACATCAGCAGGTCACATGACTTTGCGATCTGGCTCGATCACATGACACGCTTATGATCATCTGAATGTCAACAGGTCTCGAATTGATAATTCATACATGTATGCGCAAGTAATAACATAATAATGATGAATATACGCGAAATTTCTTCTCCAAAGAAACAACAGGCGGACCTTCAACATTCGAAATTGATCGTTGACTGATGCTACTGAACCTGGACAGCAGCATACTATGAATCGCGATGCTCTTACGCCAACAATACAAATGGCACACGGAAGAAAGAATAGATAATTCACTAACATCAACTCACAGCCGGACCGAACGACGAGCTCATGGAGTTATATGACGATACATCTTCTCTTTGTACTACAGGCATCTTACCACATACACCTAGTTACCTACCTAGGTAAGTATATATGGAGGTATGTATGTAGTGCGGGTATCATCGGCTAAACGCACCAATGCCGAATGATATGAATTTCAGCTTGACAAACCTGGTCACTGCCCGAAACATTCGCAGTTTGACACATACTTTAAAGACGTAGTAACTACATATTGTTTCATTGTTCAATGAGATTGGCTACGAGATGGCATTACGGCTATGAGATTGATGAGTTGACTTGAACGAAGCTATGAAGGAATGACTTAAAATGACGCTATGGAAAACCAAAGCGGCTTTCGAAAACGAAGGTATACTGATCGCCCCAATTCCTCTGTCGTTTCGAATGTAGCGATGAATCGAGACTCCCCATCTTGTAAAGAAGTCCAGGATCATACAGCTTCAGTATCCGCGTCTGAACCTGGTTGCGCTTCTTGGGGTGGATCAAGGTAATCCTCTGGCAGGAAGAAATTGGTCAATTCGAATTGAAGTCGATCAGGAAGATCAGACCCTTTAGCCAAAGGATGTACATCGAGATGGCCCATTCGATAATCATCTTCCTGCCACTCGCCATCGTAACCGCGACTCGCCCAGTATAGCCACTGGAATGTGTTGAGGACGCACGTAAATGTTGTTTCAGAGATTTGGTCATTACCAATATTCAACTCGGTGACATTGATCCCAGCATCTCTCAGTGCGGTCCACAGCCTCCACCGCCCTTTGTATGCCGTCATTACTCCTAGTGGATCCGGACGTTTACCCGTGCCTGCAGAGGGAGTAGCAATGCAATATATATTGAAACACCATTCGTCGGCGACATTCGGCCCTTCGGCTATCTTCTTAATCAGAAGTCCCGCCCACTGATGACCAGTGGGCGGTTGGGTCGGGTCGCTTGGGACATCAAACTCTTCGATTCCGGTCCAGCCGCCTTCTTCGCCAAATGTGAACAGCGTTCCTCGTCCATGCTCGCCGTTATGCTTGATCGCCTTTACGAGCTCCACAATGGTGCTCGCAAGATCAAAATCGTTGGGCTGCAATCCGCTCCACCTCAAGAATTCGTCGCGGTCCCTGCTATCGTAGAACGAGACACATCGTTCGTAGACCGCGGGCCCAGTCGCCCGTTCATTCATCTTCACGAGAATAGCGTTGCAGTCCTCATTTGTCACGTCATGATCCAACCTATAACCGTACAGTTCAATGTACGGTGTTCCAGATTCGTCGTCTTGGTGGCTGTCGTCAAGCTCTTGTTCACGAGCTCGCACCCGTGCAGTGCATTCATCGCAGAAGACCCAGTGACAGGAGCAGCAGACCATGGTTAACGTTGGTATTTCTGAGTTGGAGGTTTTGCCAAAAGATGGTTAGCGTTGTATGGTTGACCTTTTACAGGGTTTAACTTATTATAATGAAGTCGAGGCTGAAAGATGTAAATATATAAGCATAGATGGTGTGAGTGATGTTCACTCGATATAAAGTCATTGTGTTGCTTTGTGAATACAGATGCTCGACGTAACATACGCAACACTGTATTTAAACAATGCGATTTCGTTTCTATTGATGCTCGAGTGCTCTATCGCCACAGGATGCTCATGTTTTTTGAGCATATTCAAAACCTCATTCGGGGTGGCAGTGGATAGTATCGCGGATCTGCGGTGACCCATTATTTCCTGTATAACCGGTTTTGTCTATGTATATTTATATATGATATTCCTAGGGCAGAAGATTGTGGTGAACTAAGAAAACTGATTGAACAAACAATGTGTGGTTGGGCAATCGATACATGGCCTGACAACAGCCAGTCGATATACTTCTCTCACTATAAGCCCTGTACGTTCAACAGGGCAGCAGATTCTACTATCCCCGTGATTCGGTAACTAAGTACAGAACGCCTTTCACTAATTACATAAAGCTGTATAGCGCCTTTGCCAAGTGCTCCAGGCTAGCATTAAAGCTAGGTTTAAAAGCCTTGGCGTGTAGCTTGTGTTAACAAGCGCACCCAGCATCAAAACTCTATCAACTGCATTCTACGTACGATGGGCACTACAATGGACCATGAAGCTGGGGAGTTTTTGGCTAATGTGGAAGGCGGAATCGTGCCAGTGACATGTCACGATGATGTCTTGCGGATCGCATACATTTATATGGATGAGGGGCTGTGGGACGGCCAGGGCGTATTCGATGTTGTGGAGAAGCTGCACGCGCATGGCTGGTCTTTTGGTGAGGGCGAGCTCCGCTTCAACCGGTAAGCTACATGCTCATATGAGGATCCCTAATACTGACGTACAGTCCCTCCGTACGTTGGGTGGCTGCATACCAGGAGGTTAGCTGTCTAACTAGATAGTAACTAATTAGTATCTACAGAGGAGAGAAGCTGTAGATTCTATCAGCTAAAACACAGAGTTTAGTCTAACCTTCCAGTGTGCGGCCACCTGATGTACGGAGGGACTGTACCTAGCACTGCATGAGTGTGACTAAAATAAAACAGTACCTTGGATATATTCTATCTCGCCCAGATCGCAGCATCCTACTACCGCTGGACCTCGCAACTAGATGGGGACGACCCACTCACCTTCTCAGACTTCGACGCCTTCTACACTGCACACCATGCTCTCCTGCACCCCACAGCCTGGCGCTCCTACTACTCCACCACATTCCTTACCCAGCCCACCACAGCACGCTTCTACCGCATGCCCGACCTCCAGGACCTCCCGGACTCGTCCTCCCCGCTGTGCCTGCCGCGCGAAAATCTGGTATCCGAACACGTCCTGAAGCTCCCCCGCTGGGCTTATACTGTCGGGCGGACCCGCTACAGGCAAACGCTTCTTCCATGTGACACGATTACTAAAATAGCTCTCCGCACGCTTGACGCAGTCTTGACACGCCTACACGCGGCCTACCCTAGCACACCACCCTTTTCAGAATTACATGCGCGCTTCTGGCTAGACGAGTATTACGAACCTCCCATCGCAGAATCGAAACAAGAAGCAACATCTGACCTATCACCTCGCAAGGACAACCGCAAAGCATCGGGGCCTCATCACTTTGGGCTCAATGTTGCGTCGGGGTTGTATGATATACACAGTTTGGAAGCACAGTACCTCGCACAGGTTTCTTCGGGTAAGGTTGTCGAACCAGAACCTAGCAAGCCCGTGTTTTTCTGGTGTGGGATACCGGATGGAGGGACTGCATTTCAAGCGTTGCAGAGGGGGTGGCAGGAAGAGATTGGGAGTGAGGAGGAGGTCGAATTCCTAGCCGCTGTTGCGATGGAGGAGACAGCTGGACTAGGAGCTGGAGCAATCAACATGGATGAGTTGGACTGTTCAATCCGGTCACATATCCTACTAGCGGTCATGCAGGCTGCGTTGGTAGAGAACATGCAAGAGAGGGAGCGTTTTTTGGGAGAGCTGGAAAGGCGGATGGTGCAAAAGGGGAGGATTGGCGAGGAAAGAGCAGGGAGTTGGGTTAGGGAGGCCTTGGAAATTATGTTGCCATATGTGCGCGTGTGGCAGGGCGAATGGCCTGATACAGGGGAGAGGGGGGAAATGCTGCGCCGGATCTTGGTGGAGAATCCGCTGCTCTTTGCACGCTGGAAGTTGTCCCCTGTATTGAAGCAGTTCGCTTTTGACGACGCAAAAGTTGACTGTCTTGGCTGCCACACGGCGTACTGTTAACTAATGCCAAGATCCCTCCACCCGAGGAGGTAGTGGTCAACTGCTGGCATACCCTACTGGAAGGTATAGTCGACTATAGTTTGGCACCTACTATTAGCAGAGCTCGCGGTTCCAGCGAGATCATATTCGATATTCTCCTGGATCGTCGTATTGGACAAGAAGTTGTCTTTAGTTGACTAAGAACTGAACTTAGTATAATGCATAAAACGACTATCCTGCGATAACTTTAGGTAGCTGAAATGTTTTACACAAGCTTTACCTAAGACATTCAGTTTTGCATAGATTGTTGGAAGTTACATATAGCTTTCTTAGGATATTAGTGGGAACTGTTTTAGAATGGAGAGAAGTGCTCCTTGGCTTTATCTCGGCTGCTTGAGGTGCATTCCAAAGCTTCCTCCCGTTGTGCGCTGTTAGATACACCTGGGAATCTTTTGAATTGCTGTCAAATCTCGGGAAGAAACAATGAAGAACCTAGATTTCCGACCCTCCAGATCTCTTTTTCACGAGTACACCAGCCCAGGAATGTCCGGCTTGGAATTTTGATCCACCTGGATTCAATCTTCCACAACAGCCGGGAAGTTCACAAAAATAACAAAGCGTACCTTGCCCCTCCCCGTACCCGTAGCATTATATCGTGCCTGGCTCAGAAGTTAATGTATGGTAGCTACGGACTCTATACTTCTGGAACATCTCCCGTGCTTCACGCTTCTAATTAGGACTCCCGATCAGACTCATCCAAGAAAGCTACTGGGCGCGGAAATATCTTGAATGGATGCGAAATATCTGATGATCTTCGCAAAGACTTTAGCAAAGCGATAACATCATGAGTGGTTACATATTGGCCATGTGTTATACCATCCAGTGTCTTCATCGTCGATCAATGAGTCGTCATCAATAACCAATGAGTTAATTTAGATTGTTGAGTTGTAGCGTTGAGGTCCTCGTTAAGGTTCTATAAACTGTAGACTATGTGTCCTGTCTAAAGCTTTAAGGCAGATTTATTCTGTGATTTTTTAATACCTATTGTTTGTGCCGCATGCAATATGCGATGATCAAATAACATACTTAGTCAATTTTGAGGATACACGAGCCAGTTTCTTGGCAAAGGACCACTTAGCGGGAGCTTTCCGAAGCTCTGCAGCTTTGAAGCATTAACTTCCGAATTTAAACAAGAAGGGCGAATGAAACAAGCAGATCTCGTGAGAAAGTGGTCGTTGACCCCCCAGTATTCAAGAGAGCCGCGAGGTGGTAATGGCGGTTATGCACAGGGAGCCGCACTCTGTAGGACACGATGAAAGGTAAGTGTATACAGAGAGCGCGTGCAGGCTAGTACACATACTGGGTCATACTTCTACGTTGTAAAGCCTATGGCTCTGTTCTGAGCATTGGCAAATGCGACGATGAGGTACGTGACAACCAGGCCGCCTGCCTTTTAACTGGACGAAAGCTTCATTGTGAAGGCCTATTGTTTTTTGTTACAGTGGATAGAGATACAAACAAAGAAGATTTGAGAAACAGGCATCATTCATATACAAGCATTAATCAGAGTTTTATAGATCCTTTGTCGTGATTTAGGTAGACATGTACGCAAATACTCGATATGAGCACATTTGCGCAGATTACATAACAGGGAATGTAAAGAACAATTGTCGAGCCTCCACCCCGTAGAAAATTCCACCGCGTATTATCTCCAACTTCGTCTACACAAAGATGCTAGACGGATCATATGCATGGATTTCAGCAGGAAAAGACGTGATGTTGTTCAGGTTCCTGGTCGTCCTCTTTGTGTCGTCCACCGCCGCAGCCCACTCAACATCTCATGGTTTCACTCATGAGCCGATGCCACTCCAGGGCCTCGTGGGATATGGTATTTCCATGTACGAACCGTCTTGTGCATTTGGCTGTCAAAAGATATTGCAAAAAAGTCAACTCGGCTGCTCTACAGCGATCGGAAGCGTCCCCGGTTTCGAAACAGCGGACCAATGCTATGCATCCAACAAACCATACTTACTCTCGCTAGCATCTTGTCTTCATGAGCACTGCGAAGAGCCTTCATGGATGGTTTCACGTTTCTGGGCTACTCAGAACGCACACCGGCCAGCGTATGGCTTCAGAGAAGCCCTGGATCTCAGCGGTGACAGCCCTCTTGATGTCTTAGTGCCAGGCGCGCCCTTGAATAACCCTCACGCCATCACACGGGACGACTGGAAGACTGCAGATACTTCTATGCACGATTTTGCGCACACCGAAGCGAAAAGCTCTGAGTTTGCGCTGCTACTATTCTTCACAATTCTCGTGGTCCCTCTGCTTCTGAGCTCCGCCGCCTGGCTTCTCTTTGGACTTTCAACCCGCTTTGAGAGATGGTTCCTCGTCCATTTGATCTATCCTCCGCTCTTTCGCCAGCCATCACCTCTCCTGAAGCGTTTTTTGCACGAAAATGATACCCCTACTCGTGGCCAGGCGCTTCTCATAGTCGCATACACTTTCCAGAACCTGCTTTTTTGCTTCCTCGGCCACTATGTCCGGTGGCCCAACATATATTTTGACACGGCGCACGGCGCTTTCTTGGACACTCTTGCCAACCGCACTGGTCATCTCGCTTTTGCCAATCTTGCGGGACTGATAGTGTATGGAACACGTAACAATCCCCTCATCCGAATCACTGGCTGGTCCCACACAACATACATCCTGTTTCACCGGTGGATCTCGTACATATGTATTATCCATGCCCTGACCCACACCCTTGTCTACATCGCACTTCATCTTCAAGTTCTATCCCATAAATTCGCGGAGCCGTACTGGAATGCCGGCTTCTTAGCCTTCTTAGCCTTCGCTATCATAGGCGTCACATCATTCTCTGCAATACGCCGGTCTCATTACGAGGTTTTCATCGACATTCATGTTCTTATGGCAGCTGCTGCACTAATTGCATGCTACTACCATATAGACCTCAAGTTCTCTCATCGCTGGGGCTACGAAAACTGGATTTATGTTTCTGTTGTTGTGTGGGTGACCGAGCGAATTGCGAGAGCTTTAAAGATTGCTAGAAATGGTCGCTGCACAGCACTCTGTACGGAAATCGATGGCGACTATCTCCAGCTCTCCGTTCAAGGTCGCCCTATGGCTGGAATGCTGTACTTGTATCTTACGACTAAGGCTAGATGGCGGGTTTGGGAAAATCACCCTTTCTCAATTGCTAGCTCGGTTGCCCCTCCCGATTACAATGATCAAGGTACAATGGATCAATCTCCTGGACCAGAGGACCCTGTCTTTGATCTAGCGGAAACCGATTCTGAATCAAACTGCGAATCCATCACGGAGATCGATTACGCGGAAGATTCATATCTGCAGGGTGGCACACGAACAAATCCTTCGATTGCTCTTGGTGAACTCACTCCCGCCCTTCCTTCTGCTACTGGATCCACATTACCGTTGCTTGCCGGGGATTTCGAAGGTAGATGTGCTGCGTGGCGTGGCACACTTCAATTGATCATCCGTCGCCAGAGTGGGTTGACTGGTCGCTCGCTTGCCAGCAGCAACGAACTCAGCCGCAACACGCTGCCTGTCCTCGTGGAAGGGCCATACCATTCACAGATCAACGTACTAGAAATTGCTGCTACGTCACCACACGTAGTCTGCATTGCCGGAGGTGTCGGCATTACTGCTATACTGCCCCTGCTTCGTGCTCGGTCGGCTGCCTCTCTTGGTCGCACATCACTATATTTTGGGACAAGAACAGAAGCCTTGGCCCGGTCCTGTGGATTATATGATCTGCATCAAGATGCGCCGAACCTCGAGGTGCACGTCCGCATTGGGGCACGGTGGCAAATGGACCACATTGTACGGCAAGAACTTGGTGAGGTGGATGAAGGATTAGTCGTGGTTTGTGGACCTCGAGCTATGGTGAACAGTGTGAGACTAGCGGTGCTAGACGAAAATAAGTGCAGAACCCACGGTATCATTAGGCTGATAGACGAACATTTCAGTTGGTAATATTTAAAACTTGGAGTGATGGTAATTCCATAATATGTACAAAAACTAGCAAAACCCGCCTCACACATAAAACCCGCATTTCTGTGACGGGAAATAGTGGCGATTTGATGGCAACGCAGCGGGTACAGTCAACGCCAGCGGCTGTGGCACTATACTCGACTACTTGCTCTACTTCAGCCAGAACAATAACAACACAACATGCAGCTATCCACAAAACATTCCCGGGGAAGTATTGGACACTCTACATGTCGATGTTGAGAACAGATCTGACTGAAATAGAGCAAGTAGTCGAGTATAGTGCCACAACCGTTGGCAATGACTGTACTCGCTGCTTTGCCACCAATCACATCTTCACTACACCGTGTTCACGCTCATATGAGCTGAGCTCATGTACTGTCTGTCGAGAATTGAATGCGACGAGGAAGTTTGGACCTTAAATAGTTGCATGCGCGGCTAATGGTCAATCCGTGGACCTGCATTTGACGCCCCATGGACTAACTTCGACGCCAAGCAAAAGGCGTAAGGTGATGGAACAGAAAGTCCGATTTTTCTACATCCGGAAAACTTGCTCGTCTCACGTATCATGAACCCACTATTGTTCACGCGGGGATTCCGCGTTTGTGGAACCGGTGCCCCTGGAACGGGCGACCAGAGAGTGTTTGAGCATGTTTTCTGGTGGTGCCGGGTCCGTGCTGTGATCCATAAATAGTGTGCAAGATAGTAACTAGATGGGTACTGTTGACGCTTGTGAGATCGGAGGAAGCCAATGATTTATGATGCTACATGTCAGGCGAGGTGGGGGCCTTTTGTTTTCCTTTCTTAATTTGAGGTGAAATAATTCTTTCCTTTCATTGTTTTCCCGTTATTTTTTCCCTCCGTTCTACAATTGAGCTAGTCTGGCCCCCGATTCCATTGCACAGGAGCCTATTATCAGTCTCTAAAGCCACAGCGTACGTATCAGAATCGAAGCATAGCACTTTACGTGAACACGCCCTTCCCGAATTCTTTACTTCCCATTTGCATTCCATACAAAAATGCGGCATATATGCACGTCGACATGAGTCGCAATCCAAACCAGATACTAACGGAAAGAAAATCATTAGCCAGCCAGCGATCGACGGAGTACACGCAGGCTAAACTTACGCAGTGAAAAGGGAGAGCTGATACGAGGCTTTTGCCATGCGACATGCGGTGTAGGCGTCTCGCGCAGCCTCTTCGCACTCATGTGCCAGATACCACGGCGTCACGCTTAAATGCTCGTGATCCGAAAAGTCCGCCGCACGCTGGAGGGATATGCTTGAAGTCCAGAGGGCGATCATCAACATGTCGTACAAAACATTCGTTGTCAAGACAGTGCAGAGGTCCAACCCCCGGCTGTTTGACAAGTTGATCTTGAGCCGGATCACCCAGAGTAAGGTGGTGAAGCCAGCGATGTAAAAGTTTGTGGTGGGGGTACTATATGTAGTCTCAGCACAGTTGAAGTCCAAGGAAGCTTAGTTTGATTGTTTTTGCCTTTGATCCCATATCGCCGGTATTGGCGGTGGTTGCCGGTAGTTTGCGTAGTCGTAAACCCTCAACGCTGGATCCGAATTCCAACCACGGGCTCCGCCGGCCGTCCATAGTACCATGTTGTAGTCGTACTTGTGTGCGCATGTGAACAAGACTACGAGAACGACTGCTAGAGCTAGTTCTAGTATTGTGGCCAGCAACAAAATTAGGCGAATGAAGGGAGCCATGTAATGCAATTAATGACAAAGAATAAAAGCGAGTGATTCGAAACGCATCTGATTTTTGCAGGAGAGAATCTTGGTTCAATTAGAGTTTGGCCTGCGGTGCTGTGGAGCACCATGATGTGTAGAGAACGACCGCATATCTGCGCGTGGCGTCTTCACTGTAATTTGAGCAAAACCGCGCAAAGCGGTCCTGAAGTACCATAGTCCCTCTACTCTCCGGAGGCACATTCCTCTTTTATGACCATCCGATCGCCTTTCCCGTGTTCTAAACCGCCCTGATCTTCAGACAGTCTCTGCACTTCTCCAAAGTACAGAAGTTGCAATCAGCTATATTTATAATCTCCATCTCACACCAAACACAAGCATGCTCGCGAAAACGATTCCTAAAGTCATCGCCCCCGCGCAGTTGCGGAAGAGATCTTTCTCCATCCACATCCGACGCCCCAGTCCCACCGATGCGTGCGGCCCGCGCAGGGATAGCTGGCCCGAGCTGCCGAACCCATCGCCGTATGAGGTTCTACATCTAGACCGCCACGCCCCGTACCACAGACAGAACTTTACGGAGCTGGCGAAGCGATATCACCCGGACCGTGCTGCCCTCAACTCCAACGACACCGAAGACCGCCCCTTGAGGCTAGACCGTTTCCGCATGGTGGTGGACGCGCACCACATTCTCTCAGATCCTCGAAGGCGCGAGGCGTACGACGAATACGGCGTGGGGTGGAGATATCAAGCATCAAAAGCTCATGGCTGCCAAGCTATTAATCCTAATGGGACGCCACAAAGCCACATGTGGCAAAGGGACTCGTGGCAGGAACATGAGGCTTCTAGTGCCAATCAGGAACAAGTATTTCTTCGGAAAGTCTTTTGTGCTGTTGCTTTGCTTATTTTCATGGCGCTTGCTTCCTGGCTGCAGTTGATGAGGGCGGCAAAGATGTTGCGCGTTGCTGCCACCGGATATATGCACACGCATAACAGTCTTGTTCAGGAGTTGGCTAGGCTGCGTATTGACCCGCATCATTCAACTAGAGAAGGTCGAATCGAGACCTTTCTTTTGCGTAGGGAAGCGCAAGCTGTAGGTTATAAAATACATTTTGACGATTCTTGATGTCGCATCCTCACCCTATCTCTTGATAACCCCAAGCATGACGCCAATGGCTGCTAGGGTTGTGTATGTACTCGTGTACCGTCAAAAAACAAACTTTGATCCCATTAGTGCCATAATCCTCCTTAGAGCCTAGTTTTACCTACCGTTACGTGAATTAAGTAGATCATCTGAAATCAAAGGAAAACACCAAATGCGCTTTACAGCTTCCAAAGCCGTAGGCGCGCCTAAAATTGTGGATATCGCCGTCAGTTTTACAGGAAATGAAGAATTCCAAGTTGAATCCTGTACCACAGCGTCGTGGGCCGAACGAGTCTACATCCCGGGCAGACAATGAAACGAATACGCGGGAGAGCGAAAGAGAGGTTATACGCGAATCCCTGCTTACATGTCTTGCGCTAAAATGACTACATTGTAGCCTAGCGCACCCGTTATAGCGTGCCACTGCTACCGGTACAACAAGCATGGTCTTCTCCACGAACCGTACCCATGCACGCACTGATCCCATTTTTGCTTGTTCGGCGGCAATGCTTCCAACACCTAAATTGTGAGGGACATTCATGCCGAACTAGTAGAGGATGTTGCTTGTCTATCTTGACAGACATGCCATAACTTTACTAAATGCGCTCTTGCTGCTGTGGGGAACGGCAAGCACTACGCGTCCTGGTTAAATCAAAGATTGTAGCTTGATCAATATTGTATATATACCTGGGCTGCATCATCATCTTTTGCGCTCTATTAGCAGTTCATATTCATCTGGAACTTTTTCCACCATTGAAGTTCTCTTTTTAGGTTGCCTTCTATTTGGACATCTTCACCGATACACGCCGTCAATCTGCAACTTTTATTGGTTACGCTTTACAGCATAATATTATTCCCACTAGGTGGAAGTCTGATATTATTCCACATTTCTGGAAATACTTTCATCATGTTGGTTCCTCGTGGAGATGCCGACTTCGATCTCTATCCTTACAAGCCTTCAACAGTAGCTGGATGGATATTCCTTGTACTTTTCGCAGCTGGGGGTCTCGTGCATCTATGCATAATGGGGATTTACCGCTCTTGGTCTTTCATTCCCTTTTTACTGGGGTGCGCCGGTAAGCTTTACACACCCAGCACCTGCTTAATCCGCTTGAACACTTCACTGAGTCTGATCGATGTTCAGGTGAAGCTGCCGGGTATTGGGCCCGCACCGAGTCCCACAAAAACATCCGCAGAGGTGGTCCATATCTGATACAGCTCATGCTTATACTGGCCTCCGCACCGCTTCTGTCCGCTACCATCTACATGACGCTGGGCCGTGTGATCCGTGCCTTGGATGCCGTCGAACTCGCATTTCTTTCCCCTCGGTGGACTACAAAAATATACGTGGTCATCGACATTGCCAGTTTCGTCTGTCAGATGATGGGTTCGGCGATGCAATCGAGCGGTGACCCCGCCGGCGTTAAGTTGGGAAACACTATCGTGATTGCAGGCCTTGGTGTACAGCTCGGTGCCTTCGCTATCTTCATTATTAACACAGTCATTGTCCACCGCAGACTGAGGGGGTTGTTCGCAGCATCTTTCGACTGGCGGAATTTGTAGAGGGCCCAGAAGGCCATCTCTACAAGACGGAAGTGTTCGTGTACGTCTTTGATGCGACGTTGATGTTTTTGGTTGTCGTAGCCATGGCAGCGGTACATCCAGGTCGTCTCGTGAAAAGAGTGGAAAAGGAAGAGCATATCAGACTGGCATAGATGGTTGGGCACGACTGTGGCGGGCGCGGTAGCTATATCATGATCCAGCGTTGATTATGGGTTTCATGAGTGTGTTCTTCTGGAGGGGAGCAAGCAGTGAAATAGATGTATGTATACAGTGCGTAAAATGCGCGTGTAAGAAGCGCGTTGTCTTGGTACCTTCAAGTCGATCGGGCCAACCATTCTCAGGGTTCCCCTTCTCGCTTCTATGATGCACTTAAAAGATGATTATTTATTGAGTCGATATCCAACATAGGATATGGAGGATCATCAGATTTCATCGCACGAATCAACGAGAAAATTGAAGTTGCTTGACAGCAGAACAAGATTGTCAAAGGCTGTAAAGTGAAGTCGGAGAAACCGGTTCCTGTTCTCGCCGAGACTAGGCGTGTCCGCGAAACTCTTAAATCGTAGTCTGATGCAAGGGCAACCCCGGACTATTTTTACACAAAGAGTGATTTGTCCACAAACTCTACCGCACGGGCGCTCCGCCCACCACCGACCGAACGCGCGTCATCATCGGCTTTAATTGTGTACCTCCCCACCCCGAGAAGCATTCTGACCACAATAGAGCCCTGCGACTCACTCCACCCGCTGAGTAGAGGCAGTATTCAGTCGTACTCGTAAATTCTTAGTTCTCGCGCTGCCAAGACTACTCTTCACTCATCCTCGATCATGACATCACCGACTGTACAAAATAACACCCCACATTCGTTTACGAGCGAACAAGAAGACACGAGCGGCACGGAAGATCAGCTTCTGCAGTCAAATGAACCATCTCCCACTGTTCATGGCAAGAATACCAGGAAGAATGCCACCGAAAAATCAATACAGCGACGTGCTCACCGCAAGTCCCGTCATGGTTGTAAAATGTGCAAGAGACGGCGTATAAAAGTGTGATGAGGTTATCCTGCTGAAAAATGAAACCTCGAAACTAACCGATTTCAGTGCGACGAGACGAAGCCAGAATGTGCAAATTGCAGAAGTCGCCAGACTCGATGTGATTACCTGTCAGCTGTAACGCGTAGAAGCGACTCAAGTAACACTGATGCCAGTATTGCGAGGGCCACCTTTGAACTTACTGTGCCTGACCTGGAGCTGATGTATCACTGGACTACGTCTACCTGCTTTACACTTGCGGCGGGAAATATGGGGGCCGTTCATTGGAAGCAAGACGTGACTGAGATAGGCTTCGCAAACATATACGTGTTACGGCTCATCCTAGCTTTCACTTCTCTTCATCTAGCTCATATGCGCCCAACACCGCTAAAAGAAGATTATATGTCACGTGCGCGCGAACATTATACCGCAGCTTTAACCGTCTTGGTACGTTTCTCTCCACATTTCAGAAATGCCTGGAACACTTACGAAACTCTCACTAGACAGCTGAAATGACACATATCAACTACACTAATTGCGATGCTGTCTTAGTCGCTGTTCAGCTTATAACATTCATCACTTGGGCACAAGGACCACAGCCGGGGGACTTTCTTGCGTTTGGTCATACAGGACGCTCAGAGTGGCTTAAAATGTTTCGCGGCATTAAAACTACTATCGAGACATTGGGGCCTGAAGCGTTCACGCGTACCCATGCAGCAGCCCTTCGCTCGAAAGGCAAACCGGTCCCACCTGTCCATCCGCCGATGGAATATGAAGTCCCGCTGGACAACCTTCGCGAGTATGTCACGTACAAATCCGATCCGTCTTCACTATCGATGAATCTTCGTTCTCTAGATGTTCTCTTCGAATGTTACAACCGCCGTCATGGAGGTAACAACAGCGAGTATCACGTCATATTCTCATGGTTGTATAGAATGGGCGACGATTTCCTAGAAGCGATGGAACGGCATGATGCCGTCCCGCTAGTCATTTACGCACATTTTCTAGTCCTGATGCACGAGCTGGAGCGATTCTGGTATATGGAAGGATGGACGTTGCATGTTCTGAGCGGGATATGGGAGACTTTGAGGAACGAGGACCGTGTGTATATTAGATGGCCATGCGCCGCAGTGGGATGGATACCCCCAACCTGAGATCAGCAGGCGAGCTTATGATGAACCTGTAATGATATTCAGTAAGGCTTTACCAAGATGCTGCAACTCGCTGATCTTATTCAATGGAGATATAGCTTTATCAAATATATCAACTGCGGCATTGCTTTCTCGCATTCGCTTCATCAACGTTTACATTTTCGGTGAAAATTGTGCCGCTTCAAAACGGTCACTACTTCTTCATTGCAGTCCGTTCTTTTCTCAGTATGAACACGCAGACCATCCAAGAGTTCACAATTGTTACGAGGTCTGAAGCTCAACGTTGCTTGTGTGGCGAAGCTTGTGTGGCGAAGACTACCAGAGACGGAGAGGTATGACTCGATACAGTCAAGCTATATAGAAGAAGTTGCACCTGGAATGTGCCATGTCGGAACATTCAATGTGCGAATGGATGGACAGGGGAAATCGATATCACGTGATGTCTGCCACATGCTTTTTTATTTCACTTCGTTTATTCACGCACTTTTAAATGCTCGTCAAATATCACTGCCCTCTGGGACCCATATGCTGTACTCCACATAGGATATTACATGTGTCAACTGCCCAGGTGGTATTCAATGCTGTCATGGTTCACCTACATATGTAATGTTAGCCCCAACAAGATGGTCGGCAGCCGGAGCCGAACAGCCGAGCCGAGGCATCGCGTCTTCCCCTTCACCTTTGACTTGTCACATCAACGCCCACAAAGTGTTTGCGCAAACTGCTCGAGATGGGTTCAGAATCCCTAAAATCACGCACACGGGATGACTACAAGTTCCATCTGGAGTACCGCACGCGATGGAGCGACAATGACATGTACTCACATATGAACAACTCCGTTTACTACTACCTGTTCGACTCCGTCGTGAACGCCTATCTAATTCAGCACTGCGCCCTCCACCCACCTACATCACCTCAAATCGGTCTCGTGGTTCATTCGCATTGCGACTATTTCGCTCCGGTTGAATTTCCTGCGGTCGTCGGCCTAGCCTTACGCGTGAACAAACTCGGCAAGAGCTCTGTCACTTATGAAATCGGCGTCTTCGAAAGGGGACAGAGTCCAGTCAGAGCTGTTGGTGAATTTGTACACGTCTTCGTCGATAGGGAGACGAGGAAACCAGCTGCGCTCGGCATGGCCGATACGCTGAAGGATGGCCTGAGCAAGATCGCGGTGGATAAGTCTAAGTTGTGAAGATAAGCCGCATGTTGGTGAAGTCCACGCAATCAAGATCGAATGCGCTATCAGATCCCGAAAAACGCCTCGCAAAATGAAGCCTTGATGCTCTACGCTTTGCATTCAAGAGATACGAGCCTCTATCCGTATACGTTTGCCGGCGATCATAAGGCCCCCCAACACCCAGCCATTTCGTGCGCGTCAGATCTGGATCACGTCACTTGCTCAGGTTTACTTCCTCTCATGGTATCACATTTCAAGGGTCTAGTCAATTTTGATTGCTTACGACCAGTTGCGGTTTGAAACGGTGTTTCCAATATCGTGACCTGGTCGCTCACAACCAAGAGTCGGATGCGTCTAGCTACCAATGGCTGGATATGTATGGAATCCAACTCACGTATTTTATACTATAATGTTATCCTCATTTCACAAATCAAAAATAGATTCATGTCGGCTCAATATGGTGACAACGTTGAAAAGACCTCTGGTGCGCGGATTTACATTGGAATCGACATCGAGTCTTCACTCCCTCACATGTCACCAGCATATGCTGGAATGATATATACAAGCCGTGGAAAAGGTCGCTGCTTACAGCAGAAGCATTGATAGAACAAACGATGTTTCGAGGCATGTGAAGCGAGAAGTGGCGCTTGGGAAGGCTGAGTTGGACTGATTCAGCCAAGGCGACAATCCAAGCTGAAAAACAGATCGGCCTAGATTGGACCAGGCTATTAGAGTTTCTGCACAAGCTTCGCGTATTTCTCGCATGGTGAGCAGGCGAAGTCTTATTTTTGGCTCTTAGGCGTGGGGGCGGCTCTTATTTGGAATGCTAGTCGACACTGCCAGCATGTGGCTGAATATTGTACCGTGGTCCCTCGTGTCATCACTACGATGAGGCGACTGAGCAGGCCGCCACAATGAGCTATCAACTGAAATTTGGCCAACACATCATGCAATAGCCATAGCCAACAACTTGGGCGAGCTTTGGGTTTCCTGTCATTCGCCTGATTGATGCTCTAGTTTAGCCCAGTATACACTGGACATCGGAGTAAAACGCCACACAGTGTCTCGGTTCCCCTCAAATCCTACCCAGATGTTGGTGATAGCTGCCTGAAGCCCTGCATAGATGTCTGGAAAGATCGAATGCTGTTCTAGTCATCTCTGTCTATGCGCCTCTCTCCGCAGTCTAGACGCTTACTCTCTGCAGGCAACCGATGAACCACGACTATTACTATGTCTCAAAAACCCGTCACATGTGTATATAAACCCATAAGCGTTTCCACAAAGGCCTGTCTCCCAGTTCCCTTTCTTCATATACTCCAAGTCATTCGTTCTCGTATCTCACCATGCGTCTCTCATACGTTGCTTTTTTCGCCTCTACAGCCACCGCTCTATCGTTCCCTCATGTCTCTTCTGTCACTAAACTGTTTGCACGGAAAGGCGGCGATGATGGAAACGGGAAGTGTCCAGCAATTTGGGGAACCATCTCTAAAGATCTGACATCCAGATTTCTGACTAACGGTCAATGCAACCCAGACGCCAGAGCAGCCATCCGTGCAGTCTTCCACGACTGCGGGGCATGGAACACCGCTCAAGGAGCCACTGGTGGCTGTGATGGTAGTCTTGCTCTTGCACCCGGAGAAATCGATCGAGATGAAAACAAAGGTCTTGCCAATATCATCAGCACGCTCAAAAATCTGGCCTCTCAATACAAGGTCGGCGTTGCAGACATGATCGTCTTCGCGGGGAATCACGCAATCGTCACTTGTCCAGGCGGACCCCGAGTGCAAACCTGGATCGGCCGCAAAGACTCTACCACACCCGCACCGAACGGGCTTCTGCCAGACGTCAACGCCCCGGCAGCAGACCTCTCAGCTCTCTTCACCGCCAAAGGCTTTAGCGACCGTGATCTCGCTGCTCTTCTAGGCGCTCATTCTACATCTAACCAGTTCAACTTCGACACCTCAACTTCCAACGTCGGCAAACCGCAGGACTCTACTCCTGGTATCTGGGATGTCAAGTACTACTCCGAAACTCTGAACCCGCCCCAAGGCGTTGTCGTATTTCCATCCGACAGCAAGCTTGCTAAGTATGCGGGTGTCGGGAAAGAGTTTAGCGGGTTTGTAAATAATGCTGGGAAGTGGAATGGAAAGTTTGCCGACGCCATGGCTAAGATGGCATTGTTCGGTAGTGGGGGTAAGACGAGCGGTATGTCGGACTGCACTGATTCCTTGCCTAAGGAGACGAATGCAAAGAGGGAGGTCAAGGCTACGAATCCTTTTATGCCGAGGAATTGATTCGACGAATGCACGATTCTCTATTCGAGGGGGAAAGAATGCGATTGACCAAATTCTCGGGAGGTATCTTAGAATAATTCGGCACGTGTCGGTGTATCACATGAGATGATACAGTTTACGGGGCCCGTGATACTCGATAGTTGAATTGGATTGCTCTTTACGTTTCCTCATTCTTATTAAATACGATTCGTCGCAATCCCATAGATCATGGAAGGTTAACGCCGTGGAACAAACTCTGTATTTCTACATTGGTGCTAGATCGGACAAAACCTTTCACTCTCCTCCATGATCACGTCCAGAAAGACGTTGCGTGTCTGCCTCCACCAGCTTGTTCTGTTCGTACCCCCCAAGCATTTCATTACCTCGCTATGACAGAGACTTCTTGCAACCTCCAATGCGGTGTATCCCTTATATCCATCACGGATTTCCTTGTTCGCGCCGCATTGCAGTAATCTTTGCGTTACGACGACATTGCCCCTCCAAGCAGCGTAGTGTAAAGCGGTCATCCCAATGGAATTCTTTTCGTTGACATCGATGTTGTATCGAACAATCAGGTCGACTAATTTTGGGTCTTGTATTTTGGAGTATGCGAGAATATGCCACACCGTTGAAGCGTTCTTGGGTGTTTTGTTCAGGACACGTGTATCGCCGTTGTATTCTTCGATGAGCAGTCGTGCGGTAGTTCCAAGGTTCTTGAAGATAGCGTAGAACAGAAAGTTGTCAAATCGATCAATTTTCTTGACGACATTAGCACCATACGAGAGCATCGTGGAGATGAGTTCTTCGTTGGCGAGGTCGAAAGCTATATGGAGTGGCGTTACTCCTTTGTCATTCGACTTCCCAGTCCTCGCGTGACTTTCGAGGAGGGCAACTGCAGCGTGGATTTTATTCTTGGAAATAGCTTCGTGCAACGGTGTGTTCCCATCATTGTCAGGAATGTCGGTCGATGCTCCATGTGCTAGTAGCATAGGAATGTGCCAGCCGATCATGTCATAGTGCCTTACAGCCGCGTGCAGTGCGGTGATCTTACTACGGCCCAATTTTCCATTAATGGCACCACTGGCTGTTAGTAGCATGCGTACATGCAAATTATGTTCGCTGAAAAGTGCATATTTCAGCTCTCCGTCCCCAATTTCCACATTGCGATCAATAAGCAACCTGAGTAGGTTCAGATCCAGGCATTCTCCTGCTTTATCAACGATCCTCGCACTGCGCTCATCAATATGGGTGTTTATATCGGCACCAGAGTCGAGAAGTATTTCGACCATTGTGTCAACATGCGTCAAGACACCGAAGTTGGATGTAACCCATCTCAATGCTTTAGAAGGGTCTTTACGGTACGCCCGTGAGCTCTTGAAGCCTCCTTTCGCCAGTTGATCGAGTGCGATGATTGTAGCTTCCTGCTGCGAGCCGGTGAATTTAGACTTTTCTATGTGCTTCTGAATCAGTTCATCGTAGTAGGCATGGCCTGGATAGGGTGGGAGTGGGTTTTCCACAAAATCCTTGTTGATGGGATGGGTTGGAGATTCAGTATATGGCGGAAATATGCGAGGATTTTTCTTCAGGCTTTCATTGTAGGGCAAGTAGTCGTTGCCGATGGGTGTGCCACATGGAGAATTCACGTCGCGCTGGTTCTGGATTTCTTTGCAGCCAGCACATAGGCATTTCTTGAAGTGAGATAAGTCCGAGTAGCTTAAGCTATCATCGCCATACACTTGAAGATGATTCACACAGGTGCAGCAAGGACCACTTCTGGCAATCGCGTGTCCGGTCTTCTCTACCGAAACTCGAAGGCAGCATAGTTCGCAACAGCACTCCCCAATGGCTTTACCCTCCGTAAAAGACCAAGCAGAGTTAGAATCCCACCGAGAAAATTGATGGTCTGGGGTCTCGCGCAGAACTTCCGCTTTTAGCAACTCCGTCCTTTCGTGGTTTTCAGAACGCATGCTTAACTGCAGTGGGGTGGCTTGGTAGCAGTCAAGAGTGTTGATGGAGGCTCCTTTCCCAAGCAGGAGACTGACTGTTTTGGCCGTGATATGTCTACTAGCGCAAGCCGTATGCATGGGAGTTCGATTGCGATCGTTCACTGCATTGGCTTCATCCACGTTAATATGTGGAATAATCACCTCCGCTGTCCTTGAATGACCACTTCGCAGTGCCATGTGAAGAGCTGAGTCTTTGCGAAAATTTTGCTGGCCTACATTGATTCCATTCTTGATCAGAAATTTTGCCACTTCCGACCGATCCTGCGAAGCTGCCTGGATTTATTCTAGTCAGTAAAAATGACGATAGGTGTGTTGCAACACGCAGCATTTTTGTTCTTGAAATACACGTACATAGTGTAGAGCCGAATTGTGAAATATTGTAGTCTCATTGACTACGTTTGGCTTCTGCTTAACGACAAGCTTGATTACATCTTCAGCCAAGGCGACGTTACTGAAGTCACTTGCAGCCAGCAAAATCGTAAAGTGCTTTTGATCAGTGACTGATTTTTCGTTCAAAGCAAGGACGTACGACTGCCAATTAAGATCTTTACGCTTGAGTTGTAGCAGTCGTCTTTCGAAGTGTCGACGATTTTCGAGGAAAATCTTTTCTAACTCCTCCAGAATCGCAGGTGTAGGGCGAGAGTCAATTGCTGAATAGAGAACAAAGTTAGCGTGGTTGGATAGCAATCCGATCGGCATTTCTTCCGATTTCCAGAACATCGTTTTTATAGACACGCGGTCGCGCCTCGACGATCTTTTTACCGATACAGGACAGCATCGAATGTTCATATTTGATACATTTGCAAAACGTACCTGATAGGCCAATAGTTGATTTGGTAGGATCAACTCTGCTCTCTTGTTCTCCGACCACTTCATTCTTCGGGTGCCGCTTGTGTGCCATGTTGCGTACGACGTGTTTAATCTTGGCTTTGTTCCTTTCCTCCATTACTTCTCCGTACTCCGATTTACTATGTGACACTGTAAACTTTTCGTTCTCAACCTGAGTCAATGAATCGACACCATCTTGTCCGATTTCTTCGCGAATAGGAATCGTGTTTTCAGTCTCATCGAGAGTCCACCGCTTTATTTGGTCATCTGAATCCAGTGCGGTCGGTTGAAAACTTAGATCCAGGATGTAACTAGGAATCTCATTCAAAACGGGCGCATCATTGGTAATCAACGCAGGAACGTCATCCATTTCAGGCAAAGAACCCGGCGTCTGTCTTTCCAATTTATCTGCCGGCTGCTCCAGGATAGGTTCCGCTGTGGATGGTTTGGGGGTGAGCATGGCTTTGGATGACATGGTTGTATTCTCACTGATGGTTTGGGCAGTCTCGAAGATCTCGTCCCCTGCTACGGAGCCTTGCCACGACGTGTCCTCAGAAGGAATATGTTCTTCGAAACAGCACATTTTGCCGTACCCGGATAATTTGCTTTGTTCTCCAGAAATCTGGTCGACTAAATCCTGGGCTGTGGGTCGCATGGTAGGCTCAAATGCTGTCATCGCATTAATCCAGTCATGCAATGCGTGATGAGCGTCACCAGAGACAGAGCTTAACTTATCAAGCCAGATCTGTATCGCGTCGTGATTTAGCCAGTACGCTGCCGAGGGTCTGTGTAATGATGCGAAAAAGGTCGATTTGTCTTGCAGCGTGAAACCAGCAAGGATAGTCTGGAATCGTCAACAAAGTATACGTTGTCGAGCCTACGTCTACTCACGGCTACTTCCAGAAAAACACAGCCTAAAGACCACACATCAGACGATTTGTCGCGAGGCGCATGCTCGACAATCTGTAATATTTTAGAAAAGCGCGAATTCAGTTGTTTTGAACGCGATTGCGTACCTCTGGAGCAATGTAGAGCTTGGTGACCGCATCTGGTGGGCCAGCAGTGATTTCGCCTTCAGGATCAGTCCAATGTAATGCAGTCCCAAAATCGGCCAGTAAAACTGTTTCACCATCTGGAAATTCGATCAGTTTAAAAATTTCCTATTTCCTGGGTGTCTTACGTATTAATATGTTGTGAGGCTTGATGTCTTTGTGGCGGCATTGTTGTTCATGCAGGTAGGCCAAGGCAGAACACAAGCAACCGACAAATGAACGCAAGACGGCCATATCACCGGGGCCAAGATCCTTCCTGAGTAAATAACGTCTTAGATCCATATCAGCGACTGGTTGCATAATTATGGCGATGAACTTTCGATCCGTGTAAGACCTGTTGATTGATTAATTAATTCGGTGAGGTGACGTAGATTTTGATCCGCTGCGAAGACACGTACCCAACGAACTCTACAAGATGATGATGCGAGAGCCGTTTCAAGTTGTTGACTTCATTTTCAAAAGACAACAGAGCCTTACGGTCCTTGAAAGCTCCACTTCTTGGAATTCTTTTACGCTGCTTCAGTTAAAAACTACGCAAGTTATGAGACCTTAAGAATACTTACGGCATACTCTTGAAGCGTGAATTTGCTGCGCACTCTATCAACAACACTAAATCCTCCGGACCCAAGTTTCCCTACAATTTTGAAGAAAGTATCTCCACTTTGCCCTGTAGCTAGTAAGCGATGGATTGGGTATCTGCAACGTGCTTAAATTACCAATAGGTAGATGGCGGTGACGACCTCCTCTCACAAGATCCGAAGATTGAGGGCTCAGAACATATTTTTGCTGGTCAAGGAAGCTACGCCTTGAGCTGGCAGACTTCAGGACTTCGGGCAGAGTGGCCTCGGTATACGGGAAATCGATGTCTTTGTATCTGAAACGACACATACAATGTCAGAAGAGCAGCCGTATTGTGCTTTGCTTAAAAGTATACGTACCCCTCAAAAATGAACGAATCCATAGCCTTGACTTCCCCCAACAGTCTAAGAACCAAGTATGTTCGAGGGCGCTCACCCCATGTTGGCTTCCCAACTGCATTCAACATAGTCGCCAGCTGAGAGATAACCTCCTCAGAGAAAGGCCTATTTTTCCCCTTGTTATCGGTAACCGCAGAAGAAAGCAATGCGTCTACCCTTGTTTCAAAATCCTCAATTGAGAGAATTGCGCTTGTAGCCAGGTCAGAGCTTTGTGCGAGAAACGAGCTTTCACCTGCCGAGCTTGATGTTGACGGCGTGTTCAAGTGCCCTCGTTGCGGAGGATCAAATGGCGTGAAACCTGGTGGAAAGGATGCTTCCGATACAGGTGAACTGGGGTACTCTTCGTCTTCCGGGGGTGGGGATAGAGACTCTTGGCGCATTATAGCAGGCCGTGTCTCGTCAATATTGAGCTTCGAAAACGACGTTCGCGATGTGATGAATTCCAGTTGTATGGTCGCGCGGCGCTCTAATTTCTTCGATGAGTCGTGCATGCTCTTCATTCCTTCCAGAATCTCAGTTTGTTCTTCGTCTGTGGGTACCACCTGCCGAATTGTGATCTGTTGCGCGATGGAATCGATTGCCTTTTGAAGTTCGCCGATTTGGGCCTTCAAGTCGTTTGCGTGCTGGTCATCCCGCTCAGCTATCTGCATTTGCTTACATCTACATATTGCGTCAGCGAACCCTAACACAATCGATCGACCTTTCTTACGTTGTCAACAGCTGGAAGGCCAACTGAATAGAGCTTTTGTAGTCTTGAAAATTTCTCTTATTCCGGTCAATTTCGTCGAGTCGCCGATCCAAGCGCCATGCTCGCCATGTCCGCTTCATGCGATTGGCATCGATGTCCAGCCCAAGATCTGCCAATACTTCTAACAGTTTCTGTGCGCTGTTTAAACATCTTTCCAGGGAGCGCTCGAGGCTGTCGACGAGGTCTACGTTGGGCACGCTGCGCACGGCGTCCGCAAAGCTCTTGACGCTCAAAAGGCGATTAATGTTCTTGGTCAACTCGTAGATTGAATCGAGGTCAGACTCTAGTTCCCGAAGAGTCCTATGCAGTGTTTTACCCTCTCTGTAGGCTTTTCTAAGAGCCAGTACAGCAGGTCCGAGGATTTGAGCGACCTGGAGAGAAAGACTGGCCAGGCTGATAGGGTCGACCATGGCGCGCGATACTCGTTCGGCGTGCGCGGTAGTTCATGGGATGACTGGGAAACCACGAGCAATGAATTTCGAGAGGAAAGCGGCGATTTTGAACTCAGCCGTCTCAGCCAGAGGCTGGGTTGATTGGCCTTTGGCAGTCATGCTTCAAACCCAGGGTTGCTGAATACGAAGACGGGTGGTAGAAAACGACATTGATTGGAGTATATTCAGTACAATATCTAGGCGCCGGAATCTAATTGGCTGGTGAATGAGGGGTCATGCGTTCCTGTACAGAGATAATAGTGAGAGCATACCGCAAGGCTGAGACAGATACGAGCAACCCTGTTCTTCGCGGGATGAGGGGAGCGGCAAGCGAAGTCCGGCACAGAGCACGACTGTGAACATATCACTATCTCAAAACTTCGGAAGCATCATGGCCACGGTCTTTTTGACTTCTAACTATTTATCAGCTCATTAGATATCTCGTGGATTTGAAGCAATCGTGGGACAATGAGATCCGGCATACATTTGCCATATTGATGAATGTTGTCGAAGTCGAATCTACATGTATGGGTGACCTTATGAACTGAGAACGACAATTGATGATGAGCAAATTGTGGGCATAGCAATTCAATCTAGAACGTGTGGGTCAGCCAAAGAATCACATGTGCGAGACATCGATTGATGGAACATTCAAAAGGTCGATGTTGGAATGCGACTGAAAGGCACGTGACGCCTACGTTATGTTTTTAACGTTCGGGGGTACTTGACCATAACAATTAGCTTAGACTCAGCGTATGCTGCATGCAAACTCTTCATTGGTCATTCGAGAGATTCCTTCACAAGTCACTTAGTGATTTATGGAGTTGATCAACGGCAATATCTGGGTTTTAAACATTTGAATGCTTCTGGGGTAGTATCCGTTTTCGGCACTAGCGGCTTGGCAGATGAGGTGCATCATCACGCCGCAAGTCAACACCAAATAATTTTCTTCGATTCATCCCAAGACACATTGACACTCCCTCAAATTGGCGCTCTTTACCCGCCCTCTTGTCAGTCTTGCTCGCAAGAGCTGCTTGCCCGGGCTTGCAAAAAGAATACAGCAGCAACACGAACGACGCTGTATCGCCCTCCTCGCCGCCCCAACCTCACCACCACCGCCGCCCCCGCGCGACCGGTATCCTCCGATGCCTGATGACAAGTTTCCCTTCGTGGAACCACCGCCCGTGATGATCACGCCCTGCGATCCTTGGCCGCCGCCATACTATCTCGAGGATGGCCTGCGCAAAGTAGAGCCGTATCACTTCACCTACAACACATATTGCAAGGAGCGATGGCGGGGGAGGGAGCTCCTCGACATCTTCGCCAGCGAATTCCGTGATCGTCCGGCCGCATACTACGAGAAAGCCATCATTGAGGGTCGCGTTGTCGTGAATGGCAAGCCCGTACCCTCGACGAACCACATTATCAAGAATGGCGACATGATCACGCACACTTTGCACCGCCATGAACCGCCCAGTACCGCCCAGCCCATCGGAATCGTTCATGAAGATGATGATATGATTGTCATCAATAAACCTGCCGGACTTCCCGTCCACCCAGCCGGACGTTACCGCTTCAACTCGATAATCGAGATCATGCGCGCCGATCGCAGCAAAGGATGGAACCCGCTCCCCTGCAACCGCCTCGACAGGTTGACCAGCGGCATAATGTTCATTGGGAAGCATCGTCAGGCTGCCGAAGAAATGAGCGCCCAGATTCGTGGCAGAACGGTCAAGAAGGAATACATAACCCGTGTATTAGGAGAATTTCCCGAGGGCGAAATCGTCTGTGAGAAGCCCATCCTCCAGATCAGCCCCAAGCTTGGCCTCAACCGCGTGAGAGCGAACGGAAAGGAAGCGTTGACCGTCTTCAAACGAATGGCATACTACCCGCCCAAGGACGACGAGGAACAGCCCCAGCAGAAAGGTGGCGAAGGAACTGGTGAGCCCAAAGGGATGGCCTGGAAGAATATGCGCGGCTACTCCATTGTTCGATGTTTCCCTGTCACCGGACGTACCCACCAATTACGAGTACATCTGCAATTCCTGGGCCACCCAATCTCCAACGACCCCATTTACGCCAACCAGCGCGTATTCGGTCCCTCGCTTGGCATGGGCGGTACCGAAGACGAAAATGAAGAAGACATTATGAGTCGGCTGGCTCGCATGGGAAAGGAAGAGGTCGCGGATGCCGTTGCCTACCACGACGAAATGGTGGACCAGTACAACAAGAGAAAGGCGGAAAAGATGACCGGCAAGACATGCGATATTTGCGATACACCACTATATAGCGATCCTGGCGTGCATGAGCTGGGTATATACCTCCACGCTAGAAGATATTACTGTCAGGATGGTAATTGGGACTATGAGACGGGCCTGCCGGACTGGGCACTTCCTCCACCAGGCTATGAGGGCGCCACGGAACCTACTCAGGAGTCGGACCCCTTGGCTATCGATTTGAGCAAACTGGGATTAGATGATGGCGAAGACAAGCCTGATGAAAAGACAACGGCAGATGAGGCATCTCAGCCTGCATCTACAGATGAGCCGATAGCGGCATCCGGGGCTGCGTGAAGGATTATAACCACTTCAATATCTCGAACAGGCACTTGTGTGATAGAAGCATGGGGGTAATTCTCTGGATTACAGGACAGTCTACGCTACAAACACCTCATATATTATGCGTTCAATCTCTACAGGAAGCCAAAACAAGACTACGACTATACGCTTGCAGCCATAATGCACCGCGCCCGCAGTGTGAGCATTGGGTATCATCGCAGTATACAACGTGTTGCTTGAACGCGCAATCCAACTTAGATGGAAATGGTCAATCAGGTGCGGTGAAGGTCGATCGACGCGCCGCCCTTCTCTCCACTCTGCAGCATCGCCTCCAACCACTCCAGATCCCCCAGCGCTTCTTCTGGACTCTGCCTCTGGTTCGCCTTACCCTCCTGCAGCGCCTTGCCCCACGCCGCAATCTCTTGCTTAACGCCGTTCCCCTCATCTGGATGCTCCTTTACCACCTCTTTCTCCCCATTCTTCTGGACCGTGACCTTTCCTTTCGACACCGTCACGACCCCCTTTTCACACGCGAACGCGTACTCACTCCCACTGAACGTAGTGCCAAAGGACAGCGATATCGTTCCCGAAGAACCATTGCTGAGCTGTGCCGTCGCATCCACAGTATCAACAGGCGGCAAATGCTCTTGCAACTGCGCCGAAAACGCGGCTGTCTTCACAGGCTTCACGCCTGCACCCCCCAACACCAACCTTGTCGCGGCAATAAAATGCACGCCCCCATCCAACAGAAACCCGCCCTGATACTCGGGCTTCTTGCGCCATTCCGTCTCGTAATACTTTCCACCCGGCTGTACAAGGGCGTGCACGCGTACGCGGAAGCCCAATATGCGACCTAGACTCGCGATTTGCTCCGATGCATAGATGTACGAGTCGAAGAAGCGGAAGTTCTCAGCGATGCTGAAGGTCGGGCCAGAAGCGAAGTTATCGCGGTACCAGGATGTGAGTTCGACGGCGGTGGCGACGTCTTTTGCGATGGGCTTTTCGGCGAGGACGTGTTTCCCTGCTGATAGCGCTTTGCGAATATAAGATGGTTGAGCGAGGATGGGTAAACTTTTATTCCAGTCTTCAGTCAGTGGTGCATTTAGTGCTTGGGGGGAGTGAAAGCTGTACTCCATGATGCATGTACATGTATACCACATACTTCGCGCGTATATAACGAAATAAACATAAAGACTTACGCAATAACCACACCCCCAACATCCTCCCGTGCCAGCAACTCATCCAATCCCTGTCCCTCTTTATCATCCCCATACACTTGCACCTCGCCTCCCTCAACCCCTTTCTCCTTCGCTAGATGAGCGAGATTCTGCGCCCCCGATGACGTGCGCGAGTACACTGCTACCAATCTCAATGTAGAAGATGCGGAGAGGATGGCCGGGAGGTGTTCTTCGCGGGCAAAGATTCCGCTGCCGAGGAGCGCGATGTTGATTGGCGCCATCTCCCGTGTTTTCGTCTTCGTTCTAGGTCTGCTATCGTTCGCGAAGATTCTTCTGGACGTGTGGTGGTGGTGGTGAAGAGAAGAGATTGTTATAAGAGAGGTGGAGGTTGGGAGGTGGGGTAGATGACGTTTTATTATACTTGTACTTGACTACATACGTTCATCTACCTCCACCGGAGTATTTCAGTGGTAGGTAACGTCGCTGGAGCTATTCTGCCGGTTGGGTTCAAACTCACCTTCTTTCTCTTCGAGCTTTTCAGTCTTTCTTCCGGTGGGTATGCATGCGGATTTTATGATGACGAGGGGTTTGCGAATGGTGATTGTGAGCGGTTGTTTCCGCGGAGCTTTGTGGGATGTGATTGGCTGCATACTTACTCACTTACTACATCTTGTCTCTTCTATCCAGTCTAATCCACTCCTGATGTAAACACGCAGGCCATCTCATCTTTGAAATTTTATATGAATGGTCATCATTTGACCTGTTTTCTTGTTAGTCTGCTGCTTGACTATAGCTTATGCTGTTGCGTCCATGTCGCTTCCGTCCTCAGGAGACTCCCAAAGCATCATGCTTACTTGGTAGCTTGTGCGGTTATATCTCCAGACAGACGAGACCAGGTAAGCTTTGACATGCAAGATTACTTCATGTACTGACATTTCAACAGGGATTATATTAGTTTCGAAACAAACACTAAGAGTATCAGTGTATAAGCGCTATTTAGCACCCGTTAACAGGGTACTCGCTACACTATACTAAACTTATAACACTTCCACAACATCGAGGTTCTTACTACAAGCTTTGTACTTGACTTTTAGGCGTTTGATCTCCAGTAGTTACGAATAAAAAGTTCATAGAACAAAGACAAAAATTATATTTGGCAATAATGGATAGGTCGCGTTGTTGAATCTCTTATCTGGAGATCGCGTATGTGTTGCATTTTCCTATAACACATGCACATCCTGCAGATATGAATCTACTCATCCACCTCTCTCAGCTCACAGGCCTTCGAAATCAATTCTGCAGTGCTAGAAGCTCTCAACACGCTCTTCCAAAACCAGGCTATTCCCTGTTCTTGAACAAGATTTCACCGTGGGGGTCTGGAAACTGGTTAGTCTGGAACAGCACCGTCTTTGGCCTCCCCTCGCCATCTTTGAGCTTGAAATCGTATTTTCCGAGGAGATGGGCAAGAATGAGCTTGACTTGATGGCCGGCGATGTGGCGTCCAGGACATGCGTGCCGGCCCAAGCCAAACTGCATCTGCTCTTTGGAAATACTGGTCAACTGGAACTTCTTCTCGTTGTCGGGAGACGCGTGGCGCAGGTTGTAGAAACGCAGGCCGTCGAAGGTGTCGGGGTCCGGGTAGAGCGTGTCGTCGAAGTTGATGGCGTTTGTAGGGATGAAGACGGTGGAGCCCTCGCGGATGGTGGTGCGGTCGGACAGCGTGATGTCTTTTTTGGCTTGGCGTTGGAAGGTCACTGCGGCTCGTTAGTGCTGTGGATATGCGGGAGGGAGCGAGCGGGTGGGTTTAGGGGATGATAACTAACGGGTCAAATGGCCACTGTGTCGCAGCGTCTCTTTGATGAAACTGTCGAGCTTCTCCAGCTTCGCCATGCTATCCATTGTCCACTCCCCACCGACCTCTTCAAGGGTTTTCTCAAGCTCCTCTCTGATCATAGGCACGTATTGGGGCCAGTTAGCTAGGTTGAATATGCAGTTGGTTAGCAGCTGGCTTGTTGTGTTCACGCTCAGGGCAGAGAGGATGAGCTGCAGGATGGCGTGCAAGTGAGGATCGTTCTTGTCTTTGGGGTCACTCGCGTCATCGCGAATCCATTCAATGGAGTCGACTGGTTTCTTGACATCGCCCGTCTTCTCACGAGCAACCCTTTGGGCTAAGATAGGGGCCAAGAGTTCTTGAGCTCGACTATTGCATCGCCAGACGTCGCGAAGCTCTGGAATGAAGAATTGCACGGCCGGCCGCAGCAGGGGATGAAATACTCTCAACTTTGCTGAAGACAAGAAGATGTTCCTGGTATACTGGGCCGGGTAAGTAAGCGAGGAGTGAGCTTGGAGAAAGGGGATCTGTATACGCACGCTTGCACTGATTTCAACCCAATCATTATTTTGATCGAGCCCATTCCCCACCAAGATCTTCGTGTTGATCCTGCTTACGAGTCTTAAGATGCTGGGGTAAACTTTTACGGTGGTCCAATCTGCAGAAACTTTAGCCTTGGCCTTGGCCTATCATTTCGAGGTACTGGAAGGGCGGTACCTTTGCAATCAGGGAATTCGGTGGGGATCAGATTATCGGCCCCCTGCTTGGCATCGGTAAACATGGATGCTGGTGTCGAAATTTAGTCAACTAAAGCAGCCGCACAAAAGATCGAATGGAACTAACGCAAGTGCTTAGTGAGGTCTTTGTGGAGGCCTTTGTGAACATAGTTTAGTTTCCAAGACTCGACAGGCCAAAGATATGGGCCTATGAAAAACTGTAAATCGGCCTTAGTCGTGAACAATTAGCTGTATAGGGATGGTTACGCACATTTTGTAGGGCTGATGGAAACTTGGTGTCTGGTAGCATCTTTAATTCGTCCAAATATCGTGCGGGAAGAGCGAGTTGGTTCCCTTGGCTTGTCCATATCTTGAACGGCGCGTCACGAAACTATGCAGAGGTCAACGCTCTATTCTAGCGATTATGTGGGGAAACGGACCTTTGAGTATGCTTCCCGGAGCGCATTGGGGTTGTCATAGGACCATCGCTTTTTGTAGTTGCCCAGTCCAACTGTCTGAGGGGTATACAGCGGAATCGAGTCATCCTCACTCCTTGAAAATTTTCGGATGTATATGAACAGAATGGAAGTGAAAAATGAAGCGACAACAACAAGTGAAAGATGACTTGTCGATGCCAACAAGTCTTGCAGAATGCTGCTATATGCCATTTTGCAGGGAAGGCTCTTGGATGTTTTCTTTTCTTGGGGGATAATAGGAAAGAGTTGCTGGACGGGCAAACTTGAATGCTGTCACTTGGGCATTGCAGCAATACAACATATCTCTTGAATGGTATGTACCTAGGTACGATGCAGTGTTTCCACATTGAGATAAGAACTTTTGTGAAAACGATACATGCACGTTGTCTCGGTGCCCCCACGTATGGTATCAGCGATGTCACCGCTTCTTTCGTGCGGTATGTGCATGATCCGGCGCCCAGGGTGTTCGTTTGATGCGTCTATATGCTGACCTGCATCCTTCCTCGAACGTGGAACGTGATCGGTGTAGTGTATGTACATGTATGAGGTTGAACGCAGCTGTGGGTTGAAGCAGCCAATTCGCCGTAACAGACATACATCTGACCCCTGTTCTAGAAGTCCGAAGTCGATAGATTGGGAGGGTGGTGCATGCAGATGCGGATGGTGGTGTGCTCGTTCAAGGTCACGTGATGATTGATGTGAAACTCATGCACATGCAGATTATTGTATCATTGTCAAGGATCACGAGTGATAAGGCCAATAAAGTCGTGAGAATACTTGTAGTGTAGGATCACAGAGTAAATGATGTGGGTTTTGGTAATACGTAGACGGAAATTAAACAGCAGAACTGGACAGAACAAAGAACAACCGTGGGTAAAGACAAGACAACACCCGAAGAGGGAAACGCTGGGGTGGCGAGCATATTAATAATTCAATCAACAAGCTTCAGTGCGTAGCTTATATCCGCTTCAGCTCCGTGCACAGACTCGGCCCGGATTTGACGTGAAAAACGGATTCGGGACGCGGATTGCGGGTTTGGAGATGTGAATCCCGGTCCGTTTGCCCCAATGTTTGCATCACGTCACGTCGAGCCATCCAGCTATCTATCTTCTCGCGACTGCAACTATCCTCTTGGCGAGCAATATTCTCCATCGCAAGGACAAGTCTTGCGGCAGCATCAATTCTGTCCACCACAAAGCACAGGCAGCGACAGGCAGACATGGACAAGGCCAGCCATCCCGCAGACGCACCGCCTGCATCGTCAACGGTGCCTCAAGGCAGTGATGTCGACAGCAACCAACACACTACCGAAACAAAGCCACCAGTTCAGGCCGTGCAACCGCCTGCTGATGCCGAGACGAAGCAGCCGGAATGGGCTACTGGCCTCCGGTTGCTCAATATCATGGTTGCCATAACTTTTGTATGCTTCCTGATGCTGCTAGATGGAACCATTGTCGTCGCAGCTGTACCTCGCATTACTGATGACTTCAATTCCCTGAACGACATCGGCTGGTACGGGGCTGCCTATCAGTTGGGAAGGTATGATGATACCCTTCCTGAGAACATGTTCAACCAATTCTTGAGATTGATGACTAATTATATTGCAGCGCGGTATTTCAACCGCTCACTGGGAAAGTGTACATGAAGTTCAAGCCTCAGTGGACATTTCTCGGCTTCTTCTTCATATTCGAAGTTGGTTCCTTGATTTGCGGAGTGGCCACGTCCTCGGCCATGCTGATTGTAGGCCGCGTTGTGGCAGGAATTGGAAGTTCGGGGATTTTGAATGGTGCCCTACTCATCATATCTGAATGTGTTCCGATGCAGAAGAGACCAAGTAAGTTGCTGACTATTCCTGGTGGTGGTTGAATTGACTAATATTGAATCCAGCTCTCATTGGCATCGTCATGGGCAGTGAGTTGCTCCCATCTTGAACTCACAGTCGCATTCTCACAAGTACGCAGTATCTCAGCTCGGATTGGCAAGTGGTCCTCTTATCGGTGGGGTTTTGACACAGTACGCTACATGGCGATGGGGTGAGTGAACTGCCAACTACATAATCAACTAATAGCTTACTGACGGTAAAATCGCAAGCGTTCTACCTCAATCTGCCCGTCGGTGGTCTTGTGGCCATAATGCTCGTCTTCGTCCGTGTTCCTCTACAACACCCCCGACCACCTCCCATGTCTGTCCTTCGCACATTGCATACGAGCCTCGATCTTTTCGGCTTCGCGATATTTGCCCCGGCACTCATAATGCTGTTACTCGCTCTGCAGTGGGGCGGCACCACGTTCTCATGGAATAGCTCGACGATTATCGGTCTTTTTGTTGGAGCTGGTGCAACCTTCATCCTTTTTCTCGTTTGGGATTATCGCAAGGGTGACGCAGCAATGATACCGCTCTCGATAGTGAAAATAAGGACTGTCTGGGCGAGTTGCCTCACGTATGGGTTGCTCGTCGGCAACCTGTACATTGCATCATACTGGGTACCGGTCTACTTCCAAGGTGTCAAGGGTGCCTCTCCAACCATGAGCGGTGTATATATCCTTCCCATGATCCTGGCGCATGTGTTTGCATCTATGCTATCAGGTCCCATCGGTAAGTCCATCTCTTGTCCTCTAGGAAGAAACCCTTCTCACGCGATTTTAGTCAATGCGGTCGGATATTACATCCCAGTCGCTCTCTTTGCAGCAGTCTTGATGTCTGTGGGGAGCGGACTCATATCTACATTTTCTCCTTCTACCCCGACAGGTAAATGGATTGGTTACCAGATCATCTACGGGGCTGGCCGTGGTCTTGGTCTACAAATGGTATGTCGCTTAGCCCCTCGTCACCAACCCATGGGACTACCAGATTTGCTAACTCGATCCGTCTTACAGCCGATCCTCGCCGTCCAAAACACCGTGCCACCCCAGCAAATCCCGATTGCCATGGCCTTGACCATTTTCAGCCAGTCCTTCGGAGCAGCTGTTTTTCTAAGTTTGGCGGAAACCATCTTCAGCAATAGTTTTCGCTCTCTCATTACCACATACGCGCCGTCGGCAAATGGTGAGGCCGTCATTGAAGCCGGGGCAACTGGGTTCCGTAAATATGTGTCCGGTGACGAGCTTGCTGGCGTCTTGTTAGCCTATGCCAAAAGTATCGATCGCGTCTTTTATATGGCGGCGGGTATAGGGGTTGGAGTATTTGCTTTCGCATGGGGTATGGGATGGAAGAATCTTAAAAAAAAGAATGTCCCTTCCAAAGCGTAGACCGCATGGGACTTCGGCTCATTTCAAAGTTTTTATGCGCTTGATTTGTAATGGTATTAGCATATGTAGGATATTAGGTCATAGGGTCATGATCCGGAATCAGGAATTGTATCATGGCTAAGAGAATCGGCAGAGAGTATGGCTGGTAATGCGAAGCGCATAAACTGTAATTATCTCTTAGAATGAATGTGTCACAGCCACTGCAGCAAGCAAATTGATTGTTTTGTGACATTCGCCGCAAAATAAATCTCTAGCCCAAAAGAAAAGACGTCAGATGTTATGAGCCGCGGTTGTTTCTCAGTTCATGATAGTCCAAAGAACACTTCACACGAGGAAAAACATGGCATGAACAGGAAAAGTAGTTGCGACATAAATCTCCAAGATTCACTCACGACCATACTTTTATGTTGAAGAGGATCGCATTGTATAAGACCTATCGCTATGCGCCTATCAATGACTTCCAAGACTCATAGCTTCCTCCTTCTCAATTCAATCTCCGCGTCCTTCGGAACAACCACCACAAGCTCCCTCATCTTCCTAAGCGCCTGAGAGTTCGTTTTTTCAGCATCCTTAACTCGAAAGTCCCACTTGCGCAGAAGCTCAATCAACAGTACCTTTAATTCATAATCCGCGAAGAAACGTCCGGGACAGGCGTGATTGCCATAGCCCCAAGTCAGAGAGTCAGGTGATGACGTCACAAAGAGATGCTTGTTCTCTTTCCCGGGCATCTTCCGCAGACGATAGAATCGGAACCCATCAAACTCATTGGGAGGTTTGTTCTCTGGTGGATTGTACTCCGGGGAGAAGGTTTGAGATCGCGTGGTTGTGTGGGCGCTCCTCATGTCGAACGCTAGTCGGGTTCCCCTGGGAAGTTTGTGACCGGTGGAAAGGGTTATGGGGTCCATGACCATGCGTAAGCAAGTGACTACAGAAAATTGATTGAATTAGAGATATTTATGTATGATCAATTGAGAACATGTGTGTGTTGGAGGTACTTACTGCCATTTTTGGATAGCCGGGAACTTTCTTTCATGAAGCTGTCTAGTTTCCAGAGCTTCGACAGGCTCGACGGTTTGAACCTCAGAATTCCACTCTCGTCTTCGCGAACGTCGTCCTCCCGAATAACATGATCGATCTCGTCACGTAACGGTTCCGTATATTCGGGTTTTGTTGCCAAATCTAGTAGTATGTAGCAAAGTGCATTTGTAGTCGTATTAATGGAGGCAAAGGATACTGTGTTCGTAAAATAAGTTCAAGTTGAGAATTTGGGACACTAATTGCAGGAATACGCTTACAGCTTAATTGAACCCTCGCAATAACCTCCGCATCCGTACTATTCAGCCTGTCCAGCACCCATGACATGAAGGTACCTTCAGATTTCTCGTCTTTGGAAGCCGGTCGTAGCTTTTCCTCGTCGTAGATATGACGTTCAGTACCAGCGTTTTCCAAGACACTACTGCTAATGACGGGTTTTAACATCTCCGCCATCCTGGTAATCTGTCGATTGGTAGTGCGAATTTCCGGAAGAAAGTGTCCCACAAAAGGTTGACTCCACGTTGGCCATTTCTTGATAGCATCCCTGGCGTAAACCAGGTCTGTGGCGAGACCAAGCGAGAGATTGGTCCACTCGTCATCCAGGACGAAGCGAGGGCCAACAAACACACCAGCCACCAGTCGCGCAATCATGCGTACGGAAACTTGGTGCACACGGAACGATTTCCATTCTTGAGAAGTGCCTAGTTCTTTGTCAAAGACCCAGCCCATCTTGTCTTCTATCTCGTTGACGGTGTCGGAGATGTTTCGGTTCAAATGAAGCCGCAGTGCTTGATTGAGTTCCACGTTGTGTTGAAAGATGCCAGTGAACTCTGCACACATCTCCTTCTTTTGAAATTCCCAAAATGTGGCCTTTGTTTGGGGTACGTTTTTGAGTTCTTCATAGCAGCATGTTGGTACAATAACGAGGGGTCGTTGGGTTGGCACAATGAAGGGACTGTCTGGATACTACATGGAGATGGCAAAGCAGTTAGAGAGTAAGACTACCCCAGATCTCTAATGGAACATACTTTCATTGTACCTTCCACCATAGCTTTTTCATGGTCGTCTCCATATCCAGTCATCACTGGTATGCCTTGCAGCGGTTCAGCTCGGCGGGATACCACGAATGAGACAATGGCGAGCAGCACCCCCACACCGCATATGATGAGTCGCACATCGATTTCTCTTCCCGTGGCATTGAAAATTTCCATTTTGATGAATTGCAATAATTGCTGGCTCAGCGACCCGTATGCAACAATTGAACTCTGGCAAGAGGTGAAATGAGGTAGATGCGGGATTCAAACTCCGTTGATTGCGAAATCCGACGTGCATCAAGCTGGAATGATGATCCTATCTGCCATATAAGTCCGCGTATTTCTTCCCCAATTCGTATCTCACATTTCGCATCTCGCCCGCATGGTAGCAAAAGTCGTTACTAGTGGTCTGAGCGAAGGTTGCCTGACCGGGTAAAAGTTTCCCACAGTGGAGTGGACCTGGAATCCCACGATAAGCCCATATCTGGGGGATTTCCGTCAGCCATGCCGTGCAACCCACATACTGCAGGTCAGCCTGAACAGGGGCTCAAGCGGGCCGTCTCTTGGTGGCCCGATATTTACCTGATGCTTAATTTGCTACCCAAGCTTTCCGGTACGTACCGCCCCGTATTTTCTAAGCGAGAGATAATGCAGTCGGCCATGTGTTGGCGCAGATCCCTCTCTGTCAGACATGCATCCTACGGCCTTGCGAAATTTTGTGAGAACCTGGCGTCATCGTACAATGCAGACCCTTGTGGATATTGTTGATGTACCCCGAGTCGTGTAGTGCTGATCCGGTTCCGGCTACTGGTGTTCCCGTTGTTGATTGATTATCGACGCTGCATGGAATGTCAGCATCAGACCTTGTGTCTGAGATTGCGGCTTGCAACCAATATGTCACTGGCCAATAGAGCTCATCAGATTCATCCTCCTCCCTTAACGTATACGTACGAGTGCAAGACACTATCGTTACGCACGAGATTCTCGATGCCCTGGCTAATAATGTCGATTAACGGTAATAAATGAAAGGATACCGAAAGCAGTCGTTAGTAAGTTTGGAATTCTCGCCGCGTGGCAGTGCTTTACGGTCAACGCTGGTAGATCCATCTAATCTCGGTAGCATGAATCAAGCACACTCTAATTTACAGAAATCACAAGTTTTCATTAATCGAAGTAGCAAACTTCCGCTTCAAATTACTACCATGGCCCCGAGCAAACTAGCAGCGTTCGATAGAGTCGATTTTGACTACAAGACTGTCCATGGCCAACCAATCAAGACCAGTGTTCTTATACCAAAAGGTCTGCAATCAAAGTCTAGAGAAGCCCGTCCTACGATAGTAAACTGGCACGGTGGTGGATTTGTTGTAGGAGACCGTTTGTATGAAGGCTGGCTTCCCCAGTGGTATGTTTACATACATCCCTCCAACATAAAGTTTGAAAACTTGTGCAAGAAGTTGGAGCCTGAACGTTGACCACTGACTCCACCCCACAGGCTTCTTGATATTTGCCATACCAGCTCTGCACTGTTCATCGCACCCGACTACCGTCTTCTTCCAGAAGCGACCGCTGCCGAAGTTCTCGAAGATGTCGAGGACTTTTGGCATTGGATGCGCGACGAACTTCCCACACTCACCTCAACCTGGAATGCCTTCCCAGACCTCGCGCGCGTGGCATGCACTGGCCAATCCGCTGGTGGATATCTTGCCGTGCAGTCTGCCCTTCTCTTCCCCGATCTCTCCAATATCAAAGTGATCGCATCCATGGGTGGTTCACTGTGCACAGATATCCCTGAATGTCGAGTTCCCGGTCCCAGAGTGATTCTAGGGAAGCGCCCTCCCCCACCGGGGAAGGCCGAGAGCATCATCCGTGCATATATGAGGAACATCAAGCCGCAAGCGATGAGGACAAGTGGCGACGTCATGGAGATGTGGAACTTCTTGACATGTGTGTTGCAGCAGGCATATCTGTCTCGCTGGCTGAGAGCCGGAGGAAAGAAGGAGCTAGACGTGATGAAGGTACTGGGAGACGCGAAAGCCTTGCCACCAAGTGAGTCATCTGCAGATTCATTACTAAAATCAAGAAAAACAATTCTCTGACCCAGCGCTCCTTTTTAGTTTGGTTACTGCACGGTAATCAGGATTCTGTGGTATGTACCCAAGCAAACAGCTTCAAAGAGAGTTTATTATTGACAATTTGCAATGCTAGGTTCCTCCGAAGTGCTCAACTGGATTCGTGGAGGGGCTGAACAACAGATTTCCAAGTTCTCCAGTTCTACTGACACTTCGAGATGGAGATCATGGATTTGAGGCTTCAATTCGTGGAAACGAAGGATGGATCCAGGAAGGTGTTGAGTTCATCAAAGGTCGTTGGTTGCAGGAATAGATACTTATCTTGTTCGCCGACAATTGTCAAATCGACGTGAGGAAATCGCTCTTGCTAGGGCTCGGTGACTATGCGATGAGCTTCATGCTATTTATATAGAGCTTTTCATTCACGCAATATCACTCTGTGTAGATGTGGGGACATAAATCAAGCGTTGTTTGGTCCTAATGTTGTGCCGGGTCTCTTTCACCGCGATGTTTCACTCTTTTGATAAGCGGGTCTTCCTGATGTTTCCATATAACATCCAGAGTGTAATATAGATCACAGAAAATTGAGGAATCATGTAACTATTTCGGCGACGTACGACAGATAGCTACCACTTAATCAAGACGGAAGTGAGCATCAAAATTATGTATCTAGGTGTTTGAGAGCACTCGCAAAATCCTTCAAGAATAACCATTTCCCCGCTTTTGCCCAACCTTTCCCTAAAAACTCGTCAGCGTATTGCGGGAACACGTCTATGACAGAAAGCAAGCTAGAGTCATGTGCAATTACAACCAAAACTTCTTCTAGTCCGTCCATTTCTTGCAGCTTGACTATTGAAGCATCTGCTGCTTCAATATTGTGAGCCACCCTAGGTCCAGTCTCAGGTCTGGCGACTATGAAAAATGGCTTGGTCGTGTCTTTTTCCGGAAGAAGATGTTCAAATAACTCTCCAGGACATGCTGCAATGCTGTTCGTATCGAAAGGATCTGGGGATATTGTCGAAGGCAAAGGATTTTGAGCAGATGGTCGAAACTGTCCAGCGTGATGAGCAATATCACCACCCATGAGTATGAAAGAGTTTGGAGAGGAGGTGACCCTGGCCAAACCACACATGTGACCTATAGCATGCCCAGGGCTGTCCAAGAGATAGAAAGAGCCGTCGCCAAAGTAATCAAAGGCATCAAAGCTTCCAATCTTGAGATTTTGATCGAAAGCAATCTCTCTGATCTCGCGCCCTTCGTAGTCGCTTTCAAGTATGCGCCCATTCTCGTCGGCAGGGTATCCTGGCAAAAAGTTGTCTACAAAACCGGGTCCGACAATAAGAGCGGTGCTCTTTTCGAAAGTGCTTGGGTCTCCGGTATGATCCCAATGCCAGTGGCTCCATATAATACCTTCGATTCTAGACGCGTCTATGCCATGCTCTTCCAATTGCTGTCGTACACCTTTCTTGACTCGCGGAGTAATTTTCATAGCCTCAATTCGTCGGGTAGTCACGGGAGCCAAGTTCTTCCAATCATTTCTGATGCCAAGATCGAATAGGAGCGATCGGGTGGAGGGATGTTCGATTAAAAATGAAAAGCTGGGGCCCGACAACGTCTCCAGGCCGGGAAATTGAGGAGACAAAAATGGGGCTGCTGGAAGATTGTCGATATAGGATGTTGTATCGATGATGCGCACGCGAACGGTAGTTTGTTCTGTGGGCGTCATGATTCCGGTGCATGTAAAGTTCTGTTACGAGTCACGTCAAGGTAATTACCTAGTTTCCTATCAAGTGATGTCTTTCTTTGCCAAGTCGGTATTTATTACGTGATATACGAAACAGAATCGTTAACTTGTATTAGCACTCGGCTGCCGGACCGGGACGAGCAAGCGGCACATTCAGGCGGGTTCGTGTAAGTCGCACTGCCAAGCTAAAAGGCAACTAAACAGATAAGCCTGCTAAGCTACACGGGAAGGATGAGAGGCTTAGTGCTTAGGCGCGTAAGCATACAGTGTGCAGGCCTTGGCGACGCGAGGTGTCCAAGAAAGTTTGAAGACCGAACGCCAACTGCATATAAAAACTTGGCGTGGGATCATACAAGTACAGCATAGGGTGCAACGCTAACCTCATACTCACTATTTTGCGAGCAATCCCTGACCATCAGGGTCTCTGATCAACATCAAGCACACAAATCTGGAAAGTGGAATTTGATACTGGAACTCTTGGAACGGAATAGAACTCGTTTAGCCTGACCATGAAGGCGGCTGTCGAAGCGAACGGACATGCAATCTATCTGCGACTGTCCACTAATATCCTATAGCTATGCATGACCGCAGCAACATAATCAGAGTTTGACAACGTGAGTATCATGTACAAGTCCTTACAAGTCACTATCGACGAGATAAAGTCTTACACGTGCGAGAACGAGCATTCAAACGATCATCTCCCGCCAACACATGACTGAAACCTTAATGATATCATATACGATCTAGATCACTGAATTCAAGCGGTCAGCATACATGCATCACTCCAAAAGTTGAAGCTATGGAACCATTCGCCTCTATAACGGTAAAAGATGCATGCAAGAGAATGAGTGCATAGCAACTCGGTGACATGCCATCCAGAATTATCCCGTAGGATCCTGTCTTCATGCATTCGCAGATGGTATCTCTGGCGTGTTGAATCTAGAGACCCCGAGTGGTCGCCTAGATCTTTCCGATACTCTAGAGGGTTACGTACGAGATATGGAAACATCGTGATGATCAAACAGAGGGCGCAAGCCAAGCTACCATTGTCTCCACAATCTCTCCTAAAATGGGCATTTGCTGATACGGCAAGATAAGAACGTGGGGAGAAATCAAAACGTACCAACACCGTGCATGGACTCAAGCTTGAGCTTGTGTAGATATGTTGAGATTTGAGCGGGTATAGGGTTATCATGTACTTGGCATAAGTGAGCTGATTAGAAGCGCCTCTGCCGTTTGTGCAATTCTTAGTCCGATTGTCTCGACCAGAGTATTCAACTACATCTTGTCTTCATATCAGTTCGCATTGTCTTCAGAACTTCTGACCCTTATAGAACCTTTTTTCTCTCCAAGTCCTATCACTCGGTGACTTTATACAAACAATGACTGCCTCTCATGGTGAGAATGGCGTTGCCAATGGATTTTCCAATGGCAGTACCAACGGTCACACGAATGGACACACGAATGAACAGACCAATGGACATACCAATGGACATACCAACGGTCATACCAACGGTCACACCAACGGCCACACCAACGGGAACATCAAAGCCTCGTCCAAAGCAACCAACGAAACACCAGTCGCCATATGTGGTATGGCCATGAGGCTGCCCGGCGGTATACGCAACGAGAGAGATCTTTATGAGTTTCTCTACAACAAAGGAGATGCCCGTTCCACTGTTGGTGAGGATCGGTATAACTCAGATGGATACTACAGTCCACATGGGCAGAGTGGAACCATCAACACCAACAAAGGCTACTTTCTGAAAGACCTCGACTACTCCAATCTAGATCTCTCCATGTTCAGTTTCAGTGCAGCCGAGGCAGAGCAACTAGATCCAAACCACAGACTGGTGCTTGAGGTTGTCCGAGAAGCATTTGAGAACGCTGGGGAGACAGGATGGAGGACGAAAAATATTGGTACCTATAGTGGTCTTTTCACAGAAGACTGGCAGGAGATGGCACATCGGGACAACCAAGATTATAATGCACATCGCGTCTTGGGCGGCACTGACTTTGCACTTCCCAACCGAATTGCCTACGAGTATGATCTGAAAGGACCTAGGTGAGTGACCTTCATTGATGATCTACATTGCTACCGAGTAGTATGACTGATTATAAAACAAAGCATGGTGATCAAGACGGCGTGTTCGTCCGCGGGTATTGCTTTGCACGAAGCCCTGGAGGCGATTCGCGAGAACAAAATCACGGCTGCTGTCATCACAGGCTCTAACCTGATCATGGGTACGTATGCTCTATGATTAAGCTCCAGATAGATCCTCCTCTGAGACTCCCTAATTCGCACTTTATTCATCGAGACATTGCGGAATGTATTGACTGATAGTCCTATACTCACAGCTCCTGGATTGAACATAAGCTTGACACTACTGGGATCTCTCTCGCCTGAGGGATCTTCAAAGTCATTCGACGCTTCAGCCGATGGATACGCTCGAGGTGAAGCTGTATCTGCACTTTATGTCAAGCGCCTGGACGAGGCCATCAGGGATGGTAATCCGATTCGGGCAGTCATCCGATCATCAGCAACCAATGCGTACGTATAAAAGCTTCCAAAACTCTCAGATACTGACAAAATTTTGCTTTAGTGATGGTCGATCTCAAGGAATCACAATGCCGGAAGGCGAAGCCCATGAGCGCCTAATTCGCCAAGCCTATGATTCTATAGGACTAGATATGTCAGGCACTGCTATGGTTGAGGCGCACGGTTAGTCTTTACCCGATGCACTGGTGCCAAAGACTCGTTTCATTGGCTAATTTATGCGTCTATCAAGGTACTGGAACGAAGGTTGGTGACCCTATAGAAGCTGGGGCAATCGGTCGGTGCTTCGGGGCGGATGGGGTTTACCTGGGCGCCGTGAGTACAACAATTTTCTGCAATCACAAACAATTCCTGATGATAGAAAGACAAAACCGAACCTGGGTCACAGTGAGGGTGCTGCTGCCATCACCGGTATACTGAAGGCTGTGGTCTCTCTCGAAAATCGCACGATTCTTCCGAACATTAAGTTCAACACACCTAATCCAAGAAGTATGCCAATTTCATCTCGCGAAAGATAAGCAAAGTTAATTCACACTAACTTTATCAGTTCCGTGGAAAGAGCTCAATCTCGTTGTGCCTGTTGAACCAACTCCGTGGCCGGAGAATAAGGCAGAGCGCATCAGTATAAACTCATACGGAATTGGTGGCTCGAATGTACATGTAAGTCGAGTTCCCCTACTTTTTCTCCTTTATATTCATACCACACTGGCTAAATTATATTATTAAGTTCGTCGTTGATTCTGCTGCTTCTTTTGGCATCCAGAAACCTGGGAACACCCCTGGAGCAGTTGCATCCGCCCAAAAGTCCCCCAAAAGCCTTTTGCTGTTCTCTGCAAGCCACGAAGAGTCTTTGAAGCGGGTTGCTGAGAACATCTCGACATACATCAAAGACCATCCTGAGCGGATCCATGACACAGCATACACTCTTGCTCAACGACGAGAGCATATGAAACTCAGAAATTTTGGTGTATTCAGTGGCTCGGAGGAACAACTGGAAATATCTGCCCGTGTAAAGTATCAGGGCCCGTCTCAGGTAGCTTTTGTTTTCACCGGCCAAGGTGCACAATGGTGAGTAGTGGTGCAACACTGGACGATCTTTAACAATGCTAACTGCAAACTAGGACCAACATGGGCCGAGAATTGATTAAAGACTATCCAAGTGTTTTGAAGAACATCCGCTTCATGGATGGTGTTTTGAAGAGTCTGAAGCACGCGCCATCTTGGTCCATTGAAGGTAGTTATTTCACCCAAAAACTATCTCTAATCCGCAAGAACTCTAACTCGAAGCCAGACGTACTACTTCACTCCAATGAAAAAGGCTTGCTCCTGCAACCTGAATTCTCTCAGCCGCTTTGCACGGCATTGCAAATTGTCCTAGTAGATCTACTGGCTACCTGGAATATCCATCCGTCGGCAGTTGTGGGCCATTCAAGTGGCGAGCTCGGCGCAGCCTACGCTGCTGGTGCACTGACAGCAAAAGAAGCCCTCATTGCTGCATTTTACCGAGGACAAGTATGTAAAGTCCCCAAAAAACTGGGTGGCATGGCAGCTATTGGCCTTGGAAAAGAGGACGTTCAGCCTTATCTCGCTTCCGGGGTTCGTGTAGCTTGCGAAAACAGCGGGTCGAGTGTAACCATCTCGGGCGATCTTGACGTTCTGGAAAAGGTAATGTCCAATATCAAGGAGGCATGGCCAGATACTCTCGTCAGAAAGCTTCAAGTGCAGGCGGCTTACCATTCACGTAAGTTTCCTCCAAGCCCCAAGAGTAATCTAGCTGACAAACCTAGACCATATGGCTTTGGTTGGTGATGAATATCGGGAGCTCATCTCCGAGCATCTCTCACCTCTTCCGGCGAAGATACCATTTTATTCCAGCGTAAAAGGCAAGGTCCTTCGCGAAGCTTCGCAATTTGGCCCCCAGTACTGGCAAGACAACTTGGAGAACCCTGTATTGTTTCATTCCGCCACAAGGGCCCTGCTCATTGGATCTCCGGAGAGCACCGTTCATTTGGAGGTGGGACCTCACGCCGCACTAGGAGGTCCCCTGAGGCAGATCTACAAGGAAAATTCAGAGAACATCAACTACATCTCTGCTCTTGTGCGTGCCAAGGATGACACAATTCAGTTTCTACAGGCGGTCGGTCAACTGCACTGCCAGGGCGTGAACGTCACTTACCCGCACGAATCCGAGGTAGTTGTCACTGATCTCGCACCATATCCCTGGCATTATGAGAAGCCTTATTGGTCCGAAACCAGAATCCAGAAGAGCTGGCGGTTCCGCAAGCATCTACCACATGATCTTCTTGGTCTCCGAATTATTGAAGGGAGCGATCTCGCACCTTCCTGGCGAAACGTATTACGAACATCCAACGTCCCATGGCTCAACGACCACTGCGTCGGAGATGATACGGTGTTCCCTGCAGCAGGCTATATTGCGATGGCTGGTGAAGCTGCTTTCCAAGTTACTGGCGTCCGCGATTATACAGTGAGGGATGTTGAAATCAGTAAGGCGCTCGTTCTCTATAACGACAAATCTGCCGAGCTGGTCACGAATCTGCAACCCCACCGCTTGACGGCCAACTCGGATAGCGATTGGTATACGTTTCAGGTTGTATCTCACGATGGAAACACTTGGAACAAACATTGCTCTGGTCTGGTTCGCAGCGGTCGCGCCTCTCCCTTTCCTCCAAAGAGCACTGACAGCCTTGATCGAAAGGTGTCCTCTCCACGTTGGTATACTACTATGTCCAGAGTTGGCCTGAATTACTCGGGCAAGTTTGCTCGTCTGTCAAACATTGCTGCAAGTGTTGTCAAGCCATTTGCCACAGCTGAAGTAGTGGACGAACGCGAAGTCGGCGAGTCCTCGTACATGATGCACCCGTCCACCTTGGATCTTGTCTTTCAATCCTTGACGGTTGCCAAGGCCCAGGGTATCTACCGATCCTTCAACACCCTGTTTCTTCCTACTTTTATTGAGGAGCTATACGTCGGTGATGGCACCACTAAGGCCATTCAGTTCAACACTTCGGCCACAAGCCAAAGCGGTAGTGTCCAAGGAGATTCATACGGCCTTTCGGATGGCGAATTTGTATACGCTCTAAGAGGTTTTAAGGGCACTTCCATGAGGAATGCTGATAGCGAAGGTTCTTCTTTGGCCAACACTACTCTCCAGCTTCAATGGAAGCCCCACGCTGAATTTCTCCGAGCTGAGAACTTGATGCATTTGCGGTCAGATATCCGACAGGTTATTAAGATTTGCGAGCGACTCGAAGTGCTTTGTGCAATCGAAACGAGGAATGCTATCCTGGGTTTGACACCTGCGCAAGGCCAGCCTCACTTAGACAAGTATCGAACCTGGTTGAATGCAGAGTACGAGAGATACCAGCGACCGGGATACCCTTTGGTTGAAGACTCCAATGAACTTGTTCAGATGGATCAAGCCGCACGTCAACAGCTCATCGAGGATGTCCTCAAGCAATGCGAAGATGCTGGTGCTTGGGCCACTGCAAATGCAATCTACCGGGCTTATGTAAACGCCGCTGATGTTTTCCAAGGAAAAGTCAGCTACCTTGATATTCTGCTTCAAGATGGCGTTCTCACTGGTGTTTACAGCTGGTACAACGATATCTGGGACTTCAAAGACTTCATGCAGCTTCACGGTCATGCGAAGCCCCAAATGAAGATCCTCGAAATTGGAGCTGGCACTGGTGGTCTGACGTCCAAATTTCTGGAACAACTGAAGTCAGATCAAGGTGAACGCCTATATCTCAAGTACACGTTCACCGATATTTCCTCTGGTTTCTTCGTTCAAGCCAAGGAAAGATTCAAGGATTACGAATCAATCGAATACCTCGCTCTCGATATTTCCAAGGATCCTCTAGACCAGGGCTTCAACGCCGGGGAGTATGATCTCATTGTAGCATCCAACGTGCTGCACGCGACTCCTCTGCTCCAGGACACACTTACCAATGTTCGGACCCTACTAAAGCCCGATGGACAGCTCTTCATGCAGGAACTATGTCCTGTGACTCAAACAATGCAGTTTGTGATTGGGCCATTTGAGGGTTGGTGGCTCTCTCAAGACCCCGACCGGGCCGATTGCCCATTTCTTGAGCCGGCAGGATGGGATAAACGACTCCGTGACGCGGGTTTCTCAGGATGTGACTCTGTCACTCTAGACTACGAAAAGCCCTACACTTGGGTTGCCAACATTGTCGCGAAACCATTGATCAAAGAGATTGGTCCCCAAAAAGTCACTTTGCTTCAGGGCAAAACGGAAGACTCGCTCATCACGAAGGTCCAGGATGTCCTTCAGAAACGTGGGATCGGCTTCGATATTGCCAGATGGGGCGAAGATCTTCCTCCAGACCAAGACATCATTTCATTCGTGGACCTTGGAGATAGAGTGCTGCTTCAAGACATTGGAAGTGATGATCTGAAGGAATTCCTGAAACTAATCGACTTGTTCCAACAGTCCACTATACTCTGGCTCATGCCTCCTGCCCAGATAAACTCCAAAGACCCATACGCTGGCGAGATGGTTGGTGTGATGAGAACCATCCGATCTGAGCTTGCTGCATCATTCGCTACCCTTGAGCTGGAAGATGCGAGCACCGGCGCTTCTGAGGCTGTGGCGGACGTTTTCAAAGTCCTACAAAGATCGAAAGATAGCGATGACGACCTCGATATCGACATGGAATGGGCGTGGGCAGCCGGCTCATTGAACGTTGGTCGCTTCCACTGGATTCAGATCGATGAGGACCTCTGCAGCGTCGCAGAACCATCAAAATCAAAAGCTCTGTCGATTGGTACTCCGGGATTGCTGAATACTCTCGAGTGGACCAATCACACCATTGGCGACCTATCAGCAGACGAGGTACTTATCAAGACTAGCGCTGTTGGACTGAGCTATGGTGATATCTTGATTGCTACCGGAGCGGCCAGCGGCGAGGGCGAAAAATCCAATTTTGGTCTTGAGAATGTGGGGAAGGTCCTCAAAGTTGGCTCAAAGGTCTCGCACCTCAGCGTAGGTGATCGAGTCATGAGCATTGGAGCCGAATCAGCTGGCATGGCTACCGTTGTGACCAGGCCATCTGAACTTTGCATCAAGATTCCAGAGCAGCTCAGTGACGAAGAAGCCGCCACGATGCCATTTGCGTATGTCACAGCTATGCTGTTCCTTGTGGAGAAATGGAAATTGTACGAAGGCCAGTCCGTACTAATTCACAGTGCTGCTGGAGGTAAGTGTCACAGATTTCCATTACTTTCATCCTTACTGACATGACTAGGGGTCGGCATCAGTGCTATCAATGTAGCGAAGTGGGTCGGCGCTAAGATCTTTGCAACTGTTGGCACTGAAGAGAAGGCTTCCTTCTTAGTAAAGGAGTTTGGAATTCCCAGAGAACGAATCTTCAACTCCCGTGATGGCGATTTCCTTCAGGGCATCTTGGATGCTACAAATGGCCAGGGTGTCGATTTGGTGCTCAACTCACTCGGAGGTGAGCTGCTCGCTGCTTCATGGAAGTGCGTGGCGCCCGATGGCGCTATGGTTGAGATTGGAAAACGTGACAGTAAGTCCTCTACTTGAAGACCTAGGATGAGGGGAACATTCCCAATGCTGACTTAATTTTCAGTGGCTGGCCGTGGCCAACTTTCTCTAGCGCCCTTCGAACAGAACCGAACGTTCCTTGGTGGCGATGTCATCCGATTCATCATCAATAACAAAGCTAGAGTGGCGTTTCTGTTGAAAACTCTACTGGAGCTCTATGTAAATGGAAGCATCAAGCCTCTTCCTTTCCAGACATTCGACGCGACTCAAGTCGAAGAAGCCTTCAAATATCTGCAGAAAGGCACACATGTTGGAAAGGTTGTCATCAAGTTCCCCACGGAGGACACACTTCCTATGAAACCAACTCGACCACTACCCAGCTTCCGTAGTGATGCCACTTATGTCCTCATCGGTGGTCTGGGTGGCCTCGGGAAGGCAATTGCCCATTGGATGGTGTCTTATGGTGCTCGAAACTTGATGTTTTTGTCACGGTCCGCGGGTAAATCCCAGGAGGATCAGGACTTCTTCAAAGAATTGGGGCTGATGAACTGTGGGGCGCAGTTCTTCCCCATCGACATCGCTGACGTGGAGGCGCTCAAGGGAGCAGTCTCCCAGGCGGCCTCCCCCATTGCTGGCGCCATGCACATGCCGTTAGTGTTGGCCGACAGAGGAATATTCGACATGGATCTCGACACATGGAACAAGCCTATCAGCCCGAAGGTTTCAGGTGCATGGAACTTGCATAACACTCTGCCGAAGGATATGGACTTTTTTGTTCTCTTCTCATCTGTTGCTGCGACGTACGGATATTACGGACAATCAAACTACGCGGCCTCGAATTCTTTCCTCGACTCGTTCTCGCAGTATCGACATGGCCTCGGTCTAGCCGCTTCGGTCATCAGCATTGGCCCCATCGATGATGTCGGTCTTGTGGCACGTAATACTTCCACCAGAGATGCTCTTCTTCACAATCTGGCAAGCTTGTTGACGGAAACCTACTTCTTGGATTCTCTCCATCTTGCAATTGCCCGCTCCTCTCCGCGTTACGCTACCGATCCAAAGCTCAAACGATCGCCGTTTGATGTTTACCAGGCTCCTAACCATATTTTCCACTCAGCGGAGTCAGCAACTCCGATTCAGGACCCAGAGAACGGAATTATGTGGAAGCGCGATGCTCGTATGGCCATTTATCGGAACATCCAGAAATTCTCCACGGTAGAAAGCACTTCATCTGGGAGCCAACTGAAACAGTTTTTGTCCACTGTAGCCAAGGAGCCCAGCAAGCTGGACCAGAAGTCTTCGACTGATTTCATTGCCAAAGAGCTTGGACAGTGCATCGCAAACTTTCTGGGCAATGATGAGATTGAGCTGTCTCTTCCTCTTTCGTCTGCTGGTGTCGATTCATTGGTGGCGATTGAGATTAGGAATTGGTGGAAGCAGAACTTGGGTACCGATGTTTCGGTCCTGGAGTTGCTTGGTGGGGGTAGTATCGAACAACTGGGCGCCACTGCTGCTCAGCGTCTGAAGGTCAAGTATACAAAAGCGTAGTCGGTGTGGACGAGTGGTTTACAATGACGTGTAAACGGCTCAACCACTATAAGGTCGCATGGGTGTCTTGGAATTTCTTAGTAATTCGTTAGTCTAGTCGCTGTGAAAACGGTGCGATCCTAAGTACTGGGTGTTTCTTCAATATAGAGGTATCGCAATTGCGTTTTCATTTTGTAGTGACCTTCAAGGCTCGTGGGAAGGGAAAATATGACTTACTGTCACGATATCTGGCTTGTTCGAATGTGTACATACTTACCTGCGGCCTGGATCACTTGCTGGACGTGATGATGCTACTCCCCCTTCAACCGGTCCATCCATTCAGAACTTGAACATGCGGAGAAAATTATGATGTGTAAACAACGGGCACATACCAGCCCACTGCGTCCTTTCAAACCATAGATATGTGTGTTGAGAGTAGCGCTCGAATACTCATTCAAGCCGAGTATGTCGGCCGAGGTGCTGGTGAAGTATGTCCCTTCCCCGCTTTTCTAATCTCACGGATATTAATTCAATAGTTCAAGATGAATGCCTGAGACATATCTACGTGTCATATCACGACATCGAGGTTTCGTATTAGTCGATGATAGGGTTGTCACAAATCTGATTCCTATTATTCTACTAATATTGGCCTGCACGGTTCTTTCCAGTCAGACCCAGAGTTTTGCATCAGTCGGCTTACGAAGGCCATCCACTACGGCTTTACAAGGACTTTCCCGGTCGTCTTTCGTCCCTGCAAGTCCTGGTGAACTTGGACAATGTCTGACAGCACATAAGTATGATGGATCTTGACGTCGATCTTATCTTCCTTGATCGATTCCATCAGCTTGGAACACCAGAAACCAAACTCAAGTCCCAGATGTCGCATGACTGCTGTCTCGGCGGGTCCAACAAGCCTGATATTCTTTGCGGCTAACCTCTGCTGAGAAATAAATCCAGGAGCTCCCGACTACTACAGTCAACACAGTTCTTGGTTCGAAGATATAATAGGGATATGAGACTTACCGCTGCCCCGTAAGTAATGATCGACCCGTTTTTGGCTACGAGATTCATGTTGTTTTCAGTCTGCTCTCTGCCGATTCCATCAAACACTACGTCTACCCCGTGTTGACCAGTGATTTGTTGTATCTGCTCAACAAATTCCGCCTCTTTGTAGTTCACGATGTATTGAGCACCTCTGTCCTTTGCTAACTGCAATTTCTCGGGAGTGCTGGCTGTAGCGATGATCTTAACCCCTAGAGGGCTCAACAATTGGCACAACCATGACCCTACGCCTCCAGCTGCCGCATGCACCAGAATCCAATCCCCCTCTTTAACCTGAGTCACCTTGTGAATTAATGCTAAAGCCGTAAGACCTTGCATAAGGCTAGCGGCGGCGATACCAGGTTCGATATCCGCGGGAAGACGATGCGCCAGTGGAGCCGGTACAGCGGTGTATTCAGCATAAGCTCCCATGGAGAGCCAACCAACTCGATCTCCAATATTCAAGCCTCGGTGATTTCCTGGGCCCAAGGCAACAATTCTTCCTTCGCCTTCGCGTCCGATGATTCCATTTGGGGCCATTCCCATCATACCCATGCGCCAATAACTAAAGTCTGTGTCAGATTTTGCGAATCAAGGACAAGACGTAAGGGAAGAACACTAACACGTCAACGAAATTGATGCCAATGAATTCGTTCTGAACAAGAATTTCCCCATCACCTGGAACAGGGACTGGAAAGTCCATCTTATACTGCAACACTTCAGGTCCACCGGTTCTGCGCATTTGCACGGCTTTCATGACTTCTGGAACTGAGTTTGTAGCCATAGTAGAGTTAAATCGGGGTTGAGGTATGTGTGTTGCAAAGTGGATAGTCAAAAGAAGACTACGCCTCATGGAGTGAGTTAACACCAAGGTGGGCGGGGTAATTTGGGCGTAGGCGATGATGGAGGGAACTTACAGCTTAAGTAATAGCATGAGTGTCGTAGCTGACTAATACCCATTTGAGGGTGAGGTTCATCATGAGTGGGTCGATCGTGTGGTACAAAGCTAGTCCAGTCACGATAAGCCATGATCACTCCACGAAATGGCTTTCTTCAATGACTCTTGAATTGAGAAAAATATTTATTCAGAGCTATGAGTAAAAAGACCGCTCGTAATTTTGTGTGTGTTGAACAGTAATCGAGTGATTCTCCTTCTACTCTACACCCCCAGTGATGATATCGCATATTGTTTCCCTAGTTTCCTAGGCCGATGGGAGAGTTTTTCTGAGCAACCAAAAAGCATAATCAGCTGCCTTATCTCTACGCTACTGCGCTTCATTTCCCCAGAATGGCCTTGAAATACGGGTTCAAGTCCCCTCTCTCAACCATTTCAACAGCCTCTTTAGTTGCTTGGTCCAGACTTTCTTTGGGCAAACCCAATGCTTCGTTTTCCAGTCCATGTGTGACTTCATACAGCCCGGCATTCTCTCCTGGATAATAATACCGAGTGTAAAGTAACATGACAAATCCCATATTGTCACCCGCTTTCGCCATTTCCTTTGCCCTTTGCACTCTTTCCCTCGAATTTTCCTGCGTAATCTTCCAATCTGAGTCACTGAGCCCCATAACCCGGTTCAAAGAATCCAACATCTCGCGCTGATTCAACGCAAACGAAGAGACGAACACAAAACAATTGTTGTAGGAGCTGAGCACAACCTGCCCTTCCTTCTCCCTTCCATCCTCGGGGAGAATCGGTAGGGACAACAGATTCGCAACTGCACGACCAATCTGCGGCCAGGTGATTGTGTTGAGTCTCTGCTTCCCATCGTCAAAGAAAGTGACTTCTCGCTTCGCAACATCGATCCCAAACAGCCCAGGTCCAGCAAGCGAGTACTCGTACCAAAAGCTCGTTACTATTCCCAACCACGACGACACACCCAACTCCTCGATTTGTGCACGCAACTTTCTTTTCCCCGGCCCAATGTACACTTCATCCGAAACAGTCTTGTTGTCGGTGTTGCCTCCAAATTCATTAGGTATAACATAAGGCACGCCCGCCGTGGCAGCGGCGTCAATGAGCTTGGACTGTTGGTCGGGAGGCGCAGCCCGGCTCATGGTGATTATGAGAACCTCTTGGCCTCTAAGCGCGGAGACAAGAGTAGAGGGATCTGAGTAGTCGACAGTGGCTACCAGAACTCCAGGGGGTGGTGGGCCGCTATTACTCCGAGTAATGGCTGTTATGTTGAACGACTTTTTATCCAAGAGAGCCGACGTCAAAAATTTCCCCAGCCTCCCAGTAGCACCTACGATTGCTACATTCTTGATTCTGTTGCTGAAGCCGATGGTCTGTTGGGAAGATGCGTTCGTTGCAGCCATTGTGTGAGAATCAAAACAGGGAGTTTTGTTTGCGATGCGGTCTTTTGAATAAATGTGGTTTCTTCAAATAATGCTACCATTACCAATGTTCGGAAACACAGATGATCTGCTATAAAACAAATCTTTCAGTCATCGCTGTTTCGTAAGCGATCCTGGCGCTTGGGTGGTCAGACTTGAAAACACCGAATCCCGAAATCCGCTCTTTGCATGTGCAACTTTTGGCGGGATTCGTGTATGGTGCTGCAGAAATCCCGCCTACGAATACGAGACTGAAAGCACATTGCACATCACTACTTCATTCAGGAAATGCCCGGCAATATTCGTTCAGGTTATCACGCAATATTCTACCACTGAAAACACATTGCGATGGGAGGTTCAGAGCTGCACGCTGCATATGCTTGATGAAATCGGCAATGTCGCGCTATCGCTGTGAGACAACCGCTGCATATGCAGCAGCGTCTGACCAGGATGTTGCATGGTGATTCTTTCGTACGATCCTCGTAAATGACACTGCAGCAATTCCAGAATGATGACATGCGGCTCGTCACTGATTTATCTGCGGCAAACGCTCTTGCATACACAGCTTCTCTAAATGGTTGGCTATCCTGTCTCACAGTCTGAGCAAAGAGTGGGTAAGAACTGACAAGCTCCAACAACTGATTATCAAGCACCAGTACAAAAGGAGCAGGTCAATCACAGTACACATGTAAGGCCCTATGTAAGGCCCAATGTAAGGTCCTGTCAAAAAGACCATACAGGGAATAACGACCCGCTAGCTGGAAGAGATAAGCTCAAGTTGTGTGCAACAGTTAAACGGTAAAGAAAGCTCAATGCAGCACCGTTTAGAATGGGTTAGAGCGTTTGCAGCACTGATGTTCATTTACGCGTCTTCGTGAATTTACCATAGTCCTTAGTCTTCTCCCCGTTTCTAGGCCTGATTCTCCTACAATCCCGTAAGTATGCCATTGCAACGTGCCTTTCACAGCCGCGTTTTCTTATTACTTTTCAAGAAGTGATGGACTAGATGACTATATACACGCAAATCTCTTCAATTCAGAGACTTTCATCATTGAAAGTAGGCTGTACAATTTTCAACCTCTCTTCTCCTTTCTAAGTTGTGGACAGTTGAAGGCCATGGTGTTCGAGATTTAACAAAAGATAAAACTAAACACAATAAATCGCCCAAGGACTCAGGCAGAAACACATGTCTTATCATGTTCTCTCTCCTTTCTTTAGTGCTATATAGAGGAGACAGTAAAGGGTAGTACTTTGTAAGGGCACTTTAAGGGAAGTGCATAGCTATTCTGCAGAGCTTTGTAAGCTATAATTAGCTAAATGCTTAGATGCCTAACTGTAGGTACTTTAAGCGCATTTAACGTAGTAACGTATATAATGTCTTAACAATCTAGTAAAAATGTATAAATTTATAAAGTTAAAGTGTTAAAAAATAAAACTATAGTATATATTAGCAAAAATATTATTTTAAAAAGGCGTAAAATTTGCAAAAGTTGTATATATATGCATGAATGTGCATATTTAAGCATAAATATGCGTATTTAAGTATAAACGTGCATATTTTACTAAATTAGCTAAAATAGTATAACTTATAATAACTTTTTTATTTTTTAATAAAGTTTTTTAAAAATTTTACGCACTATATAAATTTATATAAAGTTTTAAAATTTAAAAGAATTTTTAAAAAATATTAAAAATTAAGCAAATTATTTAGTTTTTCTTAATTTTACGCTAATTTAAAAAGATATTATAAAAGTAACTTAAAAATATGAAATATATATATAAATATAATAAAAATTAATAAAGAAAAACTTGTCTTTTAATATATTAGCTAAGTTATTAGGCAAAAACTTTATAAAAAATAAAGTTTTAAATAACTTTTTATTTAATAAAGCTTTATTTTTAATATTTTAAAATCTAGGTAGTAAAGCTGTAAATTATATATAATCATAAAAAAAAAGTACTTTTTATTAATTATTAAGCTAGTAATAAAGCAGTGTTTATTACTATATAATTAGCTGATAAACTAGTATATATTATTAGTTTAAATTAAAATATAAGTAATATAAGCTTTATAACTTAAATAAAAACTTTAAAAACTTAACTAAGTAAATAGTTATTAAGCTTAAAAGATTAAATTTTTATATTTAAGCTACAGCTTTTATTAATAAAAAAAATCTAATTACTTTATTTATTAATAATATAAAGTTTCTAGTATATTATTTTTAAAAAAGTTCTTAAAATAAGCTAATAATTAAGAAGTTATTTAAAATTTTAGTTTTTAATAAGTAAAACTTTCTAATTACTAATGTTCTATTACTAAGCGTATAATTATAAGTTATAAAGATTTATAATTTTAAAGAACTTTTTTAATAGCTCTAATATTAAAAAAGTTATTTAAAAAAAAAATCTTTAAGATATTTGCTAAGCTATTACTTTTTACTTATTTTAATTAAGCAAAAAGTTATAATTTTAAAGTTTTTATTTAAAACATATAACGCAACCTAAGATTTTAAAACTATAATATTAAATAATTATAACTTTTTCTTTACTAGCTTATTTTATAGTACTTTAAAAAAAAATCTTTCTTATTTTTTCTCTTATAAATTAAAGCTTTAAAGCTAATTACTAAGCTTAATAAGCTTAATAAGCTTATTTATTATTATTTTAATAATAATTAATTTTTTCTTAAATTATATAACTAAGTTACGTAATCTAGCATTTCTTGTAATTTTTATTATTTATATAATTATTACAATTTTTATAAAATATATAATATATAAGCTATTTTTTAAAAATAAGCATTTATGTGCACTGTGCGTATAATTACATATAAAGTAAAAAATACTTTATATATATGTAATATATATAAAATTTATATAACTATATATAACTATATATAACGCTGTATTATGCACATTTTACGCATTTTTTATATATACGCGTATAATATTTTTACTAATATACTTATTACTTTTTACTATAAAAAGTAAAGTTTATATAAAGTTTTTACTTTTATTTTTTATTTTATTAACTTTATTTTACTTACTTATAATACTACTTATTTTAGCTTTTACTTTAATACTTACGCACTGCAACAAGCCCTTTAAAATTAATATTAATAGAATTAGTATTAATATTAAAGAATACTTTAACAACAACTTTAAGAAGCGGCTGAAACAGCTTATCGACAATGCCTATGAGGATCATGTAGGTACTTGACTCGGTGATAGGGCGGGATACTGTAAATACAACGGGGAAAATAATGAAAACAGAATTAACTAGCATATCACGCCGTTGCATACGTTTCCACTCCTTTCTTTCTCGTCCGCGTAGGACGTGTAGGACAAGTGCGCGGCGATCTGCGACAATGCCAGGGGATCTTTTTCGCATTTCCCTAAGATTACGCGCCTGAACTCTATTGTTGACGCAATTTCTTCTTCAACTTTAACCCCTTTGAAAATAACAGTGATGCCGTTTTCTATTCAGCTAGATCAATGGGGACCTAAATGTCACTGTGTGAGTAACTGATTCGCTTGTTTTCCAAAGTAGGGCGCTATTGGGGTGAGGTCTACTAAGGGGGTTATTTGTTCTCGGAGACAGGCAATTGGGAAGTTACGCATGGGTTTAGAAGTCAATTGTTCAGATATGGTATGGATGAGACTTAGAAGTGATACGTGATAATCTATCGACAGGCTTCAGACTTCAATCTAGATAATCCCAACAGAACGCCGTGCGCCTTGCTGCTTTGCTTTCAAATTAACAATCCATCATGATTCAATGATCAAATAGGCGCTCGTCAATATCGTAGCAGAAGGAACTGAAAGTGATGGCTGCGGATCGGTAAACAACTCATGACGATGCTCATCGATTCCTTCTCTTCCTCCTCTGCTCCACTACAATCAGAACCAACGCGACAAGCATCCCCAACCCACCGAGCCCGACGGCAAACCAGTACGCAGCTCTCAGTCCCTTCAGTCTCAAAAGTGAAACCTCACGCCTCGTATCGCTCAATGGGATCTTATGTTGGAATTGTGGTCCCATCTTCCCCTGCTCGTTCAGAACAACATACCGGTCGATAGTGCCCGCAACTCCCAACCCACACGAGATACTATAGTTCACCATGGTGCTGACCAAACTCGCTGCAATGCCCTGCTGTTTCCTTGGAAGTGTGGCTGATAACAGCATGTTTGCAGCGGGGTAGCTCAGATTCATTGCACCGGGTGCAATCAGTACCGAGAGGAAAGTCTGCAGCCAGTACGTTTGATCGAGGGGCATTAACGCGATGAGGAGAGACCCACCCATGAAACACGTCATAGAAAGGAACATGACGGAGCCAATGCCAAAACGCTGAATAAGCCACACGGTCGAGAACGCGAAGAGAACGCCTGTGGCGGCGACGGGCGCGGTTTCGGCGGATGTGAATAGCGCTGAGTGGCCTCGGAGATGCTCGAGGAAGAGGTAGAGGTTGTATGCCCAGATCCCGTGCGATGCCCAGCCCGCCACGATACAGGTCAGTGCAAAGCCAGCGTCGATGCTGAGCCCTCGGATTGGTATGAGAGGGTAATCGGTGGCGTAGAGTTCGACGAGTATGAAGATGACGAGGCAGAGGACGCCGCCGCCAAGGAGTGCGCCGATGTAAGGCTCTGCCCATGTCACTAGTGGAGCTTGGTTGAGTGCGAAGTTGACAAGAACGAGACCCGATACACCCGTTATGGTGCCCCAGTAGTCGAACTTGGGTCGTTCTGATTTCTGGGTTGGGGACGAGAGGATGTCATCGGCGGGGAGGATGATGTACGCAAGAACCATGGCGATGATGCACACGCCGCTTAGAACCCAGAAGGACCAGGGCCACCATACCATTTCCGCAAGCAGGGCCGACATGACTGCGCCAGCTGTTGCTCCCAGTGGACCGCAGGCTCCAAAGCATGCGAATCCTATCATTCGTTTTTGGCCGACTGGTAGTGTTCTGCCGATTAGGGCAACGGCGTTGGGTACGACGAGTGCAGGTCCTGGAATTTTTATTAATGAGATAAATGCAGATGGTATGAGAACGAAGGACTGACCTATTCCCTGGAAAGCACGACATATGCTGAAGAATATGTTGTTTGAGCAGTAAGAGAAGCCAGTGACGAGGGACCACGCCGCAAACCAAAGCCATCCGATCAAATAGATCTTTTTGTGACCGTACATATCTCCCAACCGCCCTGATTGATACAAATTAGTCAGATACTCTTCAAAAAAAAAAACATTCTCCAAATCAATTTCTGGTGGTGGAATAGAAAGATCTCAATCTACGACCCTTCCGACCCGACGAAAACAACTCGAATAGTATAGAAGGAGGAGAGGGTGACGTACCAGCAGGAAGAATAAAGGTCCCAACGCTCATACTAAACGAAGCCGAAAACCAACTCAACGTGCCATAATCCTCGACATGGAAGTAATCCGCCAGCACCAACACCGGAGCCACCGTCTGATTCATTGCACTCAGCGACAGAAACTGCGCGAGACAAGTCACAAATATAAACGCTATCTCGCGCGTAATGTTCATGGGCGGATTCGATTCCACGGAGACTGTAGACATCGGCCGAGGAGGGAACATTCGGGAGATGCTGGTGATTCGGGAGCTGGTAGTTAAGTCATCGCGGTCTACATCTTCCTTTCCGGCGTTCTTCTCGTAATCCCATGCCCGAGAAATACGAGGACTAAACGGGTACGAGAGGTGAGACCACCGCGTCATCATATCTGTAGACATATCCGCGGAGCGTATCCTAGGAGTTCCAGTTGCTGCCCATGACAGTTTCCAGTATGCGCGAGAAGGGTCCTGTGGATGTGTTTTTGAAGAAGCTGATCGAGTAAGGGTTTTCAGCGAAGAATCGCTATCTGTGTCTTGGACGTACATTCTAGCGGATTGCAGGAAAAATGACGGTGAGCGGAAAGCCTGCTATCGGTGATAGTGGGGGGTTGCTGGGTGATATACGAGAGTTTGTGGCGGCGCCACATCCGTGCGGTGATGTCGTTTGGAGCCAATTTATACAGTTCATCCCAGAGGTTGCTGTAAGATTGGCGAATGTGAACGCGCCGGGTTCTCCACGCCGTAGTGCCCGTGATGTTTCCTAGCAATGGACTGATAACAACAAATAAACGCTGCATTGACCGCTAGACAGGGGATTGCTAATCAGCCGTTTTTCTGGTAGAGTTGGAGCCGGTAATTGGAGAAGTGCCCTTCTTGGCCGTCATTGGCTCACAAGAGTTGATGGAAAGGTCAAAGTGGTTGAGATGTCTCTTGTTTAGTAGATGTCAAAGAGGCTTAGGCCCGCACGGTATGCAGGTGAGATGTTAACACAAACTATGTGCACTTTCGCGAACAAGTAAATCTAGGCATTAGAGTTATGTCTTGGAGCGCTGCCTCAGTTCCTTACTCATCTACCAATGCCAAGGATGACATCTGTGAAGATGTACTAGAATGAAGGACAGTAATATGGGTGAAGGCCGATAAAGTATACTAGCCATCAGCTTACTCATCTCCATTGCTTTCAGACTTACCGTAAAAAATCAGCTCTCGCAGCATCAGGACCGCAGGGGTGTGCGGGATAGTCCGTATGGTTTTCGCCGATTGAACAAGGGTAACAAGCCATACTTCTTGAGCTAACTTGCAAGATTTCCCAGGGATGTGAGATACAGTCAGTTTCCCCATCAACCAATTCTGATCCTTATGGACAATGGTCATATAGACAGCGGATAATGTACCAAAGACGCGAATGAATGCATCTAGGGAGAACGTATGCCAGCGACATTACCTTTACATGGTACTTTACGTAGGACAAGAGTGCCATAAATACCCTTCGACTTGAAAACAGCCTAGGATCTGTGTCTATCGAGATCGGCTGGCATACCTGCAGAGAAGGGAGCTGAGACCGTCAGTTCGGCACCCCACGCAAAGCCGGACATACGCACGATTTTCGCCGTGCTACCGACATCAGCCCATTCGCAAAACCTTTCTCACTCCAGAATCAAGATTTTTATTCTGACTTACGAAGGCCTGAATGTGCGTTTATGTATGATTTGTACATGTAGCATGAAGTGTTGAGCATCGTTGCCCCTAGATACTGTGGATCGTTCCCGCGGTTGACGTCGGGCAACATGGCGTTGATAGTTCCCCGGACCGCCAAGGCGAGCAGCGATCCTGGCGGTTGAAAGATAGAGGCGGCACGAACCAGGGTCCTGGAATTCAACAAATACGGCCTTGTTCGCTTCGTCGTGTACGGCAGTGTTGTCACATGAATTGACCATCATTCGCAAGAAACATCGTGCGTCGATCAGCACCTTGCAGGCTCTAGACACTCAGTGTAAAGTAGCAATGTGCTTACGATGGATCTGAAATAGTCGAAATAGGTCATGGTGCGGAGGAGAAGTGGGGTGCAAACGACAAACGAAGTCATGATTCGAACGCGTTCACCCTGGTGGTCTAAAAGGGCGTAGCGCATTCAGCGATTGATACCCGTTCCATCATCGCGTCTTTTCTTCGCTGTACAATGCATTTCTCCCGCGCTTTTGCGTCTCCGATTGCACTTATCTTTGAAAGGGTCCTGCATTTATAGTAGCATAAGACTTCTAATGCATCAATCTATATTGGGATCTTTCGGGGTGTAGCCGTCTGGCCTCCGATAGTGCAGGCTACTTCACTATATCGATTTATACTTCTGATAGTAGATTAGAAGTTAAACATGTGTTCACATGCTTTCGCATACACGCGCAAGCCAGATTCACGACGGTAACTAATAAACATTGATGGTTCAAGAAGCGAGCACGTGAATGTCAAGATATGAAAGACTCATACGGTACGGCGCCAATCACAATGAAAACAAATATGCGAAATGCATGCGGTCAATCTGTCAATCTCTTATCATTGTAAGCCCCTATTCTTGACTGCAAAAATGGGTTAAAGATCTTTTATTTCGTTGTCGCTCGCAGCTCATTTCTTTTGAACCAAATCGAGGGGGGAGGAGGCAGTGCTCCAGGCAATCAAACTTTCCATGTAACCAACGCGCATTTTCGACATTTTCAGGCTTCGCCAACTTGCCCCTTATACATCTGCTATTCTAAGAGTTGGTCAAGCGCTGGGCGTACCACACCGGTACCATAGACTAGTAGTAGCGATCGTCGGGATCTTTCACAGTCTGGAACTATTTGGCTTTCCCTGCGCCACCTCCTTCTCTGCTGTGCTCTTTTCTTGTTTGAGCAGCGCGCCTTCGAAGAACTTTTCGACGCCTGCGAGATCGTCGAGGGTAGTTACTTTTGAGACATCTGTTGTTCGCTGTTGGTTTCGTGTTCTTTGGCGGGGATGTTTGTCTGAGGATATACTTACATTGATCTGGACGTACGATAACGACGGCACCTTGGCTGGGATCCACGCCGTACTTCTCATAAGCATGGCCGTGTCCCGCATTGTAATGTTCGTCGTCAATGTAGACTTTGTGCAAATCTAGACGTGTGAAACAAAACAAGGTCAATAACGATTTCAATCTGAGAATATTCAGCGGGATGCGACATACCTCTAATTCCCCATTTCCCGGTAGCCGGCCAGAAGAAATCTGGGGTTTGGTCCTGCTCCGTCTCCAAGAACGTGTTTCGAAGTATTAATATTGGCTCGATCAGACTATCGACATGTTCTTTCCTAGGCGTGAATTTGGGAACTATGCTCTCCAAGCAGGTAGCTAACTTCTCCAACTTCTCTCTCTGGGCAGTACTTTTGTGGGTATCACCAGCGAAAACAACCACCCTCCACCTTCCATCGCTCTGAAACACCCTCAGCAGCTGCAGCGCCTTGCAGTCGCAGAAACGAATCACTTGTGCACTAGGAAAGCGCATGCCCACACTGCACCCTGCAGCCGCTTCTTGCACGCTATCATGGGCGTCTGTGATTGCAGAGTCCTCGTACCGAGCTGTGAATCCGGCTGTATAACGCCCACTCTTCACGAAGAAATCCGCAAAGTCGCCTTCCTTCTCTTCCTTTGTACTAAATTTCCTCGCGAATTCGCGGTCAAACGCAATTAAGTCCGAGGCCGTCTTAGTACGTTCCTGGATATATGTGCGGAGTAGAGATGGAGGCGCGATCCCGCGTAGGACGGAGGCAAGTTTCCAACCAAGATTGTACCCATCCTGCAGCGAGACATTCATCCCTTGTCCAGCTTTGGGGGAGTGTGTGTGGCATGCGTCGCCCGTAAGGAAAACACGGTGGGACTTGTGAAAATGATCCGCGAGACGCTGGCCGATACTGTAGGCGGACCACCAAAATGTATCGGCGAAGTCCATTGTGTATCTAGGCGCGAAGATTCGTTTCGCCGTTGCTTGCAGGTCGGAGAGGGTGACATCTTTGGCGCGAGATCCTGGTGGGAGTTGAATGTAAAAACGGACTAGAGAACCTCCTTCGCGAGGGATGATGAGGATGTTGCCTGCTTGAGAGTGGATTGTGCATTTCCGTCGGATATCAGGAAAATTGGTCAAAGGGTAGATATCCATGACGCCCCAAACTGTGTCAGTGGTATCGCCAACCATGCTGTAACCAAGACTTCTTCGAACAGTGCTGTGTGCACCGTCGCATCCCTGCTGGTGTTAGGAACACGAATCTAGTAATATGCGTGTATGTTTACCAAGACATATTTAGCCTCCCATTCCTCCTGCTTTCCATCTTTCTCTGCAGTCACTTTACAGCAATATGCCTCAGGATCATCCACTTTTTCTTCATCGACGGTCACGTTCTTGATGGTCCATCCATACTCCACCTTTTCTTCACCAGCACTCAGCCTCTTCATTTCGCCCAGCATCAGCGCATTCATTTTGGCCTGATTCAGAATAACATGAGGCATATGGCTCAACCCTCTCTCCGTGTCAATCGCTCTGCTTTTCCGTTCGATTCCTTCTCCCGATCCCTCGCCCCAGAAACAGACTTCGAGGATGTGATACGCCTCCCTCAGTAACTCCTCTGACAGCCCAAAGGACTCGTAAATCTCGACAGTCCGACACTGCACGCCATCTGCTTGGCCGATTTCCATGGGTCCGGAGCGGCTTTCGAGAATGGTAAATGGGATGTTGTACCTTGCGAGCCAGGTTCCCGCAAAGATGCCGGCAGAGCCAGATCCGCAGATCAAAACTTGTGTTCTCCGTGGTGTCATTATTTTCTTCTGCTGTGATGTATATTACCGCAGGGTTTTATTCGTAGATTTTTTGAAAGGACAGCAGCGGTATTCGATATTAAATACAATTGCCTTGTTCACCGTGTTAGATGCCGAACACCAGCGGCAGACGTGACGATGATCAACGCGGGGCCCCGCGTTGCGTGCGGAATCACTCCGCTTCCCGACGGCTCCGAATTGATACTTACCCAAGCAGCCAATTGCTGAGTATAAGAAAGGGCAAGGCGGAATACCAAGAGAGATGGATTGACGTCGGCTCTCACGACGGTAGATACTTCGGTACGTTACCGGCTGAGTCGGTGATCAGTCGGTGCCGATTCGGATCTATCGTGCGTCTCCCCGGATCCGACATTTCTTGTCAAAGTCAGTCTTCAATCGCTGCGCACACTTGAAAGTTCGTTCCCGGACCTCCCTCGTAGCCTATTATCGAATTCTATCTTTGTTTGTCTTCCTTTTCTCAATCAGTGTTGTCAACTGACTGTGAATACCCTTCTCTCTGGGGGGAAAACTCACTTGCAAAGTCAACATGGTCCACCATCAACGTCCTTCACGAAACCATCCATCACTGTGGCAAAGTGAGTTCCAAAAGGAGCAAATAGTCTATATTGCATCGACCTATGTATCAGCCAGATCTCGCGAGATAATCGAGTTGTTGCCGCCCAGCCACGAAACACGCAACCAAACAAACAACAACCACAACAAGAAAGTAAAAAGAATTCGAAGACAAAAAAAAAGCATAAAGGCACAACCAGACATCCTCGTCATTCCAAACCCCTCAATTGTTCATCCATCCATCCATGTATAGCGGTCCACTGGAGCAGTGAAACCCATAGGGTCAAGCGGGCAGACCATCGCATCTAGCAAGTGCAACCGCAAGTGCCCTTGTTGCAGACACCGCAGTCCGAAGCACCGAGCTTGGAGGGCTCGCACTCCGAGTCCTTGCCGCACGTGTTCCACGCGCCGGACCCGTAGTTCTTGGCCATCCAGCACCAGGGCTGGTCCTTGCCCTCGCGGCACTTCTTCCAGCAGTAGCCCTTCTCGCAGCCGTAGTTGCGGACGGCGCAGGAGCGCTTCTGGAGGCTGTCGTGCTGGAGCGGGTGGTCGGAGCACTTGCGGTGCTCGGTGCCGACGAGGCCGCGGGTGTCGAGGAGACCGCCGAGAGCGAGGCAGTCGTTGGTGACGGCAGAGGAGACGGGCTCGGCTGTGGCGGTGGCCATGGAGGCGCCGAGGAAGAAGAAGAGAGTGGCGGCGGTGAACTTCATTTTGATGCTGGATGGAGCGGTTAGAATGTTTTCATCGACTTGAGCTCTTCGAGCTGGAGATTGTGTGTAGGGAATGTCTTACGATTTGTTGGGTCTTGAGAAAGATGGAGAATGAATGGAAAGTGGTTGTTGAAATGCGTTGATTGTGATGAAGATTGTCTGTCAAAGAATGTATTGAATGGAAGAGGTGAGAAGAAGAAGTTGATGCTGATGTCTCTTTCCAGTGCATATAATCTTGACTTATATACTTCTGCTCGAGACCTTCGGAGTACTACCATCCCACTTGAGCTCAAGCACTTGGTCAGTAGGCGCCCCGACGACATCTGTTGATCTCGGAGTACGACGTTTCTCTACACCCCAAGGATGACCAAGTATGAACTCTACATTTTCCAAATTTGGGAATCAGCCCACGCATGTAGCGCGCACGTAAGGCGTAGTGACTGTCGCCATTCCTTTAATGTCCGACACGTGACCGCGACCGCGTTGTACATTGTACCCGTTGAGTTTAGCGAAAAGACTCCGCCTTCTTTCTTTGTAGCACAATTAGGAAATAAGTTTAAGTCTATCCAATCAAGACTCGGGTTCCTGATCAGTGTATGACATTCTGGGAGGCCTGATTGTTGTAGGCCTAAGTGAGACCTTGTTGTTTCAGGGCTCTATGGTTCGTCGATTATGTTTCAGGCCGCCCACTCCACCGCGCTATAAACAAAGACCCTAACACTGTAAACACCTACCCCGGAAAATTTCTTAAATGAGGGTCGGCGCCCACAGGGGCTAAATCATGGGGCCGCAAGGCCCTATACCGATACTAGCGCACCGCCCGACCGTATCCAGCAACCGCTTCTTTGCGAAATGTTCAGCTTTGTACGAGTGCCGACATCTGCTTACATTCGACAGCCGCCCGAACTAGCAATAAAGCTGCATGGCTTTTGCGAAAAGATCCGTCGAGGCGCATAATACGCATTAGGAGGTTTACCATGTCGGACGCCTTAGCGTGACATGGCTCTGTTCTCGGTAAACGGCAACAAGACTCCCCTGCGCCATACTCCACAACTTTCCAAGAACAATCGGGCTCCGATGTTGAGTGATATCATTCCCCCCATCCGCCCAAATAACAAGAGCTGGGGGGCGTCGGTTGAACGTGAAACTCGGACCCACAAAACGGCAGAGGCGGTGCAGTAATGACTGGCAGGCATCGGCAGAAACGAACCTCAACGTGTATGTCACTGAACTAGCGACAAAGTAGACTACCTTCGCGACTATTTGGGAAAATTCCAAGTCTCGGGAGGAACGTCGGGCCGGTATATCAGAGCAACAGACAGCTAAGGGCATGTCACTCTCAAGAATACAAACCAGTCTACGTAAACTGCCGATACTTTTTAGGGGATTCAACCTTAGGTCCCTATTCCATACCATGGGCTGTTTATTCGAAATCCTTGTAGCTCATTTCCATTTTGTCTCAGAATATATGCAGCTGATGCTCATTCCCGAGTCCTCGTCGATTAGAGGCCGTTTGTGGAGCTCAGCTGAGCTGGAGTTGCCAAGAGCCGTTGATATGGTGAGCTACATGTATTTGGTAGTTGAACTACCCATCTACTCTTTCTCCATCATCCCCCAATCTCTCCACGATACTAATTACACAGAACTATCAAGTAGTATTTCTAGCTACTAGGAAAGAAGGAAGCAGAAGAAGAAGAACCTTCGTGTTTCCGTCTAGAGATTTGTTTCCGTGCTTATGTTAGGTGGAATTTCTGTCCCAAGGATGTGGACATCGACTTCCAAGTATCTGGAGACGGCGAATCGAATGCGCTCGTTCCTGACTCGTCTTCTGTCTCCAAGTAACTTTTCTAGACGTTTGCACCCTCGTTGTCCTCGTATATCCCGGAGAAAGCTCCATGTTATCTCGTTGAGTTCCGGTCATCTCTGCAACGGGGTCTTCAGTGCGATTTGTGACGCGCAATGCCGACGGTACAACCTCAGTTGTAGACAGTTTATATCATACTCTTGCCCTTGGCAGAGTTAGGGCTCAATCCTTTGAGTCAGTGAGATCCTGACCGTGAACTTGGATCCTTGTTTCGCCCACAATAAATGGAACGAAAATTTCCGATATATCTGGGAGCTGGTGGCGGTTCGGAATTGGCCGTATATCGGCGTACACGTGCTTTCCGTCCACGACGAATTCGCCGTCGACGTCTGGGGCGTCCCAGTGCGTGTTTAAGTAGAGTGACATGCAGTTCGTGAGGAATAGATCCTGCACGTATCGCTTGAAGATTGGGTCAACCAGGATGCGCGGGATCTAGTAACACACAGAATTAGCATAATTAGCTTATCACAAATAGAAGTATTCAAGTACATACGTCGATTGTCTGGCGCAGGGGGCGGAGCATGGTGGCGACTTCTTTTCCTCCTGGAGTGATGGCCCTGAGGAAGACAGCTCGCTGCTCCTGCGAGCTGAGGCCATTGAAGTGTGCCGCCTCAGCGGGCTTTTTGTCTTCATAGTTGAGAATCGTGCTTCGCACGAATTTTATGGTGTCTTTAGCGAGGAAGCACTCCCTCTGGAGTGTTCCTGCAAGATCTTGGAGATTTTTGCGGGCGAGTGCCGTGCGGTAGCTGTTATCATCCCCGTTGGGGTTTGCGAGTTCAGCGACTTTAACGGCATCGATAATCATATCGCGGAACCAACATAGTCTGAAGATTCGACCCATCTGCAATTCGCTATTTACCGGAATGTTCACGGCTGCGTCGGCTTCACTCTCGGGCAAAGCTGTAAGAGAAATATTAGTCATTCTAACCACTTGTTCAGTTTTTAGATAGGAGAATGCGCATACTATATTCGCCTCCTGCTTGAAGAGAGGTTCCTAACCACCCAGCCTCTTTGGCCGTCATCTTCTGACCTGGACGCATGAGAGACGTGGGGGGAGCTTCGACCCTTTGTGTTAGGGGCTTGAAGACATTAATTGGCTCGCGAGGTTCTTCGCGTTCTTCGTTATTGTCGCTCCCTTGTGCAGCTTCTGCTGCCGATTGCTGTCGCGCTTGAGTGTTATTTTGCTCTTCATTGCGCAATTGTTCGGCGAGTCGGGATGATGGTGAATTATTTTCTGCTTTTTCTGTTCTCCGGGCGTCTCCTGCGGCAAGCAGCCACTTCAGTCTCCGTGGTGCTTTCGGCATGTTGATGGCGGGTCTTAGTCTCTTTCTCTATTCAGCGGCGAGCCATTGCGTGGCTAGTTGGTGTCGGATGGGGGTGTTGATCACGTTGGGCTGCTGTAGCTGGATTGTCGGCAGCGAGCAAACAAGGGAGTGGATGTGAGTAGGTACCCAAGTGAGAGGACGGGTATGAAGGTGAGCGGCAGGCGCACGGACCCACAGGGCATGACGGATCAATCACATGATTCACATCCACACCATAGCACGACGACGAGGTAATAGACGATAAAGCGATGACGGGATGTTGAGCTTGAAGAAGGAGATGCTAGATTGCACCGTGTTGAAACCACAGAGGGTTATGAGTTGCGAGGCTATGCGATGGGTGTGATGGTCAGTCAAGACTTGAGCAAGGCGGCTGCCATGGTCGCACAAAAGGATGCGTGGGCGTGGACAGATTCAATGATGATGGAACAAGGTCATATGAGAGACCATAACAAAAGAAGCAAAAGATTCAAATCTCTTCTTCAAACCCGTCAGCGACCTTCTTTGGATGCATGTATTTAAGATCATAGATACAACACATCTTATGCAAAAGATGCAATGATTGCGTCAGCATTCTATTTCGAGATAGACGGGATTTCTCGCCTTGAGAGAGGAGTCTACAAGTGTCGGGGTACAATTTTCGACTGTTATCAACTTTGAGGCAGGTAAACGAGGTTCGCCTATTTTAAAAGAATTAGGGAGAAGAATGACGCGCCGTGATTGGCCGTAAAACGTCAGCCTCGTTTGAACCTAGCAGCTTCTACAATGCCAAGGTGGACCACTATTGTCTACTAATGAAGACTGAAAGTATTCGTCTCAATTGAGGCTAATCGCGGTGAGATTTGGTCCTATTCATGGAAACCTCACACCATCACCTGTCACGGAACAACCAAACTCGTACGCTTTCCTAGTGCCAAGTCGTCCATGATTCCTCTTTCCATATGTTCGACCTACTTCATCCGATTCGTATGCACCCACTTCTAATCTCTAATAGCTTAGTCACTGCTCAGAATAAGGGGAAGATTCGGTAATTACAGCCATGATGATGCTTGGGAGAGGGCGATGTCCGCAGGGTCCAAATACATGCAGCACTTGAGCTGCACTGTTGCATTAGACCCTGGGTATTTAAACAGAGATGATTCCACATACTGTACCTTATTTCCTACAGACAGTTCACATTCACTCGTTTTTTTTTCTTTCTCCACTCTCACTTATCTGCTTCTAGATTTTTTAACACATTCTTTTGAGAAACTCTGACTTTATCTTCACCACTCTATCGCAAACGCGTACTATTACTCGATTATTGAAAACTTTTCAATATCACCGTTTCTTCAACTCTCGGCATCGAAACATGCGTTGTTTTCTGACGAAGGCGGTACTGCTCGCTCTCGCCACCTTGGCAATCGCTGATGACAGATGCACCAATGGACCATTTGTCAAACATCCACCCCAAGGCGGTGAATTCATTCCGAGACTCGCATGCCACACCAAATGGGACAACGGCGAGGTCATTGTCGGAGTGGAGGCCTGGGCTTCAAAATGGCAAATGCGGGGCATTCGATTCAAGTACTCGCAATGGGGATGGGGCGAAGTTCATGGCAGCATGGACGCTGACGCGAGACATGAAAAATCCGAATGGAGTGCCTCTGAGCAAGTCAGTAAGTCACATATCCGACAAATGATCTACACATCTACCAAATAGTGCAAGAAAACTAATTTATGCTGCAGACATCAAAGTTTGGAACAACAAACCGGACGATGGCAATCCCGTAGATGCGGTCGGCAGGATTCGCATTGAAGGTAACAACGGCCGACAGATCTTCGATATCGGTGCCAATGGCGGAAAGACGGCAAAAAATGAAAACTACGGCGCCGATATGGGCAGCGGCATCATCCTCGGAGCCCAAACTTTTGCTGGATTGTGGCTCAACTACGTCGAATTCAACATGTTACGATCGAAAGTCAAGAAAGCAGAGCTTGTTGACGTCAAGTACGGCCAATCACTTGCGGACCTGAATAAGAAGCAAGAGGGCATTGATAACGCCAGCCTCATGACCATGTACTTTGTCAATGACAACCCAGTAAATGGCTCAGGCATGATCTACGATGTAGCAAGAGACGAAGAGGTGGAAACCGAGCAGACCATCACCACCGAAACGACTAACGAATGGACAACCGGAGTTGAGGTCACCGTCGGCGCTTCAGTTGGAATCCCGCTTATATCCGCAAGTGCCGAAACAACAACAAGCGTTGGATTTAGAAACGAAGAATATAAAAAAGACGAGAGTAAGAGGAGGGAGCTCGTCAAAATCGGGTGGAAGTTCAGGTGTGACCCCAACAAACCCCTACCCCCTCAACAAGCTGTCAAATGTACCGCAAAGGCTTTTAGAGGCGAGTTCGACAGCAGCTACGAGGGCCATGTCGAGGTCGAATTGGTAGACGGGACGAAATACAAATACAAAGAGACGGGTACTATGAGGAGTGTCAGCTACATGGAGTCGGTAAATACATGCTCACCCATTGATATCAAGAAGGTTCCAGGTAGCAATGAGCTTGGCGACCATGAGGAAATTGGCAGTGCCAAGGAGCTAAAGAAGAGGAGCATCCGCCACTCACGAGTCTATCGTGGGTAGTTCTTGAACCTTCAATAGGATCCTGTAAGGGTTTCAAGGTTTTTGATCTTCACAGATTAACGAGGGATTCGATAGACGAGGGTTTTGGTATTGCTTTGTTCCTATAGGAAGTTGCGAGAGTATTGATATTTATAGATGGAGAGTTTGAAGTTCTAATATACAAGGTGTTTTGAAAATCGAGTTTCAGATCGTCAGCGCGTGTATCTGTCTGTGGCCGTAGGAATTCACGCGTTGCATAGCGGCCAGCAGGCCGGTCCATCTTCTTATTGCGCTGTGCACTATGGGTTGTAAATGACGACTTGTATCCGTTTGTCGTCCCATCGTGAAGATCAGAAGCGGCTGCTGGTAGACAATCCAGCCCAGCCGGGACGGGCATAACGGATTTTCATAGAGAGTTAGCCGCTTAGGTTCAAACGCAGCACAGGGGGGGTGTGAGGGCACTGCAACATTTTTGTACGAGAAAGAAAATCTCAGATAGTGTGTTCCGCCGCAGAAAAGCAAAATTACATGTGTAACCATTCGTAATCTTACCTTGCAAGCATATAGGCGCACTATTCCATGAGCACGATTTGCACAATACTTGACATCAGCGATGTTTAGAACTACAACACATAGAACGATTGATATCAGGTTTAATCGAGTCTCAGGTGCTACGCGAGGATTTACGCTAAGTCTTGTTACAGAGAATAAGCAAAAGAAAACTCTTCTTCAAACCTGTCGGCGGTCAACGCCAATAAGATTCAACGAAAAGAGTGAGAAGTCGCGTCAGAAGGCCGTAGTGGAAGGCAACATCGACACTGTGACCTCAACTATGAGCAAGCCCAGGGAGAGGAGGTCTGTTTCCAAAAATCAGTATAATCGAAAAGGTCCGTAGACCGATTTTAGCGATTAAACTAAAAAGAACAGATACTACACTTGATCTAAGCCAAAAGGCAAAGAGAGCTAAGGAGGGAAAAGGAGGGACGGAGAGGGGGGACTATATAGTCGGGGGGCGCCAAGACGCGCTAGTGGGCACGTGACTCGCCTAACAACGTTTTTCCGGTCGGGCGCCGAGACTCCGAGGGGCTCCGATTGGCTGAAGCTGCCTGCTCGCACATTCCGAGGTGAAGCCGGCGTGGCTGGGGGCCTAGTGGTGGGTGTGCGATGCATGTGGTGAGGCAATGGGGATGGGGCATTTTTGGTGTAGAGAACGAGGAAAAGAAGAGGATGGTGTGCAGTTTTATCAAATATGTGATGCCCAGGACATCTTCTACAGTCTAAGATGCCTGCGATGGCCTTGATGTCACGCAATTGCCCTCCGAGGATATCGTGGTGCTGTCGCCGTGGAAAGGAAAAAAAAATCGACGCACGCGCTGGCGAACATATACGCCAACGACTCCTCCTCTCTGGGCTGTACACGAGGAGAATGACACTCACAGCCATGCAACATCTCAGTAGTATATGCGTAGATTGATTTGGACTGCGCAAGCTGTCGCGAACGTGGGCATGGGCGGCCTGGTGCCGACCACGGGGCATGCCTTCTTTTTCTGGCTGTGCCTACACATGTGTTGACTCCGGCCATGACCAACATCTATCTGCACTCTACTAAAACCTCCCATACACACCTACTCGGTTGCCGTCTGAACGCTTCTCCCAAGATCCCCTCTCGCCATGACGCGCCTGCGACGCTCTTGCCCGCTGCCGGGCGCTGGCCAGCAACACCACCGGTCGGCCGCACGAAGCGCAGTCCCCAGCCTGTCCCACCGCCAAATCCGATCAAAAAAACCCCTTCCACCCCGCAGGATTCTTCGCCAGACCATCGCAATGCCTGCAGGGCCTCGCATTTCGGCGCCTCGTATCTGCACCTACCGCAATACGAGACGAGGCTGAGATGGACGTGAATAGGCGACTGCCCGCGTCTACCTCGACACCACAGCTTACACCGCAAATACCATAAACAACACCAACTTCCGTACCGACATCAATCATCATGATGGCCTCCGACTTCCACTTTGGCCGCAACACCCTCGATGACCCGTCCCGTTTCGACCCCATCGACGACCACCTTTACATTCGCATCTCAAAGACAAATGTACCTACGCGACCCCGCCTATACAAGAACCTGCAATCACTGACATCGTTCTGCACAGTCGCAAATCAAGCACAGCGTTGAAAAGAAGCGCGATGACGAGTTACTTGACGTATTTGAGTCTCAATTCCCCGCGCATAAAGATTGGTCGTTTGAATTGCTGCTTTCGCCGCAGCCTTACCACTACACTCATGATCGAAAACGACTTCCTTTTCCCGAAAGGCTTCCGTATTCCAAAGACGTCGTCAAGGCGCTGCAGACCAAGTGGAGCATCGCCGACGTCTGTTTTTATGCCCACCTGAAGAGTGGATCGTGCTCTATGCGGTTTACGCCCAAGCCGTTTGATCATGGCTGGATAGGTACTACTTTTTGATCCTGATAAGTCTCCATATCTGCATGTGTCTATTGCCGGAACTCTCATGAGCAAGAAAATGAGAACCAGTGGCCCAAGTGAGATGGGGAGTAGAACGGATGCCAGTGCTATCCATACCATTGCACCCTCGTCTCCCCCACCTAAAGACACGAAGAATCCCGGGAAAAAAAAAAGAAGCCAAACCTCTGATAAATCATAGGCTACACCATCCGCATGATCTACAGCGTTCCTTTCCGCTGCTGCCTCGCAACCTCCCACAACACAACCACCCGCACAACCCACGCAATCGTCTTCGGCATCACCCCATCCGACGCCCCAGCCCTCCTCTCCACCCTGCTCACCGCAAAGTCCCACGCCCACCATCCTTGTCTGGCGCCCCTGCTCCTCTGCGATATGGCCCTCACCCGCCTCGAAGCCTTTTCCTACAAGACCTACCACGATTTCCTGCCCGTCCGCGAGGCCATGGGATGTAATCTGTATTTCAACGAGGGGAGTGTGTATACGGCGCCAGATCTAGCGGATATGCCGAGGAGATTGACGGCGTTGCTAAATGCCGGCGCGAGCAATACGGCGTCGGTGAGGGCGGCGGGGGTTGTGGTTGCGGATCTGGAGGGGCTGCTGGACGTCTTCCGTGCTGGGAAGGAGTCCGAGGGTGGAGGCCGGCTGGATGGAAGAAAAGGGGAAACGGAAGCAGATGAAGAAGCGGAAGACGTTGTGGTGAAGATGAGGGATCATCTTGCGCTGTTGAGACAGGTCGTGGGCAACATGAAGAGGCGCAACGAGTATCTGAAGGAGAGCGTGCAAGCGCAGGTTCAGATGGTACGTTATCCACCCTCGTCAAAATCCACATCTATACACATCCCCTCCCCCTCAATCTCAGCAACAGTACCCCAATCCAATCCAATCCAATCCATCCCATCACCATCACAAACGCGCACCCGCAGTACCTAACCCCCCGCACCCAAAGGTCTACGCCCTCCTAGCCCAGCAAGACAACGCCCTCTCCCACCGCTACGGAGCAGACATGCGCGTCATCGCCGCCGTCACCCTCGTCTTCCTCCCCGGCACCTTCGTCGCCACCCTCTTCAGCGCCTCGTTTTGGGACTTTAGCCCCGCTAACTCCAATGGCCCTCACGTCTCGTCCTGGGTCTGGCTGTATGTCGTCGTCACTATTAGCCTTACTGCTGCGGTTTTGGCGGTTTGGAAGGGCGCGTTGAAGGGCGTGGGATGGGGATGGGGATGCGTGCAACGTGGTGGTTGGAGGTGGTGGTTTGGAAGAAGGACGGACGGGAGGGGGAGGGGGAAGGGACTGGGGCTGAGGCGAAGTGACGACGTCATGTAAAGGATCATTAGCCAGGGACTGGCTGGGACAACTGCATGTGCGAGAGTAGCTATGGATACATTCATGCTCAAGCGCTCGCTCGCTGATTACTCGGCCGTCAAGTTGTCGTTGTCGTCACTCTGTGAAATTCAATCACTCTTTGCACCTAATTTCCTTCTTCTTTTCACATAACACCTCGTTCCCTCCCTTCCTTTCCTTTCCTCTCTCCCCTTTTTCCTTTCCTCCTCTTTCTTTCTTTCTTCTTCTCCCACCTTCTATTAATACTGTCTGTCTATTTATTACCATCAATCCTCGCAAGTTTAAGTTTCTTTATACACATAACTCTCCTATTAGGCGAATAGTCCCCCCTCCCCCCCCCCCTTTTTTTCGAGAGAGAGAGAGATACATGGACATGTATCTTAGGTAGTTAATCTTAGTATGTATATGTATTTGTATTTATATTGAGGTATTCAGCCTCCTGGGGTTGTAAGTAAGTGAGTGAGTGAGTAGATAAGATAGTTTTTTTTTGTACAAGTAGCTTAGATTAGATTAGATTAGATTAATTGTTGTTGTTGTTCTGCTTAGGTAGGTAGGTTAGTAGATGCATGCATGCATGTATGTATAGAGTTTTACTCTGTAGGGTGGCGCGGATTTTTCTAAAAGTTTTTTATATTTTTTTATAAATGTAGTTTATATATATATATATATATATATTGTGTATTAGCTAGCTTTTATAAAATTCAAATTTCTTAATTTTTAAATCTCTTATTTTTAAGTGTTGGCGTTTTTTTCTTTCAGCGTATTTTTTTTTTGTTGGAGATCAAGAACGTCTCTTGTTTAAAGGAGAAACATTTATGCTTTCTAAACTAAAGAGTAGATAGTGTTATAGTAGGCATAAAAGTTTGCGAATAGTACCTAGACTTATACATGTCTAGTTACTGTATTATGCCATTAATTGATGTTCTCTGAGCTTTATGAATATAAGACTTTCACTACTTTATGAAATGCGGTCATGGCAGAGCTGGGCGTCATCGGAGGAGGGGAGGGTCTCCGGTCTCGGCGAAGCAGAATGGTCCGATTGGCTACGCGCTGGAAGAACACCGACTAACACTAGCAACGACATTCAACAGCTAACGCGTCTATCACCTACCTCGCTGCAACGGGCACCCCCGACATCCCCGCAAACTCCCGCCTACAATCACACCCGCAACACCCTCAATGACGCCGCAAACGAGCTTCTGCACCTACTTCATCAACGGCCCCGAAATCCCATCTCCAGCCCTTCATCTACGCCTACAGCGACCTCGTTGAGTCCGACTTCTTCGCCGCCATTTTGGAACATGATGGGCTTCCCCGCTTGACGAGGATTTTGCAGGCTGCGTTATGCGCCTGCTGTGCACGCTACGCGTGTTTAAAGAGGCAGACGACGGCGTGTTTGCTTACTCCCGCGTGAGCGCCACGTTTGCACGCGTTTGAGGAGAGGCTTGGGCTTCCGGTGTTCGAGTGGTACAAGGGGAATTCACCGGCGGCGATAGGATTTGCTGCGGGCATAGGCGCCGTCACGAAACGTGCGGACTATGGCTGACAGGCGCGGTGGACCATGTCGTGGATGAGTTTATAAAGGCATGTCCATGGGAACACCCCACCCGCAGCGTCGTCGACGTCAGCAGCAAAGGTAGACACGCCACTATCGCCCTTGCACGCGTAAGCAAACTCTTTCATGGTCTCGGCACTCGTTACTGATATCGCAAAAGGCCGTCTCGACGCTGAAAGTCGCCATCGAAGACGTCTTCCCCTTCCGTGCTCGAAAACGTATCAAAGCATTCGTCACAATGCCCCTCACTCGCTTCCCGTATCCACGCCTGCAGTACGACTTCTTCGACCCGCAGCCTGTCTACTACGAAGGTGTAGGAGCATTCTTTCTGCGACATATGCTGCATAACTGGGACGACGCTGATTGCGTGCGTATACTGCGGAACTTGCGGAGTAAGGGAGTGGCGTGTCGAGGTTCGAGGAGCATGGCCTGAGGCAGATGGATGTTATAATGTTTGTGGCGCTGGGCGCCAAGCAGAGGAGTAAGAGGGAATTCGAAACATTGGCGAAAGAGGCTGATAGCAGGCTCGACGGTCGTCGGGGATACTACAGCAACTTTCGAGGTAAGCTAATACAATGGCAGACTGTGAATGTGCTCAGTCAGGGAACAGTGGAATTGTTAAAGATAGATCTCAAGAGATAATCTTCAATGTACTTAGCATGCAAGTTAGTTACGTATACGAGTTAGTTGCTCCACTAAAACCTTACCAAAACTATAGCCTCTAATATAAGATTTGTATAATGGGAGTGGTAGAGAGAGCGACTGGGGCGACGCAGGTAGTAGAAAGGGTGAATTTCTCTGCGAAAACCCCTGCAAGCGCATCTAAGCTATGTGATAACACGCAGTATCACTATCATTGTAGACATCAGGAGGATTCGAAGATAAGCGCACAAATGACGCACTGACGTACCACCGTGCGACATGAGTGGTTGATGTTTGCTTTTTCGATGTTTCGGGATGTTGGTGGCGAACAGTCACGTGCTTGTGCTCGGCTCCTTAAGTAGTGGTTCTTCACCCCCACCCAGCCGTCGTCCTGATTTACATCAATTGATTCCACCACGTCCACAATTGTCATTATACTGAGTGATCACCCCTGTAATAATGCCCCCTTCCTACGGAACAAGAAGCGATCATTGCTCTCAGGAGTTCGGAACCACTTTCGAGCGCAGTCGAACAGTTAAGAGCCACGGCAAAAGCACGAGCAGAGTCCATTTTCAAAAACTATGCCACACTGGCCAAGCATTTGAAAGAGCATGAAGCTTTAATCCGTCAGCAATGGTCAAAGAAAAAACCTAAAGCAAGAAAGGCACTACTCTTAAAGCTGTGGCCGAACATGTCTGAGAAACACCATCCCAACATTGAGGCCTGCCAACAGGTAACCTCGAAGACCGAAAGGTGCGAAAATCACAGAGAAGCGTTTCTGTGGCCCCAGATAAACCTGGAAGATCTATCTCAAGGCAACACCTTACCAGTCTTTCTTCATTCAAGAGGCAGTCATAGCCCTGCTACATTCGCTGTCGCCGACGAATAAAATCTCGAAATCAGCGTGTGGGGAGACTCCATCGAGTATCCCCCGGGACCCGAGGATCTGTTCATCGTCCTCGCAACAGACTCCCCAGAGACATACGGCAGCTTAACGTACGAACCATCCCAAGAGGAGATGCGCAAACAGTTTATAATCAATGTATCTATTGGACTCTTGGTGTTGGAGGTTCAGGACAGGATACTGGAATTTCTCGTCGCCATATGTGAATCCATCATATCCGGCGCTTTGCCGGCCGAATCGGCCAAGTCTGTAGACCAAAAAGAGCAACCAAAGCCAGCCATTCCAAGCGACAAAGCCGACTCATATCTGTCCACGCTAGAATTGGCAAGAGAACGACCGTATCTGCCCCCGCGGATGGACGTAGGACGATTACGATCTATCGCAGAAAGTTACTTGAATGGATGGAAAAACCATGCATGGGAAATGCGTGAAAATCCGGCGTATTTCCAAAGAGTCTACCTAGATTGGGCAGATCACGCGTATGAGCAAGTTGTAGATGTTTATGAAAAGAGTCAGATGACCGAGGCGGCGTGGAATCGTGCGGCGCTTTTTGCCTGCTACGAGATAACCGCCCAATATTTCACTTGGAATCTGATCACTCAATTGCTTCGGAAAGTCGAACGATTTTACAATGACAGCGAGTGCGCTTAGCCGGAAGAGGATCCGGAATATCTCACCACTATGATCAGATTGCTCGTGATACTTCTCTATCGGGGACTATTATTAGCGACCAGGGATCTGAGTCGATGCTTTGCGTGCTGCCCTGGGTTTCGGGATATGCTTGTAAACGACGGTCATGTGCTTCATTTTAATTCGGATGCCGATATAGACGACAAGTTCCTATCGCTGCAATCCTGCGTTACGAAACTCGATGACAAGTCATTCCCACACAGAATCATGGCCACAGAACTCAACCGACTTGTTCTCGCAAACAAGGAAAAGAGAATCTCACCCATGACTATGCGGTATATAGACTACGTGAGTACATTCTGTGAGCTGGAAGGTGAAATACATGCTCTTTGTCCCCAGGCCACCTTGCTCATTGAGGCATCAAAAAACACTTGTTTTGAGGCCGTTCAGAAATGGGTCGAGAACGAATACCCAAATCACGAAATACTCTTCACCTGCACTAGGCCGGACAAATCCAAGTTGCGCTTGTTTGAGCGGAGTACCGGGATCCCCGACGCCCGAGATTGGACATACCCAGTCGACAAAATACGGACCAAAGAGCGAACAGAAACGATGCAAACTACGGAGAAATACTTGGACATGGTCTGGCAAAGGTATGATTCGTACATCCGACATCATACCACGCCACGAGGTTGGCAAGTATTCACGGACGTGTTTCCGGCAAACACCGCATTGTCGCGCACCCCAGATTGGGTGGCACCAGCACTACGAGCCGCAAAGAAGACGCCAGAGGCCACTGCCCCCGTTGCTCCGGCCGAGCCAGCCACAACGACCTTGGTATCTCGCCCCAAACCCAGCGAAGTGTTCGTGCTGAACCGCAAAGCATACAAGCCCTTTAGCATACTCTTTTTCCAGCCCACGGTCAGCGACGAGCCCGGCATGATCCCATGGACCGACTTTCTGTACGCGCTGAATGCCATCGGGCTCGTGCCCGAGAAGCGGTACGGCTCGGTGTGGTGTTTCACACCCAACGAAAGTTTCGTCAGCAAGGTCAAGGTCGAGACGCCTATCACCTTTGATGAGCCGCACCCGGAGTCGAAGCTGCCGTATCTGACGTCGCGATATTACGGGCAATGGTTGTATCGCACGTACGGGCTTGATAGATCGTCCTTTCAGCTCGAGTAGAAAAGTCGATTGATACCAGTTACTCTCTTTACTGGCTTGACACTGTTGATCGGATGTGGTAAATTGAAATAATTTACCAAATCGCATCTAAATTTCTGCGACAACTTAAGGTGAACTTATGGTGATAAGGCTAGCGACCGAACAACCGGCTCTCCGGAGCACCATTCTCTATAAGGGTATCTAGGGCGTGTGTCTGCTGTAGTGTGGGTTCGATAGGATACATCACGGATATATATACATGTATATATCTTGACATTCACGCTCAACAGGTGGAATCAAAGCACACCACGACGTTCTCCAATTACCCATCTATCCGCCCCAAAATACAAATTTTCGCATCTACAGTCTTTCTGGTTATCCTCTGACTTAACCGTTCTTCTTGTGCCTTAAGACAAGCAGCTAGCTTCTATCGCCGACATTGAACTGGTCGGACAGTTGGATGACTGACTTTTCCAACAGTTGTTTGACGAGACACAGCGATATTGAATACGCTTTAGGAGTTAGGCGAGGAGGTAGTCAACGAGATTTTTGCCTTTCATGCACCCATGTGTACGCTCAATCCAGATGAAACCAGAAGCAACACATTCAGTTGCCATTTCCTGTCGCAAGAATTTCTCTCAAGATTGAAGCCCTCAAGTATACATTCATTGGAACTGCTGGCGGTGAGAGCTAGAAATCGTGAATAGTCAACACCAAAAAAGATAAGCAGGAGCAAACCAATGAGAGAAAGCTGAGATTCGATTTGATGATGTCGCTAGCTAATCTATAGTAGCAAAGCACATGCGGCCTGAGTTTCCTCTGACTAAGGAGGACATGTGGAGACTATCGATTCTTACGTGCTGAGTGAGCACTGAAGTAAAAAACATCTGCTGCAAATTGGTGTTTCAAAAATGTAGGGACTGTCACATTTATTTCACCATACCACCTTGGTCATCAATATACCTCTGCATCTGCGAACGGAACTCGCTTTGGAAGTTTTTGACGTTCTCAAACGCCATTTTCAGATGGTCTTGAGTGAGCTTCCCGTTGCTCAAGCTATTGTTGCTCAAATTATTGTCTCGTGAGGCGCGCGCCAGACCTAGCGCCACGGTAACTGTATTGCGGATCTGGCGTCCATCAAACTGCGCCTTGCGTATGTTCTCATCGAACCAAGTGTCCATGATCTCGTCGTAGTCGTCTACCGCGTTGTTTTCGTTCAGCTTGTCAAGGAATCCCTTGAATATAGCTTTCATCTGATCGACGTTGAGGCTGTCATATTTGATGGCCACATGCACACGGGAGGGTATAGCGATATCGAACGTGGCAATATTGTTGGTGGTGAGGAACATGATACCGTGGTAATACTCCAGAACGCGGAGAAAGACTAGTGAGTGGAGCAGTATGCGTTAGATTCATTCGTTTGATATGATCCCCATTCCCATGGTTCAGTTTCTGTTGGAAATATGGCGGGCTTACCTGAGACCAAAGCATTTTTGTCAGCTGACTGCACTCGCTTTCCGGTCGATCGAGTTTCGAGAAAAACATCGGCTTCGTCTCTGCAAGTCACGGCGTTAAACCATGGGCTATGAGATGATGATAGAAACTCACAGCAGCAGGATAGCCTTCCATCTGGTCGCCAGAGTAAATATCCGAGAAAGATTTGATTCCACATGCTTGGCTTGAGTGCCTACGTCGGCGACGCTGACAGAGAAAAGCGGTTTGCCGGTAGCACGTGCAACAACTTCGGCGGTCGACGTTTTTCCAACCCCAGGAGGGCCTTCGAATATCATCTTCAGTATGCATCTCTAGAATATCGATGAAAGTTGATGTCTTACCATACAGAAGAATGATGAGTCCTTTCCCCTTGTCGGGGATTATGTCGTCAATTTCCAGCTTATCTTTTTGCTCATCGTCGTCATCTTTGTGTGCAGATGAGGCGTGGGACTGGACCAAGTCGTATATCAGTCGTTTTGTGCTCGTATCTATGGCAGTCTTCAGGTTAGCTACATACCTTTACAGCTAGACCATTGAACGGAAAGACCCTTGGAGAGCAAAGGAAAACTTACCCGGCTTACCCTTTTTCTTGAGACCAGCCCTTTTTTTGTCGTCGAGATCATCTGCAAGCCGGAGGCGGGAGAATTGTTCCTCCGTTTCTTCTTTCCTGTATGACGGAAGATCAATCAGCTGTGTGACCTGGAATTGCGCCCAGTGTTTTTCCTTCAATATGTATCCCAATACCCGCGGAGGGCAGAGGAGATATTGTTCTTCTTTCCATTCCTTTGCATTAGAATACTTTAGATCGTCGAGCCAAGCACGGGAACGCTCGATCAGTCCGCTATTGGTCTGACAATTCAAACAGCCACAAGGTGCTTCCGAGTTGGTGGGTTCTAAAGCTCCGTTTCGACCGTCAGCAGGACCGTACTGGAAGTATGAACTATAGTCCACCATGACTCTGCTGTTGATCTAAATTGGTAGTCAGTGGCTGATTCTTAGATCACGGCAAGGGATCACAGTTCTCACATCGTCAGACTTTGCAGTCGGTATGACGTTTGACAAGCCTAGCCGAGGTCCGAACAGTAAACGTTGGAAGATGCTGTGATAGCTCCTGGATCCGTAATCCCCGTCATGACTACTCTACATGTATGTCAGTTTCAGCGCCGGAATTGAGAGTGCTCGTGAGTCGAGGAAGTCATGCTCATTGTTGGGGGTCTACCAACCTCTTCGTCGTTTTTCATTCCTGAAAACCCTTTCTGCTCTCGGATTGCTTGGCCTCTGTATTCAAATAAACGACCTTCCTCCTCAGCCTCACAGATTTTACGAAATCGCTTGCCTCGTAAAACGAGATTTTCTTTGATGGAATCACGATTTGGGACAGAATCAAAAGGAGCAAAAGGAAGGGAAGAGACGGGGGAATGGCCTTCAAAGTATTCAAATTGGAGAGTGTATTCGGTGCGAATGAAGCGGCCATCTTTCCAGTCGTACGACCAGGCTGAAAGCTTCCAAGGGGAGTAAGTCTGTTCTCTTCCATGTTTTATTGGCCAAGTGAGCTGGATATCCCGAACCAGGAATACTTGGTCTTGGTTCTGGAAAGGCTTTCCGTAGACTAGTGTTCCTGGTGGGAATATAGTCCATAAATTCATGAACTGAACTGTCTCGGGTTTTGGTTGATTATCTCTGGACGCCTTGGCCGAATTCATTCTCGCCTTGAAGTATTTATCAAGGTTCGCGTCGCCGGAAGTCTCGTTCGAGATAATCTTCAATAGCTTTGCAAGGTCTTGGCGCGCTTCCCGGTCCTTAGCATCGACCGAATCTTTGTTGGCTGTCTCTTGGAGCTCGTCGAAGTCATATACAAAGTACTCATATGGAGATTGCAAGGTCGATGGGGCGCTTCCTTGAAAAATGTGGTAGGGGTAGTGCCCCAGTTTCTCTTTCAACAGATTCCAGAGACCAGGACTGATTATCTCAATCTCTGAGCTGTTTTCTTCTCGATCCCCGCCACCTTTATTGTCGTAGACATTCTTTTTCAGTATGAATGCAAATTGTTCCTTTGTGTCTTTGGACGTCTTCACTTTGCTGTCCTCTTCAATAGGCTCACCAGTCTCTGGGTCGATTCTGCTAATTATGATCTTGACTCGAGGATCGTCGCTTTCGTTTTTTTCCTTGTTCTGCGGCTCGTTCTGAAGTAATATTATCAATCAGTGACCAATCGAGCAAATGGGGGCTTTAATGGCGGTACATACGTTTTCTTTGATGACATTCTCCTCGGGCTTGGTTTCCGAGTTCACGGCTGCATCTTTCTGTGCTAAAGCCGTTTCGGTCAATGGAGTACCGCTGTTCTTTAGTTCCAGCTCACTGATCCGTTTCTCAAACGCCGCTATCTTTTCAAGTAGATCCTGGTCAAAGTCAGTAAACGTTTGATTGAACAATGAAAGTTGGTTAGGACGAATCATACGGATACTGAAGGCGCTTCCTCAGTGGTGGCCATTCTGACGTGGCCGCAGATAATGGTCTTTCGAAAGAAGTGGCTTTAACAATAAGAGATAGCGAGATTGAACGCTTAATGTAGAGTTGAGGTGACGTTTTCCGTTCCAAAGTATACAAAGAGGAAGCTATCATAAGACATAGGCGATGGTTTATAATTGAGAAGCAACACAGAGAAGCGGGGCCAGGCTGAAAATAGGCAAATCGATGTCCCACGAGGAAGAGGGGCAAGGCTGAAAAAGAGGCAACCCCGCCCATATTATCCATACGAAGATAAGGTAATCTTACACGAGCACCTACGTATCAGGCGAGTTTAATTTAGAAGGATATTGGCTGAAAATAGGTTCTGATGCATTCTGACACGAGTGCCGCTGCGTGTAGTTCAACTTGGAAAGGGGAAATAGTGCGCTTCGTCACAGATTACAACAGATTTCCAAAGAAACCTCCACGGGAATTCAGCAGTATCATCGCTCGTGCATGGAAATTGTCAGCTAATATATATATATATACAGGTATCGCGTTTTCCTACAATGGGAGCACAGACACAATGCAAAGATTACCCCGTCTGTTACTTTGCACGACGCACACCTCAATTTTCGGTGTCCGGTCGCATGCAGTCAGATTCTACGAGCCCTGAACCCGGCACTTAGCATCGGATGATACAGTAGCAGGTGTGTGACGTAAGCACTGGTTTCTCATGATTAGGGGTCACCGTTAGAAATCATAAGCCCTATACTCTGCTCTCGTGCATCTGTTTGCCTTGAGCTGCTTCTCCCTCTATTCACCCCAGACCCATCATCTTTGGGTGTAGCGGTAGTCAATACGCATGCACGATGCCTCAGCTAGAAGCTACGTTGGATGAAAAAAACAGGTACGGAAGTCAGAATGCGATTCAAGCGAAAAAGAAAGAAAAAACTATGATCCTATATAGGCGATGATGAATGATACTTTCTGTAGGAAACAAGTGCAAGAATGTGAGAATCAGCAGCAGCAAATAAGGGATCTGGTCAACAACAAACGAAAATTCACTGATAATGAACGTGGCGCGCTCAACATCACAACCATTGAAGCGTTCCAGAGCTACTGGGATACGACCCTTAACGAGAAAATGCAATTCGACAAAAGCCGCGAAAAAGGTGTCGCCCGCGCTGGTAAAAAAGTCACCAATGGACTAGCATCAGCTCAAGAGATCGTGGAAAATTTTAACCCGCTCATGGAAATCGTCAAAAGCCTTGGGGCACCGTTTGGGGGTATGGCACTGGGCACCCTCTGTTTCGTACTCGTGGTGGGTCGCGCAAGTTATGGTTTCATCATAGCATAGTTAAACTAAACCTTATAGATCGCAAAGAACCGAGTGAAGAGAGAAGACCTGATCAACTCCACACTACTCGACATTCAAAATCGATTACCTGGATTCCGGATGTATCAGAATATGCACATGGGAAACACGGAACTGGAGTATGAACTGCAGTCGACAATTGTGGGTGCCTACAAGACCTTCATTGACTTTTCATTGGAGGTATCCCGGTTTTATTCCCAGAAAGGAATCAGTAAGCCTCCCTCGTAAATCGGACAGTTAAAGAAGTATCATGATCACTGACACTTAGGGTTAGCACGATGGTTAAAGGTTTTTAGCAATACAGGCAAGATAGAAATCACGGCCTCGGCTGTGGGGAACGCGATTCTAGATGTCAGACGTATCTGCGATGAGCTGGTTGACCAGAATATTCATGAGATCAAGATTCAGAACGAGGGTATGCCCCTAGATGTCAATGTACCCATATCAAAAGCTAACTATTCCAAAAGTACTCATCCGTATCGGAGAAGAGCATATGAAAACAATCAACGGTGAGTTTAATCCAGCCACTGTATTTTTGGGAAGTTGAGCCCCTGATTACATACAGAACTTTTGGAAAGGCAATACACGGAGAAGCTGGACAGATTGAGGATTGCTCTTCGAATGGATCGCTATTCAGCAGAGGACCTTCAAGATCAGCTCATAACGCGAACAAAAGGCGTAGCAAGAGAATATGAGGCCTCGAAAGCTCTGGAAAGTGTCGAACGAAGCGGCGCATTCAGAAGCTGGCTTTTGTCCCATACGTCACAAATGTTCGTTTTATCGGGGCGGAACGATCGTCATGCCACACACTGTTGGCTTTCTCCAGTCGCATTGAAGCTCATTGCAGACAAGACCGCTCCAGAAGCGGCACAGAACGCTGCAAACATATGTATCTTTGAAATCCTCAATCTTCGAAACGAGAAGAATACTTTCGAACACATCACTCGTTCATTGATCTATCGGTTACTCCTGAACAGTAAGCACGGACTGGCCGAAGAGGGGAAAGTCGAGAAGCTAGATAAAGAGATGGAAATGTACACGCGCCTAGCCGCAAACCCCAAGGTAGCTGTGTATCAAATACAAGAGACACTTTCCAAGATAATGGTCCAGAGTCTCACGCTCTTTGATCCTGGGACAACTGTTTGGATCATCCTCGATCGTGCAGACCAGTGCCGTACATCTCGAGAAAAGGAAAGCTCGGGTACCAGAAATCAACAGCAAAAAGCTTTATTGAGGACTTTAGTTCACGCAGTTGAGGGATCTTCAATCGTGTTGAAGATCTTGGTCGTCGTCAATGCTACCGATTGGGACGTGCAAAAACACGCTAACGATCTCAGACAAAAGAAGGAAGACAGCGTCGTGATAGAGACGTATGAGGATGAGGATATCACTTATGGAGCAGGAGGTTAATTCTGCCATCTTTCAAAACTACGTAGCGCGAATTCATATGATCAACTTCTTTTGGCAGGCGCGTTTAGTGGAATTTGCTTGTGGGTCTTAGGGGCAGGCCTGATCGCTCGTACGCCATATCGATCATCTTCGCTTGTGCAATACTATCCTCGTTGCTGACCCACAGACCAGAACCCTCTCTTCCACGAATTTTGTTGACAAATTGCTCAAGCTGATGGCGGTAGGACGTCCAAAAAGGCTCACCCGGTTGGTCGATACCGGCATCGTTGAACGTGTAGATTTTCTTGGACTGCTTCTCTGACCAACGTCTTACGACTCGGCCGCCTTCTTTTTCCCGAATGATAAATTCGTCCTCAATGTCAATGCGATGCCAGACTGCTGCCACCAAGAAGTTGTTTAGGACTATGTTCCGGACACAGGTTTTGTTTCGGCCGTCAGGAAGGCTCTTGTCCTCCACTGTCACTTCTTTGTGTGACACTTTGATGTTGAAAGTGGGTATCGTTGTGACGCTTGCTTGCAGATCCGTTGTGATCTGGCCGATACGCCCTCCAGAGAACAGAAACCTCGCATCAGCAGCTTCATCGCAGAGCTCTCGAGGAGCAGGAGAAAGCCTGACAGTACATTTCGTACATTCTTCAGGTTCAGCGTCCATGACTTGCCTCACTGCGTACATTGGGTAGGATCCGAGGTCCAGCATATTTCCGCCTCCCATATCATATTCAAACTTGTTACCATCGCTCGGAATCATATGTGAAGGCAACTTCGCAACGGCGGTCACGAGGTTGATATTTGTGCGATCAACCAAGGAAAGAAAATGTTGCCAGACCGGCTGGAAGCGGAAATGCATTGCTTCAAGTAAAATGGGAGCATTGGGTTCCTGTAGGAGCGGTGACCAGAACAACCTCTCAGCCTCGACCGCGTTGACCACCGCTGGTTTCTCTAAAAGTACGTGTTTGCCTTTGGAAATAGCTTTGAGAGCCCATTCGTAGTGAGAGCTTGCAGGAAGCGGGATGTAAACAGCATCGATAGACGGGTCGTCAAGAAGCGCTGCTCATTATCAATCAGACATCTGAGTGAAGTTTCCCCGTCCAGAAAGAAGACAGCACTCACCCTCGTAGCTATCCTTGACATGTGGTATACCATGCTTTTTGGCATAGGCCACGGCCCTTTGCTTATCACGAGCCGCTATAGCTTGGATGACAACTTCGGGATGCGATTTCGCTGGTTTTATAAGCGCTGTGAGTCTAGATATCATTCAGCATGTTATCATATATGCTTTATGGACGCAAGCTCACGCAATAGTAGCTGCGCCAAGAAGTCCAAATTTCAAAGTGTTGGCGGCTTTGGGAGTTTCAGGCGGCGATGCTGTTTGTCGAACACGAGCAACAAATTCAAATAAAGAAGACATTATGTTTGGTTATAGAATGCGTCAACGAGGGATCCAAATCAGACTTTCTCTGGCTACGAAACTCTTGTGTAAAGGCGGGTGTTCAGCTAAATACTATCTTTTTATGTAGTACCACATAAGCCGTCCAATCACCGATAATAATTGTAGTGATGACATTTATGCCATTTAAGGCCTAGATTGGATATTCGTGAAGGAATCGCTCTCGATAAATCCCGTCGCCAGGATGTTGCTGACTTTTTAGCCTTTTGCGTTCTAGTAACAGCCGCCGTGACCCAGAACGCAAACAGTCAAAATGTCAGCACTCCCAAGATGAACATTGTCCATCTCGTCTCAACATTTTCGCCGAATTTACGTCCATTACCTTCCACTGAAATTATCAAACCAAAATTTACCGGCACAAGGTTCCATTCCTGCATACGACCCCTGTGGCAAGCGACATGTTAGGTTCGACAGCTGAGCCATCCTGCGACGCCGAAGCCAATGACACCGCAGCGATGCAAGAAGAGAGGACGCAGCGAAGGAGAGTCCCAAACCGGGTGAATCAAAGAGCCCACAGTGCGTGATTGTGCCCCACGTTGAAAAATGTCCGGGGATTCCCGACAATGTCTGCATCCGCTAAATGCGATGACTACCTATCAAGGACGCCGCACACGGGAAGGCGATGGCTCTAATACGAAAGTTAAGCAGCGGCAGTATCAAGTGGACCGTTGGCGGCTTGATGAACAACAATCCATGCGGTTGATTCAACGTTCACGACGGCCAAACGACAAACCCGACGCAGACCGACCCACGTCTAATCGAAGCTGTTCAGATCAAGACAGCATCCACGGAAATATACACGACTCTCAAGATCAATCCATATCCGCACCTTGGTTTCCCTTGCCAGTCGACCACCTGCTTCATCTGATCAAGTATAATGTATTCAGAGGCCTTGCACAGAACAAAGCGTTGATTGAATCCTCCACGATCCAATACCAAGATCCCGATGCATTATCACATGGGTTCTGCAATCATACTGTATTCCCCAGCTATTCGGTAATCATGCCCGTCGTACCGGACCTCTCCGGCTCGCTCACCCCTACGCCTACCCAAATGAATATGATACATTCAACTTGGATCAATTTCCTACCTTTTCCAACATTAAGAGACAGTTTTATCAAGTGGGAGTTCAGCTTCGATCATTCTGAGTTGATCAAAGATTTGGTAGGGGATTTGATCAACTGGCGCATATTCCTGTCCGCATCATCAATCTTAACGGCGGGGCCGGCTGATGGGACGAGAGTTGTGCAAAAGAATAGTGACTCCACTGCTACACAGACGGGTCTGATCGTTTGGGGAGAGCCGCATTTAGCAGATAGCTGGGAGGCGACCCCTGAGTTCTTGCAAAAGTGGGCATGGGCTGCAATGGACTGCCAAGAATTGATAGATTCGACAAATCGTTGGAGGACATCAAGGGGTGAAGGACCTCTGTTCACCGAAAAAATTACAAGCTAAACCCAGAGCCATCACTCTATTTGCTGTAAGGGTACATGCACGACCGCTACATACCTGGTTTCATTCCGTATCACATCGTACAAGACACTTATTTAGGCGAAAGGTGTCTGTGTAGTATCTGCGAAGTACTACTGACTGAGCAAAACTACCATAAACGAAGACAAGAAGAACTGAAAGACTGTAAATTGCGAATTGCGAAGAGCAAAAGGGTTGGTCACGGTGATGGGAAGTAGCTTTCTGCTGCGACAGAGACTGCAAAGGAACATCAATCGAGATCCTGCCTCTACTTGGCGCAGAACTATATGCCCTGCATGTACATACCGGTATCATCGCAGTAAACTTCGCGATGGAACATCTTTTGACCCCTCTAGATCCATCTCAGGATAGCCGGATCGAAGTTCCCTACTTTTGCCCCGAACCTTTTCCACTCGATGCAACAATTCCCTCGGAAACACATGAGAATTTTGAAGGGTTCCGAATGGCTGTACTTTGTTTTTTTGCACCAGATATTCAGGATTGTAGGGGTCGAGTTTGATCACCAGGACTTCATCGGCACTGCTCCAGACGGGAGGCGGGTGGTGACGACAGGAAAGCTACTCACCTATATCAACGAATGGTTCAGCACCAGTCAGAAAGCATCGCCGGAACTCAATGCGAGTCACCAGATTTCAATAAATGAGTGTATCCTTGAGGTACAGATCCAGTGTGAGAGACTGGACTGCGCTGGGTTGTCATATACTCCGATAATTCTTGCCATTCTTATCCTTGGCGAAACTCTGGGGTGCGCCGTGAAGCGGCTTACGACCTGTGGCCAAAGTGTTCAATACCTTCCCTATACATGAGCAGCCACGACTGGTATCCTAACAAGATTGCCATGCTAGAAAAGCTGTATAGTAACGCTTTGCTGGGTCATACAAGCCGGCCACGAAGATTGTCCTGACTATGTTGGTATATCCCATGTTTGGTCCGACGGGCTGGGGAATCTACGCGTAACAGACTTTCTCTGTGTCAACTTCGAAAACTCAACGAATGTGTGATCAAACTACAACAAGATATGACACCAATTCTTTTTTTTTTTTGATGCTTAAAAGCAGCAATATAATAACAAAAAGTGATCAAGTAATCTCATACTGCTATCTGTAGCTATAAGCACTATATTTATCTAGGTAGTAACATGCAGAAGTACCAGAAAAAGTAGCGTCCGACTGCGAGCTGTGGCCTGTCAACTGAGTAGTATGACTTTGACATTCTTTGCGAGAGACAAACGCCAAGAAAAAAGAAAAAATCCCCACGTACCCCGAGAACATCACGAGCCGCATCCTAGACATTGATATCTGATGTCGTTGGAGACTTGCATATGCATCTCGATGGTGTTGTGGCACCAAAATCTTGCATTGTAGGCGAGCAAACAACCTAAGCCTTGCTTCGAAGCACAAACGAACCCCATCATCAACAACACCACACTCCCTGCCACGCCACTCACTCATCCACTTTCGAATACCAACAAGATGGCAGCGCCACCCGGAATGATCGATCCATCCATCTTCGAGGGTCTGCAGGCCAAGGTCGACGAAGACACGGCCGTCCGCGATGTAAGAAGCGCACCTCGCAACTTTAGCGAGGAATCGAGCCGCACGTGACAGCGTACTCACAACGTGACAGGAGCTGAAGGACATTATCCAAGCGCTCGAGAAGAACAGTATGCCATTCTATACCCCTCTACATTCTTGCAATATTGACTTTTTGATAGACCGCAACATCTCGTTCGTGCAGTCGAGGGCGCACTCGACGCCCGTTGCTCAACGTGCGTAATTTTCTTCCCGGGGCTACCAAGCGGGCAGCGTGTCAATTACAACGAAAGCTCACCGGACACAGTTGCGTCCATCATCCAGGCCTCGGAAGACCCTATCAAGAATGCGATCGAGAGCATCTCCAGGCTTGCTGGCGTGGCGTCGAAGCAGCCGTACTACAAGTTCAACTTTATGTGGACGCGCCAAGTGCAGGACGCGGTACGTCATCAGATGCATCTTCCCTTCAGCCCCACGAAACACAATCCCGCTCAAAGCAAATGCTGATTGCTCCCTTAGATCTACAGTGTGCTGCTATGGGCCTGGTTGGGCGGCAAGGACTTTGGTGATGGCAAAATCAAGTGCGGGCGTCTTTTGACTATTGAGGAGCTGGGCGAGGTGCTCAATGGTGCGCATTCACAATTCCATCCGCAATATTTGCGGGACAATTCGATCGCTAACATGCGGCAGTCCCCGTCAATCTCAAGGATCAGGACGAATTCCACATCACCATCGAAGAATATCTTCTCGCGCTAGTCTCGCTCGTCGAAGAGCTGGTACGTCGACCACCATTCACCCTTCTCGCATCCCCCTGCTACATATAACTGACTAACGTACATCGATCAGACGCGTCTGGCGCGCAATGCCGTCACGCTCGGCGACTACGAACGCCCGGTGTTGATCAACCAGTTCGTCAAGGACGTGTTTGCGGGCTTCCAGATTCTCAACCTCAAGAACGACGTGCTCCGCCGTCGCGGCGACGGACTCAAGTACCGCGTCAAAGATGTCGAAGACGTGGTCTATGACCTTTCGCTGCGCAATCTGCTGCCAAAGAAGGAGCAAGAGTGACAGCTATGGGAATATGGTGTGCATTATTGGTGAAATCTGTTCAAGTGTGGCGCAGCACTGAGTGGAGTACTCGAGGGAGGGGAAAAATACACACCTCCGATTATGCATGAATTCAAAAAAATTGCTCAGGACCATAAAAAAATGTTCAGACTTAAATTCTACGATACAATCATCATTTTGCGTATGTGGTAAGGGACAGAATTCATACATGTAGTTTGCGATTGGACTTGCTGGGCCGCACCGCCACAGAAGCGGGATCTGCACTGCACAGACAACCTCAAACATCAACCCCAAACCAACCGCATCACCACCTCCGTCCCTCCAATCTCACAACACACTCAATGCCAATGTTCTAACCTCGCACTTACCCATCTCCCTCGAAATAAGAAGAAAGAAGAAAAATGTCAACAACAGTCATCGGCGGCGCCCCCCCAAAACCCCGCCCTCCACCAACTCCAATCTCGCACCTCCCCACCGACTCCGCACGCCTCTACACGCATATTCACCCGCTCCTCCTCCTCTCGCTGTACACGTACCAATTCCCTTCCATCGTTGCGGACCCCGTGGCCGGGCTCGCGGCGACGCTGGTCCCGCTCGCAGCGCTGCAGATTGCATATGTGGCAGTTTGTCTGCCGCCGACGGGGAACGGGACGGGCAGTGGAGCAGGCAACGGACCCGCATCTGGCGGTGCCGGGGGAGAAAAGAGGAAGATTGGCGAGAAGAAGAAAGCGAACGGGAGTGCAGGGAAAAGTGACGGGATAGGAGGAAGAATAATAGTAAGTTGTCCATTCTTTGATTTTCCCCTCTCGTTTTTAATGGTCTTTTATCTTGTTTTGGGCTTTGACGATATGGGAAGGATGGCTGCTGACGAAGAGTGTCGAATACAGCCTGCGGTCTTATCCGTTCTTCTCTCCCTGCTCGTCGCTGCGCCGCTGCTGACGGCTGCTCTGGTTCTCTTCGGCGCCCCGATCACCACACACCACGCCCACACCCTCCTCTGCGGCGCGCATATCGCGTTTCTCGCGGCTATCCCGCTTGTATACGTACATGGTGTCGATGGTGCAGCGTGGCGCGATGCCGTGGCGCTGTTGCTTCCCGTCGACGAAGTGTATGGCGGGTTACTTGGGGCGGTTTGCGGGGCTTGGTTAGGCGCTGTGCCTATCCCGCTGGATTGGTGAGATTCCCTCATTTTCTTATCCTCCAGACACAATGAACTTATGCTGACGTGCGGGTGTTAGGGATCGCGAGTGGCAGAAATGGCCTGTGACTATTGTCACGGGCGCGTATATTGGGTATGTGTTCGGACGGTTGCTGGGCGGGACGATGTTGAAGGGGAAGAAGGTCATGTTTTGAGTCCCCCCCCTCCCCGCGAGTTTCTTTCGTCTGCCGGTTTCTCGAAAGAATCAGGTAACCGCGCGTGCGTGTATATCCGCTGTACTATTTGTATCATCGTATCTATGGTAGCTAGAACCACTGCCGTGTGCTCCAACCGCCACTGTGAACTTCAAATTTCTTTAACCCCCGCTGCTACTGTTCTTACTGTCCCTCCATCAACTGTCAAGATCCCGCAAAGCAGTGCGGCACATCACCTTTGTATTATTAGTACACCTTCCACATTTCTGGAGATGTAAGACTAGTTGCGGGTAATTACTCACGTAATCTCCCTGCTCACAGGAAAAAAACCATTCAGAATCATCCCTATTCCGTGCACCAGGACATCACAGTGCCTCTCTACCATCCAACCACCCAAAACAGTCCTTCAAACTTCACAACAATCTACATAATCGTTGACTCTCCACTTCCCATCCACGCTGAACTTCTTTGCACCTCAACTATCCTCTTGTCGTTTCTACAACAGGAGAAACAGCGAACAGAAAACACAAAATCCATAAACCACACCCCCGAATTTTTTTTCCTTTAATACACTTGTTGCTTTATTTTAAGCAGCGCCGCGATGACCAAACATTCTATAATCACGTTTTTTCTTCTTTTTCTTTTTTAAATTTTGCGGCATGGAATGAATAAACATGTCGAATATCACAAGTATCCTCACTTCTAAATGCCATTACAAAGCCACCATCTAGATAGAGGTATGCTTCGATTTACGGACGTTGATGGTCCACTCGCATATTTGTTTATTTGCGTCTATTACCACTAATCTACATTTTTTTTTGATGCGGCATTTTCACGTGCAAGGAATGCTTTGATATGCATAACTTTATATGTAATTGTGTTTTTAGAAACGCGGTGGGGAAATACTGAAACGAGATAGATGGGATAGGTAGGTTTGGATGGGATAGTGCGTATCGTAACAAGAATTATGGTGTTGATGCGAGTGAGGTAATGAGGTATTATAGATGCAAGTAGTTTCTACTAAGCACAGCAGTGAATTATCGCAATCGTATGCGGCGCTTATAATGTGCGAAAGTTCTGCTTTTGAGCTCTAGGCGATACACACATGGTCTGTGGATGTTACGGAAATGATGAGTTGTTTATTAAGAATAGCGGAGTGCAGAACAGTATTGTCGATATACTATGTATCCTAGATATTGAATACGATTAACGTAAAAAGTATCATGGTTACAACATTATTAGGAGTTGGAACCCAATGAGCTGCTTTGTTTATTCGCAAATAATAGTCTGCATATGTCGGTTTCAATGCATTACCACGGAACTGATTTTCTCTGTAGTAGTGGATTCATCGCCTTTCTATGTCACATGGAGACTTGGCGTCTTCATATGTCAGAACCTTCTACATTACCTTGATTTGTTTAAAATGTAGGGTTATTGTGTATGTTTTGAGGTCTTACTACGTAACTGTAATACACACATGGAGATTGAGCAATCTCATATATCAGAGCTATCTAATGCGTCTTGTTATGTGTCGAAGGTAAAATACTTGTGTGTTTTTCGAGGTATAATCAGGCAACTGTTTTTCTCTGTATTAGTATTTATTTATTTTAAGTTGGAGTTAAGGTGTTCCTGCACACAACGATGGTTTAAAACGATGGAGATAAACTAAACAGGCGACTACTGCGAAACTGTATTGGTATATCTATCAAATTTTTGAGTAGCGCGATCTACACATGTAGATCTAGGGTTCTCATATGATAGCAGTCTCTGAAGTGCCTCGCTTCGTGGTAATAGTAACATGCATATGCATTCTTGGTTGCATTATCATGGAAGTATTTTTCTCTGCAGTAGCACTCGCATGGCACTTATATGTAGTAGCATGACCTACGTATGTAGATTTACCATTTCCATGTGTCACGACTCTCTCAAGTTCCTGTTTTAGCGCTCATAGTAGCATACTTACTAAGTTTATGATTTAATCATCGCATTTCCATGCGGTACAAACACTGGGTATTGAAAAATCACACGATAAATCTGCCTTTGAGCTCCAGGCAGGACAACACATGTTCCGTGGTTCAGTAGCATACTTACGTATGTCGAGATGTACTATCCAATAATCATGCTTTCTTGTAGTAACATATATACCGCATCTCAACGCGCCACGATCATATATGTTCGGCATATGTAGATGTTGAGTTATCATGTGTTAGGACTCTCTGGAATACCTCGTTTCTTGTGCATAATAGCATACTAGCGCATATCTGGATGTACTATCATGTAGCTCTATTCTGCGTCTTGTTTATCTGAAGATGCACCATTGTCAAGAGTTTGAAATCTCTAAGATGGCTTGTTTCACGTATCTGATTGTCGATTTACATATGTCTTGATGTATTGTCACGTAACTCTAATCTACGTCCTGTATATACGTAGATACAATGATGTCAAGAGTTTGAGTTCTCTGAGATGCCTCGTTTCACACAACTGATAGCATACTCGCGCATATCTGGATTTACTATCACGTCACTCTATTCTGCATCCGGTGTAAATGTAGATACAACAATATCAAGAGTTTGAACTCTCCGTGATACCTCGTTTCACGCAACTAACAGCATACTCACACATGTCTGGATGCATTATCGTACAACTGTATTTCGTACTACACAACTTCAGTGATGATGATGGTTTGCGATTTCCAATCTTCAGACGAACCTTCTTCAGTGCAGTGACCGATTGAGGAAACCACCAGAATTGGTGAGGAAACTACCACCCATCGCCGTGCCAGTGAGATATACATCGTCATGACGGTTCTCTTCAGAACCTCAATTCTTCATCATACTGCCGCCGCCGCCGCCGCTCCCTATCCCGCTGCCCGTTTTTTTCTTCGTTTTTTTTCGAAGATGGACCCTCTGGAGAGGAAGTACTACCACTCGCAGATTGAGGCTGCGATGTGAGCGAAGATGAGCGCCATCGTCTCCGCCCTCGCCCTCGCCATCTCCCTCCTCTCCCTCTTCGTCGCTCTTCTGACCTGGAGGAGGCCCCGGTCTCCCCGGTCGGAAGAGGTAAGTGTTCTTCGTTTTTCAAGCACCTTTCACTTGTCAATTCCTTTTACTTATTCTCTCTTCTTGTCAACTTGTTCTCTGTGATCAAGATCTTCCCTCTGGTCTTTGCAACTATAGTATCATTGCTAACATTGTGTAGGATCCCGCCTCCGCCGCCTCCGCCTCCGCTGCCGCCTCCGCCTCTGCTGTCGCCGCCGCCTCCTCTGCCTCCTCCGCCGCCTCCACCCGCCCCTCCTCCCCTCGCCCCTCCCCCTCCAGCCCCCCTCCCACCGCCTCCGCCTCCGCCTCCACCTCTGCCGCCTCCACCGCCTCCACCGTCCACCGCCGCATCTCTGCGCAGGTGAAGGGCAAGGGGAAGGCCACTGAGGAGGAGACCTCATAAACAACTCCCGAGGAGGCGATACCTCGTTAAAAACTCTCCGGAGAGGCGAGACTTCGTAACCAACATCCCAAGGAGGCGATACCTTGCTGACAACTCCCCGGGGAGGCGAAACCCCGTTAACAACACACCCTGGGGATGGACCAGTACCTTGCCGCGGTCCTGGGGCTGCCTGTCAGTTGACAGCGCTCCAAATCTGGTCCAACACATCTATCTTTGACGGTCAACTCTTCATTTGGCTGTCTTCATGCTCTTTCTCTATATTCCTTGAAAAACTCAGTTAGCGGCTCTCTCTACATCTTTGGCGGCTATCTCAAGGCTCTCCGTGCAACTTTCTCTCTCTTTCTCTTTGGCATTTGCCTTTCTCCATATCCCACGTGGCAGCTCTCCTACACTTTATACGCGGTGGCTTCTCTTCACCCACAATCTGGCGGTACTTCTCTTCATAGTCGTGGCTTTTCTATACTTCACTTAGCGGTGCTTCTCTTTCAATACTCTGGCGGTGCTTCTCTTCTCCTAATCGCGGCTTCTCTTCGCGTACTCTGGCGGTGCTTCTCTTTACACACTCTGGCGGTACTCCTCTTCACTTGGCGGCGTTCTTCTTCACTTGGCGGTGCTTCTCTTCACTTGGCGGTGCTTTTCTTCACACTCTCTGGCGGTACTTCTCTTCCCACACTATGGCGGTATTTCTCTTCCCACACTATGGCGGTACTTCTCTTCCCACACTATGGCGGTGCTTATTCCCACACTATGGCTGTACTTTCTTCCCACATATGGCGGTACTTCTCCTCACACACTATGGCGGTGCTCTTTCACAACCTCTACACGGTGGTTTTTTTAAACATTGCGGTACCTCTCTACACCTCGAGGGTTCCATCTTTCCTAGTATTCAGCGGGATTGACTTCTATATTCGGCAAATCTGTCATATCTTCGTTGCGGTCCTTGGTGCGGTGGAGATCCTCTGTACGTTCAAACTTCATTGGCGTCTATCTACCTTCTTCTTGCCGGCGTCTGCCAACATCGTAACGTTATGTTCCATTGCCTATGGCTGATAATGCTCAAACCCCAAGGTCTACGTTGCTTGTTATGTCTCACTATCGCACGACACTATCTCGGGTTCTCTGAGTCTTCCCTCAGTTCTCATTTCGGGTCCTCGCGGAGCTCCACTCTCCACCTCCGCCCACTATCAGTCATACCGCCCAGCTCCCGGTAGAAATCCGTGAATTTCTGACGTATCGGCCAACAGAAGATTTCCCAGCTGAGGGAAGAACTCTTCCCCAACGACTCCCTTTTCTCCGAGAATTTCTTGGACATCAGGTTTTCCTCCAGATTGTTCATCTCGCGAAACTTCTTCATGGCGTCTGCAAACTCTGACTCCAGCGTCTCTGGTAAATCTAATGCAGCAATTATGGCAGCATGCGAAACCAAATGATCGGACAGGTCGAGTGCACCAAATGTCTGACCAAGCTCATGCAATTTCACAAAGCTCTTGAGCAGTGTCTCTGACTCCTCTCTCGTCGAATTCCAGGTGTGACAAAATGGTGTGAACAGCTGCAGAACATAGTCGACCGGAATCATCAGCCTCTTTGCTGGAGCTTGAACCAAGATCCTTATCGTTTCCATCCTTCTAATAATACCGGGCGATACGGTTCCTGTCTTGTTTTTCCATTTCATGAGAATCATGGTGTCGTGTATGAGGGCACTAAGGTCGCCGGTAATCTCGCGGATCTCGAACTCGATCTTATCGGAGGGATGCTGAGGCATCGCAATACAGAAATGATCCTTCAAGGGAAATATTCTGCCTTCGGCGTCACCAAAACTCCCATAGTCGACGCCAAACGTGACAGCCATGATGTATGCCAGAATCGAGCGGAGGAGTTTAACTTCATTAACCTCATTGATGATCAATTGCATGAGCCGCGGATGCAAGCAATCGAAATAAGTCCATTCAGTCGAGAGCGGTGACACTTGCCAAACGTCCTCGATGATCTTCGAGTCCGAATCCCCACTAGCGGCTACTCTAGCCGTATCACTATCTCTTCTGAGGCGAGCGGTTATCCGCCGTCTCATTCCCCGAGTCCATTCTTGGAATTTCTTATCCCCACGAGATGTCGTCTTTGGATTGAGGCCCGATCCATCTGTATTTGCAAGCGTTACACTAGATGCAGCATATTCCAGTCCTGATTTCTCCATTTCGCGCAAATCTTTGCTCTCAGCCAGTGGAGAACAGAAGTTGTCGGAGGAGAGAGATTCTCCGGAAAACGGGAATTTGAATCGGGTATTAGCTGCGAGTAGATCTTCTTTGGCTCGAGCTTCGATTCAGAAACTCTAGATGGGGTTCCCACAGGAATCCGAGGAGAGTGGTCTAAACCACGGTGACACACGTTTGGATGGGTGACGATGTAATTGTCTGCGCTGGCAACCGTTTGGGATCGATGGCGGGTGTCCCTCGGGATTGGGGCAACTAGATGAAATTGGTAACGTGAGTCGAGGGTGTTCGAAGTTCCTGGGGCACTGGGAAAAGGTTTCAATGCCTCGCCTTTTATATTTCACTGTTAGCATAAGCTCGGCTTGGCATTCTTTCATATCATGAGTCAATGTTGGACCTAGAACATCAAACCATCGTCAAAAAACAGTTTCATGATCCCATTATCACTCCTACTTTTTGATTGAGTTGACCTGAGTGGTTGAGCTGTGGTGTTGTGATCCTCGTCGAGACCCAATCTGCGCTCAGCTATTCCGGATCCATGACTCAGTCATTGCAATTGAACAAACGATGACAAGCGGCACACTTTGGGACTCAGTACCATGGTTGGAATCGCTCATGAGCTAAAACAATAATCGTCATGTTACACGCTGCCATCTCCACTGGATCGTTGGGCGTCGTATACGTCACTACGTCAAATGCGCAGTCAACGCTGCGCAACGGCTAAGAGGTTCAGCAAGTGAACATCAGCTTTAATGTGGCGTTCAAGTGTCAGAAACCCAAAGTATCCCTTTTTGGCCATTTTGCAAAGTCCGAAAGATTTATTCGGATTTCAGTATCAACACGTAATTATTCTCCATGATGATAGAACAAAAGTCAGTAGTATTATACAAACGGCTCCCAAAGAAGCGCTAAGCGTCCATCCGCCAAAATAAAAATTATTATACAGCTGATCATTTTACAAAATCGAAATCACGCATAGCGTATCACACCAGAACCAACCTTCTCTTTAGTAGAGGAAATGCAACTCCACTTCTTCCCTACATCCAGCTCCTGCGGCGATCCTCGGACAAAATGCACGCTAGGATTTCCCTGCCTTCTATTCTCATCTGTAACTCCTGCGCCCATCTCTAAACGGCGCTCATTCGCCTCAAGTTCTCTACGCAAAGGCGTGCCGTCCATTTCGCCTCTCCACCGCCCTCCTAACCAGCGCTTGTTCCACGTCGATTCTCTCTCTTTCTTAGTAACTTCCTGGTCTTTATCTTCATCTTGTACCGGAGTCCCATGCCGGCTGTGCAGCAAACAGATCACGAGTATTATGATTGCTGTCGCGAATGCGATGGTGACAATGACTATGCCAGTGATTACACCAGCGCTTAGGTTAATGTCTTTCCTCTTCGCGCTCGCGACATTTTCCGTGGGCGATCCTTTTGGTGGCTCACTCGGCGGAACTTTCGATGACTCCCGCGGTGGATCTTTTGGCAAGGAAGGGTTCGTAGGTATGGAGTAGGATGGTGGAGATGATGTCGAAGATGGTGGCGCCAGATTTAATTGTTGCGAGAGCGAGTTCACGTATTCGGGTGGGAATTTGGACAAATCACTGGCAGCCCAGCCAACTGATATTCCTTTGGCTATGGCGAACCCCTGGGATATTGTGATAGTTTCTAGGGGTTTGGTTTCGCTCGAAAGTTCGTTCTCGGTGCGTTTCCTTTTCTTGCAGTCGTTGACGGTGCTCGCACTGGCAAGGGCGCCATAGTCTGGTGAGGCTGCAGGGGTCCTGGCGGGAGGGGTTGTCCTGGAAGGTATTAATGTAGCGGTGGATATGATTTTGTCGCTCGTTTGTGGGGTTGGGATTGTGTTGGGGTCTTCAATCGCGCTGCTAGTTTTCCAAGCTACAACAGAGACGGGTGTTTCGATGGAGCTGAAGCAAAGGTTTGGTCCTTGAAATACGCTATCACCGTCGAAGTGATACATTGCACTACAATTATGGAAAATCAGCACGTATTTAGTACTCTGTTGTGTACGGGATGATCATAGGAGTTCGCCCGTGGCGGGGGAAGGTTACCTTGGACAGCACTTGCCCTCCCAAGAATCTCTCGTGTTGCCGATGGGATCTACGCGATGCATAGAGGTTACTTGAGCGAGAGTGTACCCTGTTGGGCATGCAGCGGGGCTGTAGTAAGCGCTTTCCGAATACAACTGGCATGATGCTTCGAGCTCGCCCTGACCATAGTTGACAACAAAGGTGCGAGAGTCTCCCGGTGGGTACGTTTGGGCCCAGCGGCTGGCACATTCGGGAGCCGATTTAATTTGCGACGGAATAGGGATGTTACTTGTTTCGAGAGCTACTACGCTCACTGTGGTGGAAGTGATGGTGTACGGCGTGGAGGTTGGCGGCGTGGAGGTTGGCGGTATAAATGAATATAAGTTTGGTCCCGGGACAGCCATCGTGGAAATGGAATCCAGAGCCTGGAATGTGCCAGGACTATTTGTTGAACAGATTACTGAGAGACAAGATAGCAACATATGAGAATATGAATGATTTATCAAAGAGCATAAGGGGTGCATATAGACTGCGGCATTTCGCCAGTCACAGCCACACTCGATGTGTAGGACTGCATTGTTGTCAAAAGCTCAATCTCCTCACGATCACAACTTACGACGCAGCCTTGCATTATATGCGACCCAATCGTTGCCTTTTTTGAAACGTAGAAAGGTGACTGGCTTGTGTGCAGAGAGGTGGGGGGAATACGAGGTTTTGGCCCCGCAGTGTTACTGGCGGCCACAGTATGGGTGAAGAATAGGGGCGGCAGAGTTCAAACAAACAGTGAACAAGAAACATTTGTAATGAAAGGGGCACAGGCAACTGGAAAGTCAGGGCGAAGTCTGTGGAGGACTATCCGCATACTGTACATGCCAGGGCGGACACTGCGCTCCATAGATGCATCACAGGGAAAGGCCTACCTAAGAATAGAGTGTTGACTGCTCTCTATAGTTTAATATCATGTTCAAAAGCATTATAACGTAGTTTTGAGAATATTTTAAAAGGATCTAGACATACGGTAAAGCTTTGAATGAGTGTTGTTAGCTGATCCTATAGTGGGCCCGCCCTGGTAAAGTATGAAGGACCGCATGTTCTACACGGGATAGGGTAGGCATTTTGATGGCTTGCAGAAGCTTCCGAGTGATTACTTTGAACTTATCTCGCTCCGCCGCTATGGAATTAATTCTAGTGTCGATAAGAGGACCAAAATGATGTTTGTCGCTGATACTTAGTAATCTGCAGTTATCCGTTGGTCGGGAGAGGCAGTTGAGCTCACGAATCGCTCTTGCAGTAGAATGACGGTGACGCAACGCTACCCAACTAATCTTCTCAACCTATGACATCTCACTCAGTTCTGCAACATAAATCCTGCAGCCCAATCTACACTTCTTCCCAACTGTGCAACAATTCCATCGAGAACTACACCGTCTACCTTTTCTCACTTAGGAAAGCTCAACTTCAACAATGTCGAGCTCGAACACAACCTCGTCCGTAGATAAAACCATGCCTGCAATCCCGGACTCGCTCTGGCCAGACCGTCCGGAAGGACTCCCACCTACTATATATGATCTAGCCCCTCTAGTCCCCGAATTCCAAGCATGGGTTGAAGAGGGAAACTTGGAGAAACTACACCAAAAATACAATGTAACGAGGACGTTGATGGATCCATTAGGAAGACTGGAGGCACCTGTTGAGGCGGAATTTGAGCTCTACGATCTCCTATCGGCGATACCAGCTGTGGCGGCTATTCAAAAAGCCGTATACAAAGAGCACGACAGCGCATATCGGCCTACTGCAGAAGGAGAGCAGCAGTGCATCCGACTAATGGCCATGATGGAGGGCTGGGAACTGGAGAGCAACGAAGACGATGACGACGACGATGATGACGATGACGACGAGAATGACGAGAATGACGATGACGACGAGAATGACGAGAACGACGAGGACGAACACAACGATACCGAGCAGAGCTTCCCCATGCTCGAAGAATCAATTCTACCAATAACCCTCCCTAACCCCGAATTTCCCGTAAGCCCAAAGCCAATACTTCACACCACTCTCTCCAGTCCACGAAAAAGATCTGGAGTCTGCCTTAGTAGTCCGGCGAAAAAGACCCTACACTCACACCGCCGAATTCACAGTCGTTAGGTATACGACCAACAGCAAGTATATTAGGATAAGCTATTCACACTTCCGCGTGCGCGAGGAAAGAACATCCATATCGCCACGGTTGAGTGCCAACTGGGAAACAACGGGCTGCAGTTTCTAGAAAGGAAGTAGCAATGGAATTCAATCGAACATCTCATGATCTCATGCACCAGCCTTCACTCTTTAGTCAGACTTTGCCCAAGCCCAGTTCCCACAATCCTGCTGCCCACTCGAATCGTGACCTAAATCCAACATGGCGGAACAGACACTGTCTACTGTAGAAGAGAAATATGTCGAAATGTGGGATTCATCAGCGTACCACAATTACACCATGATCCGCTACATTGTGGAGCAGATGTCGCCGCAAAGGAACCCCTGGGAATTCTTTTGCAAACTTCACGGAGACCCGAATGACGCCGCTGATTGGGATATTGCGACCGTCAAAACAATGAACGAAGTCGCAAAACTGTTTGCCGAAGAAACGATAAAGCCGGACTGGGGATTGATCCCAGATGAACTTTGGGAAGGAGGCTCTGGCCACTACATTTGGTTCAGAAAAGAGATCCAAGACAACGAGGACTGTACCAAAGCAGAAGATTATTTGAAGTCATTTTTCAGATAGACTTGCAAAAGAGCGCTAAGCAAGGAAACTATACCGTCGTTCTGAACTAATGTCGCCATGTGTCGTATACGTCACTACGTCAAATGCGCAGTCAATGTCGCCATGTGTGTTGTCCTGTTGGTCTCTACCGTCACTATTCCTATTAGTCTTAATGTTATCTAGACTACTAAGAGTACTTAAGTAGTATTAAAATTTCTAATTATAAGAGTAAAACAGGATTTGCAACAACGCAGCACACGCTATTGTCAGCACCGACAAGCAGTTCATACCCTCGAGGGCATTACATTGGTCCGGGCCAGTGGTATACCGCGTTCCTTTGGAGACAGTTCGACCAAAAACTTCAATGTATAGATGTCTATACTGGTCAATCTGCACGGTCATCTCGACCGTTTTTCTTGAATTTGCATTGGCCGGAGTACATACGCATGTATACAGACACATGCGGGATGTCGCATATCCCAACGATCCACCGAACTCAAGCATGGCATCTGAACTATCAATGTGCTGGCTCAACAAGGCTAATGATCTTGTTTGTCAGCATCAAGTTATAAATCAAAATATTTGACACTATACAAGAAAATCAGAGATTTGACACAAGAACCCCGACAGAAGATCGGAGATCAAGCCAAATCCGTTTGAACGTACAGGATGCGCTTCTCAAAGCAGACGCTTACTGCATCCTGAAGAGTATGATCAATTCGACGAGCCAGATGACCTCTATCAATACTTCGTATCATGCGTGGTGTGCTTTAGTTTGCGCCACCAAGTTATGCGATGCCCAATTGAACACAGTCACAAGGCACGCAGACGAAAACATCGAGGGTTCGCTTCTTCATTGCTTATGCTAAGCTGACCTAGTCGAATCTGATTTTACGTCATATTGATCATGCGTGCCACTTTTGTATGTTTACAGGCATTGTCAGTGGCTAGAAGGGCCTGCGTCGACGATAAGTGTGGTGTTACTACTCGGGAAATACGTTCTTTTAGCATCGGTGAAGAGCAGAATAAGGAGGCAGCTGACAAAACTCGGCTCATGATCTCAATTAGGAAATACTCAGAGGGTGTTTGATTAGCGTACTGCGCAGCTTTTAAGTGACGGGCTGCCGGAAGTGAGAGACTGTGAAGTCTTTTCATTTACTTGAGATTAAATTAAGCATGACCATCCGTGACTGATTCATCCATAACAGAAAGTCCATCTATTTCATCAGTCCTGGTCATCAATATATTCCGATATGAAGTCTCCCTTGTCAGTATGGACGATTATCGTTCAAACAGTCGGTCTTGTCTGCCTCAGTCTTCCAACCACAATTATCGCGCAAAGCTGCACACCCAGCACCACGACAAGCGGCAATTGTACAAGGCAGAGGTTTTCCAATCTAGGCGTTATCATCGACAGGATTGGTGTCGTGGGCCCGGAAGAATGCTTCTGGGACGGGCCCCCACCCACGGACCCGGCAGTTACTTCACCTGCATATAACATTCCTCAGGGATCATGTGCTCTCATTGCCCGTCACCCGACTCAGGGATGGCGCTTCGGGCTCATTCTTCCCCCACCAAGTCAATACAAGCGTCGCTTCTTCGCAACGGGGAACGGCGGTTTCAATGGCGGGATTAATTGGCCCGAGTTTTCATTCGCTCCGCATTATGGTGCGGCGGTAGTTGGTACCGACACAGGACATAATTCAAGTGATGCTGGTTCCGGGTCCCAGGACGGTATGAAGTGGGTCACAGATGCGACCAAACGCACCAACTGGGCCTACCAGGCCATGGACGGTGCCGTTCACTTTGGGAAGATACTCACCAATGCATTCTACGGTTCCGGTCTTAGTGTTGAACGGGCCTACTTCAGTGGGTGCTCGACTGGTGGTCGGCAAGGACTCAAGTACATCCAACGACATGCCAACGATGCTGACAAGATGGATGGTGTCATTATTGGGGCGCCCGCGTGGAATCTCAAGGAAATGCTGCCGAACCAGATGAACACAGCTATCGCTAATCTGCATCGTCAAGCCGATGGCAACATAACTTCAACTCCGGTCTTGGAACGCGCAGAATGGGCAGCCTTGACAGCTGCTGCTTTTGCACTCTGTGATGCAAAGGTTGACGGATCCAGCTCGGCTAACTACAACCCCGGTGGTGACAAAGTAGTTAGTATCGACGACTGCTTCACAGGCAATGAAACTGAATACAACGAGTCTCTGAAGAGAGTCGCCCCTAATTTGACCGATGAGCAGCGTTTGGCAGCCGTGGCCATTTACAAGGGGCTGGTGGTCGCGGTTAATGGCGCCAAGATGACTGTGTTTCCTGGTCCGCAGCCTGGAGGCGAGGCCGACTGGACACTCGCTTTGGGAACAGGGCTAGAAACGACTTTTGATCAGGGGCTTGCGCAGTATTGGCTTGCTGATGCGCGTGCCGGCACACCATGGACTGTCAACAGTTGGGATAGCATTTACAAAGACGGATTGACTGGCAAGCAATGGGTGTATCGCGAATCCACCAGATCGGGTTCAACCATCAACGAGCCCACGGCTGACGACTTCGCCGCAATGGCTAACTACGAGGGAAAACTCTTGTTATATCACGGCATCGCGGATGGGCTCATTCCCGTGGCTTCTTCTAACAAACTACATCGAGAGATCACTAATATCAAGGCTGAAGGGGAATGGTTTCGATACTTTCAAGTTCCCGGCATGCATCACTGCGCATGGTATCCAAATGGTAATCCGGCGATGGGGTTCCCTTACATTGATACCTCTTATCCCCCATGGTATATTGCCGCGGCATATCAGCCTTCAACTATCGGCTCCTCGCAAGGCTATGGAGTTCCGGGTCATGACGATCCTCCGGATCCAGCGTACGATGCTATTCAGGCGATGATTGACTGGGTGGAAAGATCTTCTTCTCCATCACCAGCGTCGCTTATCGCTACAGCTTTCAATAGCAGTTCTGTGGTCAGGACTAGGAAACTATGTGCATACCCGCAAAAAGCTGTCTACACGGGGTCCAACATCAACGACAGTTCGTCTTGGACATGTACTACAGTATAACGGGTACCCTCTCGGGTGCGTAAAATTCCCATTGTGCCCCTACTTATTCTGTTCCAGACTAGCTTATCCATTTGAAAATATACAGATCATTCACTGCTCTTTTTCGATCAATTTTGCGTATTTTGAGCCCTTTCAGCCGCATCTGTCTCCAGAGTCACGGTCTCGGTATCAGTCACAGTTGACGTAACCGGTTGTGTCAAGCCCTGGCCCCCGCCAACCCACTCGGTCCGACTTATAACACCTTTCACAGTAATAGCATATGTATGTGGGAACGATGTTGGTTTGCTGGGGAATGGCCGTATGGTCGTCAATGTCTGCTCGTAATTGGCGAATATAGTCCTGTCGAAAAATGGTGGAGCGATCATGGAACCATTCGTCGTACACCAGTAGACCTCGGAGAGAGTCGTGGGGTATGTCATTGTATCGAGGTTCAGTGTCCGCGTGGGTTTTGGTGTGCATGTCCCGAAAATGGATGCGGCCACCACAGGCAGGAGTGCAAGGATTGATATCGACGTTGGTACGGTCATATCTTCTCATATGGTTTCTTTTCTTCTCAGGTAGTAAATGAGCCTGTCAGACTGTGTCGATAGCAGAAGACTTCGCGTTTACTCTGACACCAGCGAAGTCTAGGGTGTGGGTCATGGCTTTATGTTGCTTCATTAGAGCCTTGTTCAGTGTATGGTTCCATTGCATGGGCATAATAACTACCGAGCTATGGTGATGCATATTGTTGGCGGCTAAAATCCAGTGCGCCAATCTTCATCAACGCGTCTTCTACGCGGGGTTGTCCACAGCGAATGGGTAAAGTGTGGGGGGGGGAAATAGCCATAGCGGGAATCACGAGCGGCTCTCGATCTATTATCGCCAAATGACGGAGATTTTGAAAACCCATGCCGGCACACTCATACTAATGTTGAAAACATTTTCCGAAGACTGCTTTCGGAACACCGAAATGGTGAAGCTGATAGCGTGTCCAACAAAACCAAAAATCAAGAAACCGATCGCCAATGGTCACTCATATACGCTTTCTCCACTCATTAAACGATTGTAAAAGATTCCCTTCATAAGCGCTTCATACAACAGGCCCCAGCACAGTATGCATTACACCTATTCCAAGACCTAAATCGCCATCTGTGTCGTCGTTTAGATTTACCTCGGCCTCGTTACCAGTGAGGGTAATCTGGTTCGAAATTCTCAAAGAGGTTTCAGCGGGTATAACATTTCCAGCTCTGAAGCGAAACGGGATATAGACCAGGGCAGCACAAGCTGTGATCATAAGTGGGCCGAAAGTGAGGATTCCGTTTGTGGCTTCTGAGATCGAATCGGCGGAACCTGCAATCCCTAGCGCGAAATGAGCCGCAAGAAGAAGGCTACAGAAGAGGTACAGAGGGCGGGCATTCCTCAAACTCAAGTATGAAAGCCGGAGATATACCAAGTACATGACAGCCCATAGAACATAGACCAGATAGCGAAGTGCCTTGTGTTCCTTGTCTTCTGGAAGAGACGTAAGAGACGTAAGAGTGAGTCCTGCAGACCCGGATACTATGCCTGCTAATGATCGCTTGCTACCCGGCCAGGGCGGGGCAGTTAGCATCGCTGCGCAAGACACTGCCGTTGACACTCCAAAAAGAAGGAGTGGGAGCGGGAATGTCGATATATCCTGATCCAAAGTTTTTACTCGCTTTCGACAGATGCTAGGCTTTGGCTTGCGTTTTAGTCGTTTCATGGAGAGAGGACGTCCCTGCCCGAACTTATTCACACGGCCAGGCTTCAGAGCCAGATGTGTATGTCGCTGATCTGGTTCCGTGACCTCTATTGGAGTACATAGAGCCTCGACACAATTTAATATTGCATTTTCAAGCTTCGAGACTTCCGCGCCTTCCCGGAGCCCAGTAACATAATCGTTTGTCGAACGGTGGGCTACAGTCTCGTAGCGCCGTAAGCATCCGGCGATGCAGTAATTTCCGAGAAGAAAATCCTCTCTGGTGCTATTCGGGCTGGAGGGATAGCCGGATTGGGTTTGGGAAGCATTTGAAGTTTCCTCGGATATGAGATCGAACAAGCCTGTAATGAGATTTCCACCATGGATCTCCGCCTCGAGTCCGAATCTCGACATAAGTGATAAACTCAAGTCGCTATTCAACAGTTTTCCAAGATCGGAACCAATCATCTCCTCAATTACAGTCGTCTGGCTATAAGCTGACCTCTCGAATTCTGAAAGAACATCTTCGAACGGTGGGTCTACAATCTCAAAATCGTCATCCAACATGTGCAGCCCCATAAACTCTATATCGTCAGTTGGTTTCAATATTTCGTTGAGATACCATGAGTTCCACTCATTAAGCACTGTTTTGAGATATTCATTGATCTTGATTTCCACCTCTTCACTTGACAAATTCATCTCATCCATCACTTCTCTCATCCACCCGATCTCCCTATACACCTCTTCGATATTCTTTCGCATCATGGGTGATTGTTCGTTCCCTGAACTCGGTTCGGTCGATGTAAGTGTCGGAAAAGGTAAGGAGGCAATAACAAATCGATTGTTGTCGTTTTCCATCTCGAAGCCGGGGACCAGGTGGAACCGAAATCTCGGAATGGAACCCTCGAAATATCGACAAAACTATTTCAGACCTCTAAAATTTGAACTATGAAGATGAATTTGAAGCGAAAGCTTTGTTGGGGTATGGAGCCGATGCACTTTCCAGTGAAATCTGATGGGGGAGTGGGTTGACGTACAGAAAAACGCTCGGACCACGAATACACGATTAGCTGGATGCAAATGAGTGAAGGATACGGTTTCCGGTGAAGATGTGACGTGGCAAGGCTCTTTCAAGGCGTTTTCGTTCAGCCTTGTCCAGTTATTCAGCTCGCGAACAACACGAACTTGCAGATGTAGCCTGGATGCACCAGTTCCATCTACCGACCCCTCAACGCCTCAACTACCACAGAAAATTGATCAACCCGCAACAAACGAGAGTTCAAACAGCTTATTTGACAAGCATATATCCAAATCCTCTGATCCACTCCAATCATCCGACAAAAGAGACCTTGAGGAAATGAGAGTACAATGTCGACAGTTCAGAAAACCGTCTGGTATTCCTCTGATGGTGACTCTGCGAACGAAATGTGGAACAGCTTAGATGAAAATTGTGCCGAATATCCATACGCTCCGTATTTCCCACAACTAAACTCAAGTACTCCGGAAAGCAATGCGCGCAATGACGTTGAGACGGTTGGTGATGATTGGGGAGAATTACTGTCGCCCTTCGTGGGGGACTGGAGAAGCAAAATTCCAATGGATCGTATCAATACTTTAAAACCCCCGAACTCACCATGGTCCAACACTATTTCGACCTCTCCTGAATACTACGGAAGCAAAGATCGGATTGTACTCGATCCATTCACTAGGGCGGATGTCAGTTCTTTGTCAAGCATCGTTATTGGCACAGTGATTTCCGGCGGAAGATTTACCTGCCCGAAATGCAACGACCAACCTGTTTTCGGTCGCCTTGCCGACCTTTATCGACACTACCGTCAAGTCCATGACAGCGAAGCGAGTCAATTGCACCAAAATGGCCTTGAGACTCCTCGGATTTCTGAATGTCATCGGAGTATCTACTCTAGCCCGCGTAAGAAAGATATATCTTCGTACCTCTGGAGCACGACGACCGCCATGACGTGTACAGTATGTGCATATGCCATGAACAGATACGCTCAGTTCCAGGATACCGATCATCGTATTCAACCAGATGGGGATCAGTACAGTTCCCTCCCTCTATCCCTTATCTTTCAGCCATCGCCAGAGATCTTCGTCGCTACAGCCATCATACACGGAGTCTCAGCGCACTGTTACTACGGCCTCCGATCTGAAGATATGTTCCGCGGGTATTTCGTTGTCATTGGGATGATATCGGGGGCTATGGGAGGATTGTTAATGAAGGAGAAAGCGCATAAGATTTTGATCGGGATACTTCCTCTGATGCTGATAGCGAGTTTGGTAATTTGCACGGGCATGAATTCGATGTGGAAGTGTTGCGGGTATAGGAACTGGCCTAAGGAACACGAGAGGGATGGTACTGATGCATTTGTATCCGGATGAGAGGCACGTGTTTACGACAATTGTTCAATGACTTTCACAGTGAGACTGAGGCAACGTTGTGCCAGATCTCATTCATCGCCGGGGCATCGGCGTTCCCGCAAATGAGACTGAAACAACAACCTTACAGACTTATCGATCCAGTCGCTACTTCGATCTAAGCTTGTTCTTTTTTTCACTCTTTATCTCTTGTATTTGTTTTGATGGTAGCTAGTCACTCATTAATTGAAATCCGGATTGTTTGATTCGAACCATACACGAGACTGATGGCGCTTATCTAACTTCGCGCATTGTGATCCAAATGGCGAAAGGCTGAGAAGAGTTGCTCAACTTGGATCAGGGAAATTTTTAATCTGATCTGATAATCAGCTCACAACGCGAAAGTTGGTACTCGAGAGTGATGTCATTTTTGGCATATTGTGTGTGGCAAACCGCGAAAGTGAACAACTGGATATTTGTGTTCGTTATAGCCACCGCTCAACAATACAATAGTTGTCTGTAGTACATTCGGTTCACTTCATGTCACAGTAAAGGGGAAGAAAAAACATGTGTTTGAGTTTTTTTATTCTATCATTGTTCCCGGTATCATTTGGCTCGTGAAGGTTCCATGCATCTCTCTAGATGTATCGCCCGTAGGTATATGTCCCTTTCTCCGTTGCACCCACTCCGATCCCATGAAAGGCAGTCATCCATCGTGAAAAAAAGAAGTAAAAACAAGGTTGCCGGTATCCCACCTTCGTAATCCAACCTAACCCATCAAAGTCTATGTACATGAAATGAAGAAGGTAAAAGGGTATGGTAATGAGGGTGATGAAGTCCAAAAGTAGAAGAGGGGTGGAAGAAGAAGATGAAGATGAAGAAGAAAAGTTATCTTCGCGCCAGCGAGAATCGCAAAAGGAGGATTCAAGATCTAGCAGAGATCGATGACAACACCGAACTGCGAAGAATCGGTGATGCCCTCGGCGGCACCACAGCCAGCGGTGGGTTCCTCAGCCATGTTGGTGGCATAGGGGTCGCAGTAGCCCTGCTCGCAGCAGTTGGGGCCGTTGCATTGCCAGGCCTTGCAGTTGTCGTTGCCCTTCATGGCCCAAGCGGTTCCGGCGCACTCGCTCATATCGCTGGAGCCGCTGATGCAGTCGATGAAGGACATGTCGTACCAGAGCATGCCGCCGCTGATGCCGTACTCGAATTGCATGGGCTTGGACTTGCCGTCCTCGTAGACCTTGAGGGCAGTGTTGCCGCCGGAGCAGTCTTGGAGCTTGTCGGACCAGGTCGAGCCGGAGGCTACGGTGGCACCGGGGTTGCTGGAGCAGCCGCTGCCGGGGAAAGCCTCCACCTTTACGGAGTAAGGGCAGTTGTTGCGGAAGCTGGCTTTTCCGGCCTGAACGCCACGGGGCACAAGTGTGGCGGGCGCGCACAGCGCGAGGGCTGGGAGAGCGAGAAGGGTGAAGATGCTGGAAACCATTTTTATTGACGTTTTCGTGAGAACTTTCGTGGTATTGGTTGGTATGTAGTGACGGTAATGTTCCAAAGATGAATATGGACAGTGTTTGGTTGTTGGAATTGACGAAAAAGAGCGATCAATCCAGTGCGCGTCAAGATGGAGTTGTCAATGAAGGTAACTGAACACCTGGTTCGTAAAGAGAATGTGTGTTTGATCGAAAAAAGAGTGTCGATTTGCTGATGCCCTATTGAAAACAGGTCCCTCAGTCTTATATACTTGTGCGTTCACACTGGAATATTCCGTCCCTCACTAGTGGAGGCATAAAGCCGCAGACGTCCAACCTTCCACGCGCCCAGTCAGTCCCCACCCAGGCAACCTTGGTAACCGTACGCCGCCGGTGCATTTTGTTGAGAAACGGTTTATGACAAGCGCACGGGGATACTACCAGGGTTGTCGATCGTGCGAATAAGGATGGCAGTTCCTGGCCACTAACCAACAGAACGTCATCCCCAAGCTAGTTCAAGAAGCCGCGCTGCCCTGATGAAGGCGTTCACTCCAGATCGGCGACGACGTTGTTGGCTGCTTTTGCTCCCGCTTTTGCAGTGACCATCAGTCGTGACCCACTCGGGACCTGGACGGCGGGCCCGCGTCTCGTGGCATTTGGTGTCCTTCGCCCGAGTTGCTGCCTGCTCTCTGTAGGCTGCCGAGAAAAATTGCATGGAAGATCCTGCTGTGTGGGTTCGTTTCTTTACCAGGGCCTTTCTGTCTGGACCGCATGCCGAATTCCAGCACTATTGGGAGTACGTAATTTCTTTACCGATGTATGGTGACGTATGCCTGGAGGCTGACGAGACTCGGGACTGGCTGGCATGCAGTGGAATTTGTCGCGATACGAGTGGTTGCACTCCCGCGGGAGCATCCTGAACTCCAACTCGTTGCTTTGATCGATGGTGGCCATTGGGGCTGTGGCTTTTTGCGCTTGGTTTGTGTGAAAAATCTGCAGAGGCCAAGATGGAGATGGAGAGCCGTATGTTCTACAGGTACACAAGAGTAACTTAGTTCACACAGTCAGGGATTCTCCCAATCTGACTGATAACTTGTAATGTTCCCCGCTTACTTTGGTCTTACAGGTCTGTGAAAACACGTCGCACCCCCGTCAACAAGAATAAAGTTTGTACTTGATGTAGAGTGAGCAAACATGTTCCACGGCCTTGGTAATCTTTCTGTCACGATGTGCTTCAGGATAACGTTTCAGATCGACCCAAGCTCATCCTATCACAAGGCTTTACGCCTAGTCACCTCCTAGAATTTCGAAGCGCATACATGACGAAGGACCAGTCAAGGCCGAGTATCGATAAAAGGCCGATCGATTATCGATAAGTGAGAACGTGGCTATTACATAGTGCGAACAGGGTAGAAGAAAAAAAGATCAAAAAAGGAAGAAAACTCGCCTCCGGGGAGAGGGAAAGGTGGAGCCATGTCGTAAGCTTTGAACAGATAGCGGCGAGCCGTTGGCCGGGACACTGGACGATTATCAACAACTAGCCAATGACAATCGGTACCTTGCAGAATCATTATACCCATCGTGGTCTAGATCATTTGTTAGGCTTGTCTTGACAGGGCGCCGGCCAGGTACGGGGAGACTCGCATCGTGTTCGCGGTTACGGATTGCTGCAGGGGTGAACACACCCCGACCTGGTCCGTCTGCCCCGCTGTCAGGCGCCTGTTCAGTCGACACGGCGGGATAAAAGATTGACCTTTAGGGGCCAAAGTGTTCATGAATAGCTGGACTGTCTGGACGCCAGAAGGAATGCCGACGTTCGAACTGCCTCATGTGGAGAGGCGTGACGCCTCATGGCCTTGCAGGGGGTGCCCCATCCATCAGTCCGAGGAAGTCCCATACACAAACCGAAGTCGTCGCGTCCCCACATGCTGGAAAAATTGGAGAAAATTCTTACAGGATCCATGTATGCTGCCGAGTCTAGAACAACTGGATAAATGGAAAAACTTGGAAGTTGGGAAATGAACGAATGCGAAGTCAACAAAGACCTTCTAAAGCTGTTGGTGGTACATAGCTTTTAGACCAATGAATGATCACGTGCTGTGCGCTCCACATTACCTGGGTGTTGCGCAGCGGATGTTAATACTGACCCATTGATTGTAGTCCTTCGCCTCAAAGTCAAAATTCCTGCAGAAGTGCCCAGTCATCCAGTGATTGCGGACCCATCATCCTTGGCTGCTTTTCCGTGACTGCGCAACCGTCCAAGTTACGATAGGCTTTCTTCTTTTCCCCTCAGATCTCGAAATTCAGAGGTTATTGACGAACGGACGACCGAGCTTGACTGGTGATTATGATGCCAGTGATATATTTTCGCTGTAGAATTTCTACTAATTTCTTCACACTATTAAAGAATCAGTTTGTAGGTTCTGGATTCTGGTTTTGGCCAGTCTTTGGTTCACAGTCAACAGTGAGAAAGACGACATGGTAATATTCTAAGTGCTGTGGGAATGTGATAAGCGTCTCCAGTTTGGATTACCGCCAGCCCTAGACAACCTATCAGACTAGGTTGGACAGTTCATGAACGATCTTATGCGGCGCAGAAGATATCACTGAAAACTTGAATGGGCGGTGATCAGAATACTCGTGTTTGCCTCAAGCTTCAGTTGGGTTTTCGCAGGTCGGTGTAGCTTAAGCATCCACTTTTAACATAGACATGTCAAGAATTTCACGATGAAATCGCAGAAATGTGTATAGCGCACGTGTGTACTAAGAACTTTCGAGTGCAAATTCTTACTCTAGCTCCTCAGTTCAATGTTGAAGTCTAGGCCTGAATTGGTGTACGCGATAGTAGTACTACACAATGTCTTGGTCTCTGTTGTCTACCAATAGAAAATCGGGCCTAACCCCCTGATAACTTTTGAATATTCTTTTGCAATGATTCATGGTATCAGGGAAGCCTTTAGGCAAAATGAATAATGCCAGTATGCTGTCACGTTGTGGAGAGTGCGATCGACGATTACGGCCGTTCTTAGTGTCGTACACACACCATCAACATCCATGTAGATCTACAGCTGTCAAAAGAAACAACGACAGTCTAGAACGTCGTTCGGAATAATCGATGACTCGCACCTCATGGAATGCGATTAAAAATTATGGGCTACATGATGAACGCCATCCAGTCATCATATCAAGACACTCCCCACTACCAGAAGAACGGAAAAGTACATGCCGGCAGTCCTTCCATCAGCCATACTAGCCGCTCCACTCTCATCCCCCCCAGACTCTTCCCCGTCATCGTCGGTACTGCTTCTCTGATTCGGCTCGCCATCACCACTAACCTTCGTCCGTCCCAGTTCGTCGCCATCGCTGTTCAGCGCTTTTCCGCGCACATAGGTATCCATGTTATCCACATCAGCGATGTCGATGGTCGTCTCGAAGCCAGTGCGCCTTGCAGACGCGATCCTCGTCCACGAATTCATATCACTGGTCTCGTTCGCACCAGTGTAAACCTCCCATGTCTCCACGTCCGTAGCGCCGTTCCATGACAGATAGACGTGCGAACCGTTCCAGAACATGTCTGGATCGGTGGAAGGTTTGCCCTGCCACTGCTGCTTGTAAATGCGGTAGCTGGTTACGTCGCTCTGGGCCAGCTGGACGCTCAGAAGGACGTTGTCGTCACGGTCGACTTCTGCGAAATATGGCTCGCTGCCGAATCCGAGCATGAAGTTTGTCGTTTCGTTGGAGGCGTCGATTGCCTGCACACTTCCCATGAATTCGCCAAAGGTTCGGTTCTCGTTGGTGAAATCTTGAACGAGGCTTGCGGTTCTGGCGTCCTGGTCGATATCTAGGAGAAGGCCGCGAGACACGGATACATCGGCTTGAGGGTCACCGTTGTCCCATACAGTCATGCGCGTCTGCTTTTCGTTCAACCACCGGGCATCGTGCTGGAAGTGGAACTCGGCATCTGACGACTCGAACTCGAAATCAGATCTCTTGCCGTGCAGGCGCCAGATGATGTGACCGTCTTCACCCGAGATCTTGTAGACGCAGCTCATGGTGCGCCCGGAGATGATGTAATCGCCATTTTCATCTTTCATAACAGAGTTGATGTGGAACCAATCCCAGGCCAATTCTGCGGAGCGTCCAAAGTCATCATCAGGCGCAAGTGAAACATATGTTTCATTGACACCAACGTGATCGGTTGCGTTCCATTCGAAGATCAAATCACCTGTTTCAATGTCGAGCTCCTGAAACGAGCTGTCCATCAACCATCCATCCTCAATGCCGCCCATGGAGGTCAAATCCCACGGGATCGGATGGTAGATAGCTACCAACGCAGTGTCGTCCTCGGTAATGTAAAACTCGTGCAAATCACCCATGTTGTCACCGAAGCCTGCGACTTGAAGATGCGCGATCTCATCGTAGGACTGGTTCAGCATGTGGAAGGAACCGCGCCCGTAGCTCCCGTGTTCTCCCGCCCAGAAAGTGAGAACGGGCTCGCCTTTGTACGTTTGCGTGCGGAAGTCGAACGGCTCGGTGTAATTTGCACTCCAGACCAGCGAGCCCATTCTATCGCCGGAGAATTCTAAATTCATCGTAAGTGATGAAGCTTGAGAAGGAAGGGTTTCGCGTTCGTCTTTTGCTTACCGAAAATCGCAGGCCAGTTCTGCTCGCTCGAAGGAGCACCATTCACACCCATGAAGACATATCCGTCTGCCAATCTGCTCGTCTCGTTGCTGTAAACCTGCAGCTGCGGTGGTTTGAGATTTCCATTACTCATATACGTTTGGTACGGCGACCCGCTGTCGACATCCTCCGTCCACGTATTGGAGTCATAACTAACGGAATCTTGGGCAGTAGCAAAGGAAAAAATCGCCCAAAGACATAAATCAAATGGTAGATGCATTTCAAAACAGAATGAATACGTACTTCGAAAGCCACCGTGGCGGCGGTTCGATCCTTTCTTGAAATACGCTGCTGGCCTATGGAACTGGCCACCGAGCAAACCCTTCAACACAACCTCCAAGCGCTACGGGTGTGACGGCGGTATACAAGCTCTCGAGCCATCGCTTGGTGTTTAAATATCTGCCCACTCAGTGTGCATAGTGTAAGGACTGCGACGAATACAAGTCCCGGACATACCGCGAAGCTGCACTGCCTTGCTGAGGCGACAACATCTGGTATCCCCTTATACGCAGCCAGCGCACAGCCAATGAGAAATCCGAAAACTGTGACTTCGCCATATTCAAGAGGATGGGAAATTGCGCGAATGCCGTCGAAGCCGAGAAGCAGTCATATCAATGGTGATGGAGACCGCCCAACCCCACGAATTAAGCATCTCGCTTGATACTCCGTCATCGGAAACACGGAGGGCAGATCCACAAAATCGCTGATTTGGAGGTTATACACGTGCCGGCTTACCCGATCTGTAACTTGGATCCTGATCCAGCAGATGTTGATGTTGAATACCTAATTCTGAGGTGTAGAGGGTATCTACGTCATAGTGACATTTCTTGGCCGCGGAGAGAATCAGAAGCATACTACTCAACTGTTGGCCGGATCAGGGGGAGGATCAAGCGAAGCAGTGCACACGGTGTGAGGTCTTTCATGCGCTCAAAATAAATCAAAATAGTATTAGTACGGGATTCAACACAACGGCTATCTACAACATGAGATTTACTATGTAGACGTTGTTCGGCGTAGATCAGTACGCTGGGCCTCAACGACATGGGGTTGAACTTGCAGATCATCGGGGCCGATTCATGTGCTCTCAACGTGCTTTGTTTAGACCTAGTGATATCCTCTATACAGGGTGTGATGTGTACACCGCCAATCAATTCTTCGCTCGATTTTCGCGACATAAAGGCACTTATGACGGCTCCCGCAGCCTCCATCAACAAGTAAACCGCAACCCCCGATGGCTGCCACGTTGAAATTCCGCATACCGGGCCACTTCCCTCCTCCCAGCTCCCCCGCGCAACACTGATTTGCCTGCTTTTACCTCCAGCTAACCAAACACCCGAACCACAGCTGTCGCTGCCCAGCTCGTCGGAGCGCATTCCGGCCCAGAGACCGCGGGGCGGAGCAGTCCGCACCACGGACGAATTAGAACGAGAGCAATCGAATCGCAGGAGTACACTCCGGTGTCGATTTGTGAAAAACACCAGGTCGAGTTGGTTTCCGCGCTTGCGCTGTCGGGATCCAAGGTTCATGCCGCTGTGGACGGCGTTTCGATGTCGTCGGTCCTCCGCGATGATGGGATCTGGGCGCCTATGTACATATGTAAGGGCAGGGCATTCATTCATCATTCTATTACGCACGCAAGAGCACTGCCGAGTACGTGTGTGGATTAGCGACGAGGTGGGACTGCGAAGTGCTGCAGTGCGGGTGGTTTTGGGTTTCGTGGAAACGTATTCATTATTCGTAATGTAGGTTGAGGTGAGTATGCACTATGTATGTACTTCAATCCTCTGCACGAGATATGCCGCCCGAGAAGTTCTGGTAAGTAGTATACCACGCCGCTCACAAAAGAAAAATCGCCTCATCTCGCACCGGTATTCCGTGTTATCAATAACAGGGGGGAATTTGTTGAAGCGCAATTCCACCGCCAAAATGGCACTATATTTGGAAGACGGTGAATCAGACATTGCCTTTTCTGTCCATCACGTGTTCTGACGTCCGGCGTCGTATCGCAGCCAGTGCGGCAGAACCTCATCGAATGGCCGCAGAAGGCTTTCGTGTGAATAAAGAAGCTGATGATGTATAATATCGATGTTCATCCTGGAACCAAGAAAAGGAGATTCGTGAATGGGACAAGAAGCGGGAATAGGACGCCGGCGATTCAAGAAATCAAGGCGTTGACGCATCACGCGGTAGAAGCTGTTTCAACAGTTAGTCACGGGGCATGATTTAAAAAGAGTTCATGAAAAGGAAAAGATGGCAAGCAGTTGATACTTTATCGGAGAAAGAAAGACAAGGAGAGGGTGGGTGAGGGCGTTTACTAACCTTCCTTCGCCGTCGCACTCGCAAGCTTGGTAGCCGACGACGACCCAGACGACATCGAAGCCGCATTCGTCGCCGTCGCATGATATCTCGGCAACTGGCTCGTCGCACGCGCTGCTCCTGCTGCCGCTGAGGGCGTACTACTCGCGCCGACCTTCTTGCCCACAGACTTGAAGTAGACGCGCGCAGGCGGGAATTGGCTGATTGGAGGCATAGTGAGACAGGCGTAGAATACTGAGGTTGAAGACCGCTAGATACTTGTGTTTTCCGCGAGTGGACAAGAAAGGGGGGATGTTTGTGAAGAAGACAAGTATAAGTATTTCAGGACGGATGGAAGGATGGGAATGAGGAATATGTACGCCGAGATGCAAGTCGTCAATCTTTTCGTATATAATTGAGTGGTTTGGGGTTGGCGGAACGTCGAGTCAGGAAAAGATAATCCTAGAGTTTATATGGAATACGAGATTGCTGATGCTGCGCGCATGCGGCAGTCCGTTTTATATAAAGAGATACTGGCTTCTGAATGACTGGTTTTCGGCTGCGTCTCGGTTGGGTGGGAAAACGGGTCAGACCCGATCAGGTGAAGCTCTCGTGAGGTTCGGTCGTTTGGCTGTCGGGTGTGAGGACTGGGGTTGATGATTCGATGGAGCTGCCGTGTCGGAAGCGAGCGAGCGCCCGGGGGATTATCGTGCTGTCAGCCAATTTCTGAAATCTGCATGTGCTTTTGTTAATGTGTGTCTGCCCAAACTGGTCGTGAACGTGGTGAGTCAAACCTGGGGGTGGCTGGAGGCTATTTGTCCCTTTTCACCGAAGGAGATTGCAACTTGACATGTGATGTTTGTTTCTTTGGGGACTCCCTGTATTACTGCTCGATGACAACAGCCTACATCGAAACTGTTTAAATACTGCCGTAATCGATTGGCTAAGCCTTTCTAAAACATAAACTGCTTCTAATTGTTACATTCTGTGATTGATCTTTGAAGCATGATTCACAACTGCCATAAGAAAAAAGCGGGGACGACATGTGGGCTCCCGAAGTTTAACATTGTTAGCGTCTGGCGTGACGGCCTGACGATGGTGGATCTACGTCTGGATCTCATGCATCAGCCAGATGCATTGAAGACCCCTCGAGAACAACAGCACCCTTGATGGGTGCACTGCTAGTCAGGTGTACACGTATGTCTCCTCAATTCGCGCAATAGCCACCGAGCAGGACGTTTTTTATTGGGTATGTATGTGCGGCAGTATCGGGCGTCTTCCGAGGCCTGCAATCCTCAAACGATGCCGTCTTCATCGGTGTCGAAGATTCTACCTTGGCCTTGCACGCTCTGTGATCTGTACGAATCAATTTGAAATTGCTTCGAGTTCCTCAAAGCGTCGTTGGACTCCGTTTCAATGATCTTTCTTACATCCGAGCTAGGCTCAGCGGAGAAACTGTGAATTGCCAGCCACGTCGGCAGCTCAACATTCGATCCATCCCCCGTCGCAACCAGACCCTTCAAAGCTCTCGATTGCGCATTCGTGCGCGAGTACTGAAGCTTGAACCGGCGCGAGTGGATATAGTTCTCGGTCTGTGATACAGCAGCCGTTTGCTGGTCGAAATCATTAGCACTTCTCTGATTCTCCGGCATACGAAACAATTGCATGGTATAATGGAAACACACCCGATCAAAACCTGCCTCGACATCGCCATCTGCGACTTCATCCCCAACTGCCACGCCCGCAGTCGCAAAAAATCGCGGCGTTCCCCGTGCCTCCCCGCTCTTAGACACAAGCCCATAATACCCAATGTCAAAGTCCGCCATATCAAACACAACACCTGTCCCAGGTAACCTGTCACTCTTAACCCTAATCTTTCGAAACGCTTCGCTCTGCGTAAACGCCAGATCCTTCATCGGATAGAACGCCAGGAACGGTTTTGGACACTCGCTCGTACCATGCGGCGAAGATTTATCGACATGAACATTGCGAAAGGCATTGGGCATGCCTGAGGTGGCGATAATCTCGGGCATATGTTCTTCAATATACCAGGAGTTGAAAGCGGATTCCGTAAGTTGGTTCCCCGGAGCGGAGGAGAGGCTCGAGAGAACATACATGATACCAGGACCGTGTACGGGAATATCGCTCGTCATGTTGATGTTGTTTTCCTCTTTCGTCTAGGGGGATGATGGGATGGTGAGATTGGTGAAGAGGTGCAGGTTAGAAATGATGCGAAGGTAAGTAACGCCGATGGCGGCTACGCCCTTCCCCACCCACGTGTTTGGCCATCCTAGGAATCGATCGTGGTGTGGAAACGTAACATTTTGGCGTGCGGTTATGCATAGCCGGGGACCCAGATGTGGGAGTAACGATAGCTCGAAATCGGGACTAAGAGACCGCCGAGTCATTCACCGGAGACCCGCGTGTGAACTAGATCTGGTACCACCCATAAGTGCAACAGCATCCCATTCTCTCGAGATGAATAGCTCGAGAAGAGAAGCACAGTCTTCTGATGGACAATGATGGTTTTGTGGTAGGAGAGCTGGAGTTTGGGTGAGAACATTTGAATGAGGGGTAGCTTGGGGCGTGCTAGCTGTCCACGTGACAGCCAACATGGCTGACGAACATTTATACATTAGGTATGTACATATGTAGCGGATACGTATGTATGTACTCGATACATGTGTGTATCTTTGCTTCGGTAAGACTATGCATGTAAGCTTAAGGATGCCCTTTGGTCCACTATTGACGAGAATTCTCAATCTTGCTCCAACCATGGCATGGTCTTGTCTTCGCTCATGATAGATCTGCACGCACGAATCTCGATAACATTTCATAAGATCTCCCACCCCAGATACAGTTAAAAGTTCGAACTGAAAGAAGTGCCTTGCTCGTATTTTAAGCAACGGAGGTACAGATACAGGTCCTAACACACCCATGCACATTCTTGAAAGAAGAGAGAATATCTTCACAGTCTCCCATTGTACGCAAGCACTCTAAATGGAACTGGCGATTGAATAGCCTAGCTTAGTTATTAACTTTTATTTCCCTGACATCGAGATTCCAGAAGGAAAGCTCGGATCTAGATCATGTTCTCGCATAGCTCTTTCAACAGACCAATCTCTTCCTGAATTGCTAGCGTGTGTCGCGGCTTCGTCATGGACCTCCTTGCTAATACCGCGTTCCAGCGTATGTATCAAGCAACTGTCCTAGTTCAGCGACATCTGGCAGCTATCGCCCTCTGTGCCAACAACTACAAAAGCCAAAATCCAGCTAATGCACCGAAAGCCGGGCCTGTAGAAGCTCTACGCGGATACTAATAACGTTGGTCACAACTCGATGCTGCTAGATGCAAGATATTTACAGAGTAGCCCCTAACCCCCTCGCGAAAAGTCAAAAGTTTCTCCAGCGATATGCAGAGGTTGTCTTGCCCTCCTGACTGCTGACCATACCTCATCATGGGAAACTATAGTCCTATCAATATTCAATTCAATCTAGTCAGCTTGGGGGGGGGGGGGTATCATTTTTCCAGCTGCACGACAACCTAGTTTATATAAGTCATTCAGTATTGCGGGAGTGAGACTAGAATACAAACATACAGACACTTCATTCGAGTTCGCCTTTTTTTTTTTTTTTTGCTGGGGATGATGATAGTCAACTCCATCTCGCTTCAAACTTTTCTTCAACATCAAACTATTCATTCTGAAGTTTCATTCTCGACAATCGCCGCGCCACTTTCAGTAGTCTTCGCACCTAACAAAGCTCAAACTTCCCACTGATTGTCGATGGGTATACCCAGTTTGGTGTGCGTTTGAATTCCATCTTTGTTCAATCAATTCAGTATGAATTATACAGAGGTCGCGGTACCATATCCTACTTGAAAAAGCGAGAGGGGTGGCTGGAATTCGCAATCATAGGGTGTTCACACAATACGTTTGTTCACAGTTTTGATTTGCCCTTGATGGACTGCTACTCAAAACACCAAGGTCCCTTGATTTATACACGCTGAATCTGAGTTTTTGGCATCACAGTATATCTCGATGAGCTGGTTACAAGCATGTACCTCTCTGTCCTAGTTCAGGCCGCGACCAGCCAGGACCCCCAATAATAAAAAAGGGAACACAGAGAGATAAAAAAAACATCACTAGATTGGATGTATCACGACACCATCAGCTCCGCACCATCCTCCTCGACCTCAACCCACCTCTCCAACACGGCCCTCCCGCCAACCAAACCCCACGCCCAAACCCCCCCAACAACCACAACATCGACAAAGCTAAACACCAAGCTGCCGCCAAACACCAACCCATGAAACGTCCACGCATCCTCCTTGTTCAGCTCCACAACCTGGCACACCACCGCCCAAGGAAGCACGTACAAGAAATTCGACACCAACGACTGATACAGATACCATTTCGGGCGAGTGGCGAGGAGGACGGCAGCGAGCTGCGTGCTGAGCGCGTACAAGATGTAGCACCAGTCGATGGTGCGCCACATGTGGGTGGTGATGGCGGCAACGGAGTCGGAGCGCGCGAGCCAGAGGGCATACGGGGCTACGCCAACAACAGAAAAGACGATGCACAAGGGGATCTCGACGGCGAGCGCGATAGCGCACGATATGAGCGCGGGGCGAGCGATGCGGAAGAGATGGCGGTGCTCCATTCTAGGATGATGGCGGGTAGCAACGCCAATTGTTTTCCTCCACTGCCCCCATTCGTGGCCGACGAAGGCTAGAGTCGTTTGCTCGAGCGCTTGCACCGGAACCATGACGAGGCCCCAGCGGATCGTGCTGAAGATGCCCCAGGCGGTCGCGTACTCGTTCCCCATGGCTACGATGGAGGTTACGAGCCACAGGTACAGCGCGTTGCGCACGGCTGATTCGGCGAACGTCATGGCTCCAGGGCGGGCGAGGATCCCAAGCGCATGGAGACTGGGGCGAATAGAGGCGATGGCGGTGTTGCAGCTCCGCAAGATGGATAGGGAGAGGTGGAGGAAGTATGCGGCGCCGACAAAGGACGCGGCTAGGCTGACGCCGAGCTGGATGCGCGCTTGGTCGTTGACGCTGGGGATGTGCGAGCCAACGCGGAACGTCGAGATGATGAGCAGGTCCAGAACGATGTTGACGAGGAACTTGACCGAGCTGATGACGAGCGGGACATCGGGATGATCCAGCGCCCGCGTACAAGACGCGATGGCGGTTTCGACCGCAGACGCAAACGTTGTAAACGCTGTGATGCGCACATAACTCACCGACATGCCACGGACTTCCACAGGCACAAAGCTCGCTGCGAAACGCTCGGCCGCTCCCAGAAACACCAGACTAAGGAGCACGCCTAGGACGGCCTGGAAAGCGACGAGGGTGTAGGTGAGGCGGATGCGGGAAGATTTTGAGCGGGTTTTGTCGCCGATGATGAGCCATGCTGCGCGGGGGAGACCTTCGTTAATGACTTCAACAACAACGGACATGTACGTATTTGCGTCTGTGAGAACGACGAAGGAGGAGTCGATGTTTGCGACCCAGAGTTTGGAGAGGGTGGTGTATAGAGCGGGGAGGACGAAGGCGGCGAGGTTGAAGAGTAGGGCTCCGGCGTATCTGCGATTATCAGAATACGAGCTGTGTGATGATGTACACTTGGACGACTATGGCATTTAGACTTACCGGTCACGACGGAAAATGCTCTTGTTGATAGATGTTGCTGACGATGCCCGCCCATTCTGTCCGTCATGCAGAGTTTCGCTCACGCTTCCATCCCCCGTGGGAGCGTTGCGGGCGTCGATGTGGGTGTCGTCTTTTGGAACCATGGTATATCCCTTTCGCGACTGACTTTGCTTTCTCAGCATGTCGAACCGCAAGATCGATGCCTTTTTTATTCATTGGGGGGTTTTATGTCGGTACAGGCATGTGGTGTTTGCCACGCCCAACAAACCCCGCAGTTGCGGTGGCTCCTCTGGTGACCAGTAGCAAGCAGCAGCAATCGCCCATGCAAGATAAGATAGCGTGGAGGTCATGGTGAGGTGTGTAGGAGCATACAAGCTGGATTGGCCGTGTTCCTGGATATAACAGGGCATGGGGAGAGGTCACTCTGCTGCTAGATGCGTCTGATATGATTGTGTCGGCGGAACTCGTTCGTATCCAGAATGATCAACAATAGTACATTTCCGTCGGAGAGCAAAAGCATGGTGGATTGAATTGAATTGACTGATGGTACTGTTATGAAGATGCATCATCTATTCCATGTCCTGCTGCCTTTGGTTGCTAATGACCCCGAGTGAAGGCAGTTGATGGTAGTGGACAGTGCTTGCGACATGATGGCGTACCAGGTCGATGGAAGTAGTCAGACTAATGGATATAGACAGATGTAGCATATGATGTATTCCCAGGTAGGCATCAGACAATGTATTGAAAGAGTAGTCAGATGCGGCTCAGTAGCTGAGGGATCCATAATCTATATATACAGGCATCTGTTTTGGGCTTAGCGCAGTCCCAAAAATAACCCTGTCAACCTGTCGGACTCCTCCTGGCGGGTTGAGACGAAAGACTGACTGACCATGCAACACACACACATTACATTCGCGGTGGATTCCATCGCAAATGATTCAACAAATCAGTTGCGCAGTGTAAAGTTTCAAACTCAAATCGCTGGACGTTCTTCGCCAGACGTTTATCGGTTCTGGGCCGTTCGGGGTTCCATCTCTCGATGGCGTCTACTCCGCCACATGCATGCCGCGTCTATACATTTCGGTTTCCAGGAGAGCTGCGCAAGGATCGACAGGAGAGACCGGGGTAATGTGCATCGCGTTACGTTTCCGCGTGGTGTACCGTGTATGACATTGATCCATTCAGTCGTTCGTGGTTCACGTAAGGTAAGTCCTGTGCTTGCCCAGTGAGTGGCACAGTCACCTCTTTCCGCGTGTATTCCTCCATCCTGCCTCCTTCATTCCACTCCGACATATTCCACCCTAGATACATACTTAAGTACTTAATCGCAATCGCGTTTGCTTGGACCCATCTCTGTCATTTTCGCCGCCACTACTACTAATCGGTTCCGCATCCATCGCGTTTTCATCGCATCTCACGGAAATCCCGGACTCGCAAGAAGCGAAGGCGTTGATTTCTGTTCTTGACGGACTTTTTTCTCGCACACCCATCACAACCATCATCATCGTTTCTTCAATCAAGCATTGCCGATATGCACTTCACTCAGATTCTCGGTGCAGCGGTATTGGGAGCTGGACTCGCCACGGCAGATTTCATGGTGTACACGGAGCCTCCCATCCCGACATCTGCCATCCCAACGTTTTCGAACCAGGCGGAGGTACGTTCCTTTCGCGTTCCTACCTTCCCAAAGCCCCAATCACAACGAACCCCGTGTACAGAAAACAGATAAAAGCTAACAGAATGGCTTCTAATAGGCAAATAAATGGACAACAAGCGTCTTCTTTAATGCGGGATTCGCTTTTGGCGCCTGGGAACGCGGCGAAGGTGCGCCCTACCAGTCGTCCAAAACCTCCGTACGCTCCGCGATGAGCGCTTTTGTGGCATCAAACGCAAACTACAGCATCCCCGCCGCAGTCACGGAAACGGATGGAACGACGTCGTTTTACACGGCTCCTCCATGGTATACAGCGCTGCCGAGTGGAGTGAGGGAGTTCAAAGAGAAGCAAGTCAGTGCAGAGTTCAGTGCTGTGCGTGACCAGATCATTGAGACGACTGCGGGGGCTGCTGGGGCGAGCAGAACATCGCAGGGAGGTGCGGTGGTGCAGACGCCTGCCGTTGGGGTGTTAGGACTAGGTGGGATGGGGGTTGCGGCTTTTGCTGCGGGAGTGTTCTTGTAGGGAAGTTGAGCTTGCGTTTTGGTTATTGCGTTTGAAAAGGTTTGGATATTTTGTTTTATGGAGTTGGGTACGGGCCATCTGGCAGACGGTTGCTGTTCTTGGTAGATTCAAGCCATGTTGAAATATGGCGACAACATCCTAACGGATAGAATTTCGGGATTATCGAGTAACTCTCATTTAATGATTTTCACAAGTTCTTGACCATGTCGCATTCGAGACATCTACCTTGGTAGATACTGTCTGTGAAGTTGTGTGAGGATGCAGAGCCCTTGATTCGATATTGGCTGATACATGTATCAACGGTAAGTAAAGGTTACAAAGGAAAAGAAAAGAAAAGAGATAAGAAGAAACAGCGTCAACGGAGATGGCAAACAGACGAATCCGGGCAAGAAGGATGCAAACAGGAAATGAACATTGCGATGATCATGGGGCAGACCGTCCGGTATTGGGATCAATACGTTGAGGGGAGGCTGAAAAGGGCTGGGGTGGCACGTGCGAGGTCTTGGCGGCCGGCTCCCTGAAACTCGTCTTCCTCTCTCTCTTTCGTCCCTTTCGTCTCTTCGCTGTCTCCCTGACCCGGCAACCGACTCCACAACAGACACACACAGACACCCTCACCAACCCCCGCGGTTGATGCATGTCGTTGCTGTTATCCACTCGCTTCCAACTTAATTAATCAACTCGTCGTCGTCGTTGTCGTCACTCACGTACACTTCTTCACCACCACCTTCACCTTCTCTTCCTTCCCTCTTGCCGCCGTCTCTCTCTCTCCTCCCCCTGTTTGTCACCCACACCCGCCTCGCCCGGACGTCGTTCGTGTACATTCTTCTCCACCACCACCACCGTCTCCACCTCCACAACACCAGTCTTCGCGCGCCTCACTATGGGCTTCGGCGACTTCTCCACAATATGCACGAAAGCGAGCATCCCCATGTGCGCGCTCGTCGGCCACCAGTCCATCAACGGGGGCCACGGCATCCAGGCGACGTGCTATTCTCGCACCATTGAACTGGCCAACACGCTCATCTTCCAGGCCGCAAACGACTTTATGCACATTCTGGCTCTCATCATGACCGTCGTGATGATTATCCACGTGCGCTCCAAGTTCACCGCTGTCGGTATGTCGATGCCATCCATCCTGCCCCATCCCCTCGTGAACCCCGGCGCTAACCACTGCCGCCACCAGGTCGCAAGGAAATCACCTCCTTCTTCTACATCTACATGGCCCTGACCGCGATATCCCTCGTTCTCGACGCCGGTGTCACCCCGCCCGGCTCAGCATCCTACCCCTACTTCGCCGCCGCCCAGAATGGCCTCACATCCGCCCTCTGCACCTGCTTGCTAGTGAACGGTTTCGTGGGCTTCCAACTGTATGAAGATGGGACTACTCTGTCTGTGTGGCTCTTGCGACTCTGCTCCCTGGTCATGTTCCTCGTCAGTGGCGCCGTTTCGCTCCTCACCTTCAAGGGCTGGGGAGGCCTCCAACCCGACAACCCCATCGGCGTCTTCGTCGTCACCTACATCCTCAACGCCATCTTCCTCTTCATCTACGCTGGTAGCCAGATTCTCTTGGTTGTCGGCACCCTCACCGACCGATGGCCACTGGGCGATATCGGTTTCGGTATCTTCTTCTTTGTCATCGGCCAGGTCATCCTCTACGTCTTCAGCGACGCCATTTGCGACGGTGTCCAGCACTACCTCGACGGGCTTTTCTTTGCCACCATCTGCAACCTGCTCGCCGTCATGATGGTCTACAAGTACTGGGACTCCATCACCCGCGAGGATCTCGAGTTCTCTGTCGGCGTCAAGGCGCACAACTGGGAAGTCAAGGAACTGCTGCCCGAGGAGGAGAAGCGTGGAACCATTTTCCATCAGTCGGAATACACTCCTTCGATTTACGAGCAGCCTTACCACCGCTCGTCGCACTACTCTCTCAACCATTAATACTTGTCGAATTCGATTTCTGTTGTCTGATATTCTTGCTGTTTCTCTTGTCTTGTTCTCTTTCTGATAGCGTGCGCGCTCCCCTTTTTATTTTGTCTATATGGCTTCGCCTATCTTTTTTGCATGGCACGGAGTTTGGCGCACAGCGATGAAAAACGCCAAATGCGTTTGTAATGAGTATGTGTTGGACGTGGCGCGTGGGTGTGGTCAAGCATGCATGGCTGTTTCTTGTGTTGCGGTTGGATATCAAGGGCGCGACTTGAAAGCGTGAGGCGGAGGAAGCTCTTTGTTTGGATTGGCACTGGAGAACAAGAGCGAAGAAGGCAAAAGAGGAGGAGGAAGGCCGTCACGAACAAGGACATGAATAGCTCTTCAACATGGTACATATTGTCCCCCCCCCCCCTTACCTTACATAGTTGTAGTTAGTAGTAATAGTAAACAACCACACGTGGTCAAACCCACTCGAATCGAGTATCTGAAATTTCTTGACTTGTTTTGTACATGCTATGTGTGACATTGCAGTCAAGTATATGTGAGTGGGTGATTATCCACCGAACGGTTACAAGCACCCCACACCACCCCGTGCATGTTTGGACTTTTTTCTATTTCCGTATCGTCGGCGTCGGCACCGATTGCGAGGGGGGAGGGAAGGGGGGGCGCGCGCTCCACAATGTTCCAGACCGTTTCTCGTCTCGAGACCAAGAAGATGAAAAAAATAAAGACGAATACTTGATTCCAAGAAAACAAATAGGTAACCCCAACTTGTTGCTTGTTGTTGGGGGTTGGTTTTGTCCCACCGGCTTCTTTCTTAATCGGGAAATGCCGAAAACTTATCCATCTATCCTAGGTATCCATTCTCCCCCACCAAACCAAACCAACCTAGTAACGGGTATCCTGTCCCTCTCTTTTCATTTCATACATGTTTGTGAGTTGGTTAGTTGGTTAGTTGATTAAGGTAGATAGGTACGTAGGCAGGTACGTATTTACGCCCTAGTCCAAAAGCCAGACTCAAAGAAGAAAAGAAAAGAAAAAGAAACGTTAATAAGAGGGCATGGGATGAATATTTCTGGTATTTCATCCGCGGGAGATTAAGTCTTTGCTCTATCTATCTATCTATCTGTGAGTATATACCACAGAGGGGAAAAGGAATGAAAAAATCCGCATGTGCCTTCAACAAATCGCTTTTCCTAATCTTCTTTCCCAATCATCAAAACTCTATATATTATTCTTATGGAGGTTGTCGGGTATCGCTTCATGTGTTTCTTTGGTCCAACACAGCGCGCGGTTGAGATGGGTAATGTAGGTAGCAGATTACCCCGTATAGCCTAGTTTAGTAACTTGTGGAGGGGGGGGGGGAGCGTGGTGGGGTCAAGAACATTCATCCATACATTGTCCAAGAGACCAAACGCCGCGGCGGGCGCGGGGAAATTTCTCTGCGGCCAAGTCTATGGTTGACGATATAAATACCGGTCGGGTTATCCATTCCTGGCAAGTGTTTTTTTGTGGATATTTGATGTGAGATACAAGGTTTTTGTTTCCTCTTCTTCTTCTTCTGATTTCCGGGTTTCCTGTGTGCAGGTGTCTGTCTGTCTGTCTTGTGTTGGCTTGCGCAACCACTTGTTATACTTGGTTACTTGACTGTCTTCGGGCAAGAGTGGCACGAATCGAATCGAATTGATTGATCTGGGCGATAGGATCGGAAGTGAGAGGATAGAGATTTGTTGGGTCTTGGGTGTCTGGATTCGAGGATACATACGGACGTTCTGGAGAGTTGGGTTTGAGCGGAACGATTCGATTCGATCTCATACGCGAACGAGCGGGCAAAAAAGAAGACGGGAAGAAAGGAAAAAAAAAAAAAGACTCAAACGTTCTCAGTCCCATCCCTCTCCTGCGAAAGAGCGACCGATATATCCAGAACCCCACAACATCACTCCAAACGCTCGCCTCCTAGATCCTGTCCAGGATGTCGCGCAAACACTTCTTCGCTACCCCCCAGGGAATGGTCCCCCATATGCTCACCTCCCTCGCCACCCGGAACCCGCACATGTCCCTCTCCCCTTCCTCCCGCACAATCTACAACCTCGCCCACCCGCCTACCCACGTCTCCATCATCTCCGGCGGCGGCTCCGGCCACGAGCCCGCCTGGGCTGGCTACGTGGGCGACGGAATGCTGACTGCCGCCGTCTGCGGCGACATCTTCGCGTCCCCCTCCACCAAGCAGATCATGGCTGCCATACGCAGCGTTCCTTCTGACGAGGGCGTGATTCTGTGCATCACGAATTATACGGGGGATATGCTGCATTTTGGACTGGCGAGGGAGAAGGGGGTTGCCATGGGGTTGCGGGTCGATGTCGTTTGTATGGCTGAGGATGCGGCCTTGGGGAGGGAGCGGAGTGGGAAAGTTGGGAGACGCGGGTTGGCGGGGAACCTGATTGGTATGTTCTTCCTCTTCCCCCTATTTTTTTCTATTTTTCCCCTTCATCTGCTGTCTCCGTTGTCCCTGGAGAGCACATGGGGTCTGGAAAATGGCTAATGTGCGGTTGGGTTGTAGTCATCAAGTTGATCGGCGCGGCATCGCAGAAAGGATGGTCGTTTGAAAAGTGTAAGAAAATGGGCGATCTGGGGAACGACCAGCTCGTCACGATTGGTGCGAGTCTGGATCATTGCCATGTCATGGGCCGCGAAGCGTTCGAGCACGTCCCGGATGATTCGTATGTGTTGGGCATGGGAATTCATAACGAGCCTGTGAGTCTCTTTCTTGTCTCCACCCGCTCCAGCTGCTCCAGAGTAAACGATGAATTGAGCAAGTGTACTGACCGAGGGAAAAAAAAAGGGCCTCCACACAATCTCCCCCATGCCTCCCGCCCGCACCATAGTCCAGGAAATGCTCAAGTACCTGCTCGACCCAAACGACACCGACCGCGCCTTCATCTCCATAACCTCCACCGACAACGTCGTTCTCCTCGTCAACAACTTCGGCGGCTTATCCGGTCTCGAACTAGAAGCTCTCACAAACCTCACCCTCGAAGTCCTAGCCTCGGACTGGTCCATTGTGCCAACCCGCCTCTACTCCGGAATCTTCGAAACCTCGCTCAACGGACAAGGCTTCTCCATCACGTTGGGCAATATGAGTGGCATGGCCAAGGCTATGCAAGTCACAGACGACGATATCATCGGGCTACTAGACGCCCCCACCAACGCCCCAGCGTGGCCAAAGAACAACTACGTCCCTGTAGACGTAAATAAGGAAATGCAAGCGAAGCGCGACAAAGCAAACGCCGCGGCAGCGCAGGGGAGCGATACAACCAAAGGACCCGCAACCCCCGCCTCGCTATTCCCCGCATTGCGGAAAGCATGCGAAGCAGGTCTAAAAGCCGAACCCACAATCACGCAATACGATCTCCAAATGGGCGACGGCGATTGCGGAGAAGCCGTGGCGCAGGTGTGCAACGCGATCCTCAAGAACATCGAGCTAGCTTCATCTGCCGACCCTCTTCCCGCACTCCTCGCGTTCCTGGAAGCAGTGGGAGACAGCGTAGAAGACGTCGGCGGCTCCCTGGGCGCCATCCTCTCGATCCTCGTCACGGCGTTTACGAATGCCCTCGCTTCGCTGACGTCCTCCTCCGGCTCCGCTGATCTGTCGCTCGAGGTAGTGAGCGAGGCCGCGTCGCTTGGTCTCGCGAATCTCAAGAACTACACTTCTGCGAGAGTCGGGGACCGCACTGTCATGGATGTTATTATCCCGTTCATCGAGACGCTGGCGAAGAGTAAGGATTTTGGCAAGGCGGCCGAAGAGGCCAAGAGCTGTGCGCAGAAGACGAGCGAGATGAAGGCCAAGTTTGGAAGGGCGACGTATGTGGGTGATGACGCTGGAGAGAGGTCTAAGATTCCGGATCCTGGAGCGTATGCAGCGGCCGTTTGGCTTGGGGGCTTGTTTGAGGGGTGGAAGGCATAAGGATGAAGTGTCGTGGCTTTTTGTGGATACCTACCTTTGTTTTGCTTTATCGCTACTGTTGAAGAAGTGAGGTTTCTGGACGAGTGAGCGCTTGTGTATACGAATTCTTGTTTTGTTAGTCTAATCGAACTTTTCAATCCTGAACAACAAAATCATTCGGTGTCCACGGAGAAGTGGGTATCTGAAGCTGCATTGCATCAGTCGTCGATAAAATCAATGGTCGAAGACGAGTTGACGCGTGACGGAATGGTCATGTGGTCCGGTCGATGATCGGGAGCATGTCGGCAATCGGATAAGGAGCAACGAGTCCTGACATCAACAGCAACCAACCATCAAACTGCCTGACTACATACATCCGTACACGCATCTGCCCTCGCTGCTACACCACACGGCTTTTCGCGCTCACTTCCGGTCTAGAGCTCAATCACACTGACGACACCTCGCTCGCTGCCCATCGCTACTTTGCATCACCCGCTTCCACCAGCTGGAGCAGGCTGAGCCAAGCTTTGCACCTCCGTCTATCTATCGCGCCGCCTACACCACTCACTTCCCGCAAAGCACAACACACAACACACACACTCCTACACCATGGCTACCCGGAAGAAGGTTCTCCTCAAGGTATGGAAGCTTGGACTCGGCGCACGAATTGCAAACTGACTCCATCAGGTCATCATCCTCGGCGACAGCGGGGTAGGCAAGACCAGCTTGATGAACCAATACGTACGTCTTCCCTGGATGGGCTTCTTGAGCTCACAATCCCTCTCAGCTGGATGTATGGTACTGACACGCATAAAAGGTCAACAAGAAGTTCAGCGCAAGCTACAAAGCCACCATCGGCGCCGATTTTCTCACCAAAGAAGTCTTGGTAGACGACCGACTCGTGACGATGCAGGTAGGATACACGCGATAGGGGTTCCAGGCACGGGCTAATACAAATCAGCTGTGGGATACCGCCGGCCAGGAACGATTTCAGTCACTCGGGGTCGCTTTTTACCGAGGTGCCGACTGCTGTGTGCTGGTATACGACGTGAACAACTCCAAGAGCTTCGATACGCTGGACAGCTGGCGCGACGAGTTTCTGGTCCAAGCTAGTCCCATGGACCCCGAGAACTTCCCATTCGTATGTGTGATCTTGGGTGGTGCTTTGCGGCATGTACTGACGGGAAATAGGTTGTGATCGGCAACAAGATCGATGTGGAAGATAGCAAGAGAATGGTAGGTCAACCCTGAAAAGCCTTATACCACTGTGCTAATACAGCATCCAGATTTCCCAGAAACGCGCAATGACATACTGCCAATCGAAAGGCGGGATCCCGTACTTTGAGACGAGTGCAAAGGAAGCTGTCAACGTCGAGCAAGCCTTTGAAGGTGGGTGTACTGCATATTCTCGGACACTAATGGCACACGACTAACGCTGATATACAGTGATTGCACGTCAAGCGCTGGCGCAGGAAGAAGTGGGTGATTTCAACTCGGACTTCCCCGAGACGATCCCCATAGACTTCAATAAACCCGACAACGGCTGCGCTTGCTAAGCAGAGATATGATGCGTCTGTTGGTCTCGCACGCACAATATGCGGTTAGTTCCTGTTCGGGTCGAGTGTATGTATCAGTCTAGTCTGTGCGAAGCGGCGTTTTGGTGTCTGGGATTCATTTGCTTCATCAAGCTCAAGTTACCCCTTGCTGACTGGTGTGTTTGGTACATCAAGTTGATGGGCATATAGTATAGCAGACGAAGGTGTGGATAGTTAGACGCCTATATACTTTGTTAGCTATCGATATATCCGCATGCGCAATTCACGTATGCATCGAAGACGGATCGTTAGCTTTTGCGTGTCTTGCAACCAGGTGGGCTACATTGAGTAGTGGTATAGCAGTACATATATACCTCTATATATATGCAGGTACATGATGGCTGCAGTTCAATCTACTTGATCAATCTAACGGCCGTCGATGACGAGAGAGGTGTGGCGTAGCTGAGCACCAGCCACAGGGAGCAGCCAATCAAGTTGCCGTGTAATCCGACCAGACATGGGGCCAAAGTGAAACCCTGCATGCTTTCTTACAGGGAAACTTCACTCACGAGCTCACATCATTCATTCATTCAAATGTTCATTCCAACCCACTCTGTACTTTGACGCTCTTCAGGTACTCTCCGCCTGATCCCTCTCTCTCCCTCTCGTGCGGGTCACGTTCATGGGCAACTCACCGCCCTACGCTCCGAAGCCGTTGCTCGCCTCGACGTCCATTCATTGATTGTCCTTCTGCTATCCCCGTTATTCTCCGACAGCCTGTCTCCTTAGACCAAACTCTCACACACGCCGCCGCAAGCTGGATTCACAGAAGACACTTCACCCACCATGGCCGCCGCACATAACGCGCCTCTCCTCAAGACGTCAAAGTCGCCGCGGAATAGCGAGGATTCCGATATACCCGAGGGCTCGAGATACAGCACAGCAGAGGTCGAAAGCCCCGTGCGGTCACCGGCGAGCGTGGTCAGCGTGTGGACAGATGGGAAGAAGCCGCGCGGTCGATGGAGGCACGCCATAGGCATCGTGCTGTTGCTTTGTACTGTTTTTCTCTGGACTACCTCCAACTTCCTAGCCAGTGTATGTATCTATCTTCCCTCACTATATCATATCACATTATACTCTACCCCTCCAGTCAAGCTTTGGGTCGACACTTGAATTGATACACTGGCAATCAGACAATCTTTGCCGACAACTCCTACTCGAAACCTTTCTTCGTTACCTATGTCAACAGCTCCTTCTTCATAATACCGCTTCTTCCTATGTTTGGCAAGCATTTTTGGGATGACCGTCACAACCCCGTTCGACAGCAACCCGTCCTCGCACAGATCCGCGACCTCCTCCAGCGCCGCGTCGGCCGCTACAAGCTCCTCCGCGAACACGAATCCTCTTCCTCGTCTCCTACCCCGTTCAAAACAAGTCTAGATGGCGAATCCGGCGCTACCTCGATGCTCCTCGGCGACGAGCTGGGCTCGAGCCAGGAAATCCACCACGACCTCCCCTCCTCCGAAGGCATCACCCTCTGGGAAACCCTCAAAATCAGCCTCGAGTTTTCCCTGCTCTGGTTCGCCGCAAACTACTTCGCCGCCGCCTGCCTCGAATACACAACCGTCGCATCCTCCACAATCCTCGCATCCACCTCGTCCATTTGGACCCTCTTCTGCGGCGCACTTCTCCGCGTCGAGCGCTTCACCTTGCGCAAATTCATCGGCGTATGCGCCTCCCTCGCCGGCGTCGCCCTCATCTCCACCGTCGATATCTCGGGCGAAACCGACGAGAACCGCGGCGACTTCCCGCACAAGACCCCGCGCGAACTTGCCATTGGCGACATCATGGCGTTTGTCAGCGCTGTGCTATACGGCTTCTACGCCGTCTTCATGAAGAAACGCATCGGCGACGAATCCAAAGTCAACATGCCCCTCTTCTTCGGCTTCGTCGGCGCCTTCAACGTGGTCCTCCTCTGGCCCGTCATCTTCCTCCTGCACTTGACCTCGGTCGAGAAATTCGCCATCCCGCCCACCACCAAGATCCTCGTCATCGTCCTCGTCAATTCCGCGTCGAGCCTCGTCTCCGATTTCTGCTGGGCCTACAGCATGCTGCTCACCTCCCCGCTCATCATCACTGTCGGTCTCACCCTCACCATCCCGCTATCGCTCGTCGGCCAGATGGTGCTGGATAAGCAGTACAGCTCGCCGCTTTATTGGGTCGGGGCTGCAGTCATGGTGCTGTCGTTTGTGTTTATCAATCACGAGGATAAGAAGGATGGGGAGGATGGGGTGTTGGAGGGCGCGGATCCTCCCGGGTTGGGGGATGTCAGGAGGAGCTTCCAGAGCTTGACGGGGAGGAGCGAGGTCTGGAGTGTTGGCGAGGGGAGTACGGGGACGAGATCGGATGGTGGGGCTAGTTTTGAGGAGAGGAGACGGAGGAGGAGTAGTGTCGTTGGTGGTGGGGATAGAGACGGGCTTTTGTGAGTAGGGAATCCGCTTTTTTTTCTTCTTTTTTCCTTTCTTTCTTTTGGGCGTGTTTGATGGTTGCGTACATATGTACATACGTGTATGTAGAGACGATGAATAGATGGATGCATGTGATCGATATAGGATCACTATGAAAATTCATAGATTGTTATCTTGCACATTCTTATCTTTTCGTTGGAGTAAATTCATTTTTGTTTTCCTTTTCCTTTTCCTTTTCCGTTTTTTTGATTTCCTTTGACTTTGTGATGTTTTACATGACGTCTTGCTGTCTCACATAGCAGCCATATATACTATTCAGCAATATAAAGTCAGTCAACAGGACCAGCTAAAAAGGTATATAAATACCCAGGGGAAGCAGCTAGACAGATAAGTTGGACTGTAAGCCAGTCTACCCTACAAGCCCAGCCAACCAACCAAGAGCAACAGACACGAAACACCCACAGCCGTCCTATCGACCGCGCCAACCTCCCCCCCTCTTATGATACCCTCCCCCACCTCGTCGAGCTCCCCCAGAACCGCCGCTCTTCCTCGGACCCTCGGCCTTCCTCCTCTCCTCCCACGCCTCTTCGCTGTCCACCTCCTCAGGCGTCCAGCCCTCCTCCGTCATGCTCTCCTCAAGCCTCTGCCGAACGAGCGGATCCCAATGCGCTTTGCCGTCTGCATGTTTGAAATCGACATTGTAGTCAATGACGTTTTTGCCGAGTTCGTAGGCGCCCTGGCGGGTGCGGATCAGCGAGGCCATGCAGGCGAGGGAAGAGCAGGCGAGGCCCAGGTCGTGGCAGAGGGAGCGCACGTAGAAGCCTGATGTTACTGTCATGCGGAGGCGGGCTGCTGGGGGGTGGTGTTGGGGAGGTGGTTCGGTGGAAGGAGCTCTCCCTGGAGAGTTGGGTTGTTGCGGGGCGGGTGTGGTTGAGGAATGTTGCTGTTCCTGTTCTTGGGGGTGTTGCTGTTGTTGGGCTTGAGGTGGTGAGGGTTCGGTGGTGGTAGTGGCGGGCGGGTCTGATGGAGGGGGTACGAGGGCGCCGGACATGGCGGGCTCTTCGGCAGAGGATGGGGAGCGAGGGTGTTCATCGGCGTTTGTGACGAGCCCGTCGTCGTTTTCGCCGTCTTGAGGGGCCGAAGTCGTGGCGACGGTAGGGGTCTGGTCTTGTGCTTCTTCCTCTATTCTGGGTTTCTTAGTAGCGGTGGCATCTTCTGTGGAGATTTCTGGCGTCCGCGAACGTTTGCGGGATTGCCATGCGGCTGCCGCGTCGGCGTCTGATTTCCTTATTCCCAGCAATTTCTCAGCCCCTTCTTGCTCGGTGCTGCCCATTTCCTCCTTGGGCCACATGTATTCGTGCGTGCCGGGCTCCAACCATTCTACCAGTTCCAGCTCCGTCACTTCAACGGGCCGCGCAGCTACCTCGGGGATGGGCCCTCCAGCGCGCGCATACTCGTACATCTTCTTGCCGTCGACCTTGAGCGCCGAGAAGACACTGGGCTTCTGCATGATTTTTCCGCGGAAGTCGGCGAGCTTGCTCTCGACCAGCTCTTTGGTGACGTGGGAGTAATCGGCTTTGCTAACCACTTTGCCAACAACGTCATACGAGTCTGTCGCGGCGCCGAAGACGACGACACACTCGTAGCTCTTGGTGCAATCGAGGAAGCGGCCCAAGAGCTTGGTGCCTTTCCCCACGCCGACAATGAGGACGCCTGTCGCAAGCGGGTCGAGGGTGCCGCCATGACCGAGCTTAACGTTCAAGTTGCGGAGGTGCTTCGGCTTCGCTTGCGATTCAATGAGGTTGCGGCGCGTGTAGTCGAGCCAGGGTTTGAGGACGTCCGAAGTTGAGAAATGATTTTGGAGATCGCGCAGTACGCCGGCAGAGGAAGCCCATTGGGGTTTATTCACAGCTGAAGTACATGTTAGTTTCCTCATCTTCTCACTCGTACCACGATCACCTGTCGCGATAGCTCTTGGTGGAGTAGAAGAAGCAGTTGAGTTTGTTCCATAGCACAAGACGAATTGGAATGGAAACAAGCTTACCAATGATGCCCTCGAGCACCTTGCGGCTCTCTTTGGGGGGAGTGGCCATGAGGGTGCGCTTGATAACAGGACCCAGCGACATCAATCGGTTTTGCGGGGTGCTAGAGGTGGGAGGAGCTGCAGGTCCTCCGTCGATAAATTCCGAGGTGCCAAGACACTAACGGCCGATCGCATAACTATTTATTCACCACCTACAACAGTATACCCAACGGCCCTTTCTACCTACATACTTACTACACGACTTACCTTCCACCGCATCACGCCCCACAGGCAGCCTCGATTCATCATGTCTGACGATCGTGATCTCGAGGATATCGCCAAAACGGCGACAGACGACTTTTACGAGCTCTTGGGTGTAGCCTTCGACACTGCCGACAATGACATCCATCGTGCTTATCGGAAAGCCTCAATCACTGCCCACCCGGATAAAAACCCAAATGACCCCCATGCCGCCGATCGCTTCATTCGTCTGGGTATCGCACGCGACATTCTTATGAGCGCGAACCTAAAAGCCGAGTACGACAGACAGCGCACGCGCAGACGCGAACGAGAGCTCCAGAACAGCCTCCTCAGCAAGCAAAGGCGGAAATGGGCCGAAGACATTGAGCGGAGGGAGCGCGAGGTTTTTACGGGCGGCAAGCGGAAACGCGATGGCGAGATGACGCCGGCGGAGAAGCGCGAGGCGGAAATACAGCGGTTGGCCGAGGCAAGCAAGAGGATCAGAAAAGAGTACACGGAGAAGCTGCAGAAACAGCGGCAGGAGGAGGAAGCGCGGTTTGCGGAAGCCAGCGCGGAATCTGCGGCAAAACCTCAGACAACGAGCTCCACGGCGGAACTTGACCGTACAGTCAAGGTGATGTTCTACAGGGATGGTGAAGCTGCGGAGTGGGGGAGAGAAAAAGTCGCGCAAATGTTGGAAAAGTACGGTAAAATACTGTCCAGCATCTCGTGCAAAGACAAGAAGAAGGACAGGCTGCCTGGCGAGAAACACAGAAAAGTATTGGGTTCAGCGTTCGTCGTCTTCGAGCGCATAGACCATGCCCACGCAGCGGTCGTGGACGCCCCAAAGGACTACCCTATCCTCGATTCCGTCGTATGGGCGGTCAAAGAACCAGAGTTCCTCAAGTCGCAGTCAAAGGATCAACCTTCTGCACCTTCAACGCCTATCGGTACACCTAACAAAGCGTTTCGGGCGTCCTTTACCGGTAGCGGGCTGGGTAAAGGTGTTGGTACGCCAGGAACGCCCAAATTCGGCTTCTCGCCACATGCCGCGACCTCCAACAGCCCCAGCATGAAGGAGCAAACTATGATGCGACTCAAGCAAGCAGCCGAGAAGAAAAAGTTGGAAGAGCAGATTCGGCGCCAGGAAGCTGAGGAAGAGGCCACTGCTGAAAGCTAACATGCTAAGATACCCCGATTCTTGTTGGTTCGCCTTGTTATGAAGGAAAAAGGATGACGACGTTTACGATTCTGCTTTTGTTTTGTTTGTTTAGATACCCCTAGAGAAGATCTTGTCGAACAGTTGGCTAGTACTCTTAGCTCTCACCAACGCTTATAATAATCTACCAATCTCTTTACCATCCAATCCGCTCTATACCGAATTTCACAATTCCTCGTCCCCGCTTCTCTTCCCTTCTCAAAACCACTTTCCTAACAGACCCTCATTTCCACCCTCATCCCCTCCTTCGCCCCTACACAAGCACCAACAGGCTGCTCACTCATCGCACTCGCCGTAGGATCGCAATATCCACCCCCTTCACAACACGACTTCGCATCTCCGCACTGCCAAATCTTACATCCCTGGCCCCCCTCACGGAAAGCTTTTATCGAGAACGGCCCACCGCCTGCGCAGGGCGCGAGATCCCGAGAAGAGGTCACGCAGTCTATAAACGAGAGATTATACTATCGACAACATCAGCATGTTATATCCATCTTGAAAAACAAGCTTGCTTTTCATTCTTTCTTAAAAAAAAAAAGAACATCGAATAGGAAAAGGAGGTGATACAGGGGGAGTTGTTTTACCCATAACGTCGAACTACCCTCCTCATACCCATACTCGAACTGCATCGGCTTTCCATCCCTTTCTTTGCCTTGCTGGTGCACTTTGACGACGATGTTTCCGCCGCTGGGACACGTGTCGTCGATGCCTGAGGACCAGGTTTGTCCTGGGGCGAGCGCGATGAGGGTCTGCGAGTGGGCTGTTGCGCAGGCGAGGGCGGGGAGCTTTTGTAGGGTCAGCGGGTAGGGACATGCGTTTTGGAGGGTTGCGAGGCCTGGGGTTGTGGTGCGTGGGGAGGGGTGTAAAGGATGGGGGGTTGTTGGCGGTGTGAGGAGGAAGAGGAGGATAGAGGGCAACATTTTGTGTGTGTGTGTATGTGTTTCTGGTCAACAGAATTTGACAGATTTCCAAGTGGTTGGGAATGTATCAAGATTGTGGGTTTCTAAGAGTTACATAGGAAGGATCAAAATGTATTGTATCATGTGTTTTCTGGGTTTTACTTTTCCTTTCGCTTTTGCTTCCTGTTATTTATCGTTTTACTGGAAAGCGGTGGCTTCACAATTTGTGAAATTTGTGAGTGTACATGTGAGGGGCTCAACAGAATGTGATTGATGTGATAGGAATATGAATCCGTGGATGAGTGACTCTGAGTAGGGAATAGGATGTCTTCACTGAAGAAGAATTTGATATATCCGGATCGATATGACATGATCGAAGTGATGCTGACCTCACTTCGTCTATAACCATAAAGAGATGACTTCCAAGGGTTCAAATCTACGGTGGAAACGGACGCGCGCAGTCTTGAATTTTCTATTCATCGCCTTCAAGGTGCCCTTTGCAAACATGGCGAAGTTGGCATTTGCTATGATACATGAGGTGAATGTTCTGTTTACATGTAACCATCGCAGGGCATGACTCCATCACCTCGGTGAAGAGAACCACCCATGGCGCTGCCCTCTCGCAATGCGGCCATGAACAAAGAGGGTAACGTGAGTCACGGCGACTGCCATTGTGCTCGAGAGAGAGAATTTGAGAATGTGAATTCAGGTTGAGATGTTGACTTGAGACACAGTTGAAGTAAAAGTAAACTTGGTGAGGTCGTGGCGAGACGAGATGTCTTGCCTCTTCTGGAAGTCGAGGAAGTCACGCCCGTTCAACTCACGTGAATTTGCTGGCCACCTCACCACGGATCAAGTCAACCCACGCAAACCCACACATACAAACACACAGGCTCCTATATGTACGTTTATGGGTATCAGCAAGGAGCTAATCGAGCAAGTTCATTGTCTTTCAAACCACGATGTCAAAAGAACATTCACACTGTCGCAGTAGCGCCATCGTCCCTGTCCCAGTCTGTTCCTCGTTGCCCACCAACTCCTCCCTGACTAAACACGCATACATTCACTTTGTACCGTCTCACCTTCCTCCAAACGACTCTGGACGGATAATCTGAAAGGCCGACGTCATGGGGTCCCACTGCGCCCTTGTTTATGTTTTTCCCCCCGCCGCCCTCAACCAAACATTTGAACCTTTCTTCTTCCCGCCACCTGCGCCTCCACCAAACACGACATACCACAGTATTCACAACCACAAACGCTACCACCACATTCTTTACTCCCCGCTATCCCATCGGGATTGCCATGGAGGCTATCAGTAAGTATTAGAGATTTTCTTTCATTCATCCTTCATACGCCGACAATTTGTCTTCCAGATATCCGCCAGCTAGCTTGGCTTGTCGAGAGCCCTTTTCCACCTATAGCCCGCGCGCTACCCGCTGAGGCTCTTCTATGGCTGGAGAATAACAGGCTTCATGGCTATCGTGGCTACTTAATAAGCCAGCTCCACGAGCACCTTGACCACGAGAAGCGTTTGCGCCTGTGGGCAATCCTCAACACCCACGGTTGGCCTACTCACTTACAGTCCTTCCTCTCGGCTAAATCAAGAATTGTGCCCGGCACGCCTTGGACCAATGCAGATAACCTTGCCCTCGTGATCGCCCGTGACGCAGGTCTTCCCTTCAACATTATTGCCTACATTTTGTTTGAGGGGCGCTCCGAGTCTGAATGCGCTTCCCACTACGACGAACTCCTCGCGACGGGCGAAGTGGCTAGGATCAACGCTATATATGTTCCGAGCCTGAATCTTCAAGCTGGAACAATTCCGTTCCCAGAGTACGATGATAGTGGCTTCAACGACAATGAGAATCAGCCACAAATCTCTCAGCATGTTCGCCGAGATCAAGACAACGGACGATCTAGAAGCTCTTCAATGATGGACATGGATTCCCTGGACACCCCCACGCCTATAGTCGCCGCACCGGTACCTCAATCTAAGAAGACTCAGGCACGACTTGCTCAGCTCATTGACGCAACAACTGACAGCGAGCTCTCTTCAGCTCGAAGCTCTTTGAGTGATGCCGAGTATCTGCTACCTCTTTCTGGGAACCATCGTCTGTCAGGGTCCACTGATAACAACGATGATGTTGCTGCGCTCTCAGCGAAGACGCACGGAGCTCCTCAGACTTCTACGGGTCGTCTGCGTGGGGGGGCCCCAGTATTTAAACGCTGGGACAACGATGAGATGGAAATCCTGAAAGAAGGTGTAGTCAACGGCATGACACCGCAGGAGTTGCAGGCAGTCTATTTCCCGTTTCGCCAAGTTCCTGCTATCCGGAACAAGATCGCAAAGTCGAGGCGCGATGGTATAGACTTGCCCTTTGGTAAAGCTTGGTCAGCTCAAGATGCGGAAGATCTTGATCGACTACGCAAAGAAGGCCGCTCATGGGGTGAAATTGCGGCAATTCGGTTTCCTTCGAAGACTGGCAGACAATGCATGGAGTACCACAGATACGTCGTGTTGAAACAAGCCTCGGAAACCCAGGCTGGGTCCGATGATGCCGGGCCATTAGTTTCTGACAAAACTGATCAAGGTGGGTATTCTCTACTTATTTGAAGACTTTGTATGATGCTGACATCAATCAGACCAAAATAAAGAGGAAAAGGAAGAAGGGGAGGAGATCACGGACATTGAAACTGCGAGGACCAATGCGCTGAATCGCCTTTTCCCCGATGGTTGTTTCGATGACAAGATGAAGCTTCGGGAAGCCTTCAACAACTCCAGCTGGCCTTCCTGGCTCAGCTCTCTCGAAGCATATCGGGCTGGCCCGCCCCAGCGACAAGTCCTTTGGGTACCAGAGGACGATCAAGCAATAATTTGTGTGCAAAAGCTTGACAGTCGACCCGCCGCGAAGAAGATTGTTGAGGCCCTCTTTCCAAATCGCAGTGTACAGGGCGTGAGAAATCGTCATGCTACTTTGAAGAAGCGCGAGTGTGTTGCCGGCTCCAGCAACATGGCAGGGAATAACTGCAAAGGTCAGGATGAGTATCAAGAAGGGAGTGAGTACGAGAAAGAAGATGTTCACGAGAAAGGGGATGTCCGTGAGAAAGGAGCTAATTCAGATGAAGACGAAATTTATGAGGAAGAGGATGTCGACGAGAAAGGAAATAATCCTGAGGTGGACGGTATGTACGAGGAGGAGGAGGATTTCCATGAGCAAGGGCAAAATTCCGAGGAAGATGGTAATTATGAGGAGGACGATTTGAGTCTCATTCCATAGGCCAAACGTGGGCATGTGCAATGGCGGCGATGCTTAGGGAAGTATCGCCTCGAGGAAGAGACTGTGGGATTCCGTGTCTTTTCTAGCTCGATGGCGTAAGTAAGATGGAGATGGGCGGAGGGGCCGGCTAAAGATAGGATCGGCTCTCAATTGCCGCGAGGCTTCTAAGAACTTCTTTCATTCCATGCTTCCATGGGTAGTTTCTCTGCGCATATGAAATTCTTGTTTCTCTACCATCATTTATAAATTCCCTAAACTGGAAAACGGGCCTACAAAATGATATATACTCACATAATGGCCGTAAGCAACACGGGGAAAGGGTTTTGTCATGCATATGCATGCAGATTGGGTTGCAGGGATCATGATGACGACGGACAGGACTAGTATCCAGAAGCGGTAATTCCTGTAGACGATGACAAGGCTGTCGGCTAAGCTAAGCTTATAACGAACGTTATTACATGTGTATATGTATGAAGCGGAGGAGGTGCTGTGGGGTCGGAGGATCGGGGGTTTTTTACTGCAGGCTTGATTTGGGAATGTTGGTGTTCTCGTAGGAATGGGGACTGCAGGCTCGATTTGGCAATTTCTAGGGACTATGGGGGCCGATGATGGGATTCAGATTACGAATGTCTGCTCTGCGTCGAGATTGCGTAGGAAGTCGTGGATTTCGTGCTGCCTGTGAAACTTTCTTTTTGTGTATTTAAGGAAGACGGATTCCCACCTGCTTGCTCTAGTCAAACACATTCACATCATTCTTCACAGCAGATAACAACATATCTACTCATACTCAAAACCTTTCAATCTCGCAAATTCCACCAACAAATTCCAGTCAACATGTCCTCCCTCCCCAAGCGCGTCTTCATAGCCATCACCTCCGCCTCCGCACCCCTGGGTGACGGCCAAACCGGCGTCTTCATCAGCGAAGCGCAGCACCCGTTCAACGTCTTCCGCGCCGCGGGGTTCGAAGTCGACATTGGCAGCGAGCATGGCAAATGGAGTCCCGATAGCCTAAGCCTGACGGCGAATTTCATGAATGACGAGGACCGGAAACAGTGAGTCCTGTCCTTGAACTCCACTGTACCTTCAACGATGAGAAGACGTATTAACGAGATGGCTTGGCTAGGTATGAAGACCGCGATTCCGAGTTCCGAAAGGAAATGGATCGGAATAGAAAGGCTGAGGAGTTTGATGCTTCAAAGGTAAGATATCTCATTATACAACCATGCGTCCTCCCTCCCCAGCGCACTACTTCTCTACCGCACTACAACTACAAACCGTCCATCTTACTTTCTCTCCTTCTAACTCGCGACAAACAGTACGGAATCTTCTTCGCCTCCGCCGGCCACGCCGCTCTAATCGACTTCCCCACCGCCAAACACCTCCAAGCCCTGGCCTCGAAAATCTACGCCGCCGGCGGAATCGTTTCAACCGTCTGCCACGCCCCCGCAATCTTCCCTTCGATCCTCTCCGCCACCGACAACACGCCCATTGTGCGCGGCAAGAAAATCACCGGCTTTACTACCCAGGGCGAGCACGATCTCGGCGTCTACGATACGCTCAAGGGAATGGGACTGTTGCTTCCTGATGAGCATGCGGCGGCGCTGGGCGCAGAGTATGTGAGGAGCGAAGGGCCTTGGGATGATTTTAGTGTGGTGGATGGGCGGGTTGTTACGGGGATGAATCCGCAGAGCGCGGCGAGTACGGCGAGGAAGTGTTTGGAGGTTTTTAAGGGGCTTTGAGAAATTTCTGTGGAGAAGGGGGACTTGTAGGGATAGTTTGGACTTTGTCGGCGGCTGGGGTGTGAGGGGTGGAGGGTGTCGTAGTGATTTTGAGGGGAGGTGATAGAGGAAGGGGGAGAGGCGGGTCTTGGGTTGTATAGCACTGTACACTCGTTTTGATATATGATTCTGTTTTTATCGTGCTCTATGACGCGAATTTCGATAAAAGATGATCGGAAAAGCACATGTATACTCGAAATTTCTCCATAAGAATATTGTCTTCGCAGCTGTTCTGCCAGATCTAGTTCCGTGTTCTTCAAGTATCAAAATCCTTGCGATAAAGCATTCGTCTTCGCAGGTTACTCCCAGCAGCAACGAATCAATCATGGACAGTTTATCAACTCTGCAGTAGAAAATAAGTTCTTGATTGTAACTATCCAAAGCAGCAATCTACATAGAAACGAGTGTGGTTGGCATCCTCTCAGCCCTCTCATTGCACCTTCTCATCAATCAATTCCATACAGTTCTCCGCCACTCCATCTTCCTCCTTCTCGTCTAGCAAGAGCTGCAGCTACGGTCGCAAACTGTTTTTAACGTTAGCAGGAATTAATTCTATCGAATGAAATTGACGTACCACCAGGGCACGTTCCAGAGTCTGGGAATGCGCCGCAGAAGTTCTCGAGACACTGGCCCCAGCTGCAGTCATCGGCCCAGCAGCAAGTGTCTCTATTGCAAGTACGTTTCTCGAGATCTGCCGCTACTAGCTGTCAGTAAGGATATGGTTGAAATGGCGGAGTAGACTGACCATCGGGAGTGGGGTCGGTTGGGAAAGCTAGAGCTAGACTAGCCAGGAGGGACATGGCGATGATAGAGGTCTTCATTTCGACTGAAGTTGTTGATTTGTAAGTTTTTTTGGTGGATAGATGAAATGGTTGCTGAATTGGAGTTGGAATTGATGGTGAGATATCTATTCCAACGGGAGCAAGCTCGCCATACTTATACATATCCTGTCGCACTTCTTCCCCATGATCTGAGCATCAGCAATCAACATTTAACCAGTTCTCTCCTCGTATGCAAGAGGACTTGAACGAGGCGTATTTGCCAATGCTCGTGAGGTTGAAAGCACTGCGGCGTCATAAACTGAATACCGACTCTGTAGAAGATGGACATTTAGCTAGGTGAAGGACACCATGCGCGGTTACGCCCAGTCGGCTAAAAGCAATTCTTGCCAACGTTGATTATACTTGATAGTAAGAATGTGACGGAAAGTCTCAAAGCTCGAGCTGGAATGTCTATTTGTAACGTCATTCGTTGTCCGTGGAGTGAGTCCTTCTACTGCACTAAGACTATAGCTAAGATATTATGCTTGGCTTACTACGTGCCAGAACCAGTTGCGAGAACACCAGGCTTCAACGCAGAACACCTTTACTCAATTACATATTCCATTTTTCTCCCGAAGTATATTTATACAATCCGATTGATCTGTTCAGCGGGCCTGACCTAGCAGACTGGACATACACGGATATATTCGTGCAACGGGCTGTGCCAGTATCCATTTTACTGTCAAGATCTGACTGTATAGAGTTGAAAAGCACCTGCTGAGATCTTTCCAGCCGATTCCAAGCCTTTTCCATTGATGCCAATTTGAAAGTTCGTGTTAGCCTCAAGCGAACTTTGAGGGAAAGCAGGTGCATGGCATCAGCACGGTCTAAATCCTAAGACTAGTGGCATCGTCCCTCAACCCCATGGAGGCGTAGCTGCGTATTTTTTCTAAGCTTCTCCAACAGGTACAAATTATTTCTAAGAATTATGTTGCTACTGACATCATGGGGCTGTGTGACTGCAGATCTAATCGTAATGTGGTGGCCCCGTGTCGATAGGATTCCTACGCGATGAGGCATAAAATAATGAAGGACGAGAGCGAAACGTGATGCTCAGGAGCTCTACACGGAGATGCATGTGCAGTCTATCCAATTACGATACCTACCCTCACTCATCAGCCCTTCCTAGCGAGCGCTGCCAAGGGCTTCCAAGATTTTTGGAAACGGGACTGAAGAAATCCCTTATTATCGTCCCTTAAAAACATACGGCAAAGGGGTGAATAGGGGGTTGGGACGACTGTAGACGATATTGGATATCATCTAGACTTTGCTAGAACTCAGCGCTGTTACCAACGACATCGGCAGTGCAACAAAGCAACTCATCGCACTACAAACATTGGCAATGTAATAAAGAAACATAACGCACTACACACCACTTCCTAATTCGCCTCATGAAGCTTCCCCTAAACACCACAGCAATCATAGAGCCTGCGAGCACATGAATGATTATTGCACAACTACTTCAGTGTGTTTGGACGAATAAGCCAAGTTAAAATGACAGATGCGCTCAATATCATAAGCAGGTGCCCTCCATGAAGCTCCAAGAGAGATCATCAAAAGGTTGTTATATATTTGCATTCGGAGTGCTCCTATTATCCGACCGAACGCTCTTGTATTTAGTTTTGGTTATCATTCGTTGATTTAGTACCTTTTATTTTCGTAACCCTTCGCCCTTCGCTGTGTGTAGGATCACCTAAACTTCAACTCAAAGTAAATAAATATCTATATATAATTTTACACTAAAGCCTTATTTTAGCAACACTACTAGCTACAAGAAGGCATTATATATAAATTTATGTAAAGCTTCAAGCAGTGCTCAACGCGAAAAATAATAAATGACAGAAAGCAGGGCTGAGACTAGGAGACCAATGGGACCGTATACCCTTTTCATGCGAGATACCGCGGCCACTACGTATTCCATACCTCAACCGGTGATCGCTCACGCGTCTGAGGAGTTGAACGTGTTCACATTCGCTGTGTCTGGGTCGGCAACTCTGCGGGAGACTGTTGCGACTGCAATTCGTTGTGATAGGCGTACTTGGCATCAGATTGTGTATGACCAGCATATTCAGCTAGAAAGGGGGCAGTGTTTGTTTCTGTCTGCTTCGCTCTTTTTTGCTTGAGGACCACGAGGATGACTGCAAGAATGAGCGCCGCGCCCACGATCGAACCTACGATGGCGCCGGCGATGACTGCTGTGTTTGATTTTCTTTTGTGTTCAGGCACAGAGGAGGTGCCATTGGTGCTTGCCGGTGCACCGTCGAGTGGTTTCGGGGTAGGAGTGACCGTTGGTGTGATAGATCCCGAAACGCTGGCCTGTTCATTTCCCGGATGCAGAATGAAAGCTCTGCTGTTGAACATCTCTGGTTGTGGGTCTGAGCTGTATGTGTCGGAACCCTCGGTGTGTCTCACCATTCGCAGCACATATATCGACTCGGCGTCATTCCCTTCAATCTTGTCGTTTGGAACGTTGACTGTCCAGTTGAAGCTTCCCGCCTCATTGCCAGGTATATTCGCTAGCAAAGTTGTCAGCCCTCCGTGTGCCATATGAGCTATCGCGCAAAGACACTTCGCGATGAATGGGAAGGAAAGTCATACCTTTGAGCTTTGAACGATATCCCCCTCGGTTGTACCATGTAACCCATAGATCACCAGTTTCCGGGCGTTCGACGTGTAGAGTTGACCATCTGCCATCCCATGCAATTGAGAAAATATCCCCAACCTTGTAGCTTTCGGAGCCGAGCGCTAAGTCATTTCTTGGTGATGTAAACGGCGATATGGTTTCCTCGCCCAGCACTGCTTGCGTCCACACACTCGCAGCGAACAGTACGGCCGGCGATATCCATCTAGGAGGTGTCATTTTTGAATTTTCGGTCCTATACTCGAGGTATTGAAATCGGGGTAATGAGCCCACGCGGCAAGCTTATGTCGTTGCAAGGTGATATGCGGTCGGTGAGTACGGAAAAACTGATTGGAAAAAAAGCGTAGCGGTGATGCTGAGTTTTATCCATGGGGTACGATTTTATGGGTTCCCAGCCTCACGGGTAGTCTTCCTCCCGAATTCTCACTTTGCGGCACCCCATCTCCCTCTACAAACACCGTGCCTTCAATCACCCAGCTGCAGTTCAGATGCTTTTGTAAACTCGCTTGATATCTCTTCCTTTCACTGACCAATAGGCATCGTTGCAACAGTCCTGCTATTTTCAAGATATGGTGCTTATGCTTACGTTTGTTTGAGCAGGGATTATGCTGCAGGTGGCATTGTGGTTAGGCCTGACAGTTTTTTCTCGCGCGAGAGGCTTGGTAAAGTGTGTCTTGCCGTATGTCGCTAGGGCAGCCTGTGTGGAAACCAAATAGTATGGCTATGACAATAATTCATTACGTTTGACGTTCATTTGATTCAACGAATTTGACAACTGCCTTCTGATTTTCCCATTATGATATTCAATCCACTATTGAGAAAGCAATTACGGCCAACAACTTCCACGGAGACACTAACATTATGTTTCAAGGCCTCCCATCGAGTAATGTAAACAGTAGAAAGAGTAATCGTAAAGCGTCAGCGAACACGTGAAAAGGGAAATTCCCAGCCACCATACCCTTCTGCGCCACGTGCGTCCGCAGCTTTCCGAGAGATGATTAGCTTGCGTACTGTGAGAACAACTGTCACATAGCCACATCAGCTACGTTTTTAGAATACTTGATCCGGAGACATTACTATCCGACCGAAATTCGCGAATATACTACATTCTGTCGTAATGTCCACCAAGGTTATTGGGATTGCTGCGTATGCCAAAATTCACTGTTTGGGCTGATAGCTAATATTGATACTGTCCACTAAATTTATTTCTACTTGATAATCATCATGCATCGTGAGTGATCCCAGATCTTGGGGCCTTTGGACACCTGCTACTGTGCAGATTTAGAGGACACTCCTCTGACTCAAACTAGGCTTACTACGTTTCTTTATACTAGGTGTTATATTGGCCTGTGTCCCTTCGCTGTAATTTGCGTATCCGCTTTGATTCGGACTCGCGCTGTAAAGTAACCCCACTTATTCCTTAGGTCCAACAATGAACCTTTCAGTCGCAAGCAACTATCTAAGCGCTGCCTACCCGCGATCCTCTAGTTAACACCTCAATTCTTTTAACGCTCTCCTATTATAGTAGTACTCTTCCGCATCTGCATCATGTGCACTAGTAACAGAAATCGGTTCGCCAAGAGATAATAGGTATTCTTGAAAGCCTTGATCACTTGCGAAAGTATGACTTGTGAACACCAACATTGTATTGAACGAACGAATGAATCTCAAACACACAACATAATCGAACCAACCTAAACCTACTCGTCAAGTGGTTCTCCCGGAGAACGCTATCACCGACGATCGTAAATGAAGCAAACTACCCATACCCTCGAGTGCTAGTCTTCATTCCCATTGCTAATCATCTTGCTGCTACACTTGTTGCTGCACTCGCAGTGTCCTTCACCCCATCCGGCCCGACCATCTGTATGTACCGATCTTGGGGGAGTTTGCACTGCGTACATTCTTTGGTGCATTCGAACCCATCGCTCTTCGCAAATGTACCGCACGTCCCAGTCGTGCATGAATCTGAGCTGCAGTAACACTTTGAGGAATCACTCTTGCTATAACCGCTTAGTATGCCAATATAAAAAGATGAGTATGGGGTCAGCTAGAACTTACGACCGCGCACACAAATCCGTTATCACACTGCCTCCTTCGAGGGTGAAATAATGTTTTCCTGGATTGAAATCGACGGTCTGTAGCGGGGTCGGCGCGCTGCTGCTGCTGCTGCTGCTCGTTTTTGTCGCGGTGACTGTCGCAGATGATGAGGGTTTGGTCTTCGAAGTTGAAGCGCTCTTGGATGGACCTGCTGTCGTCTTTGCGCTGCTCTTTGCGCTGCTCTTTGCGCTGCTCTGTGAAGCTGTGTTGCTACCAGTCGCAACGGGAAGGGAAGTGCCCAAACAAGAACCAAGTGCTTTTTCATCCAATTTGTCGCTTTCCATCAAACTCATGAAACATTGTTGATGTTCGTAGAAGCTGGGTTCGAGCACGATGTGGTCGTAACCGGTTCCTGCTGCTGGTGTGACTGTACTACCTTTGAGTCGGGTTAGTGGTTTACATTACACCGCCAAGGCTTCCCTTCATGGAAATGTAGGTGGCGAAGAAACGTCATCTCATTCGCCCTGGAAGAGGATGATCAAACTTACTTGTGATGGAGGTGGTGCCAGAGCCTTTGCAAGCTGTGATGGTGGAGCACTCCGTCGCGAAGCTGCTCGTCTTGGTTCCTGAGATGATGTTGGTTCCTTTGCAACTGGCAAAACCAGTGGCTGAGCAGCTGATTGTAGTCTTGCTGACTTCTGTAGCTCCAGCTTGGGAGCATGCGCTCACCGTCGTGCAAGACGTTACAGCAGACGTACGTGTTCCCGAAATCACTTGCGTAGCTTGGCATTTAGGGACGCCGGAGGTCTTGCAAGAGCTGGTACTTGATGCTTTGCTTGATGTTTTGCTGGTTTCCTTGCTGGTTTCTTTGCTTGTTTCCTTGCTCGTGTTCTTTTCGGTTTTGGGATCTTTAGGCTCTTCAGAATTACTTCCAGGCTCGGTATATCCTTTGAGGCCAGGAAACTTGGCCATATTAATCCAGTCGGGCAGATTGCCATCAATATGGGGAAACTCAATGTGGCACGCAGCGTCTAAAGCGGTGTCTACAACTTTGTTGGCTACGTTGGCGACAACACCCAGCAGACCCCCTGATTTAGGCTTTGGCAGCGGATTGCACTTATCTTTCGGTAGCTCAAGTTTTACAAAGACAACAGCAAGGCTGTCATCGTCATCTTCATTCTGTTTAATCTTTTTAGTAGGAACTGCCTTGAGGTCTGTGATCTTAGGGATGAAGAAATTCGTGGGCGCCGAGACGATGCTTTCGAGCCATGTTGGAGTAGGCTTGTCGCATGTTACTGATGCTGAGCATAACAGCATCGTGGTTGGTGTTCCGCTAGGGGTAGCCGACCAGAAGCCTGGGGGTAAGCCAATTGATGAAGTGGTAGTGGCTTGCCCAGAAGATACTGCTGAGGACTTTGACGACGATTGCTGGGTGGTAGCTACACCCGAAGATGGTTTTGTGCTTTTGACGCTGGATTTTTGGGATGTGTTTGTTTGTTTTGCCGAAGTGATGACCGATTTGGATGTGGAACTTGAAAGAGCAGATCCAGAATTCGTAGATTGGCGTGAAGAGCTTCCCGTGGTTTTAGTCTTCGTTGTCTGGGAGCTTTTGCTTTGTTGTACTGAACCAGTAGCGGTACCTGAGGCCCCTGACTTTTGAGAAGTCGTGGTCGTTTTCACAGAGTTGGTGGATGTACCAGTAGCTGATTTGGATTGAGAGCTTGTCCGCTTGGATGAGCTGACCGACTGATTGGAACCAGAAGCCGAGTGCGTCGACGCGGTCTTGGTTTTCGACTTATCCGAACTTGCTGTTTGTTTCACCGATTTTACAGTGGACTTGGAGCTTGATCGTGCGGACGAGCTAGCGGACTGATTGGATCCTGTAGCGGAGTGGGTGGAGGCCGTCTTGGTGCTTGATTTATCGGAACTTTTCGTTTGCTTGGAAGAGGTGCCCGTTTTTTTCTTTGTAGACTCCTGGCTGGCCGTCTTTGAAGCAGAAGACGTCTTCGAGGACGAAGACGAGCTTGATGAACTTGTGCTGACGCTAGTAGTGACGGCTCGCCGATCGAGAGGATTGAAGACGTTTTCCGCGCCGGACATGAGTGGCTCATCAGATAATTCTCTCTTTTGTGGCGCAGACCACGTTCCATCAACAGTGACAGTCTGGGCGCCGTATTGATAGGGGTCTATCACCGTCAGACATCCATCATTCTGAATCCTTGTTGACTTTTTCCTTAACATCCATGCACCTAGACGGAGTGTTAGTAAAAGTAGAATAGAGAGTCGTTGCCATTTATACCTAGTGCGTAATACGCGTAAGAGTCTAGAGATGTTAGATCTAATTGTGTCGCAGATTAGGTCTTTTCTCACCAGCATTCCTATAGCACTCTCCTTTAGCTAAAGCTGTTATTCTGTTCCATCCATATCCCTTGCCAGGGCCTATATCGTCAGTTTCGGTGCTAGTCAAGACACCTGAAAACCTCTTCTCAACCAAGTGAGTCATCTAAAAGCAGCAATTAGCCACAGTAAAACAATTAACAGAGCATTATGCTTATACTGACTTCGTGAACCAACGTTACGTCAATGAAGTCATACTCATCAACTTCCTTCGAGATCAAGTTTTTGAGGGAGTAGCACAAGTCCTTGATCTTTGAGCGCTTCTCCATCCATACATTCCCGCGGTCACCGATCGTTTGGTACTTTGCTTTAACTTCCTATCACGAAGTCAGCAAAGGTTTGATGTATCATCATGCCAAAGCTAGTAGAGCTCCCTGCTCACCTGGTCTAAGTGACAAAGCTGTATAAAATGTCCGCCGGGCTTCACAAAACCCATTATCTTGTTTTTCAACGGATTCGATGTTTTGCAGTTCTCGTATTCTTCATTGCTAACTGTTTTTTCTCTGTCGTCGTCTTTGTTGCGCCATTCTTTGCCCAGGTTCTCGAGACGCGCTAGATCACAGTAGATAATCTATAATGTCATCAGTGTCAACTCAACATACAAGTATTATGCCGGGAGGAGGAACATAAGCAAGTATGTTGCAGGCATAACTTACGGCATCTTGCGTTGTCAGATCACTGGATCGACTGGGTCTCGAGTCCCATTGCCCAGCCCTGGTTCCGAAATTGTCACGGATCCACGTGAAGTCGTCTTAGGAAGATCAGATCCGTCTCATGTTTGAAGCAAATAAGTTACTCACTTTTTACAAGGTTATCTGAATTTAAGGGCACAAAGTCAGTAAGGTTCAAATCCAACACACCACGCTACCCTACGTCGTGTCTCGTATGTTGCATTTGGGGTACACTCACACCTATCAGTCACGCCCATGTCGGGGTTGCTTGCGTCTCCAAAGATTCTAGCGGAAAGGTCTCTCGTTTCGGCATCGCGGAAGGTCCACTGCCCATTTGCGCCTGCTTGATTCAAAGCGTCCAGGGCGTCGTCGACCATTTCGAATGAAGATGGAAGTATCTTGTTCAGCAAAGCACTATATTCTGGTTGATTGTAAGTATTTGTTCCATAAAAATGAGCATGAGACTGGACATACTCGCACATGAAGTCTGGTCGTAGTATAGACGGGCATGAACGCTGCTAATGAGAAACACCAGCGAAAAGCGTCCGACCGGACTGGAAAACAACTGCATGGTTCGGCCGGTTCAACGAATGTGTACACGGTTTGGATGAGGAGAGAACGACTGATTTGAAAAGAATGGGAAGGGAAAAAAGACTGAAAAGAATGATTGGGTGTTGCAGTTGCAATGTCAAAGAAAGGTTTGGTGTTGGTGGTTGAGCCAGATAGTCATTCTGAGGGTCTGCAATATATACTGAAATCCAGCCCAGAGTATCATGTCGTATTCTCTCTCCAGATGATCAAAATAAAGTATGCTAGGACACATTAGACGTGCATTGGGTGCCCTTGAGACCGCCACAACCAAGATGCACTATTATTACTATCCAGTACCAGAGTGCGACATGGTAATAATGAACAAAACCCCACGATGTGCAACTGACAGCCTTAGGGCCGTCATATCAGCTTACTCGCTAAGGCCATCACCTTAACTTACCTTGCAAGCCCTTCAGGAGACGAGGCCTTGTTACAAAAACACGGGAAGTAACGCACAGACTCATGTTGGTTCTTTTTTTGCTCCTATCCAAGGACTTTTTTTTCGCTAAGATTTAAGCTTATCCAACAAACCAATAAACACCCCTGTTGCCCCCAAAACCAACTCCAGGTTCCACGATTTCAAGGCTGCTCGCCTTGAAAAAGTACGATGTATGTGCACGGGGCATCACTAAATTAGAACTTCTCCGATCGCTTCTCTGAACCGCAATCATCTCGTGAGAAATGGTGTTATCTAGGTGTAGCGTGGGTCAAAACTACAGGCAAATTTCGGGTAAACTCACACCTGAGCGGAACATTTGGTCAACACATACCACATAACCAACATCGCTATTTTGATGCGCGAATCAGTGAAGAATAGGCTTGATGTATGAATGCTATTTATGTGATTGTCCCATGCCTTCGAACACCGCCTGTAAGCCGATCAGGAACGGGCATGATCTGGAATGAAACTTGCATGCATGGCAATGCGCGATCCAAGGGCGTAACAAAGCAAGCACAGGAACAGATTGAGAATATTTAGAATTTGCTACAGCAGTGCTTCACCAACAACACGGCCTCAAATTATAGACCACACGTCGTTAGGAATACCACTATGCAGACAAAAATAGCTCTTTCTGCAACTTATGTACTAGAACGCATTAACATGCGACTGTTAATGTTTTTAGGCAGCTGTATTTTTAGGGACGATGAGAACGTAGTTAGTGTTATTAAATTCCCAGTACAACCCTTCGCCAACATGAGGATTTGAAATAGTGCAATTTGCATCTTATAAGCAAAGGTTTGATATTTACCGAGTAATTGCTGAATATCGTGTTGATTACTTTAAAGATGCATGTTGTAAGCATGTCTATACTAGTAGTTATTAGAGCATTACATACGTTACTACAGTAAATGCGCAGTTAATACATTCCTCAGTTGCCTTAAAGATTGGCCCTAGGGCTGAGCTGCACCTTGAAATCGCTGCCATCTTTGATAGACATTGTTCCCAACACGGGCCTTCCTGCATCCGCCTGGGGAAATGGGGGATTACCAACCATTTTGATATCGAAACGGCGTAGCAGGGTGGCTACATATGTGGTGGCCGAAAACCTGGCTAGAAAGCGGCCGCTGCAGGTCGTCTTACCGCCCCCAAATGGCTTCCAGGATGCATTCTGTTTCAGCCCATTCTCCCAACGCTCTGGACGGAATTCCTGGGGGTTACTGCCGAAGATGTTCTCGTCAAAGTGTAGGAGCCTGTGCGGTACGAGAACCCGATTGCCTTTGCGCATCAACTTCCCACCAATGACAGTGTCCTCTATGATGGATCTGACAGAGGCAGACCAACCAGTAATCCGGAGGGTTTCATTCCAGATCGCATCCACTTGGGGGCATTTCTCGGGGTTCTGCAACACGAATGGATCGACGAGACGATCTCCGCTGAACGCGACTTCCGTGTCACGGCGATAAGCCTCCAGAAGGTTAGGATTATGGAGAAGGTATGAAATTACCCAAAAGACCGTCTTCCTGGCATTGGTATTGATGCTGGATCATTGTTAGCAGTCTAGCCTACTTTGTGAGATAATAGTAACTTACGCGAGATAGAGATGGAACATCATTGTTGCCAAGTTCTCATTGTCGATGCCCAGCGCTCTTACCTCGTCTTCGAAGGTGTCTATCAACCAAGCAGCTTTTCCGGCTCTCTTCTCTCTCGGGATTTCGAAATATTGCTGGAGGGCCTTTATCACTCGAGCCCGAGGTGCAGACATGTCCCGAGATAGAAAATCGGGATATTGATAAAGCATTTTCCAGATGAGTTCATCGAATACCAAAAAAGCATCTGGAACGCCAGGATCGATATTGTGTAGTGTTTCTCCAAAGTAAATGTGTTGGCCCAAGCGGGTGAAAGTATTCGAACACCATTGATACAGTGAGAACTCCACAGGCGCGTCTGGAGGAAGATTATCCGAACCCTCCGCTTTCAACATATCCATGGTTAAGTGTGTATCGATCCAGTTCATGGTTTGATGTTGAAGTCCGACTAGCTTTTCGTTCGGGTGTAGCTGGATTATGTGCATCCTCTGCGCCATAACTCCTAGAGACTCTCCGTGTGGGTTGGGAAAACCGCGCTTGTCGACGGGCAACGCAGAATACATCAGTTTGATAACGCGAGGGCAGTTGCCATTATTCCGCATAAGGGCTTGGACAAACGATTCGAAGGATAGAGTCTCGGTGTTCTTGTAGACCTCTGCAGAGTGTTTTGCTTGTGTTGCGACGTAGAAAGTTATCCCGAGGACCGTTAAAGCGAAAGGTTCGTTTCCTTCATGCGCAAAGTACTGTCTGCTTGAATTATGAGTAGTTTTCATCATTTTAAGTATCTGATCGTACCGTGCTTGAGCAATGAGGAGGTTGGAGTCCTTGAAGAACGCTTTCGTATGTCCTGTTCAAATTAAGACTTTGTCATTGCGAGTATCTGGCATGACTGACCAACAACTAAGCTCTGTCAGTCTTTGAAGAGATGAAACTTTTCGGAAGTCTTACATGGGATCCAATAAGGATATTCTTTTGGATATTCTGGGTGTAGAAGCGGTTGCAAGGTAAACTTCCAGAATCGCCATGCAAAGAGTAATAATAATACAACTGCGACTGATTTTGCCGTGTTTGACTGCAAAGTGGTCTTGAGAGAATCATGCAAGATTCCCACCGGGGAGATGTCTGTCATGGTGAGCTGCCAGTGCGCAACATGCAAAGTGATGCCAGCTAGCCAGGGTGGAGATGAATGGAAGAGGCTGAAGGAAAGCTCCATCATTTATATCTCACCCACCGCATCGACAGGCTACCGTAGATACCATCAGGTAGCGAAGGTATCGCAGGCTCTCTATCTGGGTTGACTTGTATTGTTGAGATCCCTGGACCCAATCCGCATTCTGCTTTCTCGATAATGACTCATCAGTTCTGTAATAACCACGGAACATGTGTCCTGCCTCGATCTAAAGTCAGCTTTATCGTGTCCAGTTACCCTAATTGTTTGTCTAAAATGCCAGATAATAGCTTCCTACTCAGTTCGCTCATAGACGATCAAAAGAATTCATCATAATTACCTTGGTGGTGACATTTAAGTGGGAAGATTGGCTTACTACAAATTTCGACACTCGGATTACTAGAGTTATCACACTCACATCGAATGCGCTGAAGAGCCTGCGCCTCCATTCCACACTTGTGACCAATCGAGCCAATAGAGATGGGAAGAAATGTTGGTCGCTTTCGCTTCGGGTATATCGAAATGAGTCGTTGACGAGCACACTGCTATCGAAGGGATTTTCGGAATCTGTCTCTATCATTGGTCGCAAGCCTATCAAGAATTGAACCAGAATTCGTACCTGTATACCGGATTCTGTCTGTTCAGATTATGCTCCGTTGAGTTTCCCTGCTTAATAAGCTCGGGTGAAGGCAAAATTCGTTTAGTCCTTTTAGTTATCGCTTGTTATTTTGGTTTATTCTTTGTTGTCACCCATCGCTGTATGTAGGATCACCTAAACTCCAACTCAACATAAATGAAAATAAATAAATGCTCCGTTCATTACTCATCCTGTAGTGTACTAGTTGGCATTTCACATATAAGACAGACAGGCACGCCGAGCTGCTCCAACTAAAATCTCTCATAATTTGATGAACAGTCTAAGCAATGATTTCTTTTCCGCTGCATGTTGTCCCGTCCCTCTGACGCAACGACTACACACAAAATCTCAGGTCACACCAGTATAGCGCCTTCTAGTATGCATGAACACGAGCATGAAACTGCGCATACATGAATGATACTCGAATAGTTACTATATAGTTACCAGAATCGAGTTTGTTGAGTGATTGGGTTGCAATGCGCTTTCGTCCCCTGCCAATACTCAATGGCCATTGACCTCATGACCCTGCTGGCAGAATTATCGGCTTGAGGCGTTGGGCAATCATCTTTGAATAATACTCGCCAATTGCGAAAGATGATTAGAAAACTATTGTCGTCAAATCAGATAATTGCACCAATGGGCTGAGCGGGCTGAACGGCCTGAACGGATAGGAGAACCACATTGACACGTGATGCTTATGTAAGTGCTTCTTCAGTCTGAGATAGCGTGAAGTTGCGCAAGTAACAGGCACACCGCGATCCTTGGTGAATCCCGACTTCTGATGTTATTGTTGAAATTCTAATCCAATTGGCATCCTTAACGCGAGTTCTGGTGTTGAGAAATGTCAATTTCTGAGTTTTGACTGGCGAGGTGTACAGCGTTAGTAGCTAGGGCGCGGTGTGCCTGTTATCTGCGCAACTCTACGCTTTTCGCGTAGAACGAATCAGATCGTTGTCGTGGACAAACTCTCGAATAGTCTTCTGTTAGCTGGCTTTCTTCGCGTGAAGAGAATATGCTTCGTCATTTGAGGCTATTGACGGTAGAAGACAGAATGTGTATACACCAAATGATGGTGTACATTGTGCATGCGCAAATAGCGCCCGTTGCTATGGTGACAACCCAGCGCCCACCATGACCATTTTTATAGACATTCGCTCTCCGCTATCTATGTACGCTTGACTCGAACTCATTTTGTGATAGTTAGATGAGTCTCATTAAACACCAGCAAGATGCAATCGACATTCAAGTCTCGTAGATTCCCGGAAATTTGATGTTCCCTGGCGAGTTCTCATAGACGACGCTTCTCGGCCCCGGTACCCTAGACGATTTATTGCTTCGCCGCATGGAACCAACGCGCAGTATCCACTCAGGTACCTTTGTAGCAAAGGTGCGGGGAATGTAAGCATTGAATGAGATAGAGCCCGGTAAGCCAAGCAAGCTTGTTGATGATAAGCCAGTGAGATTCATCGGCGTCAGCTGCAATGGGCAATGTTCCCGAACCGTTTGTGCTTGCCACCATCCCTAATGAGGAAGGAGAATAACTATCTCGACGATTACAACCTGGTGGCGGCGTCGAAGCTATCCAGAAAGGTGCGATGACGCGCGACCATAAGCTGTGTTCCCACGAGGTACAAATACCCCCAACTCACGCCATGTGTGTGACTGGTTGCTCGCACTTGCCTCGTCGCAGAGTACGGTACCTGTCTTTTGCCAATTGAAGCTTCCGCGAGCAAGAACAAGACATCATGGCGCGATTCTATGCCACGGCAGCTGCCCTGCTAGCTACGGGAGCTCATGCCATCACCCCCAGTGAGATGCTGAGTGCACCTCGCCGCGGGGTGGCATCTCCGAACCCGTCTGGAGACCTTGCCGTCTTCTCTTACTCGCAGTACTCATTCGAGGAAGAGTCCAACGCCCACGCATGGCACCTGTTGGACCTGAAGACGGGCAAAATCAGCGACACCGGTATCAATGCCAGCGAAGTCAGCGAGATTGTGTGGGTGCCAGGCTCGGAGACGGGCATCATCTATATCAACGGTACCAACGAGGATGCGCCTGGCGGTGTGACGCTTTGGATGGGCGATATCAAGTCGCCATCAAGCAGGTAAGTGATCCTTGGCGCTTGAAAATTGCCTGAATGCTAACACGAATGTCAGCAAAATGGTCGCGTCGCTAGATGCGCCTTACTCGGGTCTCAAGGTGGCCAACACCTCCAGCGGTGACTTGCACTTCCTTGTCAACGCCAAAGCTTACGAGAACGGCACTGCGTACAACCCAGAGACTGCTGTCACCCCGAAAAGCACTGCGCGCTTCTACGAAAACATTTATGTTCGCCATTGGGATACATGGGTGGACAAACAACGTTATGCAGTTTTCGCCGGAAGCCTGTCGGCCAAATCCAATTACGCTCTTGCCTCAGACGGAATGCGCAACCTCCTCAAGGGCATCGATTTCACCACGACCAGGCCAGAATCACCTGTTCAGCCATTCGGCGACCTGGGAGATTACGACATCAGTCCCAGTGGCGGCATATATGCTTTTATCAGCAAGGCTCCTCAGCTCAACAAGGCAAACTTCACAGCTAGCTATGTCTACACCGGACTTTTCAATGGAACGGATGCAGCCAAAGCTATTAATGGCCCAGATAGCGAAGCTGCGAAGGCAGGACACCAGGGTGCGTCCGGATCGCCTAGGTTCTCACCCGACAGCGAAACACTCGTGTTCACACAACAGGACCAGGACTACTATGAGTCAGATCGGGTCCAGCTTTACGCAGTGGATTTCGCGGAGGCTGAGGGCGACGCTGTCTCGGTGACGAACTGGCGCGCACTCACACCAAACTTCGATCGCTGGGTGTCGACACCTCACTGGGCTCCGGACGGCAAGTCTGTCTTCATCACCGCCGAGGATCGTGCCCTTGTCCGTGTCTTCAACATCCCTCTCGAATCCAGCGCGGACTATCAGCCAACTAGCCTATCCCCAAACACGTCTTACGTGTCCGACTTCGCCGTCCTTCCCGACTCAACCCTCCTAGTCTCGGGTAACTGCATCTGGTCATCGCGAGATTACTACACGCTCTCCTCGTCAGGAGAGACTGGGGAACTCTTCTCGTCCACCAAGGTCGACCCTGAACTTGCTGGCTTGGGCCCTCACACCTTCTCCGAAATCTACTTTGACTCTGTTCTTCCTGGCTATGACGAGCAAATCCACGCAGTAGTCATCAAGCCAAGCAACTACACTGCCAACACAACTTACCCTCTCGCTTACATTGTACACGGAGGCCCTCAAGGCTCAAACGCAAACTCGTGGTCTACGCGATGGAACTGGCAAGTCTGGGCTGACCAAGGCTATATCGTCGTGGGACCCAACCCCACAGGCAGTACGGGGTTCGGCCAGAAACTCACTGACGGCATCCAAGGCGAGTGGGGCGGCTACCCCTACGACGAGGTGGTCAACGGCTGGCAGTACGTCCACGACAACCTCAAAGACGTCAATACCGACCAGGGAATCATGGCCGGGGCGTCATATGGGGGCTACATGAGCAATTGGATTCAGGGCCACGACCTCGGTCGCAAGTTCAAAGCCATCGTCACCCACGACGGTATTTCCCAGACTCAAGCTGCCTACTCCACCGAAGAACTCTGGTTCATCCGCCACGACTACGACGGCTCGATCCTCGAACCATCCGCCACATACGATAAATGGAACCCGTTCAACCACATTGCCAACTTCAGCACCCCGCAGTTCGTCATCCACAACACCCTCGACTACAGACTCCCCGAAAGCGACGGCATTGGTCTGTTCAACGTCTTGCAGAGCAAAGGCGTTCCGTCGCGGTTCTTGAACTTCCCCGATGAGAACCATTGGGTGTTGAAGCAGGAGAACAGTTTGGTGTGGCATACGGAGATTTTCAACTGGATCAATCATTACTCAAAGGGTTTGCCTTTGGACAGTGAGCCGATTGGTCAGTAGTAAAATGAGGAAGGATGGAAAAGTCTGGCTGAGAGGCTAGTCTTCGACGCTCTTTACGAAATCACGTATATGCGCTGTAGTGACGCGCTTAGCGAGTAATGTTATAATATCTGATGACCTACGTTGAAGTGTGCTTGTGTGCGTTCTTCTATCATGCGTGTTTCTAGCTTCTTAGGGACGACTGTGATGAATCGATCCGAAGTCATGACCGTTGGTACCACTTAACCGGTACGCGTAAATGCGGACGATAGTTTGGATTGCGGGAGCACGCGGCAATCGCTAAGATGCAAACGAGCACACAGACAACTAAAACTCTTTGATATGGGTCCTTGCGATGAATGTAGTGACGTCGCGAGTGCTGTACAGATGGCCCTGGGCAGAAGGAATACCACGTGTTTCTCCACGGGTTCGCTGGGACGTCACGTGCGGCTTAGTCAATACCACGTGATAATCACGTTTCTCCAGAACTGTACCTTCCCCCACATTAGGTGCTGTGCCAGATCCCATCAATCGCTATGACCGCCAACTCTCCACAAGCTCTTTCGAAGAATAGCTGTTTTGTAAAGTCGGGACATTCTGATAGTGCTTCCCATAGAACGATATATAGTCTAGATAAAAGTACATATGTATTACTATTGTTTAGAGAGAGCAAGAAATGCGGGTTGTCAGGAGAATAAGTGAAATATCAACGCAGTGATCACATACTTTTGTTCCCTGAACCCTTGCAGTCTCCAATTCGCTACATTTAATATAGTAGCCGCGTAAGCGTTATAAAGAAAGATAACTTGATTAGGACGTGATGGTCGCATTTTGATGCGGCACGAATGGAAGGATATTTTATACAAACATTTGAACAGTGGTACGGCCTTACCATCAATAAAGTCATCGTGCAAATAATTGATTCGATTAAATCGAAAAACTCACCGTGCTCCCTTAATATTCTGACTAGAGGGATTATGTTAGTATACCAAGAAGAATCTTGTAGACAGAAAAAGGCGTGATAACCGTACACAAATCATGGAACCTGCTGCCTGCAGAATGCAGGATTCGAGACGGCAACCAATCGTACAACCCTCCGCGTATGCAAGATCAGAACCACAGTCTGTAAGAAGCGGACAGATCCTATTTCAATCCAAGGTCTCTTTTAAGAAATCTTCCAAATCGCCATATCGCACGATAATTTATCTCGCGCGGAATGGTTTCGCTTCGAGAGCAAGGTTCCGTGTCATAATGAGACTCTACCAGTTACATGTGTTTGAGTCTCTGAGACATACTGCTGAGTTAATGCAGCGCGGCTCGTATTTCCTGCAATCTCAACATTGCGACAAGCAGGATAGACATTCGTGTTTGCGGCAGATCGATTATATGTGGTTTCCAGATGCTTACAGTTCTGACTGGAATAAAGAGAGAAACTGAATTTCTACATGCTACGTTTACTGAACGTAGGGTGCGTAGGTCTTGGAAGCGAATGCTGCATCGCGATGGGTTTCCGCCCCCAGATTCGCGCAGCCATTCGTTCATCGGCAGACTCGGAATTTGCAGCAAATTTCGTTTTTCTAGAACGCCCGGACAATAATAATAGTATACTCTTGATCTTAGCAAGGCTAATCAGCCTCATGGGTCTGACGACTACGCCGCGGTACTGCAAGATCGATAACCAGGGTTGACTACTTTACATTGGCATACTTACATATCGGAGAGACACAATTAGTCCAACTAATCTTGGCTATACATCTCCACGTTATGCCTCTTGATCGTGACCGCCAGTCGATCTCAACGATCCTTGATGCAATAGCTGAGAGAAGGTTAATGCATGTCGCAACCTTTATCCACCCTCAGACAAGTACAACTTCCCACCACTTCTTCACAGAAAATCCTCGCGGCTGTGCAAGCTCTAACTGCGCCATGACCTAGAAGATAAGATCTGCGCCTCTCTGACATGATTTGATCATTCGTACGTGCTTACTATCTGACCCCGTCTTCTATTCGACCCTTCAGCCTCGGACTTCCGGATCCATCATCGTGCGCTTACGAATTTACGCCCGGTCTCTGACCAAGGATTCCATGGCTGTTTCTCGTCGCTGCAGGACTTCCTGATTTATCTGGGTCCTGCCCGCTGAATGCGTTAAAGCTTGCGGGTCGCAATACCTTTTTTTTATAGGGAGGGGCGGGCGTGTTATATAATCCGCATTTTCATGTCTGCCACCCTGTAATACTGTATGATTCTACTTAATGCCGGCATAAGGCGTGTACCCTGATTCTCGGGGTTTGGATTTCCTTCATATTTTGCGAATCGCAGCGCGCAGTTGAAACTCAGCATTTCGCCATGGTGGAACTCTCGAAGAGTCCCGAGTGGATCGGTTGGCAGCTGATTGCCTGGGCCGCCATCTTCACGCCGTTACAGATTGCAGCTGTGGCTTTGAGATTCTATGCTCGATGGCTGGTGGTTGGCAAGAAGTACAGCTTGGACGATTATCTTATTATCGCGAGTCTGGTGTTCCAGCTGGCTGCATGCGGTATTGCGGTGTGTAAGTTGGATAAATATCTCGGGCGGGCGAACTGCGATTTGGTGCTGATATGAATATACGATTAGCTTCGGTCAAGTATGGAGGCGTCGGGCATCATATTTTATACATCTACTTGACGGATCAGCCGAAACTTGTAGTTTACAACCGCTACATCATTTCTCTAGCCTTCCTGTGTGGAGCCACCGTCAACATCCCCAAACTAGCAGTGCTACTGCTGTACAAACGGTTATTTGGATCGGTTCGGACCTATCGAATCATCATCTGGACTTTTATCGGGATCTTGCTCTGTATGACGCTGGGGAATATCATCAGTGCGTCGGTTTCGTGTATACCGTTTGAGGCGAATTGGAAATACATACGTGGTGCAAAGTGTCTTGAACAGCAGAAATGGTTTTCGTATATTGTTATACCAAACATCATCACGGACGTTTTTTTGCTTATTCTACCGCTTCCGATCGTCTGGACACTTCATACTAGCAGGCACGTCAAGGCTGGCTTGACTGTCACCTTCCTGATTGGCAGCGCGTAAGTGCACCTGCACCTGAATGAGCACTTCGAGATCCAGTCTTTGAAACATCCGCTAATCTTCCTTCAGGGGTCTTGGGGCGTCAATCTTGCGACTGGTAGCCTTCGTCAGTGCAGGGTCCTTCATAGACGGGACCTGGGTGTCAGTGAAACTAATGATACTAGCCATAACGGAAACAGGGACCTACCTCATCTGCGCATGCCTCTTAACCTATCGCCCGATCTTGGAACGCATCACCAAAGGCCGAAAAACTACGACCACCGAGGGTAGCAGATATTATTTCTCCAGGAGTCATTTAAAACAGACGGCGGATAGTGTCGCAAGCCCCGAACAAAGCTACAGATCAATACCCTTACGAGGCTTCAATGGCGGACGCTCGGGATTCTCTGAGTTGCATGGCGAGGAAAATGATATGGGCTTTGGAGATGTTGAATCACATCCCGGGAAAATGGGGAGACGCAGAGACGGAGAGATCATGGTTACCACGGAAATCCAGAATAGGTGGAGTCGTTGAACACTGGTTCTTACCCGCCGAGGCTCTGTTCGGGACCGATGTCATTGATTGTTATGTCGTTTTTCCCTCCAACTTGCAACCGCAGCTGTCGAAACAGTGTGATAGCGTCGTTCCAACCCCGCAAGACGAATCGCCGTGTGATAATCACCGAAGAACTCGAAATATTGCTGACCGCCTTCCCAAACGCTGTCATCGTATCCAGTATGCTACGAATGACGGCTATGCGAACCACCCCCACCGTTGTGCCAATGAATGCAACCGGCATAGTCCACAGTAAACACCAAACCCTCGCTACGCACAATGCGGACAATCCACACCTCCGGACCAGCACTCCGACGCAAGACGGATCCGTATCGATGATTTCAAGATCGTTTCAAAGAAGAAACACCCAAACAACGCTCGTATACCCAAGGAAAGGTCCAATCAAGACGGGATCACGAGCTACTCGTCCAGTTTGTTCCGCTAGATAATAATATCTATCCTTCGCCTCCAGTTAGAATGCTCGTCGGAGGCATAGAGCTGTAAGAGAGTTGGGGGTTTGCGTGACTTTTAGTCTTACGAGAAAAAAACGATGATGCGATGGGCATGTATTGAGCGAGAATGAGGGAGAGAGATGGATAGAGTGGATTCGTTTCCCGTTGAACGATGATGATCATGGGGGATTTTTTTGGCGAGGTGTTTTATCATGTGTCGATCTTGCTACGGAAAGAAGTATTCATAGCGCAGAATAGACGAAGAATAGAAGTAAAAGCAACAAACAGAAGAAGGGAAGCAGGGATAGAGTTGTGATAGAAGAAAGAGGTCAGGTGATTGGAGACACTAGCCGCGAACAGCTAGCGTATCCCCCGGCAGCCAGCAAAAGGCGGTTCTGCAGTCCATACATATGTGTCAGAGTATCTGAGGATGATGAAGCGCGGATTAAAGATTGATGCATTATTGGAGTTTTATATACATGACATGGCTCATCGAGAAAACATGGGAAAGAAAATATACGCAAAAAAAAAACTCCTCCCGCCGCCCCAATGAACCAACACCGCACGCTAAAGCCAACAAACAGACAAACCAAAACAATATGAAAGATAGGATATACACGCTTGATTGTTGGAGAGGTGATAAGTGAAACTGAAGGAAGGTGCGATTATAACTTTTCAACGCGGATATCTTCGTACCGCACTACGCCGATGCGTTCTCCGCGCTCCGCGGTCAGTACGTTCTCGACGGATTTGAGATCGAGGTGGTGGACGTTGACTTCGTCGGCGTCAAAGATGTGTGCGATTTCCTCGAGCGTGGGGCCGCGGGTTTCGATGTAGAAGATGCAGACGAAAATGAGTTCGATGAAGAGGACGACCTGTCGCGATACCGATCAGCAAGAATGATACTCGACGAGCAACGGTCACGAGAGACTCTAGCTGGTTTAGGAGGATACTTACAGCGTAGATGGTGTACAGTTTCCACGCTGGTTTCAGGTACTTGAAGCCCAGCGGGTTGACGTACTGGTTGATGGCCAGCGACACCTGGATGAAGACGTTCATGACCATGAGCCCTTTGGCGCGGATCTTGAAAGGCAGGATCTCAACCGTATACGCAACCAACAATCCAGTCCAGGCAAGGGCGTATGCGAAGTTGAAGAGCCAGATCAGCGCGATAACAGCGCGTCCCGCGAGCATGCTTTGATGTTCCTGCTGCTGCGCCGAGGCATACGACCATAGGATGAAACAGACACACATGGATGCCGTAGCGGTGATGAAGAGCGGGCGTCTGCCTACGCGGTCAACAAGCATAGCGCAAGACACTGAGACGATGAGGGACATTGTGGTGAGGCCGCCTGTGAAGATGAGCTGGAGGTCTGTGTCTTTGATGCCGATGCTTTCGTAGACGTCGGTTGCGTAGTACGATACTAAGCCGTTACCGGACCATTGCGAGAAGAGGCCCAACGAGGCGAGAAGAAGGAGTCGGACTCTGTTGCCTCGTGTGCGGAAGAAGTCTAGGTATGAGGATGACTTTTGGTATTGAAATTCGAGGCGGAGGGTTTCTCTGATCTCGTTGTATTCGAATTGGACTGTTGCGTTTCGCGGGTTGCCGTTGGCGTGGTATTTGCTGAGGATGTGGAGGGCTTCCTTGTTGCGGCCTTTGGCGATCAGCCAGCGGGGAGATTCAGGGATGAAAGCGATGAAGATGAGCTGGACGATTGATGGGAGTGCTTGTGTTAGCGCAGGCACGCGCCAGCTCCAATCGCTTTCGATGCGCTTCGAGCCGAAGGTGAGCCATGTGCAGATAATGGCTCCGACGTTCCACAAGCAATTGTAGATTGCAGTCACACGGCCTCGATGTTGCGGGTGGCAGAGTTCAGTGAGGAGCAACGGTGCGGAAAGCTGAGCCAGTGAATTCCCAAACCCCATCATGAAGCGGCCCGCCATGAAGTAAGTCAGGTTCTTAGCTGCGCCTTGGATGATTGCACCTGTGATCATCACAATGCATCCCAGGGTCATTGCTGCTTTACGCCCAAAGTGATCCGCCACATATGGAGTGACGGGTAACGAAACTATGGATCCGATGGAATACAATGCGGTGAGCAAACCAAGCATGGTGCCTTCTGGATTGCCAAAATAATGTTTGAAGGTGTCCAGGATCCGAAGGTTGTTGAGCATAGATCTGTATCAGATTAGCATGCGTGAAACATTTGGAGAATGATGTAGACAAGCCGACTCACGCGTCATAGCCGGTCGTCGCAGAAGCAATGCAGATAATGAAGGCCCAAAAATACAGCTTTCGAAGCCCCGGATCCTTCATCCATTGAACCTTCTCCAACTCCACCGTAGCAGGAATCTGTGGTGGTGTTATTTCCTCATCAGTCCTCCTCCGAATGGGAACAGTGTCGTCCATATCCATCGATCTCAGTTCCTGATTGGGATAGAAAACCGGATAAGACCACGGGCGTTCTTTCATCTCTGCTCAAACAGACAGCGCCGTGTATATATAATCGAAAAGCTGGAGCTCAACTGCGGCACGGTGCACGGTGCAAGCAGATCGTAGCTGGGGGAGTAAATGCGGGTGTGTGGCAAAACAGCGAGAAACAATAACAATAACAATGGGTAAATCAGCAAAGCATGGTATATGTGTTGCCGTCTGTGAGTCGGATGGCGAGTTTCGATTTGTCCATTGGCCTTGGGCCGTACGGTATAGTGGAGCGGGTAAATATGTATAGATTCGAGTGGCTGGGCTGAGCTTTTTACAGCTTCAGACGAGAACATGTAGAGGGTACAGGCATGTGCCGTTGACGCAAGAGCAGGATCTGGTGGTCTGCTGGTACCGAATACCTGGGCAATTACTGGCGACGCGCTCAATGGACCGGATAGCGGTGCGTTTGACCGCTTCTGCCGCTCGAGCAGCCAAGGTGGGTGTTGGGGATAGAGTGCTCGTGACCAAACGGGATGGCAAGGCCCGCGAACCAGGTAAAGGCGCAGAGAGTGGTAGAGAAAAGTAGACGAGCAGCAAGGGTGGTGCCAAGGGCAGCGGCACATCGCCAGTGGACTGCTTCCAGAAGCTCGTATATCCACTGGCTGGAATGGACCGTCCCCATGTCGTGAAGGATGCATCAAGGCGAGGTCATACTTTCATCTATTTAGATTGAATAGATTGCGCAGAGTAAATCATGGTAATGCCCCGGTCGCGCTTGACCCGATCGGTCGAATCTGGGGAAAAATGCCCCGCGTTCTTCAGATACGCTAGTCCCCATTGGGAAGTGCCGGTGAAAGCACAAATCATGCTTCATGCCATGCTTCATGCGATGCATCAACATGAGCTCTAGAGCCACGTCTCAAAAACATTCTTTCTGCTATAGGACTATAACCCGTTGAGTTAAACTTCCAAGATAATATTCAGTAGGTGGTCAAGCACGCTGAGATATCATCAAGTGACCTTCTCAATCTATTTTATTAGAATCATGGCTTACCTGTCGTAAACCCCCACATCGCAGGAAAAAGTGCAATCGTGATTCAAGATTCCGTTTTGTGGAGAAGGGAACCACATAGGCAATGGCCAAAGCGTACTGTGTATGTATAGTTCAACCAAGACGCACGCGAGCCCCACGTAAAGGCAACCATTTCTTCAGCTCCTCACTTCTCAGTTTCACTATATGTACTGTACGTCACCCGGTTCATTTCAATCACACCCCATGTAGTCTCGGTACCGCATCGATCTTATAATCAAGGATACCGAATAGGGATAGCCTGGGTTTTGGCCCCAGCTCGCAATCGACCGGGTCTCGCCGAATCTGTTTCGAGTAGACTTCATCCGAGAATCACCAGCTTCTTCTAAGTTCATGCCCCAGAAAACTCACGCAATTCCCCTTTCTTTTTCGCCATGATCGCCCTTTTTGGGGATCTGTAGCTTGAAAGAGGCAAACTTGGTTTATCTCCCGTAAGTTGCGAACGCTCTGGACCAGTACAAAAGCGACCCGGCACGTAGATTGCTTTCCTACCGTTCACGCGAGTGCTACGGTAAGAAGGCCCAGAAAGTTTGTTTTCGTTGCTGGGTATTGTGGCGTAGTGACTCCATAGAACATTCCAACATCGCACGCACCATTCGTTGCCTTCTCGACAACCTCGTACAAAAAGCATTATTGTGGCGTAGGCAGAAAGGGGGGGTTCTCGACCACTTCGACTCTCGTAAAGCTCTCAACGTTTTGATCAACTACCCGACATGCTACCGTAGCCCGGTAGACTCATCTAACACCATCTTCTCCATAGACCGATCCTTGTTCTTCTTCTATGAGTGCTAAAAAGGGGGCACAAATCCCCTGCCTACCCCCCTTTCATTTTCTCCACACAAACAAATAAGCAAACATGTCGCCACTTGAAGCTCAGCACATGCTATTCTGCGATCGCAGCGTCACGAACCAATCATTCTCGAACTATTTAAACTGTCCAATTCATGCTCGAAAGGAGAAATGGCTCGTGCTCTCAGCGAAGACTCCAAAGATGGAGAAATATAGAAAAGATGTGAATGCGGATAATAACCTCTCCACACCCTTCTTTCCTTAGAAGACCCCTGTATATCTTCATAAATTCTGCCAACTACCCTGCGCTTCACGTGTTTCGTCTCGATTCGGACGTCGGCGGTTTACCCGAGATGACAAGCTTTCGCGATCCATTGGTTTGTGTTTCATACAAATAGATCTTCATGCTTTCGTCATGAACATGTTCTGCTTCTGGAAGAGGGTGATATTGAGGTTGTGTTCGGTTCTGTCTGGATCGTATGTCAACGAAGCGAGCGTGGCGTTGATTGAGCCAGTGACTAACAACGGTCTTCGAGTGCCTCGGATACTATGGTAGCGAACGGACATGGAGGTCTTCTCAACGAGAGAATCGGGGATTTATGCGCACTTGATCTGCTCTGTGCTCTTCCACGTCTCTGCAAGTGCAGAACATCTATGAGTCTGTGTACAAGAGAGGGGAGTAGAACATACAGAAAAACTCCGCGTTCCGGTTTCTTTCAGCCGGTTTCAAGTGCCCCTTAATCACATTTCCTCAACCCTTCTGTTCAAATTGTGTTCTGTCAGGCAGTTAAGCCTAGGGTTATGTGTAGCATGAACACTGTTCGTTTGAAGTTGACCCTAATCATTCTCTGAATGATTACCCAGGGTTCGAAGAGAGAAACAATACGCTGCTTTATCGAGAGTGTTGAGCAAGAATTGTCTTCACAGTTGCTATATCCCGGCCCTTTATTCTGTCGCTATTATAAAGAGAAAAGGGTGGTGGCCTTGCCAGACTTGCATGAAGATCAAGGTAATTTAGAAAGAGAGAGCCAGTAGTGGAGTGAATATGATTGGAGAAGCCGACAAGATTGTGAAACTCAGTAGAGCTGAAATGTTTCCAACCAGATTCCTCCCGCCTGAAAATCTCCTCCTTAGTCTGGTTGTTCAGTGCCTACCCCTCTTCACGTTGCACGCAAACCAATCCAACCACTGCGCTTTCCAACTGATCAGAATAAGAATTGCCATGGCTTAACTGTCTAGTGTAGCTCAAAATCGCACATTTTATTCATGTCAACTTGTGGCGGGAAACAGTAACTATCCTTTCCAAGGCGTCATTCCGACGGCGTTCGAGGGCAGCGGTGTTCTCGAAAGGACAGCAGGCAACAGTGACAGCGGCAACGACAACCGCAAACAAGGCTCGAAGGACCTTAGTATGCGTTTTAACCGCATATGTTGGGATGATTCAGCGGACGACACTGAAGACTGAAATTGTGCATGTGTCTTGCGTGAACCTACAAAAGAAAGATTTTCTTTATGCCCTTGAGCGTGCTGTAGCTGCATAGCTCTTGATTGGAAACAAGTTGTAAGCAACACTTAACCGCCAGTCATTTTAGAGGATATAGAGCTTGAGGTATTTCATACATATTTCATGTTGAGATGGTACTTTGATGACTTATCTCACCAAATCCATTAACGGTCAGTTAGGTCACGTGACATCCGACTTAGAAGGCAACATTCAATGTTTGAATGGTACATGTATGCATACGCCAGTATCTGTGCTTGAAGCATTTTAGCCCAAGAATAAATCTATGTATGCCTTTAGTTTCAGTGATTGCTATGGTATCCCGGTACTATCACGTGCATGCAATCACGACTCCAGAAAGATAAGCGTACCATGTCCTGCTCGGTGATCCTCGTTAAACATCATTCCAGCCATCAATCATGGAGCCGTCAATGGTCTATACATATCTAGGTATTTACCCCATACAACCTTGTTATTCGGTTTCTTCAAATTCAACTTCAAATAACACTCTGAGAAGAAGCCTTCTGTAAATGCACCTTAGCGTATGTAAGAGAGAGCTATGTGAATTCCTGACAGTTGTGGCAGAGAAAAGCACATAGATCCACTCTTTAGACTTCAGGCTTTAAAGTTTGTGTTAATGTTATCCCAGCAGGATTGTGCCTAGATGATGAGCAAAAGTGACGTCATTGAAAGTACACTAACGCGAGGACCGTGGAACTTTTCCTGTTCCTGAAGGATCCTACATCCCCCAATCCGATTCTGTGGAGACTTAGTTTCTTCAATTATTCCCAGCTTCATACCGGCAGACGGTCTGCAATATGCTATTTTTCTCTTTGTTGCTAGCATCGTCGGCACATGCAGTGCCTGTGACACACGACTCCCAGGTGCCCATCATACCACAAGATCATTCTCAAGGCTACAAATTCGATCCTCTCCTTCATCTACCTGGAATAAGTCCATACTTTGACGCCATAGGCTTCGGGCTCGAGCACAAAGCCCCTGATAATTGCAAGGTCACATCGGCTTCGTATTTAATCCGCCATGGCGCTATCTACTCCAACGACGCAGAGTATGAAGAATTCATCAAACCATTCCTACAGAAACTGGAGAAAAATAGGAAGGGATGGTCAGGTCCGCTCGAATTCTTCGGGAAATGGCAGTCTCCGGTCGAAGAAGACAAGCTCGAGGAACTTACGCCATCAGGGGCGGTAGACGCCGAAAAGGTCGGGAAGCATCTGAGAGAGCGATATCCGGAGCTTGCACCAAATGTGCGACGCGTTCTCGCCGATAAAAAGTCTCGCACATACGACACTGCGAAAAATATGATGAAGGCATTCTCGGAAACCGACAGCATTGAAATCGTCCGAGTTCTCAAGAACGAAACTGGCGCCATGGAACCATTGATTCCGCACAAGGCTTGCGATGCTTTTAACAAGGAACCTGGTAAACAAGAACAATCGGAATTCATCGAAACATACGCACCAAGCGTATCACTGCGCCTTGAGCCTTTCACACCGTTTGAGCTTGAACCCAAAGATATCGTAGGCATGCAAATGTTGTGTGGATATGAAAGCGCAATCAACGGCAAACGTTCTGAAATCTGCGGTATTTTCACAGACGCTGAATGGATGGCTTATGAGTACGCATGGGATCTCAAGTACGCGTACATGGTGGGCCCTCTCAACCCACTATCGCCATATCTTGGGTTTCCATGGCTTCAGGCTCAAGCTCATCTATTCCAACACATCCAGACACACGATACGCCGGGCGGTGGCTGGCCTGATGACCAGCGGTTCTTCTTATCCTTCACACATAGAGAGGTCCCACCTTTCATTGCCACGGCGTTGGGGCTCTTCAATTCGAGCTCTGAAGCACAGGAACAATTTCCCACTGATCATATCAACTGGACACGCGCTTGGAGAATGTCTGATCTCATACCGTTCCTTGGTCATGTGGGGATGGAAAAGATGACTTGTGAGAGAGGGGCGCTTTCTGGTGATGGATCGGGACAGTTCATTCGCTTCATTGCGAACACGGCTCCCAGGCCCATCCCGAACTGCCAGAGTGGACCGGGCGCAAGCTGTCCGATTGAAACCTTCAACGAGATTATTGGAGATGGAGCGAAGAAACACGAAGATTTTCATCAAGTTTGCGACATGAAAGAATAGACTCACAAAGCGTATATCACTTTTGTATCACTTCTATTTATAGAGATATACTTGGTAATCATAGCTGTTTAATTGTGTTTTTGTTACCCTTTCTTCTGCCACTTTTTCCTTGTCCGAGTTTGGCTCCTCCATCACCCCACAGCGATCGTTCGCGGTCGCTTTCACATCGACACATACCCCTTTCTTTCGATCCGCCGTCTTGCAGTATTTTATCCTCGGTAGCTCGACAGTCCTCGCAACAATTGCACCCACCATCGTCCTCGCATGCTTCACACACGACGAGAACCAAATTACAGCCTGCTCTTCTACACTTACCAAGGCGATCTTCGCCATTGCCGCACCTATGGCACGTCGAGACTTTCTCGCAAGTCTCACCGTCGGGGGCAATCGCGCCCCGAGCGTCAAATACATACATCTTCCCCTTGAAGTAGCTATCTTCAGGCTTCTTCCTTCCTTGTTCAATCTCTTGCTCCATCCAAGCCTGGTACGCCACGATACCTCCGCGAAGCGTGTACACTGGCACATCATCGTCGCTTGCGTTCGCCGCCAACTGTTCCTGCATCCACCGCGCACCCTTCTCGCAGCGGATCCCGCCGGTGCAGTACGTTGCGATGGGAGCTTTGTAAAGATCGTTCCCGAGTACATGTCTCGCGACATAACCAGGCCATTGGCTGAACCTCCGCACGGCTGGACGCACAGCAACCTCCCCTGTCCCAGTGACGAAGTACCCAATTCGCGACTCATAGTGATTCCGCACGTCGATTAGCCGCATTGATCCGTCCTTGCAGATATCGTGGAATTCTGGAGGAGACAGGGATATTACATTCGACCATGATGAGGGGGAGTAGTTTGTGATACCGAGCGGCGTGATCTCAGCCGTCACTCTAATCGATGCTTTATTACCGAACGCACAGGCACATCCGGGCGTTGGTTTGAAGTATTCATGGCGCGCTTCTTCTGTCGTGAGATCGATGTTTGAGAAGGACCAGTGCTTGTGACATTCCTCGATGTATGCTGCGATGGATGGACTTGTTCCCCCAAGTGTAATGTTGAACCCTTCTTTAGCGACTCGGAATTTGCCCCCAAGTTCTAGTTGCGAGGCAAGGCTTTCGTGGAAGCGAGCGAGGGTATCTGCATCTTCTGCTTTCGTCACGTGCTCGGTTGGAAGGGTGGGCGCGTTGCTCCAGTAGCGGTAGAATAATAGGATTTTCCCGCCTTCTGTCTGTGCCGAACATTTGCACGTGTACGAGACAGGGTCTGAATTGTCGGCTTTCGTTATTATATTGTTCATCTTGAGGGTTTGTCTGATGACTGCACATGTGTATTGGTCAACGGTGGACGGCAAAAAGTTCAATGACAGGCCGATCAGGACTAAATAAGCTAGCCCTAACGTAGTCTAGTGCAGCTGGCTCTACTAGATCAATCACGGTTGATTGTTCTATGTACATGTACATAGCACTTGAGTACATCCACCTGCCCATGCTTCCGATTCGTTGCTGCGTCACTGTCGGCTGGTGAGACTGTCAATAAAATTTTGCAGCACGCATATCGTACCGATCACCAGTTGAATCTAGTATTACTGAACATAGAGCTCGTGTACGGTAATCGTGATCATCTCATCTTAGATATCACCTTTTGACTTCGACTGCTCAGTATGCATCAGGGCAATGGATTTGATCTACGAGACTGAATCAGGCTGTGTCTGATGCGCGTTCGTAAAAGAGGCCCAATTACGTTGCATACTACACCTCCATCCCAGCTCCGAAACCTTACCCGTTGTTCAGCCTTGCGTATTCGGCCAACCAAACGCAATGCTATAGGTTTTCGATTTCACTTCATTTTCAGCTCATGTAGAGGCGTGTTTGCCTTGTGCATAGCCCCTTCTCCGCTGGCAGAATCATCCAGCGCTCGAATTATAAACCCAGCAGTATAGCCCAGAATTCTTATGTTGTTTATTAACTACGGCCTCCCCACGGCTTCTGTTTGAATTCAAAGTCTGGCAATTGATCCAATCCCTTGCATTCATACTGAATATTAACCCGCGTCGATGGCTTTCGCATCAGAGCGATCATGGTTATCCAAAATTGACGTATTAGATGGTGAGTCACTGACAACGACCATACAGATGCTTTCGTTCTTATTAGCTTTCACGCTGGTACCGGGTGTCACTTTCATTGTCGTTTCGCGAGATGCAGCAGATGAAAGGAATATTCGCAGAGGTACAGCAGCAGTATCTGCAGTTCTTGCTGTAGAATGCATGGCCTTGATAGTGTTATTCTTTGTACTTGTACGGAGAACAAGAGAAAGTAGATCCGGCGGTCTATTCTTCAGAAGACATCAGTGAGTAGACTATGTCGGTCTTTTGTAGTGTAAGCGAGACTTTAACCACCTTTGAAGACATGCAAATCCCGGATCCAATACTGCGCCTACCGTCGAACAAAGTGCAAGACCAACGCTCTTTCATGTGCCTCCGAAACGGAAATTCGAAAGAAAAGGTTATTCTTTACCAGGTGGGAAGTGGGGAAGAGAAATGTACTCCTACTCACCACTAATGAATCACGAAATACGGGTGTTAGAGCTACATCCTTCTGCAGGTGAAGATGATGAAGTTCAAGCTGAACTCCTTCATCGCACATTGCATCAAGCCAGAAAATTACAATTCGTCGCTATATCCTATACTTGGGGGACTCGGGAAGATGCTACATACATTGCAGTTAACGGCTACACGATGGAAATTGGGCCAAATGTGTTGAGAATATTGAAACAGTTGAGAACTCTAGGTTACAAATTCGTCTGGGTAATTCAATACCACAACTAAGACAGAGAAGTTCAGACTGACGAGTGTATAGATAGATGCTATCTGTACAAACCAGTCTGATCGTGAAGAGTGTAGCGCGCAGGTCTCTCGCATGCGATCAATCTACGCTGGAGCTTACCAAGTTGTCGTTTCTCTGGACTCCATGGCTTCTCGAGATACCGGTGACTTTCTTCAATTACTTTCCCTTGTAGAACCAGTGTTATCTCCTGAGTCCCAGGTAGATACTCTTCAGAGGGCCCTAAAGCAGGACAACCATCGAGTTACTCTTACTGCTTTCTGTAATGACAATTACTGGAAAAGGATGTGGATCATTCAGGAGTTTGCGATTGGCCATAACATTCAGTTTCTAATCCACGGTAGCGTTGTGCCCGTTAAAAAATTCGAAACAATCTTCCGTATGCGAGAGATTGAACCCGGCATCAAGGATAGTCAAATGAACGCCATATACGCCATGCGATCCGCATGGCAAGCGAACCGGTCTACCAACTTCATACACTACCTTTACCGGACTCGGATGTCAGAGTGCAAACTAAGACACGACCGGGTTTTCGGTCTCCTTGGCATCTTGCCCGAGGCAATGAAATATCTTCCGGAACCAGATTACGAATCTGATATAAGAGATATTGCAGTCAGCATTACACACGCGTACATCCACAAGACGTCAGCAGATATAGTGTTACTCACACCTAGGGACGACCCCATCATGGACTGGCCAACTTGGTGTCCTAGAATTTTCCATTTCGACCAAGGAGCACCAAATAAGCGCTTGATTAAGCTACTCAAACGAAAGAGTCTAATTCAGTCAGGAGAGTGGAAGGCCACTGGTGACGCTAAACCTGATTTTTCTATTCACGGAACGACTTTGGTCACGAGGGCTGCTTTCCTAGGCACCATTCGCAGTATTGGATTCGCTCGCTTTGATTCAATTCATAGTGATTTTCCACTACATGACGCCACTTGGAAAAGGAGCGAGAGCCCGCGGATCTTTGTTAGTGAAACTCTTGGTCTATTTCATGAGGCCTTTGAGGGAAGATCTACAATCAATACTGCTCTTTTTAAGAGTGAATATACATCTTGCTATATTCGAGCTTTCCAAGTGGACCATAATTTTGAACAAGAGGGGAATATCTATAACTATGACGTTGCCAAATGGATATATCGCAACCGCAAGTTCTTCACAGGTTGGAAGTTCATGGAAGAACACGCTGAAGTGACAAGCACCCCCAAAAGCTTTCTGCTGAGTCTCATCAACTGTGTAAGGACCTCTCATTCTAGTTGTCTGCACCCAGGTTATACCAAATTCTGGGATTCTTTTGTGGAGATGGTCAATTCGGATATGCGACTGATGGGTTTGGAGATGGTAACGCGGTCTGAACTCGGTTGGGCTACAACAGGTGCACGTCTTGGGGACGAGGTATTCTTAGTCCCAGGATGCAGCAGACCCGCCGTCCTTCGCAAAACCGATGCTGGAACGTATCAACTTCTGGGCGACGCTATCATTCTTAGTGCCATGTATGGCGATCTATGGACTAAAATCAGAGCTGAAGATCTTCAGAGCATTGAGATTGTATGAGAGCATGGAAGCACCGATATCATCTATACTTTATGAATCTCATAATTACGGCGCATTAGATATAGGATATACGATCAGAGCACAATAGAAAGGAACGGAAATCGACTCAAGAACACTTAGGTCCCCCATAATTCGCGTTCGGAGTCCACACGCGTTAGAAAGGACATAGTACCGAAACAATTTCTAAATATCAATATAGACTATACGCGGATCATCCAATGGAGAGTTTTCGTTATTATTAGAACATGGGGACGCACTATCAAGCCCATCAAGAGGAGGCAAAGTCAAGCTCTATTCAACCTTCGCGATATAAATGAAATGGTAGAGATATATGGATACACTGCACCCCGAGATCACCGATAAATCAGATTACAACGGTACCAGTCGCATTCTATGCGCCATCTATGTGCAGTAGTATCCAATTGTCGACTTTTAACAGCCTTTTTTCTTACTGTAATCAGCAAATTGCTCCCGTTGGCATTAGACAGTTGCGATGTATTGAATTCCGACGCTGTGCAGCCATCGGAGAATATCTTCATCATCTATCCCTTTCTCTCCCATGCACAACTTCCGTTGGTGCATCACCTCCGCACACCACAGTGTGCGGGTGATACACTTTATATCACTTGGGAACTTGAAATGCACTGTATCCTCCCAGGGTTGACCCGCTCTTCGTGTGGACAAGCAGTATGTATCAGTTGTAGTATTTGAGGCCATCGCGACGAAGCAGATCTCACAACAAAAAAAAAAAGATTCCGAGCATAAACATCTAGATTCACTGCATTACATGATCGCCAGTCATCGTTCCAATCGATCCTCTTCCTCCCATTCATTCTTTTTCGGTATAAACAGTGGTTAAAAAACAAGCGACATTGCGTTTTCAAACTCTCTACCAAAACACTACTTGAACTGTCCAACACCCCACACAGGCACCACACTACTGCATCTCATTCTCTTCCAAGCAATGTACGCACCCTACTTCCCACCCCACTCCCTCCACCACTCAAACACCGCAATCCCCCCCGCAGTCTGTACATTCAAACTCCGCGTAACCCCCACAGTCCTAATCTCAACACAGCGATCCACAGCAGCAAGAACCTCCTTACTAATCCCCCCACGCTCACTCCCCAACACCAACACGCATTTCCTCGGCAACGTCCCCAGCACCTCCCCTTTCCCGTTATCGTCCCCTTCCAAACGCTTCGGTTCATCCCCCAACATCCCACTCCGATCCGTCTGCTCGATCCCCACGACCTCATACCCTTTCGTCTTTAACTGCGTTAGAAAAGCAGGCACGGCGCTGATTTTCAGCTCGTGGATCGGAAAGTGTTTCTCCGAGGTTACGCTGGTGGCTTTGAAGTCTTTGTGGGCGGTTTTGCGGACGTCGTCGATGTAGAGGGCTTCGAGGCCGAAGGATTCAGAGATGCGGGATAGGCCGCCGAGATTGGTCGGGTTGTCGATTAGCGACGCGATGAGGATTACGCTGGCGGGGCGGGTGTTTTGCGAGCTTGGGGGGCCGGGGGGAGGGAGGAGTGAGGAGAGGTCGAAGTTGGCTTTGGTTTGGAAGAAGGTTGGGGGTGGGTCTTGGGGATTATTAGGGGTTGATGAAGGGAGGTCTGTGTTTGGGGGTGGAGATGAGATTGGGGGGAGTTTTTGGATGGGTGAGGAGCCTAGCGGGATGCGGGAATTTGGTATGTGGAGGGTTGAAAGGTTGGTTTGGTCGTTTTTGTAAAGTGTTTGGAAGTCTTCTTGCGCAACGCGTTCTAATTCCGGGGTCTCGATGCTCAAGTAGTGGCCTTGGAATATATTGGTAAGGGAGAAGTCTTGCACCGCGTCGAACTTTAGCGTGCGAATGGTTGAGGGCATTGTGTTGAATTTGTCGAGGCTGCGGATGTATTTGTCCAGTGCTAGAAACCCGGGATTATCGGTGATGGTCGACCAGCCTCTCTCCTTGGCCAAACCGAACGCGATTGGGAACAGCCAGTGCGCTTCATGGCGGATCTGCACTTTTGGACTTGCGGAAAAGGGTATAAGTTGGATAACGCATTGAAGCGTGAACTCCTCCGAGTCGACGAATGGCGCAACAAGCATGGCTAGTTTCATCAAGCTCGCTATATGCATAGGACTGTTTTCATCCAGGTTCGCAAGATTGTGCAATATACTTTGAGTTTTGGTAGAATCTCGGTAATAGATGCGGGTGATTGTCCATTCGAGCAAGAACCGATGACGAGGCCAGTGTTCAACCACCAAAGCATTCATGAAACCGTCTAGATAGTGGTCAAAATTGGAACCATTGACACAAGACTCTACCAATAGCATCATAACCTGCAGCTGAAAGACATTCTTCCATTTGCTAACGATAGGTACAGGTGGCTTCTGAGTTCTCCAGGGTTCAAGAATGCGATCCAGAACCCTATCCGCGACACTAGCTTGACTTTCCGGAAAGCGACTGATCAAATCAATGATCGCTGCGTATCCATGCCACTCTCGGGGGCCGTAATAGAATTCATAATCCCGATGTGATATGTACTGCTGGAGCTTATGTCCGAATACAGCCTCGAATAGAAACTCTCTCTTCGGCGATGGAGGGTTATTGATGAACTGAACAAGGAAATCATCCAAAGGAAGAATGGCCATAATGCTGGGATCCAAGAAACATGCTTTGCGGAGTGCAGTGCCAAGCATGGGGAGGATGTAGGCTCTACCTTCAGTGAGTCGCTGCATCTTCCATAGTACTTTGCTCAGCAAGGTTATCAGCGGGCTGGTATAGCTGGAATCTAGCTTTGTTTGGACACAAAAATGGATGCAGGTTGGATGGAAGAAGACGTCTGGGATATGAATAACTGTTGATCGATGATATTCCAGTCTGTCCGCTTCTTCCCAGAAGGCATCCAGTACTTCCAGTAGATCGTCGACTTCTGTTGAATTTTTATCGACATGGTCCAGAATGGAGATGATTTTCTTGCAAGCTGGCCCAAAAGCTTCGTACTGAATCGCTTTGTGTTTAGTAGCCACCAAGTCATCTTTGAATGCTCGTAAGGATTGGTGTTCCTCGGTTTGGAAATGATTCAATGTTTTATGGGCACCGTCGCGTTGTGTCAGTGGGTGTCTTTCCAGTTCAGCTATTCTTGCTTCTAGAGGATCATAACTGGACACGTTTGGACCTTGTATCAGGTCAGGGGGTACATAATCTCCAAGTTGCTTACAATATACCGTGAGAAGATCTGCGGCAATTTCGGGAAGCGATGGTAAGCGCGAAACGCGAAGGATCAGGTTCGCATCTGTCGCACTCAGCACGAAGGTTCGAGTTTTAAGACCACCGAGGATGCCCTCAACTAGGTACAATACTGCCGGGGCGAATATTTTGCCTCCAGTTTCCAGAATATATGAAAATATATCTGTTAATAAACTTGACTCCTGGGGTATTGCCAGGACCAGTTTTGTCAAGGCGTTGGCAAGGTTCACCCCGTGAGCACATTGGGTAGTGATGCGAGACGAGGTCAGGGTTGACGTGAATAAACTCCCTTGAGTCGCCCAAGGGAGGAAACCTTCCACGAAAAAGTCCACATGGGCCACGGCGGAATCAGTTTCATTGATTATGTAGTTAATGTACCAGTTACCAACGAGTTTTCTTATTCCATCTTGTACTTTGGAGCTCAAAGCCGCTGAGAGCAGAGCCGTAGTCCAACTCGGAGAGATCAGCGACTGGGGACCGAACAAAACGGACATCTCAGGTAGACGTGCTTGGGATTGATTTACATAGCGATCCAGTACAACGGTTTCGAAGAGTGTGGAGTATCTTTCATATTGGGATGCTGTGGCCGATTTGTTTTCAGCCTTGAAATTCATATATGGCGTATTGATATCCGTATCAGACAGCATAACGGACTGGTGAATGATGCCCAGACAATACCTCCGCTGGTCAGCAAATCCATCCAGAAGACCTTTCCGGAGGGTCGACCAATAGAATGGTGATTTGATTGTGTTCAACTTGATATTGTTAGCAGTAGCGTGATCGATCCATTGGAACCATGATCGGAAGGCTTTCCCACTGTTCTTGGAAAAATATTCAGCGGGAAGTTCCTCGTAGCGTATGAACAGCGAGTCATCAAAGATCTTCGGGTCCACGTCGGAGTGGATTCTGATGTGATCTGCGTAGCTTGAGCCGAATGCAAGCGCATAAGGATTTATTGTACGAGCGCCTGGCAGTTTGAGAAGATGAAATAGCGCTGAAAGGGCATCGTGGGCATATCCGTCTAAACCGTCAACGCCTATGCACGCGAGCAGAGACTCCAGCAGATCGGAAGTTATGTAATGCAGCTGGGTGGGCGGAAGCCAGAATGAAGCTTTCAGGAAGCCAAGATAGGCTACAACAGTTTGCAATTCGGCATCATCTGAGTAGTCTGAACCATTGGTATCATTCTGACGTGCTTTTGCCACTTTCTCCAGTATTGACTTGGTTACACTGCGGAGAACCTCATGACCAAGTTGGTGGTTGCTAAGACAGATTTCAGCGAGTAAGTAGAGGCACTCAGTATCATCTTTTATATGGATAATTCGGGATAGATAGAACTGCTCGATGCGCTCGTAGGATGCAATCTCCTAACCAAACGTTAGCCAAACTGTTGCACAGATTATACTCAACACGGGCTACAGCTTTAGGAAGAGATGACGGGCGAGTCGATTACATGTAAGATATCAATTGATAGGTCCAGTACAGCAACAACTGAGGGCACTTACGTGAGTTCTAGATGGCAACAGTCGAACACACAATCTCAGTGCATCAAGATCAACCTGATCTGAGGGCGCTGCGTCTAATGTTCTGAAATGATGATCAAATGCAAGTTTCTGATTCTCCTCGGTAGAAAATCGAAGAGCAGAGGCCAGATCCGCAACCTTGCTACCCGAGAGCAGTCCATCTATCCCCGTGACCGTCATGGTCGAGAAAAATTCCCCGCTGACTCTGGAATGTGCCCAGAGATCTACCCAAAATAAGGAGCGAATACCTACTTGTGTCTCAAGACACCTTTCTTGCGCACTATATCTGTTCTAGTTGCTCCGATCAAGCAACCAGACAACAACACGTCAGCTGTGGCCCACCGTAGAAAGTTTGCGGTGGTGTTGTTGCTCCGAAGGATTGATTTCTTCGGCAGAGGTCTTGGCAGGTGACGTAGCCGACCAATCAGTCCCGCCGCTACCTCCTAGCAACGGACTGTTGACATTTGGCCCCAACAGGCTTAGCGCAGTTGACAGCAGCTCCTCCGGACAGCGGCAACGTCGATGCACCTCATTCACATAAACCGCTTTCGACAACTCAAGGAAACAGTCTTTCAGTTGTTGGAAGCCACCATGGATCAACGACTGTACAACAGCCTCCGCGCCTCTACTGCATCTGCGCCTTCGCTCCGCGCGAGCGAACCCATCGGACTAATGGCACCACCACCCATGGTGGACGATCCGGGAAATGTAAAAGTCGTTGTGCGCTGCAGGGCATTTCTGCGACGAGGTACGAGACAATGTATCATGGGGTTTCCCGCGATTGAAGCTAATGGCTCATAGAGCGAGAAAAGGGCACTCAATGCCTGATTCGTATGGATCCTGCGACAAACAAGACAACCCTTCATGCTCCTCTCGAGGATGAAGAGAATGCAAACGCCTCGCGTCGGGTTTACGAAGACAAAGAGTTCACATTTGACAAATCGTTCTGGTCCCACGATGAATCCGATCCCCACTACGCACACCAGGAAGATGTCTACCGGTCGTTCGGAGAAGAGTTCTTGGACCACAACTTCAATGGATACCATACCTGCATCTTTGCTTACGGTCAGACGGGTTCTGGAAAGAGTTACACTATGATGGGATCACCAGAGAATCCGGGACTTATACCACGGACCTGCGAGGAGTTGTTCGAGCGCATAAGGGACGAGCCCACCCCAAACACCAGCTACCACGTCCAGGTTTCCTACTTTGAGGTATATAACGAACACGTTCGTGATTTGCTTGTGCCCCGGACAGCTCTTCCCAACTACCTCAAGATCCGCGACTCTCCCAAGGATGGCGTGTATGTCCAAGGATTGACTGAGGTGGAAGTCAAAGGCTACAGTGACGTGGAGCGTTTGTTCAAGCTGGGCGACTTGGTGAGTATTCTGCTTCGTGTTCTATCTGTCAGCACTAACAATAATTGTAGAGTCGCACCACTGCTTCGACCAAAATGAACGATACCTCCTCCCGATCGCATGCCGTGTTCACGATCCGTCTCAAGCAGATCACCCATTCCTTACTTTCCGACGAAACTATCGAACGCACAGCCCGTATGCGACTCGTGGATTTGGCGGGTTCTGAGCGTGCGAAATCTACCGAGGCTACTGGGCAACGTCTGAAAGAAGGTGGTCAGATCAACAAGTCTCTGACCACACTTGGTCGTGTCATCGCGGCCTTGTCGGACCCAAAGCGACAAAATGCTAAAGGGCGAAGACCTAGAGAAGTAGTACCATATCGAGACTCGGTTCTCACCTGGCTACTCAGAGACAGTCTCGGTGGAAACAGCAAAACAGCCATGGTGGCCTGTATTGCGCCCGCAGATTATGACGAAACACTATCCACCCTACGATACGCTGATCAGGCCAAGAAGATCCGTACACGTGCTTCAGTCAACCAAGATTGCATGTCTGCTGCTCAGCGTGATGCGCAAATCACGGAAATGGCGGAACAGATTCGGTCGCTACAGGTCAGCGTGAATGCTGCAAGTCAGCGCAAACGAGAAGAAGCCACCGAACTTGAGGAGTATCAGCGACAGGTCGCTCTCATGCATCGTCTCATGGAGGAAAACCGCCAAATGTCGGACTGCAAGATCAAGTCGCTTAGCGCCGAAGTGGAGGAACTGCGTCCGGCCAATATAGCACTTCGGTCGGAGATTGAGTCTCTCAAACGCCACTTGTCTCTCGCTCTGGGAGAGTTGAAGAATCCCATCGTACTCCCTCCGCCGCTGCCAGGCTCGCCTGATGTGGAGGAGGATGACTTCATCCGAGTGAACAAGCGCGGGCTCGACCTCGGCGAGGATGGTAAAGAAAACATCCAAATACACCCCGATGAGGAAGAATTGAGTGATGATGACTCAGACTCAGGATACGATGAAGGCGATCACGACGAGCTTGCTCAAGAACTGCAGAACGAAGCTCAGGCGTTCTTGCAGGATCTCGGTATGTTTCGAAGAAAGGTTGGAAGCGATGTCGAGCGATTTGGTCTCAAGGAAGCCTTGAGCGAATTGATTGACCATTGAGAATGAATTCCCCAGACTGTGCTTGTTTTTTGGTTTCCTGTTTTTCTTTTCTTACGGGATACGGAAAGCGCTGTTTGAAGATTGCGGATATCAGTTTGACAGGGTAAGTAAATTTGGTAAAATGGCGTGCAATTGGCTATGGGTGCATTCAGCGTAGGTGTTCTTGGACGGTATGAAGTCTTTTTCTTGGTTCTGTTTGCAGAGTATATAGTTAGCGTCCAAATATGAATATGGGAGTCCGAAAGGACCAAATCTGATTTTGACTCTTTTTTTTGGTGAAGCGTGAGATAGACTCCCGTCTTGCAGATGCATAAAGCAAAGGGTAGCTGACGCACAGACCCTCTTTGGTGATGGAATGCCGCGGCGACGATGGACAATAGGCCGCAGCTCCTCCGCATCCACAACGACGGATGATACCACCACCCCGCAGCGCATGACATGTCGAAGCCCACGGCCAACTGGGAGAAGCTGGGCGACAAGTTCTACCGTAAGGTCCAGCTGTACACGGCCATCTTCGACCAGGATCTCGAGCTCGAGAACTACAATGTAGTGGGGGCTCCGTATAGCGGTGCTGTAGGTACGACTCTACCGTCCCAGTCTGCGATAGCTCGCGCTGACCATTATATAGCCATCTACCGGGATGAGAACAAAATAACGGCATACCGCGGTGCCCAAGCGTCGAAAGCGAGCATCGATATTTATAGCTGCGCTGGTCAATTGATCAGGCGCATTGATGTATGCAGCTTGTAAACAGCGTGCCATGAGAGGCATACGTGCATAACATGTGCTGACGCATATCAATATAGTGGAGCAAAGGCACCATCAAAGGGCTGGGCTGGTCCGACGACGAGAAGCTGCTTGTTGTTACCGAAGATGGCACCGTGAGATGTTACTATGACCTGCAGGGCGATTTCGTTCCCTTCTCTCTTGGCCATGGCGCCGAAGATCACCTCGTCCAGTCTTGCAAATTCTACGGCTCTGGCTTCGTTGCCTTACTCGGAAACAACAATCTGATATCGGTGACCTCGTATACAGAGCCTCGGCCCAAGCTCCTCGCCATACCACCCCCCGACCCCATCATTTCATGGTCCATAATACCCCCTGCGTACTCGCTCTCCCGGTCGGTAGAAGTAATTCTCGCAATCGACCAGACGTTATGGGTGGTGGATGCGACAGAAGCCGAGGACCGCAACTTTGACGCTGGACCGTTTAGACACATCAGCGTAAGCCCGAGAGGAGAATTCTTGGCCTTCTACACAGACGATGGAAAGGTGTGGGTTGTCAGTGGCGATTGGAGCGACAAGCTGAGTGAATACGACAGCAAAGTCAAGACAGTACCCAAGGATATGCAGTGGTGTGGTAGTAATGCGGTTGCATTGGCATGGGAAGATGAAGTTCACCTCATTGGGCCGAAGAGCGCTGCCACAAAGTTTTACTATGATGCCTGGATACATTTGATCCCCGATGTCGACGGTCTCCGTCTGTTGACGAACGATGTTTGCGAATACCTACAGAAAGTGCCGGACGAATCCGTAGATGTTTTCAGGCTGGGTTCCGACACCCCCGCGGCCAATCTGCTCGAGGCAGCATCTTTACTGGAGCAGAAATCGCCAAAGGCAGATGACCTTATCCAGCTCATTCGACCGTCTCTCGCCGAAGCAGTAGAAACTTGTATTAAAGCGGCGGCACATGAGTTCAGCATTCATTGGCAAAAATCTCTGCTTCGCGCAGCTTCATTTGGGAAATCCGTGTTGGATCTGTACTCGAGCGACGATTTTGTGGAGACTTGCGACACTCTCCGCGTGTTGAATGCGGTCCGCTTCTACGAAATCGGCTTGCCCATCAGCTACGAACAATATCGACGATTGACGCCGGAAAAACTGATCGAGCGCCTCACAAATAGGAATGAGTATCTGCTCGCCCTCAGAATAGCATCCTACCTACAGCTTCCGTCTGCGAATATACATGGACACTGGGCCCAGCAGAAAGTGCGCGTCTCAACCGACACCGAAGAGCAGATATGCGCCCTCATTGTCAAGAAACTCCACGGAAAGCCCGGCATCTCCTTCGAGGAAATCGCACGCGCCGCTTACGATGAAGGCCGAGTTCGTCTAGCGACAGAGCTCCTCAACTACGAGCCCAGAGCCGGCAAACAGGTTCCACTACTCCTCAGCATGAAAGAAGACAACATCGCGCTAGACAAAGCCATCGAGTCCGGCGACACAGATCTCATCTTCCACGTACTACACCACCTCCACCGTAAGCTGCCCCTTGCCAGCTTCTTCCGCGTCATCAACACCCGCCCCGTCGCAACTGCCCTCGTCGAATCGTCCGCCCTCGACTCGGACCGCACCCTCCTAAAAGACCTCTACTACCAAGACGACCGCCGCCTCGACGGCTCAAACCTCCTCCTCACCGAAGCCATTGCCCAGCCTTCTCTCCCCCCCGCAACCGACAAGCTCAAACTCGCCGCAAAATACCTCGCCGACACGCGCGACCCCACGGCGCAATTCCACCGCACGGCCCTCGAAGACGCCGCAAAGCTCCTCCGCATGCAAGAGCAATTCGACCGCGACCTCCTCTCCTCGTCCCCCCCAACTTCAGCATCCAACCTCGCCGCAAGCACTTCCCTCGTCGGCCTCTCCCTGCACGACACAATCTTCCACCTCCTCCGCCAATCCCACATCAAGCGCGCCGCGAAACTGCATTCCGAGTTCAAAGTCCCCGAAAAGGCCTTTGCGTGGATCAAGCTCCGCGCCCTCGTCTCCGCGCGCCATTGGACCGAACTCGAGGATATCGCCGCCAAGCAGAAGAAATCGCCCATTGGCTTCGTGCCGTACTTCAATGAGATCCTGGCGGCGGGGAACCAGCGCGTCGCCGCGCTTTTTGTGCCAAAGTGTGCCGGTGGGTACGCCGGCGTGGCCGTCGAGGAAAGAGTCGAAATGTGGTTGAAGTGTGGGCTTGTTGTACAGGCTGGCGAGGAGGCGTTCAAGGCGAAGGATAGAGCGCTGCTTGAGGGGGTTAGAGCGAAGGCTGAGGGTGGCGCTGCGGTGGAGGTGGAGAGGTTGCTTGGGATGTTGGGGAGTGGGAAGAAATGAGGGGGACGGTGTGTAGTTTGCAGTGTGGTGTTATCTACTACGTAGGGTTATTTTTACTAAAGAATTTTTTGGGGTGTAGATCAGGTGAAATTGGAGGGGCTGTGACCATCTGCTTCTTTTATTTGTTTTACTGTATTCAAATCTTGGCTTTAGGCGGATTTGGAATCGTGTTTTTCAACTTGCTCTCATATTCATACAACAACAACAACAACAACAACAACAACCACCCCAACTAAGAAAGATTCTATACACACACGCACACCTGTTCCAAAGCTGCTACTACCTATCTATGCTCACTTACCCAAGATCTCCAACACTACACATTGAACCTTTCCAAAACCTCAATAACTTTCTCCCTAATCCCCTGCTTCGCACCTTTCCTCTCCACAAACTTGCCCACCGTCTCCTCTCTCGTCAACCCGCCCGCCGCCTCTCTCAGAATCTCTCCCTCTTTAGGCAACCCAATCCATTCATGCGGGTAATCGTTGTAATCTTTTGTAGAAATAAGCTCGAGAGGCTTCGTGTTTCCATGGCCAAAAAATGCAGCGACGGCAGCGGATTGCACTTCATCAATGGTGTTTGGCTGCCAGTTAGGACGTTCCTTTTTGCGCTCAACGAGACGAGCCGTAACGCCCTCGACGAAATCTGGGTGTGCCATGAACTTGGAAGCGATGTTGTGCTCCTGCTTGAAGGTTTCGCGGATGCTCCATTGGCGGCCGACGCGCATCTGCTGGAGGGTGACAGCAACGGCGATGGGCGAGCGGGTGTGGATGGTATCGATGGTTTTGCGGGCCCATGTTTGCACGTCGGGGGTGGAGTCTGGGTCGGACTCGACGTCCTTGAGGGAATCGAGGATTCCTTGCATGGTGGTCTGCTCTGCGTGGAAGACTTTGTCAACGGCGCGGCGGAGGGCGCCCGAGATTTGTGGGCGGGCGTGAGGGAGCCCCGTGCTGAATTCCTCAATTGTGGCATTGATGATAGATTGGCGGTCCTTGAGTTCCATGTAGTCTGGGAACTGCAGCTCCGCCAGACGGGATTCCAGATTATGGAGTGACGAGCTGTGGATGTAGTGCGTCGCAACGCCGTGGTAGAAAAGGTCAGCGCCCTTGAGCTGGTCGCTGGTGAGCGCGAGGTAGAGACCCATGCCGCCTTCCATGCGAGGGAGGAAGAAGGAGGCGCCGACGTCTGGGAAGAAGCCAATGGTCGTCTCGGGCATGGCGAAGATGGAGTTTTCGGTTGCGATGCGGAAGGGGGCGTGGATGGAGAGGCCGACCCCGCCGCCCATAGTGATACCGTCCATGAATGCGACGTAGGGTTTATCGTATGTAGCAATCAGATGGTCCAACTTGTATTCAAGGCCAAAGTAATCCGAGCTCCTTTGCTGGCCTTCCGGGCCCTCCTTGTTCCATTTGGCCAGCTCCGCTACATCACCTCCGGCGCAAAAAGCTCGACCCGATCCCTTGATGACGACCACCCCAGCAAGTTCAGACTTTTCCCACTCTTGAAGCCGGGGAATGATTTTGCGAGCCATGGAGCCATTGAGTGAGTTGAGTTTTTTGGGTCGGTTGAGCTCGATGGAGCGGACGCCGTAGTTGTTGCTGAAGATGACATCGTCGGGGTCATCTTCGGGCTGGGGGGCGAGTATGTTTTCGGTGGGCGTAGAGTACTGTATAGGATGAGGTGTTAGTTATTTGTAGTGTGGGCCAGGATGAGATGGGAAAGAAGCAAGCTGCTGCTGCTACGGCGGCGGGGGGGGGGATTATCGCACCATTCTTCTTCCACTGATCCAAGCGGGATGGGTAATTTTGGCTCGGAGCGGCATGGTAGAGGGATTTGTCCGAGAAGTGCAGCTCAGCGGTGCTGCCGTGCGTCGAATGGATGTGCGGAGAGACATGGCGGGAGAGAAGGAATAACTGCGCGCGCTGTGAGGAGATGTGATGCAACAACGGGTGCTATTGCAGATGCAGATGCTGCTCTACCTCGGCAGAGAGAGCTCGGAGTGATGGAGAGTCGGGCAGTGATCTTTGACAAGTCAATTGAATTCAAGGAGTGAATATAGAAAGAGATGCGATGGATCGCAGGCGGATGTTCGTATATTAACACGGGAAAGCTTCTCCGCCGCGACGTCGATGGCTCCCAAAAGTTCGAATGGGGTGGTTTGAAGCTCACGCCCGCACTGGCCCAATCAGAGCGGCTGGTGGTGTGCTTAGTCATTCCATGATGGCGCGTTTTTTCGAAAATAATGCGACGACCGCTTCACGCATTGATTTATCGCCTCCTCCCTCCGATTGATTCCATTGACCCATCCATCTCCAGTGCGGCTCTCTTCCATTCTTTCTGTCCGGCTGTCTTACGTACCATTACCCCCTCTTTTAATTGAGCCGTTCCGTCCACATCTACCGCAATCATGTCCACCTTCTCGAGGGCTTTCTTGCGGACCTCGCGCGCTGCCTTCCGCTACCAGAGGGGCGTCAACCCAGTGCAGCAGGCTTGGGCACAGAACGGAAGCTTGAGGAGCTATGCCACCGCCTTCTCTCGTGATAAGCCCCACGTCAACATCGGTACGTTATTCTCCTCGTTCTTCATGGAGATCCAAACTTTATACATGTCTTCAATCGCATGCGTCATGCTGACCTGATCTCAACAGGAACCATCGGTCACGTCGATCACGGAAAGGCACGAGAATCCCCTTTGCATCCCCTCCCGACCCCGTCTAACCTATGCCATAGACTACCCTCACAGCCGCCATCACCAAGCGTCAAGCAGAGAAGGGCTACGCCAAGTTCCTCGAGTATGGCTCCATCGACAAGGCCCCTGAGGAGCGCAAGCGTGGTATCACCATCTCCACCGCCCACATCGAGTACGCCACCGACAACAGGCATTACTCTCACGTCGACTGCCCTGGTCACGCCGATTACATCAAAAACATGATTACTGGTGCCGCAAACATGGACGGTGCCATCATCGTTGTCGCCGCTTCCGACGGTCAGATGTAAGATCAATGAGTGTGGATCGGAAAGAGCTCTTGCTGATATGGATTTGCAGGCCCCAGACCCGAGAGCACTTGCTTCTTGCCCGTCAAGTCGGTGTGAAGAAGATTGTTGTATTCGTCAACAAGGTGGATGCCATTGAGGACAAGGAAATGTTGGAGCTCGTCGAGATGGAGATGCGCGAATTGCTCACCACCTACGGTTTCGAGGGTGACGACACCCCCATCATCATGGGTTCCGCCCTTTGCGCTCTCGAGAACCGCGAGAACGATATTGGCGTGGCTAAAATCGACGAGCTCCTTGAGGCCGTTGACACCTGGATTCCCACTCCCGCACGTGACACCGAGAAGCCCTTTTTGATGGCTGTCGAGGATGTTTTCTCCATTGCCGGCCGCGGAACCGTGTGCTCTGGTCGTGTCGAGCGTGGTATTCTCAAGAAGGATACCGAAGTCGAGCTTGTCGGCAAGGGTGTAGCACCCATCAAGACCAAGGTCACTGACATCGAAACCTTCAAGAAGTCGTGCACCGAGTCCCGCGCCGGTGACAACTCTGGTCTCCTCCTCCGTGGTGTAAAGCGTGAGGATGTTCGCCGTGGTATGGTCGTCGCCATTCCCGGTACCGTCAAGGCCCACAAGAAGTTCATGGTCTCCATGTATGTCCTCAGCAAGGAGGAGGGTGGTCGCCACACCGGCTTCGGTGACAACTACAAGCCCCAGATGTTCATCCGAACTGCCGACGAGAGCACTCACCTCACCTGGCCCGAGGGTACTGAGGGTGCTGCTGACAAGATGGTCATGCCCGGTGACAACGTCGAGATGGTCTGCGAACTTCACCAGCCCCACGTCTTGGAGTCTGGACAGCGTTTCAACATGCGTGAGGGTGGACGTACCGTCGCCACTGGCCTGGTTACCCAGATCCTCGAGTAAACGGATTTCGCGCGCTGGCTGATGCAAATGCTGAAAAGATGGACGAATTATGGAAGACAGAAGACGGGTGGTGGATGAGGCGATTGGAGATGAGAAATCATCTTGGTGTAAGGCGGACTGATTGGCTTCTTGTACAACAATGTTTCTGAGCGCTACTTTTTTACATGTACATTTCCCTCCTCTCTCCGCTATTGCGCACTCCATGTAACTATATCATTTGATTGGGAGTTATTTGGTTCTGGAGACACAAAATAGATTATGGGTGGGTAACCTGTACGAGATAAGGTAGCGGACAATCTGAATGTAAAGCTTTACAATGGACATTTTTGAGCATACGTGACCTGGATCAAAGTAGCTCCATTTCGCGGCGTAGTCATCGTCTTTAATCGTAAGTGCCGTTCAGTGAAGAGCTGGCTGAGCATTTGATTGTTTCTTTCCGGCTTAGCGCGGGATACCCTGGTTGGAGTCTGGACGATAGCCAACTCCCTTAGACCTCGAGTTTCAAGCAACTCCCGTCCACACTGATCTACTCTCCTCTTCTGTGTCATATCCACCAGTATGGGACGTGGTTCATCTGACTTGACGTAATGGAAGACGCCGAAGATCGCATGGTGGAGAAGGTGCAAACTTTGAGCGACATTGAGCTCGCCGTGCTGCTTTCTCTGATCACGGATCATCACTGCATCATCGAAGCAATACCCGAATCCTTGGATGATGTGACCCATGAAATACGCTTAGTGAGAGGTCATTCATAGAACAACAGTAGAGAACAGGATGCTAACTCTCCATGCTAGATTGCATCGAACACATTCGGTCTGACATCGGCGGTGCTGGACTGCTCAGAGGCGACGAATCTGGACGAGTTTGGAACCGGAATCCTCGTTGAAGATGGAAGGGAAGATTCTTCTAGTTCAGGCGACAATCGTATGATTGCGAACATTGTTGTCGCTAAGAATCTGAACAAAGCTATTCCGCTGGTCCAAGTGCAGGCGCTGGAGGTATGTTTTCTTACCAAATCTGACTGTATACTACATATCTAACATTTTATGCGGTTTCAAGCTTATGCGAGGCAAAAGAAATTACACAAGAACTGCTGTACATGCTGCACCGAAACCATTCGTCTTCATTGCGCTCAATGCCAGCGGGTCGATTCGCTTGTCTACTCATCTGGTATGTTGGATTTGCAAGCTCACCATAATACTCAAACTAACTACTAAAAGAATGATCAATTCTGCATATCCCACAAACATCTAGAAGAGCATGGGCTTCCGAATCTAGAAGAATTGCAAGACACCGAGTTCGTATCAGAAGATGATGCTTCGTCGTCATCGGTTGTGCGCTCACCGCCTGTGGTATATCAAAAGCAGAAGAAGAACATTCTCTTCTCTACTGAGGTATGTACGGCTTTTACTCTACACGGCAATAGTAGCTTACAATCGATATCCAGGATCTCCACGAGCTCAGTTCACTCATTAACGATGTCAAGATTAGCTCGGAGGTGCGGGCCTATCTCCACAATATCATTGTGTTCATGAGGCTGCACCGTGCAGTGAGAGGAGGCATCTCCGCCATGGCAACGCGGCATTTCAATACATTGGCACGGTGAGTCAAGCTTGCCTCTTGCATTTTACAACCCGTGTTGGCAATCGCTGACATTACCAGTGCCCTTGCGCCGCTTCACGGATTGACGTATATAACGCCATCTTTGGTAGCCCTCGCAGCCCGCAAGATCTACCCTCACCGGATCATCATCACAGCTCCAAGCCATGAGCGAAGCATGCAATGGGGCAGTTCTTTGGAAGCTGTCAAGGCTGTCCTCGATGGCGTTACGGTCGAAGATGTCATTGAAGAAGTACTTCAATCGGTAGAAGCACCCTTGTAGACATCTGTATATACGTAAAATGCTTGAAAAAGAATGAGTAAGATTTACTTAGCAATTAGTCTTTCCCAATTCACTGCCTAGATGTGGATGAGTAACAGATGCATTGAGCTGATGTCATCTACTCCGATTGGATGATGCGGGGCAAATGAACCCCACTGCAAGGGAGTGATGCGGAAGAAACTCGAAAGCGCGTTCCGCATCCACAATTCTTCTCATTTGGTTATATAATGCGCTTGCGCGACATCTCCCTCGACCTGCGATTTTCCTGGGTTACGATTGTCTTTGTCCGGTCGCCATGTCGTTGGACTATTTTGCCGGTGATGGGATTCCTGCGTCGAATGCAACGAACCAGGTAGGTATGCATCTCAAGTACAACGCCATGCATGCGCCCCCAGACTAACATCCGCGCTGAGAACGAATTAAACGACAACGACAGCAAGAGCATCAGCAGCGATCATGACAGCCAGCCGTTAGAAGTGAGCCTCCCTTGTCCGCATTCCCTTCTTCCTTGTCTAATACCCAAGGACAGGTCGTATTTGAAGAAGACAGCATTCGCCGACGAAGATCTTCTCTCGTACCGTCTGCACCCTCTCGACCAGGGCATCACCGCACCAAAACGCAATGCTTCGTGCACACCCTCATCGAGAAACACGATGGCATCGCGTTCAAAGACCACAATGCCTCCTATGAAGGACTTTCGCAGGAACGTCGTGTAGATAAGGATCCGTTCGACCATGCCGAGCAATCACACCACTCGCGGCTCCTCACCAAGAAGCAAATCTCCGATATGGCATTCGGCATCAGGGAGCTTTCCAAGAAGCTGTCACAGATCAGGCTTATGCTGAATGTGCGGAACATCTTTATCCTGGCCAAGGCGCATGACGAGACGCTGATCAAGCACGCGAGGGAGACAACGGATTGGCTCTTGACAAAGGACGAGAAGTACAAGGTCTATGTGGAACAGACTTTGGAGAAGAACAAACTTTTTGACGCCGATGGTCTTTTGAAGAACAACCCAGGTTATCAAGGCAGGCTGCGATTCTGGACAAATGAGCTCTGCGCTGAGAGGCCTCAGACTTTTGACATTGTACTGGCAGTAAGTATCTGCGCTTGCAAGGAAATATCGAAGACTACGGTCGGCTAACCTATGCAGCTGGGGGGTGATGGAACGGTGCTATACGCGTCATGGCTCTTTCAACGCATTGTTCCACCTGTACTAGCCTTCTCCATGGGTTCCCTTGGTTTCCTTACCAAGTTCGATTATGAACAGTACCCGCAGACCCTCTCACGCGTCTTTAACGAAGGTATAACAGTGAGCCTTCGCCTCCGGTTCGAAGCAACCATAATGCGCTCTCAGACACGCGAGAACACGAATCGCGACCTCGTCGAAGAGCTCATAGGAGAGGAAAACGAAGACAACCATACGCACAAACCAGATGGGACACACAACATCCTAAACGAAGTCGTCGTCGACCGAGGCCCCAACCCAACCATGTCCTCGATCGAGCTTTTCGGCGACGACGAGCACTTCACCACCGTCCAAGCTGATGGCGTCTGCATATCAACACCCACAGGCTCGACGGCGTACAACCTAGCAGCCGGTGGGTCGCTCTGTCACCCAGACAACCCCGTAATTTTGGTCACAGCCATTTGCGCGCATACCCTTTCGTTCCGCCCCATTATCCTCCCCGACACGATCGTGTTGAGGGCGGGCGTGCCGTATGATGCGCGTACCAGCAGTTGGGCGAGTTTTGATGGCCGCGAGAGAGTAGAGTTAAAACCAGGTGATTACGTGACGATTAGCGCGAGCCGGTTCCCGTTCCCTAGTGTGTTACCGTTGGACCGGAGGAGTAAGGATTGGATTGATAGTATCAGCCGGACGCTGCAGTGGAATAGTCGGCAAAGGCAGAAGGAGTTCAAGGAGTGGACTTCGTAGTGGTGGTCGATTGGGGGGAGATTGGGTATATCTATGTGTTCTTGCATTAAGAACTTATTGCTAGCACCGACTTTTGAATAATGACTCTGGATCCAATATTCTTATTGATTTGGTTCAAGTTTGAAGCTCTGTCCGTCCTTGACCATAACTCGGAGCATTGTGACGCGTTATCTAATCAGATCAGATCTAATCAATTAGCCCCTCCCGCGACCGCTAAAGTGTAAAGCACGCTCGTAACGCGCCTCTCCAAAACGCGCCCGCCGCCGCCGCCCCATCACTCAAGACTCCTTCTCCATCCTTCCCCACATCTTCCCTCTTACCACCCCTCTTTCCCTACTCTTCTCCGATTCGTCCGACGTGCGATCATGCTGCGTGTATCTCCAATCTTCTCCACCATCATTATCACCACCACCACGCTTCCAACACTACCCGCAACAACAGCACCATGCTTACCCCAGAACTCGAGATCCTGAAACCGATCGATCCGTCGATAACGAATTCGGACGACTACGAAATATACGTGCTCAGCAATGCACATGTCGTGTACGAGCGGAATGGAAAGCCAGCGAACCTGCTCAGAGCATATGGAGATGTGCCGCTGAAAGTGGAGGGGAGATTGGATTCGCTGGATCGGAAACAAGCCAAAAATCGTATGTGTGAATCCACATACCCTGCATAACCCTCACCCGCCAGACTGAGCGATGCGCAATTGAATTTATTGGGAAATCGGTTGGGGATGTTTGCTGATTGTTTTGGTGGCGTAGTTGTCAAGAAACCCTTTCGACCGGTCGATGTCGTCATACGAAATGTTACGCGCTTCTCCTACGGGCAGATGACGGACGGCGAGTTGGTGATTTGGGCACTGGGGGCGGCGGGTTGGTTTGAGATACGCCCCCGCCGGGATTATAAGCCTATCTTCCAGGATATGGTCGATGCGGTCGAGCTGCTGTATTTCGTTTCCGATATATATAATGAGCCGCGGAAGAGGGGCGGCGGACCGAGTGCGCAGTTGGTTTTCCAGGAGGTATGTTGGGCGCAATGCTGGGGGCGCACAATAATGAGGTTTGGAATGGATGGCTGACAAGAAGCATAGTACGCTGAGGACGAAAGATACCCATGTACCGACCCCGAGGTTGCGGCGTCGTTGTTTTCCAAGCATCATGAATTCCTCATAATGAGCTTTCTGGAACGAGCGCAAGGTCTTGCGTGGGGCAATACTCCCATTTGCCAGTATTTCAAGAAGCTGTATCCGGTAAGTCAACCTCACATTATGGGTCTCAACATTATCTAAGACAGGCGACAGAAAATATACGAGACTACGAAAGCACGTGTAGAAGGTCGGTCAGAGAAATCTGTGAAAGCCGCTGTGAAGCCATCCCCTGCTCCATCGACATCGTCAGCTACCCGTAGGAACGCACGATTAAAAAAAGACGTGGAGGCACATCCGAAAAAGGACGATAATTGGTGGGAAGCGGCCGCTATCTACGAATTCATTCGATCGGCGGTGAACAAGCTTGTGTTGAAACCGGGCTGCAATCACATCACACTGGATCGAGTGTCCAAGTTGATGGTCAAGCGATATGAAATCGAAGAAGCGGAAATAGCGAAGAGTATCTGTCTGGTACATGCAGACAACCTTTGCTACAAGATGAGACATCCGCGGAGTAAGAGCGCGAGTTTTCTAGCAGATGAGCCTATATATCATGAGTTACAAACTGGGCACGAATTATCTGCCATTGATGTCAGAAGAGCAGAGGCGGTGGCGTTACGACCACGGAAAGATCATAATCTTTACTTGGTCGTGACTGATGATGAGGAGGACGAAGAGGACGAGGACGAAGACTCAGATGATGCGCTGGTAACCCCTCGACGGAAACCAGACCGACGGAAAAAGAAAGGGAGACTATCGGTGCTTCGACCTACGGCCAGCAAGTATTCTGGGAAAGGGAAAGGCGTCAAGAGATTCAAAGGTAAAAGCAAGGGGCCACCAGGAGAAGTTCCGCCGTCAGAAGAATCTCAATCTGGCGCAGACGCCGAAGATGACAGCAGTGATAATGAGAGTCGCATGGGTGCAGATACGCCGACACAGGCGCTCTCTCCCGGCCGCTCAAAGCGCAAGTTCGTCAGCACCCTTGAAGACGATGAGCAAGAAAAAGGCCGTCGGAAACGCGCAGCCAGCAACTCCATCACCCCTAAATCCCCACCTACCACAACATCAACCATTCACTCCTCCGAACAAGAAGACTCTCCTACGACATCTAACTCGGAGGAGGACACGGAGGAAGATGAAGACGCAGATGCAGACGACGAAACCGCCTTACCACTGCGATACCGACCGACCTCTACCAATCCGAACGATCCCGACCATAGACCGAATAATAGTGTCATTCCACCCATTGTGTCTACTCCCTTACCAACGTACGAGGCGAACGGTCCGCGCGATTCCTGGAATTGTACCTTTGACGGGTGCTCGCAACGGATCTATGGAGCTTCGAAAGAAATGGGGCGACGCCTAATCACAGAGCATTTGGAGGATCATGCGAAAGGCCGTGAGACAGTGGTGGGGATTCTGCTTCGAGAAGAGGAGAAGCTTAGGTTACCTGTCAAGTATGTCACTTCTATTCTTTCTCCCACTTTTTCGTTTTTTTTTGTTTTTCCTCATTGCCCCGAATTCCTCTGTTCTCTGTTTCTCCTTCCCCCTTTTTCTCTTGTCTGCGAAGTTCTCTTGTGATATCTTTTTTTTGTCTTTGTGCAAAAGTTCAAAGACGGGAGTAACTAATGTGTCCATCGCAACAGCAACCTTCTCAAAAAGATCCGCGAACTCAGCGAAGCACAGACACCGCTCTTCCCTCCCTCAGCTTCCTCTTCTACTTCTCCCTCCCCAGACCCCGATGTTGTTGCTGCTACGAGTAAATACCCGCCACCACTCCCGCAGCCTATACGTAGGGTTGTATAGGATGGGCATCGAATTGTCTTGTTTATTATTCAATATATCTGATACTTACACGGCGGTTTGAGTATGCGCCTTTTGTATCTGTATTTGGGGGACCTATATGGTTACACAAATGACCCAGCGGTCATCTTTCTCCGTTGGATGGGTTGATCCGGGGGAGTGAGAGTCTATGGATGTGTGATCGCGGGATGGAGGCCATATTTCTATTCTTCTTCTCTATTATTTCGTAGATGGGAATGGGGACAGACGTAAGGAATTAGAGAGGGAGTATCAGTTATGGCTCTCTAGGTTGAGCACGATATGCATATCTGAGAATATGTAGTATGGTGGACATTCCACGGTGTCCCTTATTATCATCACGGACAGAGATTAGCTTTTTTATTGACTCGGTTTGTCTATATACCTGGTGTCTATCCATCTATACGAAACCCCCACCTTTTCTTGTTCTTTGAAAAAAAAAAACTTTGGGGAGATCATAGGTATATATATCACAAGGAAAACACAGATCAGTCGTCGCCCACTCACTCCTTCGCGGGACCCTCTTTCCCAATCCTCTCCAACTCCTCCGCAGCCGCAACCTTCTTATCCTCACTGATCTTTGCCAGAATCCGATCCGCGCCCTTATCCATCAAAATCCTCGCCACATCCCTACCCAACTGATTCGCCTCGTCCACACTCCTAACCTTCCTGGCGCTCTCAAACTCGACGCTCTCAGTCCCATCCACACTAACCACGAGCGTCTTGAGCACAAGCTCCTGCTCATCCATATGCGGCTCCTTCTCGGCAACGGCATCGCCATGTTTATCGTAATCCCGCGCGGGCTGCGCGCCAACACTAAGCCCCTTCCCGCCACCCCGCCACGACGTCTCGACGCCAATGGGGACACTGCATCCGCCTTCCAGCGCACGCAGGAGCCCGCGTTCAGCCTCGCAGGCGCGGCTGGAGCGCTCGCACCGGATCGCGGCGAGCATGTCCTCCATCTCGGGCGAACACGCGGCCTTGACTTCAATCGCCAGCGCCCCCTGGCCAACCGCGTGCAGCATCCCGCCGCTGCTGCTGCTCAGGTACTGGCTGATGCGCTTCTCCATGCCCATGCGCTTCAGCCCCGCGGCCGCGAGGATGATGCCCGCGAACGGCGAGTCCGCTGCGTCCAGCTTGCCCAGCCGCGTCCCGACGTTGCCGCGCACGTCGCCGAATTCGAGGTGTGGGTACAGACGCCGCAGCGAGGCTGCGCGCCGGATCGACGACGTGCCAATTTTGGAACCGGCCGGGAGCGCCGAGACGGTCGTGATGGTTGAGGGGAGGCGCGGGGAGAGGATGAGTGCGTCGCGTGGGTCTTCGCGGGCGAGGATGGCGCCGATTTTTAGGTTGGGCGGGAGTTGGGTTGGCATATCTTTTTATTTCTCGTTATTAGTTTTGGGGAAGGAAAAGGGTATAGGACTTGCGGTATCCCTTCATGTTTTTTTTTCTCTTGTGGACCGAGAAAGAAAGGGGGTTGGGGGATTCTAGGGGAGGTCGATGTATGGGTTGATGGTGGTGGTGGTGGTGGTAATCATACCTTTCAAACAATGCACAATCATGTCCAATTCTCCTTCCTCGAGCATAGCCTCCAACTCGCCCGTCCAGAGACTCTTCGCGTTCTCGCCCTGGCTCAGCTGCTGCAGCGGCGTCACTTTATCTTTGTCGCCTTGGGCCAGAACAGGGCAGATGTTGTAGGTGCGGTCGGGGAACGCGCGCTTGAGCTGCGCTTCGACCCATCGTGCTTGGATCTGTGCGAGCGCCGAGCGCCGCGTGCCGATTTTGATGGGCGGGAATTGCGTGCTCGCGGAGGTGTTTGAGTGGGTTGGAGCGGTCGTTGTGGTGGAGGACGATGGGTCGGTGGTGGAGGTTGCTTGGAGGTCGATGGCTGCGCCTGACGCCATGGTGGTGGGATGAGGGTGAGGGCGCAAAGGTGTTTGGTGTATTGGAGTGGAATTGAGACGTGTATCCTAGTGATCAGTGGTGGTGGTAGGAGAATGGGTGTATGAAGGACAGCGAGCTGTAGACGTTTTTACGTGGTGTTGTTGAAATGTCGTCTCTTTAGCCCAGCAAGTGGGGTCTATTTTGGTAGCTGGTTTCCCCACGCACGCGTCATTCCGAATCCACCTCGGACTATAACCGGGTTAAGCGACCTCATGTTGCCATTCTCCTAGATTACTCCGATCGCATCTTCGTTGTGACTTTCACATCAAGCGTATCCTTCTTTTTGAAACAATACAGGAATATGGAAATTTGTGGACTGTCTTGAATCGTCCCTTTAATCTAGACTACTTCACCACGCTTACGTAGTAGTAGGTCGATGCAAGAACCCATTGAGGAGCGATCAATTTCATCAGAAAAGCTTCGGAAAACAAGAACAAAAGGAAACATATGCCACTAAAGTAAATACGAGAGCGATTCAGAACATGTTGGGCTCCAAATATCAGTCGAAGTCAGGTTTTCCCGCCCGAGCGGCGTCGTACTCTGGGCCCATAACCCCTCTTTCAATTCCAGCCTCAAGAAGGAGTCGCGCCTCGTGACTGCCGTAGGGATAAGAATAGCGAGGCAGGAAAACAAAAAACGCCTTCAGTCGGCCTTCAAACTCAGCAAAGGGCGAGAAAAAATGGCCCTAAATGTCGACAAGGTGGCCCAGGGCGTCTTCAAACTGGGAAGGGCTTGATCCGAACTGTTCAAGCCAATCATCTGAGAGTTCTACCATTTTGATGGTGAGGGTCAGAAGAGATGGGTCTGCTTGGTTGGCCAGGATGAAAATGCTTTTACGCCAAGCGTGTAATATGCCATTAAAAAGATCATCTAGTCCAAGGATCATTGGAATAATCTTCAGGTGCCGTATCTTGCGGAGAGCACGTGGAGATAAGCGGGATAGAAAGCGGTAGATATCCTCAATATCGTGCGTCTTTCCGTGCTCGACAGACTCACTATGCGTTATGACAAAGGTATTCAGTGAGTAAAATACATCCGTCGCGACCGCGGTAAAAGCCTTGTTCAGTAAAAAGTATGGAAAGATTCCAGTATATGACGCATGATCGCAACGCTTCTGGGACGCAGCACATCGAACAGGGCAGAAACATCTTGGTGTAAAGAATGAATTATCGGACCAGACTTCGCCACCATTGCAGTAATGGCGTTGCCATCGAGTCTCGATCCTACCCTCTCTTATGGTAATTGGCCTTTTCAGTACCAGATCGCTGAGCCTCATGATGCGCAATTGTATTTCAGTGGGCAACCTGAGAAATGGGAACGGTGAAGGTGCTGTCCCATGGTTCGGGACCGTCATGAGTCGAACGTAATGACGTGCGAGGCTGGTCAACTGGCTGTTTTCGGGGTGGCTGGTTGACCCAAGGCATATTCCACAGTCCCGAAGAAGTGGCAGTTGAGTAAGAGGCCGGAGTATCCTCTCTGCGACTACTGTATCCCGAACATGGCAAACGATGAACAATTTTACTTTCCCTGGTATGATGTGTGTAGCCAGACGGGAACATATTTTGCCCCACTGTTTGAGGATTGCCTTGTCTGTCCTTGAGACATCACCCAGTATTCGGTCGTGTCGGTTATCTATGGCCGCGTGTAGGCAGGCCTCCAGACCAACACTCGGATCGTCAATTGGCCCCTCATCATCAACGACGCAATAAGGCGTTAGGCATCTGCATGGAGTGAGGTGAACCATAAGAGCCTGCATTCCACTCATTGCCCGGGAGCTAAGGCTCTCGAGCATGTTTAGATTACCGGGACTCCTCTGGCATACGGCAAAGCAATTGCGAGCATAAAGCAAATCCTTGACCTCGAGCGACACGGTCTTGTTGACAAGGAGAAGGTTGTACGGAGATTTGCGGGGCGGGTCTTCCGGCCACTTCCAGCACTGCACACCATATTCTGGGTCGCACCAACATTTTTCTTTGCGGAGACACTGATATTGGGTCCATCGAGCAAGACGATTGAGGTCGACATAGTCCCATCGCAACCCAACCATTGCGTAGATTTTATCTCTTACTGAACGAGGTAGAGAGAGGAACGGGCTCTCGTTATGGTGACGAGAGTTCCCGGTGGACAAGTACTCGTGTATTTTACTTTGCTGCATCGTGATGGCGGCACTGATCTTATCTTCCTCCTCGTTTAATTCCAGACGGAATTTGACAGCAACTCAGTCTGAAGTCGATTGCTGGTAGATTGACGAAGGAAATGAACGTGATGAGTTTTGGGGTGTATGTAATTCGTGAAAGACAACAACGGTATGTGCGTTTTATCTCACACATGAGACGTTCCGATTGGCTGGTGCTTGTTACGTGCGCAATGCCAGCCTGCCAATTAAAGGCTTGTCGCACCCAAAAGAAACTCTGAATAGTATTTGGAGGCGCTGAGTTCTGTGAAAAAAGATGTTTTGTAACTATATCGGCCATCTTGAGACCCTACCCAATAGGCTATTACGTATAAGAGGTAGTGAACATTCAAGTGCTCTGTCTTCAGGTGCGCATTCCCCTCATAATTGTATCTCGGGATAAAATTGTCTCTGTATATGTTTGGTGCCATCTTGGTGGTATGCATATACGAAACTGAGTTGCAGGGCTATGCTTCCCCATTTCGTCCACCAGTTGTGACCTCATTGAGCACCACCTCATCGCTTGACTGTCTGTCGAACATCCTATGTACTTCCTCCAATGATAGTCCCTTCGTTTCCGGAACACATATAAACATGAACGCAAGCACCAGAATCAATACCCCTACATACACCAGATAGTATTTCCACGATATTCTCTGCAGTGCAACCGGATTGACGTACTGATTGAAGCATGTCGCCACAGCTTGCGAGAACCAGAATACGCTGGTGCCTTTGGCTCGAAGACGGCTTGGCCAGATCTCACTAACATAGAGAATCGGTATGGGCGTCAGCCCAATAACATATCCACCCAGAAACAGGAACAGTGAGATGATGACGGCGTAGCTGGCGGTCAGTGATTTGGTGTAGGAGTAAAGAGCCGAGCATATGGCCACGATACTCATGAATATCAACATAGTACCCACAGACGTCAGGAATAAGCGACGCCGACCAGCTCGCTCGGCTAGAAAAGCGGCTCCAAAGGCTAGTAGCCAGGTGTATATCTGTAGGCCACCGTTGATGCCCTGTTGCTTGGAAGCACTTTCAATACCGATTGTGTGGAGGACCGGCGCCAAGTAAAAGTTCATGATGCCATTGCCGACCCATTGAGTAGCCACACCGATTACGATAGACAACATGAGTCGCTTTCTGTTACCGGGTGTTGAAAACAGAGCAGACCAGCCTGTCGCACGGCGAGATTGATCAGCTTCAGTTGAGGTGCAGATATCCGTGTATTCTCTAAGCACCAGTTGATCGTTTTGGTCTCCGTTGGCATGGTATTTTGACAACAGTGTTTTGGCTTGCTCTCTCCTCCCTACTGATATTAACCAACGTGGCGATTCTGGACACCAGAGGATCAGAATAAGCTGCGCCACGCTCCAGAAAAGTTGAAGAGCAACTGGTAGCCTCCAGGACCACGAGCTCGATATCCGGAGTGTCCCGAACGCTATCCAAGCCGCATTTATTGCGCCAAGAAACCAGAAAGTATTGAACAGGGCACCTACAACGGCTCTTTGCCGAGGATGTGCAAGCTCCAGAACCAAAGCCGACGATGACAATGTGTTGAATGAAGAAGCAAATCCCACGATAAGACGCATGACCAGAAACTGATTCGCCGTCTTGCAAAGAATCTGCCCAATGATACCTCCAATCATTCCCAGATTTCCTACTGCTACGCCTACTCGTCGGCCATATCTTTCAGACACCCACGGAGCAGGAATGAACGCAGCTATACATCCGAGCGGTTGGGCAGCTACAACGAGGCCTAGCAGTGTTGGATTTGAAAGCCCTGTGAGATCCCGGACCCAGCGGGGATTCGTGATTAGACTGGACATCAGTGAGCTGATGTACCCGTTGGTCATCGCCCCGAGATAGCCCGCAAAAAGCAGAATGTTCAGTTTTCTCATGCCTGGATCTTTCCACCATTGCGACCGGGTGTTGTTGGTCACGTCGTCCATGGTGATTACGATGGAAGAAAGACCCGCTTTGGATTGGCCAAGTCGTAGTCATTGTTCTCTATTAGAAATCAAAAATTGTGAAGTCGATTTTGGAGAATGCGTGATGGGGGAATAAGAACGTGAAAGTACATGTAGGTGTGAGTAAGATTACGTGACACACACCCGAGGTTCTCCCGGCGTGGACTATACATTCACCTGTCACAGTAGGAAGAGACAGCCTTTATAGGTGACTGTATGTTTGGCCCAAACCCCTAATGGTATCACAGGAATTCCCCCGCAGCTATATGTTTGTTCAGTCAAACTTAGCGAACAGCTGATCCTACGCTGACATCCTTTTTCTTTCACTGATTTGATTACAAATCACTGCTTTTATCAGTCCTTTTTTGTCTGTAACCAACCTTCAGGGTTGTGGATACAGTTGTTCTTCAAACTACACTGACATATTGTCTCAAGTAACCCTTCCGTGATACACAAGATAGAGAATGGCAAGAAGCGAATGTTAAATTATAGACTTAGAGACTGATGATTCTGATCCGGGATGTACTATATTCAGCCTTTATATTACCTAGCCTAATCACCTTGGAGATCTTAAGCGAAATTCCTAGGTAAAGGTAACTGAACAAGACAAGACGCATGGAAAAACTTATAGCAGTTTATGAAACTATAGAAGCTCTAGTTCTAACTAAACGAAGAATCCCATCGAGTATCGATTTTTCAATCATTTACGATGTATTGTCTACAGCCGATACAGAAGATACAACGATAACCTTTGCAAAGCGATTCACAGCTTCATTGAACTCTTTTTGCGTCGAAACCACTTCGACTCGCCTTTGAGTCTCCCAGCCCTCGTACAAACATGCAATGCATAATAAAGCATTGATCATACCTGCAGTCGACAAAACAAGAGGGTTGTATGCGTACGCTGGAGCATGATCAACTGTATCTACCAATTGCTCCTCTGGCTCGATGGGATTCCCGCCTTGCAGGCAAACCAGATTCAGTATCCCACAGTTCAGCGGAGGTTTGTATGGTGGACTGTTATCAGCTGTTTGCTCCGGAATGGTGCGTTCTGCATCCTTGTCGTAGAAGTGTCGCGCCATTGCAAGGTCGATTTGTTGGGGGCTTGCTCGCGTTACAACCCTCCCTTTGTGTCTGTAGACTACGAGGCAGGTCTGTGAATCATTGTTCCAGTCCGGTTCGATATGCAATGTAAGATCCTCTTCTTCAGCTTGATTGTCTATTAATTCTTCGATGCTAACATCTTCAATCGCTTGTGGTAAAATCATCGCGTCGTGATTCGAGACTTCGTGTGATTTCAGAAATCGAGCGACTTTAGCATGTCCCGGTAGCACAATACCGTTGTCGCTGCTGGGAATGCAGGAAGAATCAATGTCCATCAGGCTGAAATGTCCAAAATTTTCAGGCCGTCCGCGCACAAGACTCGAGTAGAGAAAGGGAATCTTTCCGATGATTCCAACAGCTCCGTATGTTGCGCGACGAATCTGTTCAATTTCTGCACCCCCAAAAAGATAGGCGCCCAGTTTCATAACCTCATGTCGATACATGAACCATCGTTTGCCGGTTTTAGTACGCTGATGCATGCGTGTGTGTACTATCTCGCGGATGAAATCCAAGCACTTGATATCTGACCAACTCCAAGATCCGAACCCTTCTTGAATTTCAAGCTGGGAAGTTTCCAATAATGGGCGAAAAAGTTGGTACCAATAGCCCAAGAAAAATGCTTGGAGATAGTTCAGTGCATCCCCAAAATCGTAATCGTCCTGGAGGCCGAATGAACGGCTGTTTTGTTCTTGATTATCTAAAGAAAAGGCAAGCGTATGGATGTTGTGTTCTTCATCCTTGGACTGCTCCAGCTCTGTTATAATCGCCACCAACCGGCTGCAAGCAGCTGGGGACTCTATAGCAAGCAACCAATCAGCGAATCGGTTCGTATCGCCGGTCATACGTGGTATCTTGTCGCGCGAGTTGGTCTGAATGTGATAGTATAGATCTTGCTCGGATTCTAAGAACGGCGACCCCTTCACCCTCGGGAGATTTTCTTGAAATGCTGCAGGTTTCAAAACAATGCCGTCCTTCTGAACTGCCTCCATACCCCACTCGAACATTTTTCGCAGCTTGTTTCTGGATCCATTTCTCGAGGATAGAGATGTAACTTCTTCCATATATTGTAAGGGTATCCTCATTCCAGGCCGAAATTTGGGGTGCGCTCGTACAAAGGCAGTCGGTGCAAGTTTGTTAGACCACACAATGGTGGGAATAATTACTTCGCCTTCGCCGCTGACTTCATGCTCGTGGAGAGTAGTTCTAATCTTCAAGCCGAGATCTTCGAGAATTATAGCAAGGCAAAAGATGTCGGTTGAAGGGGTTGGGTAGATCTTGTCATGTTTCTCACCGGCCAGAAGCCACACGAGGAAATGATGAATGCCCATTATCTCAGCCTCCGGTATAAATCCAGGTTGATGCTGTTCCGACTTTTCCAACCTCGCCCACTCTCTTAACGCTTTGTCCGCTATCATTCTCACGCACGCTGCTGACAGCCACCCATGTATATGCTCTGCCGCTTCCCTCCTCAAAAATTCTTGTCCGTGTTCACTTTCTTCGAATATCTTCAGCAGCAACTTGGACATGGTGGCATGCATCGTGGATTTCTGCATAGCAGCATTCAAAGCTGCCGTTACAAGCGTCATAATCCATGTGAAACGACCCATGCTATCAATCACTGGCATCTTTGTTCCTTCTCTTGATGATATCGACGTCTTTTGTCCATTTTGGATCAGCACCAGCTTCGTGTCCCATCGGTTGTGAAGTTCGCTCGTATCGCATAATCCTTTTCTCGGTAGCACCGCATCCTCATCAACACCCATCCAATCGATCAAGTTTGAGTCTTTAAATTGAGCATACACCCAATTCCCTGCTTTTCTGCCAGCGCCGGCAAGAACAGCAATATCCCCAATCGAGAATCCCCAATTAGCAAGGGCAATAGAGCCTCCGGTGAAACTGACGGCCATCGAGGTTTCGACAAGCTGCGGAGCTTGGTCTGCTGTGCTGCTTCGGTACGGGAGTGCCATGTCTTATAAGGCGTAAGGATTTAGAACGCTGCTTGGCCTGTAGGTCACAAGTGCGACGTTCTGTCATTTTAGCAGTGTTTGTTTTCGGCGTCGGTGAGCACATGACACGATCGCGTCCGTATCCAACAGCGAATCAAGCGTAATATCGCACCACTTGGCGAAATACTCACCGGAATCGGGTGTGCAACGAATCGATTAAGCGGTCTTATCTGCCTTCATCAATTTTTTCAGTTGCAAGATTGGATAGATTGTACTGAGCAATCTATCTTCTCAGCGCCACCTACCCAACAGGGTGAGAAAATGTATTCAATATGCACCGGTGAGCTGGATTTGTCGAGGCTGATAAAGAAAATTGAACGCGCAACGAGTTCTCGATTGAACCACATCATTTGAAGGACGAAGCATTGGTGGAAGTGGATAGGCGTACTTCATCAGTTCCCGACCTTATGCAATTGGCCAGGTGCGTCAGCTGTACCGGATTCGATGAATTTATCAGCGTCATCCTGTCGCCGGTCAACACTATTCAGGTCGAGATAATCTAAGTTCTATCTTCGTAAAGATCGATCGAATCGAAGGTACAATTAATGCGCACTCTGAACCCAGTATACATGTCGCGAGATATATGAGGTGATTTTTCTGAGGAATTCGATCTTGGTGGTTCATTGCTCGCTTTTTTTTTTCTTTGATCTTCTTCCGTCCTTAAACTGCACCGGAGACAGACAAATGCGTCAAAAGAAAACAAAAAACATTCAGAAGTTCCGACAGTGGTAAAAGAATCCAACATGCTTTTTTCGCATCGGGGGCCCTGCTATTAGACATTTGAAATATAAAGACAATGGTAGAAGCGGCGCACCTTTTGCCATGACAGTATAGGTAATACGAGGCGCTTTGGCTAAGTCTCTCGCCTTCAAGCATCTATTCCTTCCAATGGATGAATCACGACCACCTTCATTTAAGCATCGATCAAGTATCTCATAGAAACACGATAAATCGGACCGAGAAGACGCCTCAATTTCACGGACGATGACCATGTAACGCGTTCCATCTTAGCATTTCCACTTTCTTTTCCCAGGAGTTTCCAGGTCTTCCAGACTAGACACTAATTGCTCATAAATCCATCCCAATGGAATGACCATACAACAGCACGATGTACACAAGAGGCCAACGCAGCAGGGTTCCCGGCGCCCCAGCCCGGCCCCATTATTCCCTCGCCTGCCAGCGCTTCCATCTACTGATCGCCGCAAACCCACCTTCCCGTCTCGGTTAAGGACCGAAATGGATAGTCGACGATCTGTAACCCCAAACAGCCTATCAACACACCCACATGACAGCACCTGCGATAAACATAAGCTCTCCCCGCCCGCGCATGGTGTTTCTCTCCGAGTGGTGTTGTTGTTTGAAACGTGGACGACCTTCCTGTTCGACGCTTTGTATCCGAATGATGTGCTTGAGGAGCTATGCGCTATCGGGTTGCCGGTAGCGGAGATGGCGATGTGCCTGTCGGTGGATAACGAACTGCATTAACTTCTGGGAGCAATGTGTGTGGATGAAGGTAGCTTCCTGCCAATCAAGATGAGCTTTTCGACATGGTGCGCCGGAATGCTTGTTACGTCCAACATCTGCCACACCACTGCCGAGATATACTATTTTGATACGGAAGCCCACCGTACCTTTGTCTTCGAGGACTTTCCTATTCATGAATGGTGTACTCGTGGTGTGATCGTGGATTTACAATGCTGGTCCCTGTAGGCATCAAGGGTAAGCGTAACCATGCTTGCCAGTCATGTTTCACTATGTTCCCTACACACCCGCCATAACCCAACGACTCAAAGGGTATATAAACATCCCTTATATCTCATCGAAAACAGCCAGGCTTCCTCGCTCCTCAGGCCCATCTCCTCAATTCTCTCGCTACAGATCCCTCATCAGCAGTCTCTAAGCCCCATATCGCCGTCAATCCTACCGGACTCAAATAGTAGCCAATCATGAAGTTCCTCACCAGCGCCCTCTTTCTCTTGGCCTCAGTCACCTCCACCTTCGCTCTTCCCACCAGCGTCGTTGTCTCCGAAACCACAGTCGTAGAAGATAAGATCGCCCTCGAAGAGCGCCAGGCCAACGTCGTCTGCGGCTCAAACTCCTACACATCGGCGCAATTGACAGCAGCCCGCAACTCCGCTGCCAACTACATCAAGCAAGGAGGCACTGCGGGAGGCAGCTCGTACCCTCACGTCTACAACAACTACGAAGGTTTCGATTTCTTGGTTTCCGGAACCTACTACGAATTCCCTCTGCTGAAAAGCGGAGCTTACACTGGTGGTGAGTTTAACATTTATCATACCTCTCTTTCTGTTATCCAGACGATGAAGGCATATGTTGGCCCGCAGGGTGTGAATTCGTGAGAAGAGTAGTTGTTGACTTTGGTCGGATTTAGGATCACCCGGCGCCGACCGCGTTGTCATCAACAAGAGTGGCCAGCGAGCCGGAGAAATCACGCACACTGGCGCCAGCGGAAACAACTTTGTTGCCTGCTCAGGCTGGTAGAGACCTCAATTTAGCAGTGAAGAAGAGGTCATGAAAGAAAACTCGCAAATCTTGAGGGAAGATGGTGAACTGTGAACTTTGTACATATGTCGTAAGTTCACTTATTCACTGGGCTGACAAGGCTCTGGTCGTTTTTGGGTTCGCAGTTTCAGCTTTTGTTTTGCTGCATCCTCAGACTAGGAGGTACTATTGGGAATCTACAGTTCGACCACATCGTGGGCTTTTCATGGTGTATCTGAGTGTTTGCACGACTGCTGTAGTTCTGCTAGTCATGCGCGCGATTTTATACCCAGATGTTTTTAGGGATTGAGAGATGATATTATGATTTATGTGCGCTTTGCTTTACCTTTGCGTTCACCCATTTTTCTCTTTTCTTCGAGCGGGAATAGCGACGCTCTCCTTCATATATATGCCTCCTGGTTACCTTGCTTATATTCTGGCGACGCAGAAATACCACGCATGGCACAACAAAACAAATTTTCTCATATGAGACATATGAAATTTCTTCCAGAGTTTATCAAAGCATACTTTCGATGTGACTTAAAACGTACTCATAGGGTCAGTCAGTCCTTTTCGTGTGTTCTTTACTGTACACTTCTTATGATCCAAGTTTCTCAATTGAGCCGTCGTAGAAGCAGGAATCAATCTGAGTCGAATCTCGACTATACTCATTGCGTGAGCGCTCACACATAGCCCTTCAACATAATTCCAGCAATTAGTCGACATGCATTGCTAGTCAGAAGCGTCCAGTCGATAAGCTAATAATGCGTATTGAAGTAACTGAGACTACAGCATGTAAACCCGTGTTCCGCACACACCTGGTACCTTTCATTTTGTTGTTGGCAATCGTGATCCTACCGAAGTAGCGTTAGATCTGCAAGGCTCCACCTACTCACTAACCCAATCGATGCGTGGCCGGCTTATACGAAAGTATAAACTTGGCGTTCTCGGTGTCAGCCTCATCCGCAGCCTTATCCTGTCACTTTGACTGCTCCGCACCTTCACATATACATCTATATCTTCTCTGCGAGAGTGATCACAGTCTGCGCGAGGCCTAGAATTCTTCCAAAAATGCAACAGACCAGCGCAGCTGTATACGGTCGGCCGTCTGAGCAACCTAATACGGCCTCCAAACAACTATGCATTCTTTCTCTCGACGGCGGAGGTGTTAAGGGGTTGTCGTCTTTAGTCATGTTGAAGCAAGTCATGGAGTTGATCGATCCTGAGGACACACCCAAGCCGTGCGAGTACTTTGACATGATTGGTGGTACCTCTACTGGTGGCCTAATTGCGATCATGCTGGGCAGGCTAGAGATGGGTATAGACGAGTGCATCGCAAAGTTCAAGGAGCTATCGCTAAAAGCTTTTACGAAAATTCCCCATCAAGTCACGTTGCAAGGCAAGGTGCAAGGGCGATTTGATCATGAAGCGTTCGCACAGGCGGTACGAGAGCTTTTGAAGGACAAGCATCTCGACGAGGATACACTACTCAAGGATCCAAAACATCACGATGGGTGCAGAACGTAAGTCGCAAGGTCTAGAGTATTACATTTAACTGACTTCGGCAGATTTGTCTGCACAGTCAGCGAAGATGTCAATGATACAGTCATCCTGCCTAGCTACTACACCAAGCGCTGGGGTACCGGCATGTTGAACACAGCTCGGATTTGGGAAACCGCTCGCGCAACGTCTGCTGCAACATCATTCTTTGATCCGATTGAGATTGCAGGTGAGCGGTTCGTCGATGGAGCGACGGAAGCCAACAACCCGGTCAATGAATTGTGGACGGAAGCTGACAATTTCTTCCGCGACCCGTCGCAACCCGACTGGAAACTCGAAGACAACTTACATTGTTTAGTTTCCATTGGTACTGGAAAGCCCTCGCTGAAACCTTTTGGCAAGAGTGTGGTGGATATCGGTCAAACAATCGTGAGCAACGCGACCAACACGGAAAAGGTTGCCGAGCGATTTGAGAGACAGCGTGCCTCTCTGTTCGACAAAAACCAGGCTTTTCGATTCAACGTGAGTGAAGGGCTGGAGAATGTTGGTCTGGAAGAGGCAGATCGGCTGGGAGAAATCACGGCTGCGACGAGGAGATACATCGCAAAACAAGAGACGTTGGTGAAGGCGACAGTCTGCGCGGAGGCATTGAAAGAGCGGCAAAGTAGGTTCCAATTTGCATAAGCCCGTATAAGCAAGCAATGAATACTCTGCAATCTTGACGCTCTATTGCCAACAGTCGAAGAGGCTAACCCCGCGCGTTGCCAATCAGTTCTTGCCCGGATTTGCAACGAGGCGAGCCGGATTGCTTCGTTGCATAGCGCGCGTCCCCATAATGAAAAACCATTAAGTCCAGCCACACTGGATTACTATCTGCACACCAATGCCTTTCGATCCTGGTCGCAGCAAGAAAATAATTTCATATGGTGTCAGACCCCTGCCAGCGCGGGCACAAGTGCGCCTCTAGCAGACTCTCTAGCCACACTACTCTCAGGGGAACGCTTCTTGCGAACTGTGATCAGATACGCAGTGCCGCGACAACCACCAAAACCGAAAGAAAAACCCAGACAGTTTAAACTGATCATTGGGTCTGCGATGGAATCTCCACCGAGAAAGCCGAAGGAATTAGGGCCATTAATAACGATGTTTCGCGGTATCGTCTCTCGGCTATTGCTGCAGTGCTCACTACGAGGTGCTATTTGCTACATTAAATCGCGTCAGTTCCAGCAAGTCTGGACACTTTCCACCGATATGAGAATACCGCAGACTGAAAGATTAGAGGCTTTACTAGAAGCACTTTATATCTTGGTAGCCGTACCAACAGATGAGAAAACGGTGATAATGATTGACCATATAGATAACTTGGTAGATGACTCCGTAGACGAATTCGCCAGGATGGCAAAGAGGAAAAAGCTGTCAGACCACCAAAATAGAATCCAATTCCTAGCTTGTGGGAATCCGGAGATGAACCTCATATCCCGGCTTCCGAAAGACTGGCAGATCAACGAGAACACGGAATATCAAGGTTAGTTCTCACCTTCATTAAACCAGGTTGCCCGTCTCACGTCGCCATAGAATGTCTTTCCTCCTTAAAGTTTGAGGAGCTCAACTTCCGACGTAATCAAATTAGTACGGCGGCAAAAGGTACGAATGAATGGGTTTGGAAACATAAATCTTATTTGGCATTTAAACGTCAAAATTCGGGGATTCTGTGGATAGAAGGCAAAGCAGGGAGTGGGAAATCTGTCCTCGCTAAATCAATACAGACTCGGCTCTCTCAGTTGCGGGTTTCTACTTCCACGACCAAGCCGGCGTGGTTGAATTCCAAATTTGGCGTGGGAGATTGGTTCTACCACGCGCGGAGAGGCGCCAAATACATTGCCCATCAGTCATTTATTCGGTCCGTGTTATATCACATGCTGGAACAAGATGATCAGCTATTTCCACACTTCAGAGGTTTCTACCGAGCCATGATGGACGACGGAGCAGCTAGATGGGACCGTGACGATCTGGAAAGTATTTTGACCGCCATATGTCGCGCTGGTGAAGAAGCAATGTTCATTCTGGACGCTCTCGATGAGGCCCAGGATGCTAGTATCATCGAGCTGCTGAAGGAACTGGTCGCCTTTCCCCGGTCACGATTCAGATTCGTCGTGCTTAGTCGCAGCAATGCAAAGATTGAGATGCAATTACATGACACCCATCGGATAAGATTGGAAGAAGAAAACGACGGCGATGTCTCACGCTATATTGACACTCGCCTTGGGGAACTGGAAGAGCGGATGAAGAAGCCGGAATTTCAACTAAAAGACAGATCTGACTCACGCACTAGAGGGACGCAGTTGCGCAGCTTGCAGCTGGAATCCCGTCCAATGAGTCCGGGATTGAATACCCCCGAACATCAAGAGCTTGATAAAATGCGGAAGTACCTCAAGAGTAACGCACAAAATACCATGCTATGGGTAAAATTGGTACTGGATGACCTACAAGAAGTACTCAGCGATAGCGTGTACACTTTCTACAGTCTACGACAGGTACTTCTCAACTTGCCAATCAAGTTGACCACATACTACCAAGACATACTGAAAAGATTGGGCTGCGAAGAACATAACCACAAAGCAAAACTGGTTCGGCGTATTCTAATGTGGATCTCAGGCGCAGGCGAGCTTCAAGCCATTACTCTCGAGGAGCTCTGGGATGCATTGGCCATTCCCGAAGACTCATCGATCTCGACGGAGGATGAAGATCCTATTCGACATAACCGCATTCCTGCAACATCATTCGATGAGCTGGGTCGCAAGCTCGCCGATTATTGTGGGCCTTTCATCGAGATCTTTCCGCCTCCCAGGGAGTTGGGAGCGGACCCTTCGCATGAGCGTCATGGCATGTCCGCTATCCAGCTCATGCACCAGACGGTCCAAGATTTTCTGGCCCGGCCCGATCTAGCAGGACCATTGCATTTCCATCGTGAGCAAGCCGTTGAGCTGGTACGAAGAGAGTCGAAAAAATACATCGATCTTGTTCTTCCGACAATACCCTGTGCCACAAGTGCTACAAGCAATCTTCGATCGTCGGATGCAGAAAACAACGGTGAACACACTCCCACGATTGCAGACACAGTTCTCTGGCTCAATGATCGCAAGCTCCTCTCTTTCGTCTTTGCTACGTCTGCAGCATCCAAGCCGCACATTCTCGAGCCATTCTTCATCCTCTTCGAGACTGAAGCTGTAGAGCTTGTCGACCCAGCCACAGAAAACGATCAGACATTGTACGAAGAAAGTCCACATGCCCATACAGCGGCAAAACTGTTCCAGAAGGCTTGTAGTGAGGGTCTTGTTGGAGCGGTATTGAATCTAACGGCTATTGCAGCGTTCTTTCGCCCATGGTGGGAGCATAATCGCGAGCGCATCGGCATGCAGATTTCGCAACATGACAATCAGTTGGGTACTGGATTTGGAGGCCATGCTCTTAGAATTGGCGGGCCGAGGTAGGTGAGACCATGGTAGAACCCAGCTATACAACCAATCGTTATGGAGCGTGAATGGGTCGGAGTGTATGATCCATGAATAGGGAGTCAGTATAGGGGACTTTCCCTTCTTTGAGCTTCGGGAAATTCCGCCTTTCGCTATCTTCGAGGGTGCTTTGCTCGATAGTATTGACCTGATGTTAATTTGCGGGCCTGATGCTACCGGCTGACATAGTGTCATCGTGGAGGGAGAGATCCAGTGACTATTTTCTGTACTTGAGCTCTTTAATCTTTTCGAAAAATGGTAGCAATTGCACCGGAACTGAAGCTATTCAAAGATGTACGATGTTTTGAAATCTATCACACATTATTCTTTAGCAGTCTCTGTGCATGCAGCCTCTCATCTTCAGAGTCGGATCAAATCAGCATACTCTGCTTCCTAATTTGTTCTTCGCGTCACTACTTTTCAGAAATCTATTCCAGACTATGAATTCTCAACGCTATCCAAGCCACTGGTCGAGAAGGTGGTCAAGGGAGTATTCGACGGGGAAACATCCGATAGCTTTGGTCGGAAGGAAGTCACTCCAATCACTCAGGGGACCGCGAGCGCCGATCGTGTTCATGGCTTTAATAAATTCCCAGTACTCCGGATACCAACCTGCAGTCTCCCAATCAAGGATTGATGATACTCGAACGACAGATTCTCTAGTCTGCGTCGTTTTCTCCTCTGACGTAGAGGATTTAGCTGTCTCTAAAATGACCATGATGTTTCGAGGATGCAGATCTCCATGGGTCATTACGATGCGATGGTCGTCTCTCATGACGGATCGAATCCTTTCGACCCATGGTGTCACCGTCTTTCTAGGGGCATAGAAGAGAAAGTCGTTGAAGTCGGCTTCTGTCCGCACAGGTTTAGAGCTAACACGTTGCATTCTCCTTGAATCCTTGCAAACGCCAGACACGAAACTTCCTAGATAGACCTCTGACTCGGATTTCAAATGGGGTTGACTTCGAAGAAGCTGGAGATGATTGCCAAGCTGCTCCTGTACCGAAATTTTCTGTGCCGTTGACAGTTCCGGCCAGACGCTCTCAAGGGTGACTCCTAGTGCTTGAGACATGAACGAATATGTCCACTGACCACTCCTTAAAGCACCTAAGCAGCGAGGAATTGGAAGCTCTGGAATGTGTGTAGTGAGATATTGTGTATTTTCAATATGATTGGGGTCAAGAGACGTCGCGATCTTAACCACGTGGCCATGCCCAATGCTGATTACGAATGCATTGTGAAGCTGGAATAAGATCTCTCCACCCCGTATAATCTGATTGAGAATGACGGCCATGTCTGTAGATAAATATTCCTGGTCACCCTCGTACCCCTGATCGGCGTTTACCAAGGTCAGAATTGATGGACTCAAAGATTGGATGACTGTTATAGCAGAGACTTCGACTGGAAGGTCCAATAGTCCTGTCGCAACGGAAGGGAGAGGGTCGCTATTTATCGTCGTATCGTTTGAGCCGGAGGCAAATGAAGTGGCGAGAGACCCTACAAGATCAGGATATGATGTGGATTCTCGTTTCAACAAATCAGATATGTCTGCAGCAGAGTTGTTCTTCACCATGGAAGTCAACTGGCTCAGCGTGACTTGATTCGCGATAACGCGCGCCTCACGAAGGTGGTCATGCGTGACAGGGCGCATCCCTTCGATCAAATTCACCTTGTCTGGCATATCGCAGCGCCGAATTGAAATGCAATGGAAACGAATACCAGACAGCAAGATATGTGCGTGTGAGAGTGGTGGTGATAGCGTCGAAAGTCACGGACTAACCAGCGCTTAACCGCTCCACTAGCGGCTTGGTGCTATATCATTGGTGCAGATTAACCAATGGAGACAAGTGGGCCAATGATTCCACTTTCGGTCGTGTGCAGTAGGTTGTCCACTATCTCGAGATATCTTGAACTATGAAAGGTCTGGCGGATATCAATAATGTAGCAACTTGGCAAGTAGCCTTTGAAGCAGATAAAAAAAAACACTTTGAATAAGATAGGTACTGTAACATGTGCTATCTCACGTCAAGAAATAGTTGCAATCTACTGCTGTTGAGACAATGTAGTCCGCCGCCTACATTCTAAAGGTTCAATCAAGTATGTCTCACTCCCACTCTCTCATGCATTCTCATAGCATTCTACTTCTTCAGATGTAAGTTCCTTAGCGCCATTTTCTCGAAGAAGCGCCGCTATACCCCCCCAGCCCATGACCGAAGCATTCCAAAGCGCGAGGTTGAGTGAAGTTGCATCGATACCCGGACACCAGTCGAGGATTAGTTCGACAATTTCCTTATGGCCATAAAATGAAGCCAGCTTAATTGCTTCGGATTGAGGATATGCTTCAACATGTGAAACAATGGCGGCCCCTTTTTCAAGCAACAACGCAGCTATTTCCACGTGCCCGTTTTGTGAAGCACATTCGAGAGCGTGACAAAGTATGCTTCCACTTTCATGTGTTATTACGCCCAAAAATTCCTCGAGAAGCACCTTCACAATCTGTTCGTGTCCTCGGCATGAAGCTATACCAAGCGCTTCACGGATTAATTGTTTATCGGCCTGCGCAATCATGCTCCTGCCTTTGTCAAGCAACGAATTCAGAAGTTCCTCGTGGTCCCCACTTACAGCTTCCAAGAGGGTAATCTTCAATCTCTTAATCCGTACGTTGATGTTGACATCGATGTCAAGAAACAACTGGAATACCCGCTCGTAGCTATCAGCTAATGCTTTATGGAGCGTTCTTCTGAGTATCTTATCTTCGTAAACGTTACTGCGCAGTAATAGCTCCACAATATCCCAGTGACGTGCGCATGAAGCCACATACAGTGCGGTTTCCAAGCTATGCACAGTCTTATCAGATAATCCGGTGCCCATGTTCAGTCCCCAATACATCAAGTTCGCGGGATTTTGAGGAAATGCCAAATTTTGTACTCTTATCATCACTTCGTCCGGTTGATCTTGAGGGGCTTGAAATTCTGTGCATCTATCCAGCAGCAACTGCACAATATATGTGGAGCCCCTGGCGGAAGCCGGAGGTAGCGCGTTGCAGATTTGCGCAGGGTTATAGTCGATACCACGATCAAGTAGAATTCGTACTATGTTTTCATGTCCTTTGAAAGATGCCATTTGGAGTGGGCTGCGATTCTCTAGTCCGTAAACTTGCACAGCGTGGATATCCGCACCCTTATCAAGTAGCAACTCGACTAATTTTTCGTGGCCCTTAGATATAGCTGAGTGGAGCGCAAGATCCTCTTGCACGTGAATATCAGCGCCTCTCTCGAGCAATAGTGTCACCATCCGCTCGTCGCCTTTACTGGAGGCTTTTACGAGTGGGCTATCGCAATATTCAGTATAAAAGTTCACCTGAGCTCCGTTTTCGAGAAGTAATATGACCATTTCGCGGTCACCGCTTTCTGATGCATATGTCAACGGGCTATAGTCCCGCCAGTCTAACATATTGACTATTGCTATTGCGTCTTCGGTAGTGCGCAGTAGTTGTTCAGCCACCTGAAGGTGCGGGTGCGATGTCAGCCCAGATTCGTGTTTGAAGGTTGTCAGAGCGGCAGTGCGTCATCTCAAGCCTTTACATCAACACTCCGTACTCGAGGGTTACATACCTTGCGTAGTCCATACTCTGCCGCCCAGTGCAGCGCCGACACATTACTAGCACGCAATAACATACGTCTGGCCTGTTCGGCACACGCCAGAAGAGGGTGTCGAGTAACAAACGCATATGCGAGATCCGCCACGACATCCTCGATTTCCCTCACGTGATCACCGCAATAGGTAGCCGCGTAGTATAAGAACTCATTCTGCTGGAGTCTGTCACTGAACTCTATGATAGTGGCACAGCCACCGCTTTCAAAGACATCCATTGATAGGTATGAGAGACATGCTTCAACGATAAGCAACTCGGTCTGGTTCTTCGAGCTTAGTTCGGAACCGATACGTTCAAAGTATTCGTACGTAGTGTAATGCACGAGGCGTACGATGTCGCTCTCTTGATCTACCACTACAAGACCTGCGCAGACAGATATTATGTCGTCTATCAAGGGTTTGTTATCGGGGTCAAATTCCTTTTCACCAGGCTCGATTGCCAAGGCACAGCATATCTCCGCAGTGGTGAGCGGCCGCTTCGCATATGTGATCCATGTTAGAACACACTTCGCTAGTTTTTGATCATCGCTGAGCTGGCTTTCAATCCTTTTTAAAGCATCGCCATACGCGATATCGAGCGCGGCTGCACCTTTGGTGAGACTAGAGAGTGCTGATCTCACTTGCTTCACGGTCCTTTTGTCCAGTAATGAGTCTGTGTGTAAGCGAGCGAGGAGAAACCTTGGGAATGAACCGTAAGCTAAAAATTTGAACGTGAAGAATTTCGTTGAGCTTACATGCCATCCACAGCTTCTACAATTCCTTCCTGTACGTTTTTTTGTAGTTCAGCATCGCGCTGAATACAGGCTGGTAGCCTATATATCTGACCAGTGACGAAGCGTTTAACATCCTCTCTGCTAGTCAGTATCTCCAGTTTGATTGATTCCCGGAAGGCAGCTTGAATATCTGGTATATGTCGAGAGGTAGCCATGAATCGGATATATGCCGATTTTTGAAGTTGGAAGAGCTTTTGCAGCAACTGACGGCGAGTTTCGCCTTGACATTCGTCTAAAGCATCAACAATGATGTACACGTGCGGATATTGCCTGAGGACTTCTTCAAGAACATGATAAATCTCTCCCGATGATGGCCGAGTTCCCCCACGGTGTTTCTGTCGCAGCGATTGTATATACGTCAGGGCTGTTGGTCGGTCAAACGCCAACTGCTTAAGGAATGCAGCTAGGATACTGGTAGTATTCTGATCTGTTTGTGATTGGTAGTTGCAATAAACATATGCAACCCCCGATAAACTGTTTTTCTTCAGTTCTAGAAGCTGATTAATTGCAATAGCTGCTGCCATGGTCTTGCCAGCCCCTGGGATTCCCGGACAGAAAAGAGTGCTCTTGCTTTCATTGCGCCACTGTTGAAATTCTGGTGCATCCAAAACCCATTGGCCGGTTCCATCCTGCCTCTTCCGAATGATATCCGATTGCTGAGCAGGATAGTCACTCGGCGATATCCATTTGAGTAGGATGTCCTCGTCTGCGGTAAGCTGTGCATGCTCTAAGTAACTGACGCTAGAATCAACGGTCGTCATTTTTGCTTCTAAATGGTTTGTGTTGTCTTTGATGGCTGTCACTTCTGACCGAATAGTGCTGGTATCAGCCTTCACAGTTGTCACGTCGTTCTGAATGGCCTCTGTATCCTCCCTTATTGCTTCGGAGAGTTTGCTTGTGCATATGCATCAGCACAAAGGTCTTTTACGGCACTGATACATGTCTGTGACTTACAAGTGATCCATTTGTATCGCAATTTCTATCAAAGTCTTCAGACGTTCGATCCGAACCGTGATGCCCTCGACTTCTTTCTTCTTGAACGTCCATACCAATGCATTCTTGATTTGATTTTTGGCTTCCATTTTAGACTTTATCAGTTCAAGTGCTTTGAAGTACTGGTCTAGTGGTCCATCTGGAAGAAGAGGAGGCAGAGTCAGTAATGTTCAAAAAGAGAGGTACCATGGGTCATCGAAACCCCAAAATTCCGAAATCCTTAGCGCCTCAGTATCCCCTCACGTGTTGCGCAGTAAATTATATACCTTTCTTCCCTAAATTCTGGGCGTTCTCGAACCATGGCTGATGAGTCTGCCGGTTTCGTTCTGCCTCTCGGAGCCGATAGCGTAAGCTCACGAGGAGGCCATGAAGATTGCCAACCTCGATGTTGCAATCCTCGCATGCTTTTGGGGCATCCTTGACGTCATTCAGATATGCGAGGACTTTGGCCGAGAGATCGAGGATGGCAATGACGCCGGCTGTGATACTCAGCGGATCCATGCCGCAGAGAAGGTAGGCAACGCGGCAGAAGAAGGGTCTTTAGCCCCAAAGGGATGTCTGGTGATAGAAAGTCAAGATACAGCAATGGAATAGGAGTAGAACTGAAGTGAATATTTAGAAGTGGTGGTAAAGGACTAAGCAGGCATATGAGAACGAAAAATGTGACAAGGCTGAGTTAGGCACCACGTCAGGCATACGAGAACGAAGAATGTGACAAGGCTGAGTTGGGTACCACGTCACGCGATTCGACCCGATGTAATTGCACAAAATAGTGCACTAATTCTCACAAATTTGATATCTAAAGCGAGAAGATCTCAACTTCACTCCATAGATTATATAATTAGGGCTACTGAGCTTCCTATATATTTTCAAAATTCCAGACATCGATCAAGATAAAGGTCACGTGACCAACACACCTCCAGGCTGAATAGCATCTATGTTGATCTGAGGCTCTCACACTAGCTTCTTGCCTTTTTAGATGTTATATTCTGACACGAAATCACAAAGATTTTCTACCACGACAGAAACCAGCATAAACAAAGAGCATTTCCGGGCCGTATCTTCGCAAGATAGACTACATCAATCTCATGTACTGGGAGATGAGGTTCGTAATATCGGAAAGGTTTCCTTGACAATAACCAATTACAAAATATTCGGTCTAACAAAAGAGATGAACCACCACACTTCCAGTGGGTGGGAGTAGGAGTGGGAAAACGTTCGCGCTACTGTGGGGAGTCGTGGCCACAACAATAGACTACTGATGGATTTTCACCTCATAGCATGAGATATCAACACAAGAGATTCCAGGTCCAGAAGCAGTGCCAGTTCTGGCTTCTAAGCTAGCAAAAATATCATCCTAGGTTAATGCTGCTATCAACAAGAGAAACGCGTTTATTGACCTTCAAAGGAACATTGAATACATCTAGCTATGCCGGTTCTGATGGACCTTGAATCTTGACGATCTATGATCTGAAAATATATACCCGCAAATAATCTTTACCTGTATGGCAGAACCATCTAACCAAACTAAAATAACGCAAGCCCCCCTAAGCATTCTGCTCGTCAGACCTAAGTCAAAATTTGTCGAAAAGGAGTAAATGCTAAAATATTTCCCTGTCCTTAATCACGTCACAGACATTTATACATACAGAGTAGACACGCTCATTGAATACATCTCAACAATAAACAAGTAAGCCCGAAAAAAAAATTTTGTACCGTAATGTTAATATGAGCGTTGGGGAACCCGAGTGTAGTACGAGGATTAGATGTCCATCCTAAAGAAGCAGAATTACGTGTTATATTTGACAGAAGTAATGGATAAGCCGGGCTGAATTAAGGCTACATCGACCATTTGAACTTACGAGGCTGATATATCCTACACACCAAAAGCCTCCCCAATAAAACCTCAACCCTCTTCTTTATTCCTTCTCGTCCAAATACCGATGACAGCCATCACACTCATCTACCCACTCCACACAAAAAATCCATAGTACGTCCTTCTCTACTCCTGTGCTATCAACACAGCACGGCAACAAAACTCTTTTTAATAGTCGCTAAGCAAGTTGAAGAAAAAAAAAATCATCCTAGAACACGATATTTGTGTGTGATGGAATAATGAAAGGATCAAAAGTATATATATAGAACTAGCATCAAGTAATTCTGGATTCGCAGGAAGTTTTGATATCAAAGGGAATCAAACTTGATAGTATGTGTGTGGGGAGGGAAAAAAAAAGGGGGGGGGGGGGGGGGGGGGTGAAAGACGATGCATTTTTTGGGGGGGTTATAACTTGCAGACTGCAGTAGGAGGGAGAGAGAAAAGATCTTCCTCTCTTTCTTTGAGACAAGTGGATTCCGACTAACCCCAGTGAACTAAAAACATCCCAGTAACCCTGCACCATCTAACAAGATGAAGAAGAAAAAAGGAAGAAAAAAAGAAAACAGGTTTAGCTCAGGGTAATCATTACCTCCTCGCAAATCTTAACCCACCACCGCAGAGAAGAACAGAAAGGAAAGAAAGTGCCTAAGCAGCCCCTATACCTGCGGCAGGTGCAAGAGCAGGTGCAGGCACAGGCGCAGGAACCCCACCCCCAGCAACAGGAACGACAGGTGTAACAGGTCCCCTAGCCCTCTTCTCCCCAAAATTATGCAACCGCTCCCCGATCAAATAAACCTCATCCTTGACAACCAGCCTCCAGCGTCCCAGCACACCAACGCCCTCGTTCGCACACCAAACAGCTGCAACGCCGAGGCCAACAACGGGGTACGCGAAGCGCCAGACGAGCGTCTTGGCGAGGGGTGAGGTGCCCAGCAGAACTGTGCGCGTGAGTATGAAGGCTATGAGTGCGGGTCCGCCGATGGCGCCGACAAAGATGGCGGCTGCGGGCACGAAGAAACACCGTGTTGCGATTTTGGCGTTGGGATCGAGGTACCCGTCTGCGATGAGTGCAGCGAACGCGCGGGCTGGACGGGAAGCGCGGTCGGAGAAGATGAGACGGGCACCGAGGCGCGCGTAGAGGAACCCCAGGGTCCAGTCTTGAATGACGTGCACGACATGGGGATCGCGGGGCCCAAAGTATGCGTGAAGGGGCATGAGGAGATAGAATTCTAGGACAACGGCGAAGAGCATGGGGATTGTAGCAACGAGGCCGGCCCAGACGTATGTGAAGCGAGCGACACGGAGGGCGATTCGAGCGGATGTGGAGAGGATGGTGTAGAGAGTCGTGAGCGGGGAGTTTGGTGGGCGGTGGATGGACCGGAGAAAGTTGTAGGCATGGTAGGCGGTATAGACGACGCTTCCAAGGGTGTATATTCCGAGGGAGAAGGCATGGATGTCATTCATTTCCACGTGTTTGGGGAGGAAGAGGGAGAAGAGGTAGCGGCCGAAGATGAGTGGGATAATAGTGAAGCTGATCCCAGTTGCCGCAGCGAAGATCCAGATGGCCATGACGAAGAGGGCGATGCGGACGCGAAACCACGGCGGGATGTAGACTTTGGTTACCAGAGTGGGATTTTCGTGTACGCCTGTGCTCTGGGATTGGTTGTCTTGACGGTTGTTATCTTCGTCGACTTGGACGAAAACGGGATCGCCCTTGGGTATTCGGACCTGGTCAGAGGCTGGTGCACGCACATACTTGCCATCGAAAATCATTTCGCCGTTGACTTTACGCCCTTCTTCATCCTTGTTTTGGTGACCAAAGAGGAAGTTTGACATGCGCAGGCAGCGTGCACAAAGTTGGAACCACCATTTCGAGATGAAATGCAAGCCATCGCTCGGTTTATAGAACTTGATGACCACTGGAGTGAGGAAATTATAAAATAGGAGATCGAGGGGAAATTCGAGAGCGGGTGCATGAGAAACCCAGTGAATTGGTAGCACGCCGACGGTGGCTTGATTGAGAGCCCACACAACCCCACCAAGGCATACGATGACCAGGCCGCCATACACTAACCCGCTGAAGGCTATTTTACGGAGCTGTGTCGTGACGCTACGTTCGAGAACATCGCGCACAGGATGGAAGGTTGGGTCGTCGGGATCGCGGATAAAGTAAAGTACTCCTTTACGCAGGATCTTGCGGCACATGGATACAAACAGAGCGAAGTGAAACATGTAGCATGTCCCAATGAACCAATGCACAAACCCTGATGTCCATGGGTTTTGGCGAGTGAATTGCCATCTCGTGTACACGTTGGCATCCTTGAACAGGGGCAACAGCGCCAGATCGAGGAGTAGACCGCAATAAAGAGGGAAAACGAGCATCTCGATCGAGATGATGAGAATCACTTTCAAAACCCCCCCCGCTTGCTGGAGAATTTCGGATATGATACGCTCGATCTTTTGGCCTTGTCGTGAGGAGGTCAACGGGGCACCGCGCCGAAGGTAGACAGCCCCAGCCATGGCAAAGAAGCCGTATCCGGCGAGGACAGCTATCAGACGATCGGTGGAAGTCCAATGCTCCATGGAAGTGTACGTAGAGCTTATGTTGCGCCCCATATCGAGATCCAAGGTGACATTGTAAGACTTAGTAGTCAATAACCAAGAGACTAAAGCCGCTACTCTGCTATAGACTGTTATCACGGCGGACTGGATCGAAGATGGCACTTGACGCAATGCCTGGAGTGCCAATTTCGGAGCCGTTTCCACCGGAAAATCCTCACAAATGCTAGCAAGCATAGCACTAGTCTGGTTGAGCGTGTGAGAGGTTGTGTTCTGGATGGTCCGCAGAGCGGCATGGGAGTTGATGGACAAGCGGAAATAGGTCGGTGGTGGTAGTAAAGGTGATTCAGTCACCAATTTACTGAGCCGGTTCCCAGCGCTGGTGAAAACGTTGAACGCTCGTCCAGCAATGACTGCAATGGGGCCTTCGGTCATCTTGTTCAAGAACCCGAGAGTACTGACTTTGATAACAACACGAGTACCCTCCATAGTCCAATATACAATACCGGCTGCAACACACAGAGTCCCATCGACGGCGAGATCTGCAGCCGTGGCGATGATTTGTAGCGGAAGTTTCACGAACAGTGCTACAGGGCTGCCCATGAACAATATGACAACCTTGCCCCATAAGTAAGGCAGCCAAACAGCACAAGCGAGGGTGGTTGATATCAAGACAGCGCTGAACATGGCATTTTGGAAAAGGCCGGTGAGCGGCCCTTGCATGCCAATGAGTTCCATAATGCCTTCCAAATCTTCTGCATCCTCGATCGCCTCTTGATCATTGACGTCAATTCCAGCCTGGGCTGCGGCAGCGGCGACTTCTGGATCTTGGACGGCTGCGTTCAAGACTGGTACATCATTGTTTCTAGCAATAGCTTGTTCGAATTGTTCGAATTCGAGAGCTTGAACGACAAGCTCGTCATCAGCATCGTCCTCCTCCGCTCGAACACCGGCATCGAGGTCACGATACATCCAATTCAGAACACGATCGCCCAGCCCTGCAGCGACGTTGTTTTCCTGCACCGGAGGTTGTGCCTGTGCTGGTGCTACTTCTGCTACGTTCGTCGGCTCGGCTTCTTGGGCGTCACCGTCTCCAAGCTCGTGATTTTCGTTGACAGATTCCGATGCCGAATCCCACTCATCATCGGAAACATCTGCTGCCACTTCAGAAACTGGTTCCGGAAGAACGGGGAGATCGTCAGATTCTTCTTCGGCTCTAGACGGAGAATCACGGGCGCTGTTTGAATCAGTTGGATCTGTCTGCACCACTTTATCTTTCCCTTTGTCCCCGGAGTGAGCCGATCCGGCGCTGTCTACTCCATTTTCAGGAATCTGTTGCCAGCTCTCGCTGCTGCTCTCACTCCATGGCTCTCGATCAGCAGTATCGCGTGCAACGCTTTTGCCGGGGTCTTCTTGACGGGTGTCGTCATTCTCCCGAGAGTCGAGAGCGTTCTCCACCTCGGGTTTCTCCACGTCCCCAGACGGACCCGGAACATCAGCAAATGACCAAGTGTTGTTCTCTTCCAACCCACGACGAATCTCTGTGGCCATGAACGATTTGTCCCGCGCAGGCATATGGGGTCTTGAGGACAGAGCTGATGTCTCCGTATCGTCTTCCTGTGCAGTATATGAGTTGCTCGCCAGACTGCTAGATCGCTCGGGGAATACGGGATGGCGGGAACTTGAAGCCTCGGCTTCGATTCCATCAGACCCTGGATTGCTACGGGAGGAAGACTCTGGGGCCTCGGAACTGTCATTTTGTTCCTCTGAAGACTTGTCTCGCACAGCCCTTGTCAGATCGTCAAGAGGTCCGTTGGCGAGTAATTGCTGTAACTCCTCCGGAATCTCGCCGTTGTCGAGCTGGATGCGACGTCTCCTGCGAGATGAAGATGATCGCCGAGGGCGGGGCGCTCGGGCGCGTTCGAGTTGCTCGATTTCGAATGGAACCTCACCACGGTCATTATCCAGGCGTCCATTCGCGTTCGGATTGGGGTGATCGCGCAATATAATCCGGGGTGGCGGTGGTGGTGCTTCCTCCTCGGCTTCCCCCTCTTCCTGTTCCTCCACTACTCCAATCTCGGCTTCTAGCTCAGGAGCCCTGTGAGCAGCAGCATTATCATTGATAGCGGCCATGTTGATGGCCGGTTGCTGTTGCACGACCCATTCTCGGATTAGAAATATTAAGATAAAGGCCACTACCACCAGCAGGGTGATGACCAGGCCTTCGAGAACATCAAGAAGAAATCGGTTTGCGGCCTGCGACGGGAACCAATTGAAGAAGGATACATCGGAAAGGAGGGAAGGACTGCGCGGGCCTAGGTAGTCGACAGTGGCGTTCGTTGCGGTTCCATTGGCAAAGAGTTCGGTCGTAGTTGGGGGTTGATACGAATAGCCGGACACGATCCGCTTGAGAACGGTCCACATTGACATCTCGCCAGCAGTCATGTTCAACGTCTGGGAATATGGCATCAACAGCGGCCGGAGCGGAAGGGGTATTGAGGAATTGGCGGTGGCAGCGGTGGCAGACGCGGACCGCATGGCCTCAAGGTTCGCGGCGGATGGAGCGGATTGATTGACGAGCAGGAAGTAGTCGTCGCGGGTCCAGCCTCCGTCCCCAACCCAGAAAAGACTCCGCCAGACGACACGCATGCACCAGGGTAGCAATACCAACCAGACCGAGGCCACAAGAATGGCGCGGCACCAGGTCACGAACATCTTGACGGTATGTATGGAGGCGCGGCGCAGAAAAATTGAAGTCGGGATGCGGGCGGGCATCTGCGGGTGGTAGAGCTTTGTGAAGCGGAACGAGGTTTTGCACAGCTCGCAATACTTTTTCTGGGAATGCGACAGCCACTCCATCAGGCAGTCCTGGTGGACATATTTGATGCTGCCGCTGCACTTGCAGGGAAAGAAGAGGGGCTCCTCGGGGGAGCCTTCCATGTGGCATATTCGGCAGGTATCCGGATCGTCTTTGACGCTGCTGGACACGGTAGGACTCATGGCGGCCGCGGGTGGCGCGTCGGGGTCGACCATGTTGGGTGTATGAGAGGCGACGGTGTACGGGTGGTTGAGGTCGAGTGGTTGAGAAGGTGGGACGGTGAGGGAAGAAAGGGCTGGCTGTATGCACGGGTATGTGAAGCGGCGAGGGGCGAGAGAATATTAAGGCGGGTAGTTGAGTAACGAGGGAGAGAGGTTGGAGTTGCTGGAGAATGTGCCGCTGGGGCAATTCACGAGCAGGTCATTGAAACGGGGGACGGATATAGGAGGCTGCAGTGGATGCAATGTCTCCAAAATGCACCGAGGGCGACAGAGGGCGGAGGTGAATGGAAGAGAGAGGAGTCGCGGGGTGTGATGGAAGGAGATTAGGTGGTCGCGGGGTGGAGCGAAGGTGGTTCGTAGAAGAAAGAAAGAAGGTGTGTATATGTAGGTAGGTATAAATGCAAGTCGGTTTGTATGTAGGTACAGACAAAGTATCCTTGTATCTGAACCAGGTGTGAAAGTAATGGAGTATGCACAAGCAAGCCAGCAAGCAAGCGGATGGGGTTCCAGGGCCGGAAGCGCACGGACCACAGCGTAAAAGCACTGTTGTACTCGATGCATGTACACTATGTGCCATGTATACACTTGATTGAAGTCATCATTACCCTCTTTTCTACCATGCTATGTGCAAGTACTCAGACACGCTGAACACACGATTAATGTGCATCGACCCAGATATACACACCGCGCAGTACCTTCATATATATACCTAGGTATGTACGCATGTGTATACATGCCCTCGTGCGCAGACGGTTTCCACATGGAACATGCTACTATTGTACGCGATGCTGGTTCCCCATGGCTTTGTTCCCAATAATACTAGACCCAGAGGCGCACAACAAAGAATCAATGGCATGTCTCTGCGCGATGCAAGCCTGGATTATTTTCATAACCCAGAGAAAAAAGAAGAGACGAAAGCCAATGGACGGACATTGGTGGTTGATTTTCACGTGCTCTGACATCATCTGAGACGCGAACATCCCTGTTCTGCTCGTGCCTGCCTGCTTCATCCGCGATAGCTACAGCACGGCATCTATGATACGCTACGTACACAACATTGATCCAATATCATCCTCTCCATCCTCAAACACCTCTTCTACCCTCTACCTTCCTCCCTTCTTTCACCACCATCATCCCTCGATCCATTTGCCCATCGTCTCTCAGTAACAGGTCAGTCAGTGCATCCCCAACCCCAGTCAGCTAGTCCCCACTCGCTTTCCTATCTGTCCATAGCTACTTAGCACAACCCACCCAGCCCAGCCATCCATCTTATTATCCCAAAATCTCACCATCAACAGCATCCTCCCCCGACACGACTCCGCAAACACATACACACTGGCATCCCAGCAAATCCCCACTCGGTGATCCCTTAACACACCCTTCGGTGTCCCAGCCATCATGGCCGCCGCAAGCAACGGCCGCGCCAAAAAGCCTGGCAAGAAGCCTGCCGCCAACGGTCACGCCAACGGCCACGCCGATAAAAACAAGGCGAACGCGTCCACTGCCGTCGCTTCCCCATCCAAGACCACCAGAGCCTCTAGGCGTTCCTTCACCGGAACCCTTACGAGCATCTTCGGAAGACTGGTTTCTTGGTACCTTATCATCACCCTTCTCTTCCGCTGTCCGTCGTCTATTACCCAGCTATCTACCTCCTCCCCACGAGTATGCAAGCCTTACTTGCACACCCGCGCATACGTTACCCCGTACCTCGACCCCTACTACCAGTCCTACGTAGCTCCCCAGCTCGAAAAGGTCCAGCCGTACGTCGACCGCTTTGACCAGCAGTTCTATACCCCAGTCTCCACCTTTACCAAAGACAAATACGCTACCTACGGTGCTCACAGGGTGGACCAAGCCCAAAAGTATGCCGAGGCTGAGTGGGCTAGAACCGTGCATCCCCAGATCCAAAACCTGCAGTCTCAGGCTCAAGCCCAGTACAAGCAGCATCTGGCTCCGCACGTGGACAAGGCCTCCGAGGCCGTTTCCCCCTTCTATGAGCAGACCAGGGAGAGCTTGGCAGAGGTTTACCATCTCAGCGTTCTTCCCGCCTACCAAACAGCCCTTCCCTATGCTAAACAAGGTTATGTTCAAGGAAACCATGTAGTGACTCGCATCATTTTCCCTAGAGTTCTGCTTGCTAGGGACGTTGCATGGAAGTTCATCTCCCGCACGGTGTGGCCGCAAGTCCGGGTCCTTTATGGCGATAATGTCGAGCCTCAATTGGTCCGCATCCAGGAGCGCCTCGGTCGCTACAAGGATCAGCAAAAAGTTGAGTCTATCGTCGAAGCCGTGGAAAGCGAGAGGTGAGTCCGCATTTTCATATTCTTATCAGTCCCTCACTAACAAGTCAAGAAGCACCGTTCTTTCCGAAACCGCCACCTCGGCCCCTACTTCGGTCAGCTCATCAGTGGTATCTTCTGCCTCCGCCACTTCCGAGTCTGGCTGGAAAGTGCTAGACGACTTCTTCGGTGACTCTTCTGAATCGCAGTCGAGTCAGACTTCCACCCGCACGAAGAAGCCCCAGCCGACCGGAGAAGCCCTTCGCAAGAAACTGAACGACGATCTCCGCAACTGGCAGTCCAAATTCGCGACCGCCGCAGACAAGGGCGCGGAGGATTTGGATGTCCGTGTTACAGAGCTCACAAAGCGTCAAGTCGACAACGGCGTCAATGGACATGGAGCAGCGTTGCTAGTGCAGCTGGAGGAAGCTGCTGAATCAGCCATCGCCTCATCAAAGAAATCCGTTATACAAACCGTCAAGTCCCTCCCCGAAGAGCCAACAGAGAGCGATTTGAACACCGCTTTCGAGACGGCCAACTCCAAGACCCGTGGCCTAGCCCTGGATATCAAGAAGATATCCCAGGCTGTTCGTGACTGGAAATTGGCGTACGACCAGGAAACGGACAATCTTGTCAAGGCCGCAGTTGCAAGCACTGTCGAAGTCTTGGAGAAGATCCATGGCCTTGGCCTTCAAGAGGTTGGTATGCGCTGGGCATGGCTCGATGGAGTCACTTACGACGATTGGCAAAAATACCACAAGCTCAGGAACACTCTTGACGAATGGCAAGCAGAGGTGGAAGCCGTCGGAACAATGCACAATGGTCTCAAGGTCGCACACGAGGAATCCGCCAAATTGGAAGACAAGGCCATGTCTATCGTCTCCACCACCGTGACTGAACTTGTCCGACTGAAGGACGTTGCTAAATGGAAAATCTGGGCCGAGGACGCCTCTGACGACTTCTCCACCAAGGAGGTTCCCGTCAGAGTCTTCAAAGCCGCGCAACAAGCTGCTGAAAACGCAAAGGATATTTCTTCGAAAGCCTCGGAAGCCATCATCGGTTCCGAGACACCAGCTTCTGAAAGCATCGCGTCGGCGGTCAGCAACTCCGCATCCGCTGCTTCTTCCAAACTATCAGAATCCATCGTTGGGTCAGAAACCCCTGTCGCTGAGAGCGTCATTTCTGCGGTCAGTGAATCCGTGTCCGCAGCTTCATCAAAGGCTTCCGAAGCAGTCGTAGGATCAGAGCCACCAGCTCATGAGAGCATCGCATCCGCGGTATCCTCCAAAGCAAGCGAAGTCGCCGACTCAGCTGCATCCAGTGCCAGTAGCGGGGCTTCTGTAGCGTCGGAGAAGATCGATGTTGCTAAGGAGGCTGCTTCTGAGGCGCCCAAGAAAGTTTTCGGTGGTGTGAACGCTGAGGCCGTTCCTGAAGCTAGACAACCCATTTTGGACGACATAATCGATGACGACGATTCGGACACTTACTCAGCCAGACTACAGAGCCTTTTCGCTGGCGCTGGAAGCCGTGCTTCAGATCTGACAAGAGCCGTGAATGAGGCCCTTCAGAAGCCGACAAAGACACAGGGAAGCGCCGAATCAGTGACTTCTGTGGCAAGCGAAAAGTATGCGCAGGCGGTGGCGGCAGCTTCGAGCGCGTTGTTCGGCGCCGAGCAAGGAGCTGTTGATAGTGCAACCAGCGTTGCATCTGAGCAGTTTGCTCAAGCAGTCACTGCGTGAGTGACTTTCCTGCACGATCCATACACATACGAATACTAACTTGTTTGCAGAGCCTCTTATGCCATCTACGGCACTCCCGCTCCGACCGCTGCATTCTACAGTGTCCAGGCACAAGCCAGCTCTCGTTACAATGACGCCGTCAGTCTCGCGAATGAACAGTACACGAATGCAAAGTCTGGACTCTCAGCACTTGTCTCAGGAACTCCCAAGCCTGCTCACCAGACCATGTTTTCCATGATTGAGAAAGCTTACTCCGACTCTTTGGCTGCAGCGAGCGAAAGACTGGAGGTTGCCGCACAATACACGGATTCGGCAAAGACCTATGTTGCTGGCCCTACTCAAGGCTACTTTGAGTCCGTCTCTTCCATTGCATCTTCCAGACTTTCTGAGGGAATCAGCGCAGCGTCCGCCCAATTCACTTCTCAGCCCACTCCTGCTCTCGAAGGCGCAAGACGCCAGTACTACGAGGCTATCGGTCTAGCCCACGCTAGATACTCGGATTTCGTTGGCGCTGCCTCCAGTGCTCTGTACGGATCTGAGCAAGGCTATGTCGAGTCTCTTGCTTCGGTGGCCTCCGAATCAGCCAAGTCAGTTGCATCCCAAATCAGTTCTACTGTAGTTGGCTCCGAAACGCCATATGTTCAGTCCGTTGCTTCAGATGCATCTCTGTCAGCTAAGGTAGCTGCATCGAAAGCCAGTGAGGCCGTCGAATCAGTGGCTTCGCAGGTGAGCTCTAGTGTTGCTGGCTCAGAAACTCCCTGGGCAGAGTCGGTCGCTTCTCAGGCCAGTCAAAACTGGGAGTCTCTCATTGCACAGGCAAGCAACCAGGTCTACGGTGCTCCTACACCTTGGGTAAACTCTGCGTACTCTCAAGCTGGAGCTTATGCCGCTCAAGCCACAGCCCAGGCTGCTTCTCAATACGCCTCAGTGCAGGCATTGATCTCTGAATTGGTGGTCGGTAAAGAGCCCGACTTCACCGAGAGCGTCATGCAGCGTTTCTCTTCCGCCTATTATACTGGAGTGCCAGCCGCTGTATCCTCGGTCAATTCATATGCTTCGGAGAACTATGATAGTGTAAGCTCATATGCTTCGGATGCCTATGCTTCTGCTTCATCAGTAGTCAGCGCCGTCTTCACACCCCCACCTGCCATCGAAACCATTTTGAGCCAAGCCAACGAACAACTCAACGCGGCTGTGGAAAGCGCCTCAGCGGCTGTATACGGCACGGAGAAGGGCACTGTGGAACAGGCCAGCGAGTCCATCGCCAACGCCTATTCTTCCGTGCAAGCCAAGGCCAGCGGGGCCATCTATGGCACTCAGCAGGCTCAGGACAATTTCCTCGCCGTGGCATCCAGCGCTCAAGCTGCCATCAGTGAGGCCATTTTTGGAACCCCTACAGCGAGTGGCTACGTAGCATCGGCAACCAGTGGAGCAGCCAGCGTGAGCAGCTCCATCTCCTCTGTAGCAAGTGAGAAGGCAGCCAGTGCCGCGTCGGCAGTCAGCTCTGCTGTGAGCTCGGCTATGTATGGACCCGAGCAGGGCGCCGTAGAGAGTGCAAGCAGTAGGCTTGCGGCCGCCGTTGAGGTTGCCAACTCGAAGATCGCCGAGCTCTACGCTACAGCATCGAAGAATGCTGAGGATGCAGCTGCCAAGGCGAGCAGTGCTGCTACGGCTGCCACTCAACGCGTGAAAGACGAGTTGTAAATGCACCGTCTGGTCCCCTAAACCAGTGGACCACACACTAGCGAAGAGCGTCATGCTCTTACTTTACCTATCCCACAAAATTGCACGCCCGCACACCACACTCTTCAACCTTTATCGCCCTCACAAACATACTAACCACACACCAATATGTACAAGTAAATGTCCGTCACATACTCTCCGATTGCTCCCGATATTCTACTTTTTTCCCGTCTGGCTGTTTTTCGATAGTTTTTGTCGCTCCAGAAGACGACAACAATATCCCCCTTTCCCTCTCTCCTACTCTTGTAACTTTTCTCTTCTCTTTCATCATTTTTTGTTATTGCGTTGTTCTATTCCCCACATAGTCGATCAGCGTCCTAGCAACTCTCAGTCTATCTATCCATCTTATTAGCTACGTACATGCTTACGAAGAGGGGGAGCGGAAGGGGGAATTCGTGTCTTGCTGTCGCCTCGCCAAAGAGGAAACGGGGATGTGCGTCACGGGAGATTGACGATTGATTGATTGATTTGAACGAGGTACAAAAAGTCACGAATTTGGAAATGAATGAATATATGTAATGAAATGAGGAAACCCCAATTTTTTCTTTTTCTACGTCTTTTGCTGCAATATTTGTGTTGATGTTATATGTACGTGTGTCTACAATTTATTGATTTAATGTTGCTTTATTGTATTTTAAGCAGCAGTACCACCCTTCTGAATCCCTCCTCCCCCAAAAGACGAGAAGAAACCCGCAATTTTCCAGGCGAGCGAAATGAGAGTGTATCTCGTATAACTCCCTGACCCTCTCTCCCTCTTCTGCTTTGCGTTTTAATTCTAATTTTTCTTTCTATTTTTTTTTTTCTCTTTCTATTAGTTTTTCTTAGTTTCTAATTCTATAACGGTAAGGAGAGGAGTAAGTAGCCCAGTCGTCGTCTCCGGAAATGGCGGTGGATGGCGGGACTAAGTCCAACCAAGTTTGACGACTCGAACCATCAATTGATATATCATGTGTCTAGAAGAAAAAATGACTACAATAACAAAAACTATATAACTTGCAGCGAAGTGCTATCACAGGATGATGGAAGACTCTGCAATCCGTGAGACCAGTTAGTTGTAGATGAAATGAACCAACTGGGTACATCAGCTTCCTACCCTTTCTGTTTGTTAATTCTTTTTTTTTAAAAGAAAAAAAGAAAAGAAGAAAAGGCAGTCTATTATTACACTGTAGACAAAAAAAACAAAGGGCTTGAAAACTATTCATCTAAACCCCTTTGATTGCGCCCGTGTAGGGCAATATCGCAGTTGGAGGTTTGCGTGGCGTTAGCACCCACTCGTGGCCGGGATGCAAATGTCCTAGGAACGGTTCGCACATGAAACAGTATTCGGTCCAGCCGGTTGGTCTGCATGTCTTGCAGAAATGTCTGGGCCCGTAAATTGTCTGTAAGAGTTGGGCCGAGTCAGTTATCGCTCGATTTCCATCTTCGAGGAGGAAGACATGTGCGCGTGTGCTTTGGTTGGGGAAGGCTGCTTCGTTTGAAGATCAGGGACACGGCGGGTGTGGGTCCAAAAGAGTGATAAATCGCAGATGATCGAAGATACGAGAAATGATGAGACGTGATGGAGAAATACAAGCTGGTTTGACTTACTAGCATGCAGCTGTGGCAGATGGCAGCTGTCTTGACGCCGATCTCGAGCTCACTCTCCGTCTCATCGAACATATGATTTTGATCATGATAACGACCAATGGAAACTGAATCCCAGGATGACCCATCAGGAAGCACAACGCGCTCGTCGCTACGATATCCTTCGGCCATCAATGCCTCTGCAAATTGCTTCTGGCCTGTCCTGTAAGCCCAGTGTAGAGGGCTCCAATTTGGGTGGTCCGGCCGACTCGTCACCCTATTCAGGACCCACACAATGCCTCCACAAGCGGCATACGATATAAGACTATCCCTTTTCTCGTCTGTAACGTTCGTATCAAGGCCCGTCTCTAAAAGATGGAGTAAGGTGTCTCCTGCACCTGCTACAGCTGCAAGGAGAAGTGGTGTACGACCGTAAGCGTCTTTAAGATTCCTATCACCGCCGTGTTTATCATAGGCAAGTCTTAGAAGCTGCGTATGCCCTCTGAAGGCAAGATAATTCAGAAAAGTCCCGTAGGTTTGATCAGGAACGTTGACATCCACATTGCAGTTGATGAGAAATTCGACCATTTCGGGGTTTGCCTCGCGGGCAGCCAAGTTGAGGGGCGTTCTTTTTTTGGGACCTGCCAATGATATGTTCACCCCTCTCTCGTAAAGTAACCTTGCCATCTCGACATTCCCTGCTTTAACGGCTATGTGGAAAGGTGTCCATCCCTTCGAGTCTTCGTTTTCCATGATCTGGTAAGCACCACTCTTCAGCAGCAGTTTGAGAATCTCGGGATTGTGACCGCCAGCTGCGAGCCCAAGGGATGTCTTTCCCAATGCGTCTTCAGCTAATATGTCTGCTCCTTTCTCTATCAGAAGCTTAACTAGATTAATATTTCCGTGAAAGGCTGCTGCATGTAGAGAGGTCCAAACCTTTTCGTCGGCGATGACATCTGCTCCCCTTTCGAGTAGCAACCTAACTAACTCCTCGTCATTGCCAGCAGCTGCCATTGTGAGCAACGTCCAGTTGTTTACATTCTTATATGTCAAATCCGCTCCTTTGTCGAGTAATAATCGTGTCAATTCAACGTTGTGATTGCGGACTGCTATGGCGAGAATTGGCCTATCATAGGCGCTTACCACATTGATGTCGGCACCGTATTCCAGGAGCAGCTTGACCATACCGATATGGTTGTTACTCGCCGCCGTAGCTAAAAGCGTTGATCCTCTCATTTTCATCATTGAGAAGACGACGCCGTTCTTAAGCAGCAGCTTCACGATCAATTCGTGTCCTGCAGAGACAGCTGTTTGAAGATCCTCTTCATCGAAATCTGCTCCTAAATCGAGCAGTAACATCACAGCCCATTCTCGATTTTCCTCAATGGCTATGCGAAGTGCATGCTCATAGTGTCTGAATGTTCCGGAGAATTTAAACTTAGGGGTGTCTAGCTCTAGAAGACCCAGAGAGACGGCTTCTTTGAGAAAACCACGGCGCGTATCACCTAGGGCGGGCCAATCCCATTTGTGAAGACCCTTCATTTCGGCCACTGCAAAGATGTTCCGGTTTTGGCAGGACTGAGTGATATCGAGGATGGTAGAAACGCCATGTGTCGCGAGCCAGTAGTACCACTCATCTCCCGCTGTTAGTGTCTTCATAAGAGCTACTCCGTGTATATGCACTTACTTAGCATCCATTCCAAGTCACCCTCAACACTTTCTTCAATAAGGCTTCCAGAAGTCGCACCCTTGAAGATGCCGTATGACGCGGCCCATTCGACGTTGTAACTGGAATGCTGCTCCAGAAGTGACACTAAACAGTCCCAGAACGCCGTCAATTCCTCGAATTGCTTTTGGTCCAAGCCACCCACATTGCCTTTTCCAAAACAACTTGGGTTCCGAGCAAGAATGTCGTTCGTATGGCGAGACTTTGCTGTGAAGAACCTTTGGTGCATCAGCGTTCCGCCTCGCAACCAGTCCATTTGAGCTGTCATGTGATTCATTGGAACTATGTGCAGCCCATCCTTGCGTAAGCTAAAGACTTTGCAGAATGTCTCAATCCTCCAAAGTGCATCATCAAAGCGCTGATATTCCCATGAAACTTTTCTTTGCATATCAGAAAAATTCTTGGGTAGTTTGTCCGGCGGACATGTTTCCCCGAAGAGGCGCTTGGCATCTTGGAAAACTCTCACCATTTCTGTATGTTTCCCGTAGTACGATGTCGCAGTGTATTCCTGTCGAGGTTCGTCCAGTTCACAGCAGGTTTCGAGGTACTCCCAAGCAGGAGGCGACATCCTCCAGACCATACGTTTCATGAGATCCAACTCGTTCCGCTTGAATACGCGATAGAATCCACGGCTGACGACAGCAGTTGCGAAAAGATTGTCCAGGTTATCTAGATTCTGCAAAATCTTGAGAATAACATTCTCGGACGTATCGGGTTGTATATCTCGTGATGGCGGGAACCCTGCCAAAAGACAAGCATACTGTTCCTCGAGGTTTTTCATGATCAGGTCTACATCTTCTGTCACTAACGGCCATTGCAGAGACTGAGGGTCGGATTCTCTGAAGATGTATCGAACTTCCTCTCTGTCACACTCCATTGCAATCTCCTGTATTTGTTGGTAGTATCCGAGAATTACAGATTTGATCGATGAGATGCTTGAAGGATGAAACTGTAGATCATGCAAGGCATCAGTGAAGTTACCCATCTTACGCATCAAGCGGTCGATTTCGTGCCTTTGAGTCTCCATATTACGCCAAAAGTCTTCGCAGGTCTGGTGGATCTCAAGAGACTTCAAATGTACGGCTTCGACTATTGCAGGGTCTGAGAGTCCCTCCAATGTATGAATTGGCGTTGATGAAGGCCAGCCAAGCGGGTCTGGTTCCCATTGACAAAACTCCCCGAGCGCCTCTTCCATATCGTGTCGATTGAGTTCGATAACTTTGGTACGGATGGGTACATCTGGAAACGAGTCTGTACGCGTCGCACTGCTAACAACGATGATTGGGGCATCGGTAACACTGCGAATATCAATCAGAGTAAGATCCAACGGCATCCATGAAACATCGCCAACAACGATCACATCCGGTTTGGATTCATTTGCCAGTTCCCTGATGAAATAGCTGAAATCCGTCTGATTGTCAATGCTGGGTAGCTGAAAACGCAATCTATGCATCAACAGTATCATACGTTCCTTATCCTCTTCATCCAATCTGTATAGCAATACCCGTAACGGTCGGTAAATTCTTTTCCTAGCCTTGGAAAATTTATCGGTAACATCATCCCATGTCTGATCGCCCACAGCATCGGGAACATCATTTCCTTTATCGTAGTCCTCGTCGATGTCAGGCGTCTCGGTAAGGTCATTAGCAGCAGAGTCCCGATCTGATGGAGCGGTTTCAGTGGACAGGTTGCTTTCAGAAGAATCACTCTCATCTCGTTGATCCTCTTGATATCTAGACGATCCAGAATCACGCTCGGCCCGCTCACTCCCTGACGTCTCGTTGAGTCGCGGGATTGCGAAAGTGGCGATTTTCTCAAGATGGCGAGCAATATGGCTTCTGAGATTCTTCGAGTCTCGGTGACACAAATTGCACGTTCCTTCAAGACTCTTTGTGGGTCGACGAAACATGTTTTTGACGAGATCGAATTGGGTATTGTCAAACTTCTGATTGTGATCCGTTTTCATGTGTAATAGGAAGTCTGTTTCTGTACCGTATTCAGGGTGTTCATCAACATTGCAGAACCACTTTGCGCGGTGGTACTGAGCTTCATGAGTGAACCAGCTGTTTCGACTTTCGAAAAATTGGTCGTATAGATCGCAGTCGCCGTACGTACACACGTAAGGTTGAAGGTCCTCTAACACGTGCTTCTTCCACTTTCGCCCGTTTCCAATGTTCTTGGTCAATAGACAATATGGACACTCAAAGAAGTCGAGCTCTTGTCCGTTTTCATCTCTTGGTCTAGGGGGAACATCGACGCGGAGATCTTTTCCAGCGTAGCTACTTGCCATTGAAGACTTTGACTCCGCTATTGAAGGTGTAAATAGTGCTTCTGTCTGTTTTGCAGGGTTGAAAAGTGGCAGGTCTCCGGGCCGCACAGTGGTTGCCTTTGTGAAATGACTGCTAGTGGCCTGACTCGATGCAAACCGGCTAGCACTATCTTCTGCGGCGAATTTTGTGAAATCTTTCGCCAAGGTAGGATTGGGAGAGACTTTAGGTATGGGAGAGATTTCTTGCTGTACTCTTGGAGCATCCAGTCTCTGTTTGTGAGTCTCCCGATAATGAAGAATTTGGCGTCGTCGCGTAATCATCTTTCCCAGTCGCGCTGCGATTTTCTCGTCAAGAACCGGGAATTTATCTCTGGTGTACATACAGTCGAAATGCTGGTATGTTTCAGAGCCTGCCAATGGGTTGTTGCTAATACGATCCAAAGGTGCAGGTTTCCGGATAGGAAGCCGATACAGACAAAGGACGGTGAATTTGATTGATTCCACCAGCCTCTGGATCTCTGAGATTGATCCAGATGTGATGGCCAGGTCATTTATTGCCTTAGCAGGTTCTTCCGAGTTCAAACGGGTCTGCCGGTCTGAGGATGAAGTGTCATTCTCGCTGTTAGAATCAGAGGAGATCTCCCAAGAGGAATCCTCGGAACCATCCTCTCCTTCCATATCAGAGGATGTCGAAACCTCGGAATCAGTTTCTTCAGTCTGTGTTTCAGAAGGTATACGGTTACCGCGAAGCAGTGCAGTTCCAGCAGCGAGCCTTTCTTCCAGCGATGAGAGGAGCTTGAGGACATGTTCCTTCATAAATGACGCTTCGCGCAATCGATAGTCCAAGGATAGTCTGTATCGCTCTCCAGAATGAGCAGCACCCACATTTCCCGCCCAGATGGAATACTTTTCGAGCTCGTTCTGGATGTCAGACATTTGGATTCCATCCGGCAAGTTGTGCGCCGGTTGTGCGAGTGCATGGATAAGCACTTCGAACGCATGGAAGCACCGCGCATGTGCAGTAGACACTAGCTCTGTCATGATATTATGCTAAAACACCATCGTGGGGTTTCCATACAAAAAGAGAATTGAATAAGAATCCAGAGGCGACAAGGCTGAAAGTGAAGGGAACATGCACCATCCTTGGCACGTGCATGGGTCTGATAATGCGGGGTCTCAGCCTACATATTTCGATTCATTTCCTCAAGACCCCACAGAATGCCTGCATCTAGCCAGAGGACAACATGTCCGGTCTCGAAGTTGCAGGTGTAGTATTAGGGGCCATTCCCCTTGTTATATCTGCACTAGAGCATTACGGCGACGGCGTAAGGTTCACCTAGAATGATGTACGGGTGCCGCGGGCTGATATGGACAGATCCGGACGATGAAGAACATGAGAAACTACGCCATCGTGTTCGACGACTATAGTACTCAGGTATGCGAGTGGGAGGATGCTCATTTGTTGCGAAGACTAATCGAATGTCGTAGCTTGATGCATCTATTGGCATATATACGAACACATGCTACGAGTTGCTTGGCCCGTTGAACCTCCCAGACAGCCAGATGAAAGCTCTACTAAGCGAGCGTCGAGCGGAAGCTTGGGCAGACAAGGATTTGCAAGTCGCACTCAAATCCCGCTTAGGTGACAATCATCATAGATACGCGTCGCTGCAAAACAAATTGAACAAACGCATCGTTCTCTTCTGCGAAAAGCTGAAGTTGGGGAGGAATGGCGAACCACCATGGATTTCAGGAGACGGAACCGTGGACGAGAAGGCCCGCAAGAAGTTTTTTAAAAGCTTCTGGCTGAAGACAAGAGGTGGTTTCAACACTGAAAAATATGGGTCTCTGCTCGCAGACATTGATCGTGATATCGAGAAGCTTTCGAAATTGACCAGCGGCGCCATACAGCTTGAGCCAATAAAGACGGAGAAGAGAAACAGAAGCCAGTCTGCATACTGGCAGAATATCCGGGATCAGGCTCAACGTCTTTTCGATAGCCTCAGTTCACGGTTTTCACCATGCTCTTGCACGCACCCTCACCAAGCCAACCTGCGTTTGGATATTCGGAGAAGCCAAGGAGTGGACAACGCGACAAGATTTGCTTTTTTATTGACGTTTGAGAAGACACTCCCATCTGGTCTGTCACCCCCATGGGATTGGAGAGACATTGAAATCGAGTGTTCCCAGCCAACTTCAGTTACCGTCGGCTCACTTCAAGTCGAGACGCCAGGAAAGAAAACCGCACGTTTCGCGCCAGCCATAACTGTATCACCCTCATCTCAACCCCCAAATACGCGTTCACCCTCGCCAGGGCTCACTAAAATTATCGATAGTCTTTGCAGGGCATTGTCGGTAGCTCATCAACAGGATGGGTGTCTGGGGGTACTTGAGGATGACACCTGTCAACATCATGTATACTCAGTGACCGGACCTGGCTCAGAAGCTCTGATATCGGAAGCGACTTCGATGAACGATATAATAAATGCCGCTCAAAATATCGTACCCCGTCAAAAGTGCATGTTGGCGTTGACTCTTGCGTCGTCTGTGCTACAATTGCATGATACTCCCTGGCTTCCGCGCGCCTGGGAGACAAAAGACATATTCTTCCTCAAGACCCACAGCGGTAGCATGATTCCCTCGCAATTCTACGTTTCACAAACGTTCACATCAGCTTCGCAAGTTGCCGCTGCCGCCAAACGACGCCGGCTAGTGAACAACGAGACAGTCTTTGCCCTTGGAGTCGCCCTCCTAGAACTGGCCCACGGTGCTCCTATTCTGTCGTTTAAGGAACCGGGTGATCTCAATGAGGATGGTAAAGAAGACAGCATGACGGAAGTCACAATTGCATCCCGGCTGGCGAGACAACTGAACAGTTACGAATCGGAGAATTATGCGCGAGCAGTGCTGAGGTGTATTACGTGTACGTTCGATACGTTTGCGTCTGATTTTACCGATCAGGAATTCCGAGAAGCCTTTTTCCAGGCTGTTGTTGTCCCTCTACAAGAAGATTATGAACATGCAACAGGAAAGAAATTATAGCAAATTCGCTTGAAAACGTCTGGAAGTGCGATCAATGACGACGGAGGGAATATTGAAGAGAGGAAGAAGAAGAAGAAGGCATGAGATGAGATGGCGACGAAAATGGGATGAGATGAAGTGCCAGGAAGGGAAGGGAGACGACGTCACTCATGAGATGAAGAAGCATCCACAGACGCTAAGACGCGTCATCACATGATCGGGCCAGCGCGTCGCTCCTGCCAGTACTTGAGTGAACGAACGGATGCACACGACCGTAGTATCATACAATACCTACCTACCTAGGTAGGTACATGTACATAATCATGAGATATCACTTTACATATTCAAAGTTCAACTTGAGGGTTCATGGTTCCAATTCCATTGTTTTGTATCCATAAAAGTCCTATCTACTAATGTGCCTTTGGACGCGTGCATCCCGTTTGCAAAGCATTCACCACCCATGTCCTTCCCCAAATTATAATACACATTTGCCTCCCGTCTTTCCGGTCTCATTCTCTCTTTTCATCATTGATTTCTCAAAGGCATGTACATTCCTCCTCGGCCCACAATATTCACAAAGCGGTGAAAGATATGAAGCAAAAATAAGAGGGGATAGGGGTGAGTGAGGGATTTCCTCATGCTGTGGTCATATCGCTCCATGAAACGCCAATTTGCTCAGTTTGAAAAGTGCCCAGAATAAGAAAAGCAGTTGTTTCCCACGTCAAATCATTCACTCGATCAGTCGCTGTCGCTCAACGAATCACGACGCACTCTCCTGACCTCTCCTCGGCGATAGCCAGCCATGACATCGCGCTGCTTCCTTTCTTGACGGTGACCGGCCTGGCTCACGCTGTCACTGACAGCGACACTGCCGGCGGTGCTGAGGCCTGGAATGTGGCACGGATATGACATGGTACCGTGAGACTCACCCAGGGCGGCAGTGAAGATGTCGGAAGCAGGAGGGGCGGTGGATTGGCGGGAAGAACGGTGCTGCTTGCGAGGGGATTGAGAGGTGGGGCGAGAACGGGCACCTTGAGGACGGGCAGATTGAGATTCACGACGAGTGTGGGATTGGCGGGGGCGAGATGAGGAACGTCCGTTGGGGCGGTAGTCGGAGTAGTAAGATGTCTCCGGCTCCGAGGGGGCAGCGCGAGGAGGAGAAGGGTTGTCGGTATAAACGCCGGTGTAGACAGTCTGATCATCATCGTCGCCAGTCACGAAGGAATAGGCTGCGGAAGGAGGAGCGCGGCGGCCTGCTCGTTCAGGGACTTCAGAGGCGGTGTAATCGGACTGGGCAACGGTGTATTCAGTCATGGGAGCAGCAGTGTATTCGGTCATAGGAGGGGCTTCGGACGGCGTGGGCTCATATTCGGAACGGTTGGTCTTTTTGGCCTTCTTCTGCTCAGCCTTGTCCTTCTTGACAGCCTCCTTCTCGGCAGCTTTCTGGGCTTTTGCTTGAGCGGCGGCGGCTTTGGCGGCTTCCTTCTCAGCGAGCTTAGCCTGGCGCATGCGTTCCTTGGCGCGACGCTCCTTTTCTTTGGCTTCTTTCTTCTGGTCCTTGGGGGATGCCTTTTTCTTGTCCTTGTCTTTTACGAGGGGGCGGCTAGAGACGTTGGAGCCCAGTTCAGAAGGTTCGGTCCCAGTGGCAGAATAATCAGTGTACATGCCGTCGGCTTCACGGTTGATGCCGCCAACGCGGGCAGAGCGTTCCTTGCGGTATTGGAGAAGCTCAGGGTCGTTGCGGCTGGCTTCGCGGTCACGGCGAGAACGCTTGGATTTCTTCTCGCCGTCGCCACCACGAATACCAAAGGCGCGACGACCTTGGCCCTCCTCGGCTTCCTTCATCTCGCTGACGGTGGTCTCTGTCTCGTCGGAGTATCCAAAGCTGCTAGGGGCCCCGTAGCTGCCATCATGCACGACACTGCCGCCACCGAGCTTGGTGCTCTTGGTGGCATTACTGAGAGTCTTTCCGTCCGGTCCTTTGCGTCGTAGCACGGTTGACTTGTAGTCCTCCCAATCCTGTTGAGCATTCCACTTGAATCCGCCGTTCTTAGCCCAGAAGAAGAACCATAGAGCCGTGATGACCATGCCGGCACCCAATAAGGCGAAGACGATCTGAACACCGACATTGTTGAAGGCATCGGCGGGAGTAGCCCCATCGGCGGGGTTGACCTTGTAGCGTTTGGCGAGGTGGACGTCACGAACAGCCTTGGGGGAGAGGCCGCTCAAGTCGGAGAGAATGGTGAGTGGTGAGGGCGCCATGGCAGGCGAGGCACCAGTGGGGAGGATTCGCAGCGAGAGTGTAGCGTGGCAGGAAGGCAAGTAACTGCAATGGAGCTGGTCAGGAATGTGTGCAGCGGTAAGTAAGAATTGGGGAGAGAGTGGGGAGGAAGGAGTTTAGCTTTGGTAGAGCAGAGGGTCTCCGATAGTGATGGGCGGTGGAGATGGGAAATGTGGTGGTTGGCTTTGGATGTGGCTGGCAGGCGCGAGCCAAAATTGAGGAGGTTGAGGGGAGGCTGGGGAAGACTGACGCAATGGCCCAAACAAAGCGTCGCGCGGGGCAACCTCCCCGGGGATAAGGCAGATAAGCGCTCAACACCAACACGGATCGTCTGTATGTCTTTGTCGATGGGTTTCGGAGTGGGGAGCAGGAACAGGAGGTTTGCTATCCGGTTTCCATCACGCATTGATATTCTTTGCTACCATATTGATGCACATATATCATCTCCAGGATTTCTATCAATCGATGCAAACATGCAAAGCGGACGAAAACTTGCAAACCCATCGACCCATTGTTCACCACTGCCATTTACCTTTATCATCATCAGACGAAACAGGACAACACTGCATCTTGTAGCACAAACAAAGACGGTACCCAGCAACAACAGTACACAGCATGAGATGGTTGAAACGCGAGTCAAGCTGTACAACGCACACAGCAGAGCGAGAGCGATCGCGATCGTGGGTGTGGGTGTAAATATGGAAAACCGGTATGGACGATATAGTATAGACGGTAGTTGTATATTAGAATTGCACCAGACCGTGGCAGGTAGATTGATGGTCAACCGGCGTGGAGACATGGAGAAGCCTGGTAAAGCAGGGCGGAGCAGAAGCGTAGGACCTTGATCGAGGGCGCGCTACGGATATCAGGCCATGCCAACAGCGTGTCGACGGGCGCGTAGTCAGAAGGATATCCACAATAACAGGGCAGCCGAGCTGAGGCTCCAGATGCAATCGATAGGCCAGCAGAGTAGCGGCGGGAGATGCGAGCTGAAACAGGCCTCGCCGCAAATCTCGTGACCGGGCGTCGTTCAAAATGTTTGTTGCTGCGGCTGTTGTCCGGCCAACCCGGCCCAGTTCCCCCCCAAATAATAAACCCCGACACACACACGGACTATGTACGCTGGGCATAGCCAGGCACATACATACAATACAATACAATACATACATACATAGCACCACCTCCTCCACCGCCGCCGCCGCTTCTAATCTACCCTCTGATCGATCATCCCCAATCTCATTTCCCTCGCCCTCTTCCACCCCCCTTCGTGCGATCCCGCTGCCCGTCTGCCTGTCTCTACATCCATCCTCCCCATCATCACATCGCAGATCCGCCGCGTGAACACCGAACGAGTGCCTGCCACGACACCCTACATACATCCAACAGCTCGCTTGATCGTTCCCCCACTTGCACGCACACCATTGTGCATGCGCGCTTGATCCTCTCCAGACAATCGCCCTGCGAGGCGCTACTTCACTGTACAGGCACGCACCATGGACACCAGCTACCTCGCCCAGCAAGTCACCACCATCATCGGCCAGCTGCACGGCCTGTTCGACGACATCGGCGTCCCCAGCCACGAGCGCGACTCGCGTGAGGCAGAGGTAAATACCCAACTGCTCTTCAACCCCCTGACTATGCGGCCTAGCTAACACCGCGCCCAGGTCTTCTCTGCCCTATCCGAGACATTACACAACCACCTCAAGCAGGTCACCAATGAGAAGCATGAGATGACCGAGGAGGCCCATCGCCTGATGAAGACGATCAAGCAGATGGAGTCCTCGCTCGATGACAACAAGCGTAGCAGCCCCAACTACGAAGATCACGACGGCTTCGAGGTCACATACCCTCTGACCTGCTGCATCAAGGAGCTGAAGGAGAAGCACACCCACATCAGCAAGCTGCACCGCGAGCGCTTTGAACAAGTCCGAAGTCCGTGCCCACCCATGATTCCCTCATCTATGTATTCCCTCATTTGCTGATTTCATGTAGAACTCGTCGAGGCCCTAGACTCGTACGCCTCACATTTCGAATCTTCCTTCGTCCAGATTAAACTCCCTCCCACTGCACCTGGTGCCGTCGTTTCCCCTTCCTTCGACATCTCCCCCTCCTACGTCGACTCCCTAGACCGAGAGTTCAGCCGTGTCTACGAGGAGTACAACCGCCGTATAAACACCGTCCAGATCACAAGTCAGGAAATCATCCAGCTATGGGCTGAACTCGGTACCCCACAAGCTCAAACGGATACCGCAATCGTGCAAAACTATCGCGATACTCCCGAACAGCTCGGTCTTCACAAAGACGACCTCGCTCAACTGAAGGCTAAGAAGGAGCGTCTAATGGAAGAGAAGCGGGGCCGAGAACGCAAACTGGGCCAGCTTCGCTCCACTATTGAAGATCTCTGGGAGCGCCTTGGGATTGAGCAGCATGAACGTAAGCAGTTCTTGTCGAACAACCGGGGTTGTGGTCTGCGCACCATCAACGAGTTTGAAGGTGAACTGGCTAGATTGAATGAGCTCAAGCGTCAAAATCTTCACCTTTTCGTGGAAGAAGCGCGGGTCAAACTACAGGAACTGTGGGATGCTTTGTACTTCTCCGAGGAAGAGATGCTCGACTTCACCCCTGCCTTCTCAGACGTCTGCAGTGACGCGCTCCTTTCCGCGCATGAAGCTGAGATCAACCGCCTGGAGGCACTCAAAGAACAGCGTCTACCCATCCTTCAGAAGATTGACCGTCACCGTGAGCTCGTCAAAGAGCGCGATGATCTCCAACAGTCGAGCCAGGATGCCTCGCGTCTTATGGGCCGTGGTCAGAAGGGAGAGAGGCGTGATCCGGGAAAGCTGCTTCGCGAAGAGAAAATGCGGAAACGCATCGCCAAGGAGTTGCCCAAGGTCGAAGCCGAGCTTCGCAAAACGCTTGAGAGGTGGGAAGACGAATACGGTCGTCCTTTCCTGGTGCTCGGCGATCGCTATCTGGACGAGCTGTATGCGTGCGAGTCTAGGGCTCCACCACCTCGATCCAAGACTCCCAATCCTGGATCTATGCCCCCTTCAAGAACACATTCAAAATCGATCTCTTCCACCAGCCGGCCCGCCTCCGTTCGTGGGCCACCACCACCCAGCCGTGCGAAGACGCCTGTCAGCAGCACTTTCGGTGCCAGCGTGTCGCGGAACCCGCTCGCCAGCTCTATGTCGGCTGCGTCGCAAAAGAGTCCATCCAAGATTCCGTCGCGAGCACCATTGAAAACCATGCCCCACGGAGGAAACTCGCCTGAGCGACGGCCTGCTATGCACAAGCGTGGAGAGTCCTCCACCATTCGGAGTATGCCTCCGCCAATGGCTCCTCCTCCACGCATGAAGGATCTGTTCGTTCCACCCGAGCCAGCCCCAACCCCAACAAATCGATTCGAGTTCAACCGCGGCGAGCGTAGCGATAGTATTGTTCGGTCAGTTCCACCAGAGGATCCCTACGACGATCGATCCTTCTTGTCACAAACCATACGAGCGGACTACACGAACCCATACGCTCCCCCACCTGCAGCCAGCAGACAGATCTCGAATGCTTCCTCGAACGAGACGGCTATGACAATGCAATCAGGGTCCGAGAACTGGGAGACATTCAGCGAGCGCTCAGATGAGCCCCCGGAGCGTGACGTAGATTTACACTACTATCGCCAACAGGCTGCGCGGAGCAAACGCTACACACCTGAAGGTGGCCATGCTGCCTCCCCTCGCGCAGTGCACGGAAAGAAGATACGGAGTGTGCGTCCGGTCGAGAGTGACTACATGGTGCAAGAAGGAGATCACATGGTGCGCGTCATTGAGGGCAGTGAAGCAGGCTGGACTGACGATGGCGACTACTGAGTATTCGTACTCGCAACATTCCTTCCCCTCTTTCTCCTACGACCATTCATGTCTGATGTACCTCGTCACGAGCGATGTTCCAAAACGACGACGGAACGTGTAATCATTCCATGTGTTGTCCTGCATTGATGACCAACCGTCTCTCTCAGCTGCATCTTGCATACACACGCTTCTGCTGGCCCATTTTATTTGTCTCGGCTTTTCTTTTCTCGTCCATTCTGGCTGGCTGTTTATTATACCTCTTGTTTGTAATTCATCGCATTGAGCAAGGCCGCAACCCGTGTCTTGACAGCTTAAAAGTTTATCCGTTTCACATACCTTCCATTCCACAACCGGATCCGTGGACCCATGGGATTTCCGTTCCATAACGTCGCTTATGAGCGCGTGAGGGTATCTTGTGTTCGGAACTATACTGGTCTGTAATTGTCTATTCAACCTCCTCTTCTCGTTGTCTGTTTGTTCATCTGCCCGTCTGTTTCACGCCTCAGTACAACGCGCGTATACCAAAGCGTCTATCCATTTTCTATCCGGGAAACAAGGGAACGGCGAATTTTGGCGTTCTCTCTTTTCTTTTCTTTTTTCTACTCTTCATCTTTTTTTCTTGCTTTCCCTATCCGGGAAATCCGTCAAGACTCTCTCAAGAGATGGAACTTGATCGTTTTTCCATTTCTATATCCTTCCCAACTTTCCTTGCTTCTTGTCTGTCTTTCTAGCTTCTCTGTCTGTCCTCTTTGCTTCATGGAGATGAGTTATGGTGGGACTTGGGATGGCTCATGGCGGCGGTATTGAAATGAGAATGAGATGTGTATTGGGTACTTCTATGTACTATATTACATCTTTCTCCCTTAACCTTTTTGTCTCTCTTCTTCTGTGACGCGAGAGCGAGTAGCTAGCGCTGAATCCCAATCCCAATGTTTCTACACCAAAAAAAAAATGCTTTTCCTGATCTTGTGACAATCCTTGTAATACTAAACCTACAACCCAAAATATCTTCCCCCATTCCTTCATCTCTACGACAACAACAACCGAGCTCCCTAACCCTCATTCCCCTCCCCAGCTCTCCCCGCCCACCCAACCAACCCCCCCTTCTCCCCCAACCTCAACATCGTCCCCCTCCCCTCCAACCCCGCCGTACAAACAAACTTATGCACCGCCCAATCCCTCCTCTGACACTCCCCACAGCAATACGCCGCGGTCCCACACCGTCCACACCTCTTCACCTCCGCCTCTCCCTCTCCCCCTCCTCCACTCTTAGCGCAAACCGTGCATTTCGATAAATCGATGCCCGCGTACAGCCAATGCGGCGACATGGGAATGCCGTCGCCGTCGTCAACAGCGAGGTCCGACTCCGAAGAAGAAGCGGTGCTGAAGAAGGCGTATTCGACAGCGAGCTTGTGCGTTGATTTTTTGAGGGGGAGCCAGGGGGTTGAGGCGAGGTGCGTGGCTAGGAAGGCGAGACTTTGCGTCGTGATGAGGGATGGAGAGACAGAGGGGGTTGAGGGGGTTGAGAGACTGGTCGGGGGCAGGATTGATTCGCGTGGGTTTGGGGTCCATTGTCCTCCTCCCCTTCCTCCTCCTTTTTCTTCGTTTTGTGATTGATTGGTTGGGTGTTGTTGGGTTTGTGATGATGATGATGACGAGGGAGGGCTAATGTCAAAAGTATACATCTCCATCCACTTCTCGCCGCTGCCGTCTAATACCCCGAACGAGACTTGGTTCCTGATCCGCCCGATTTCCAGCGCGTGGGTGGGGGTTTCCAAGAGCCATGTCATGCTGACCCAGGTTTCGACGTCTAGGAACGCCGCGAGCGCGTTTGGGTGCCAGTTGTAGAGGATTGTGGCGATGCCGATTGCGGGGGTTAGCCCGTCTTCATCATCATTATCATCAACATCGCCGCTGCTGGGTGGTGTGTTTGATGGTTCGCTCGTGTCTAAGATGCTGAGGGGTTTGCCGTCGAGGGAGGGTTGTGTTGAGGGGGAGGTGGGGATTCTGAAGTCTGGGAGGGGTTTTAGATGGGGCATCGTGACTTTCTCCTACTTTTATTTCTTTCTTTTTGCTATCAATTGATTTGTGTTTTTTTTCCCTCTGTTCTTTGCTGTTTGGGTCTTTTCCTCTTTCAGGACTGTTGTTGTAGTTCATAGCATGGTTCTTTTAATTGGTTGTCATGGTATACACATGCTGTCTAGGGTGAACAAGGCTAGACAAGAAAAATTATTAGTAGTGCGGACATAAGCGAGAACCTTATCCAGACTGTTCTCTTGTACAAACCGCTATGTAATTATCGTTTTCTTAGATTTAGATTCTAGCACTGTTGCAGACTGTACTTACTAACAAGATACGTTTGTAAGTGGTCATTCTCAACACTCGCGAATGATTGGAGTGGGTCACAGCATCTTGCTTATGACCCACTAATTACCCGGCGTGAGAGGAAGGACTTGGATGTCAGGGAGGTGCCTGTAGAGCCCGAGGTTCGCTCGCCGACACAAAGTAGATGGAGTATAGTGCAAAACTTATAAGGGGGTTTCTTCATGTTTATCAACTCTTTTGCCGTTGAAGGTCGTTATCGTCAGCCGTGAAAAATCGTCCATAACGCAAGAAAGGTATAAATGTGCAAACCCATTCTTATGCTCGATTACCCTAATGGATTGTACACGCATTTGCTTTTGTCGAACCATTGTCTCGTTGAAAAGACTAGAGTGATGTTTTCTAATGCTGCCACGGGAAGCTGTTACCATCCAATCTGGCCAGCTGTATCTGTATATATTTCGGCCTCCTAGTATGTCTCTTCTCTTGGACAACTTCATCCTACGGGTCAACGACGCGATCATTCATAGCAGATAAATGATACAACAATATGATAGGTGGGGTGAAAGCTGTCTAAAAAGGAAAAAGGAAAAAAGTGTGAACATTGTGCCAAACACTCACATCTCAATCACCCATCCCAAGTAAGGCTGATATATGGGCTAGTGTATGGTTATGGTATGGTAGCTAAAATACTGGGTACAGTAGCCTAAATAAGCAGCCACTATCTCAAGCTAGGCAGACAATTACAAAAGCTTGAGATTGTCTATAAAGAATTTGTTCATGCTAGGAGGGGGGGGGGGGGGGGGGGGGGGGGGGGGTGGAAATCTCGCACCACCACGCCAATCATGACTGAACGTCTTTGGTCAAGGCCTTCTCCCAGACGCCGACAGTAAATTCCCAAATCTTGTCACCCCACCCACCCTCTCGGTAGTCGATCAGAACCTGGTTGTCCGGGACAATCTCATTGAGACGGTTCACTCGCCACGACCCAGCAACGAAATTATCGTTTGTTAGTTCGTACGCGTGCCTCTCCCCAGACTCTTTAGCTGACATTCCAAAGCACGTGATGATCCACCCCGACACAATCTGAAAAGTAGATATGAGCGCCCACCAAAACAGTCCGTTGGATTTCGATGGACGACCAGTGCGAGGGGTATCTGTAGATACAAGACCGGGCGTGACATGGAGGAACGTGAGATGGTTGTGACTGGCGGTCGACGCGAGATGATCGAACGCCAGACTCGTGCACATGGTGGTGTGGTTGACGACTGCGGCGATTCCCCAGTGTTTTTTGAGCCCGATATCGGCTTCGTTGATCTTCTTCTCCTTGGTACCGTTGAGGATCGACAGGATTCGCGGCGTGGGCGATTTGTGAAGAAGAGGCAGCAAATTCGAAATGAGCCGCAAGCGGGAGTAGTATGAGACGGCAAAGCAGGATTCTAGACCCTCCTCTGTGTCTTGTCTTATATGTAAGCATCCATTTTACTTGTTTGTTAGGCGAATGGCGGCACTCACAAACTGCACCCTGGAACGGCATACCACCCGGGCTCACGCATATCATATCGACCTTATCCGCATCCTCGCGGATAATGCTGCATGCTTGATCAACTCCTGCAATGAGAGCGATTTGCGTCTCGACAAATACGATTTTGTTTGTGGTGTCAATCTTCTTCAGCTCGTCGAGCTTATCTTGGTAGCGATGAGGGTCCCTTCCGAGCACGTAGAAGGTTGAAGAGCGCAACATGCCAACCATCTCCCGTAATGTCGCCGCGCCGATTCCAGCAGTCGCGCCAGCAAACACACAGACGAGGCCATGGCGACCTTTGGCGGCATAGGCTGCGTTGCTGCTTCGAATATCCGTGATTATGACCATTTTCTCGATCTGGTAGAAGTGTAAGGTAAGTAAGGTAAGAACGTAAAGGTGGATATCAAAATCACCCGCGGTGTATGGTATACTCTACAGTCAAGAAAAAATTCTTGGGGCCCACGTTCGTACCTTTAAGAAGATTTCTCTCTCAGACCCTGAACTGATAATTTACAGCACAACATCCAAGTGCCCTGCCTCAATGCGGCGCGGTATACATCAAGGTCACACAACCTGTGCCTCCCCCTCTTCCTCCGACCAATCTCGTAGAGGCGGCTAGATATCTACCCTAAGAACCAAACAAAGGAGTCCGACTCGACATGAGCTTACTCCCACAATGAACCAACAGTCCCAGCGCAATGGAACTCATTGCCTACGCCTCGGGAGAGCGTGTAGCGGCATTCACTAAAGGCATATTCCCGTCGATGCCTAAGAGGCGAACCACTATTTTCGATTCCCGCCCCGCTCTGGCCCTACATACTAATAAACGCAGACTAAAAAGAATTGCCTTGTCTGTCTCGATTTCCCGACTAGAGTTCGAGCCCATAGCGTCACCCCACCATGTGATTGCAATGTCAATTTGCTGCTATCTGCAGCTCGCAACACCCAGCATTCTCCCCAAACGACCGACCAAAACTCCCCCTCTTCCGGAATAAGGCAAATTGGTTGGATAAAAACCTGCTTCTTTCTACGCCGTGCGTAGCGTTATTAATGGCGATTCATCGTCCAGAATTAACGTTCAGCTTTTATTGTTCTAGTAATATGATATGAATGCGAACACAGTGAAGACACACGCAGCGAGGAAAATAAAATCGAGGTAAAGGAAAGTAAGTAGTGTGCAGGTCTAGATTGTGTATATTAGGGCGGAGATTATGCGGTGAGTGGGTAGAGGGTTGGTGTTTCTAGCTTGATAGTATCTGCTAGGCTACCTTGTCAGAGGGGGATAATGGTGGTAGTCAGGAGATGGAAAAGTATATATTTACTCTCTGGCATTGAGGGTAATGCAGTCGTACTAATTCTACTGACTTGAGTCGCTCTTGGGAGATAAAAGAACGTTGAGTTTTGTGTTTTAGTTGCCTCTTTCTTCATCGCTAGCCCGCGAATCAGATGTCCCGTTTACCAGGATGATTGAAGTCTGTGAGAAGGTTTATACCTACAATCCACCACACGTCGTCACACGTATTAAAAAATAAATAGCAATGTACATATATATATATAACACAACATTCAATCAATAACTAACCCAAGGAGAAAGAAGAAGAAGAAGAAGAAGAAACATATACACACCCTACATCCCCCTTTCCTCCTTCTCAGACCATCCGTCTCGCACCACCACCATCATCCCTCTGCTCCCCAACACTTTCCAACTCCACCTCCTCCTCCCTAAACCCCGTCTCCCTCCTAACAGTAAGTCGTTCCCTCTCCTCCATCCGGCCATCCCCCAACCCCAAATCCATCTCATCATCGTCTTCTTCTTCGACAACGGTCCGGGGTTTGCTCTTCACAACGGCCGTCGACATGGTTGTGAAGATTGTGGTGTCGCCTTTTGAGGCGAAGAGGCTCGCGACGCGCGGCCAGTGGTGTTGGAGGAAGGCGGGGATGATGGTCATACTTGCGCATGTTATTGCTACGTTTACTTCGATAGTTCTGGGTGTTGGGTGAGTGGTTAGTTTTTCTCCTGTGGGGGTTTGAAAAGGGAAGGGGAAGAAGGAGGGGGTTGGGTGGGATTATACGCTCGCGAGGGGGGAATAATAGACAGAAAATCTCGCTGGCCGGCCATAGGAGAGAATGGGAATTGATGGAGAGGATTCTTCTCGCCTGCAAAGCGAAGCAAAACAAAGAAGGGGGAATCAGAAAGCAGCTGTAGAGAGCCCAGCCCAACCCCCCTCCCTCCCCCAAAACAAAAGAAAAAAGAGGATACGAAGATAGGAATGATAAACTCACGACCAAAACCCAATCTCGCCAAACCCTCTAGTGAAATCATCCGTCGTCTGCAAATGCCGCGTCTCCACCAAGCGCACTACACTGGCCGCGAGCGCAAAAACAGCCAGGCCAAACACGCTCAGCAGCCTGATCTTCCTCGCTGCCTGCATCTTCATGCGCAGCACCATTGGTAAAGGGAGGACGAGGACGAACAGGTCTTCGAGCACGTTGAGCGAGCCGTTGACGTAGGCCCAGGGTCGTCCGTTGCGCTGTTGCCGTTTGCGGGGTTTTAGTTAGCGAGATTATTCTTCTTTTTATTTATTTTTTCTCTTTGTGGAGGTTGAATGGAGACGAGGGGGAAGGGTGGGAGTTTTGATATTTGCAAATCGCAGGGGTAGAAACACAGTGCGAGTAAGGACGAGTGTCGAAGTTGTTGTGGAATGAAGAAGTAGAACATGACTATACGTACGCAATTCGGTCTCGGCGACAGCACTTTCCACACCTCGGACGGCGGGTTACACACGAAAACGACGGCGAAAAAAACCGTAATGTTGGCGAGTAAGATGACGACGTAGCCCACGCGGATCACGGTGCGAGCAGTCTTGTTGATGGCGAAGATGCGGTAGTACACGGTCAGGATCGCGAGGCGGTATGTTGTGCCTACGATGATGTAGATCCAGGCTCCGTAGGCGTTAAGCTATTTAGCACCATATCCTCGAATCAGCTTTCCTTCTTTTCTGGTTTATTGTCTTACTTTCTTTCTCTGTGGCTATAGGGGAAAGGAGGGGAAGGAGAGTCAAGAGAACAAAAAAGAAAACGAACCTCAAGACCCCGCTCCATCATGCCAACAGGAACATCCCAAACATGTCTCCCAATGCCAAACTCATAGCTCCAAAGTATCAACGCAGACATGCTCACCGCCAAGCCATACGAAACCATGAGCAGCGCTACAACATCACATCACGCACAACGCCTACACGTTAGCCTCCCGTTTTCTCCCTCGATGTCTTTTCCCACCAATAATCGTACCACACTCATGCATGCGAAGTGCGGGGGGGGAGGAAGGTAGCAAAGGAAAGGAAGGGAAGGGGAAGAAAAACACACCATCATCCCACCCAAAAGACTTGACAACGAGCGTGCGCGTATAACTCCTCAACGCAACCGCAAAGGTAACGAGGCTCAGACAAATCACATGGCCGGCGATATTCCGGGTCCGTTGGTCGTCGGCGGGGTTATGTGGGATGCCGGGCGGAGGAGCGAGGAATGTTTGCGAGGGATCAGTAGGAGGAGGAGAAGGGACGTTTTCATCGAGGGATTGGCGTGGGGTTAGAAGATGGGCGAGGAACAACGACGAAGACGACATGGTTTTGAACGTTTCTTCTTCTTCTTCTTCTTCTTCTTCTTCTTCTTCTTCTTCTTCTTCTTCTTCTTCTTCTTCTTCTTCTTCTTCTTCTTCTTCTTATTGTGCTGGTTATATGTGATAGTGGGGAGGCATGGGGACCGTTGAAGCGTCTCGGTATACCTCCGCGAGGCGAGGCGAGGCGGGGTGGGGTGGGCGTTGGGTACACGGGGATGGCGAGGGATTCTGGAAGTGAAGAGGGGAGCCAAGAAGGAAGGTAAGGCTTAGTGGGGGAGGGGGAGAGAAGGGCTATATAATCATCGTACAAGTATCATTCCATCATCGTCCGAACCTCCTCGGCTTATCAGACGCGGAGGAGCAGAGCATGGCTATGCAGATCGCAAACGAGATCGGTATAGCCGATAAGTATACTCGACGAGCTGAACCCTCCACCCTAGAAAAGAAAAGGTAGAGGAGAGAAAGGGAGAGAGACTAGATGTTTATCGTGGGTTCTCTTCGTATGTACCTTGCTAATGGGGGTGTTTGACTAGCCAGGTACGTCAAGTGTATCAGCACAAATCATTATCACACACAAAACTCCATGGTAATTTCTCGGCTTCTGGCAAATCGTGGAACCGCTAATGCTTATACTTACCAGTTTATTATAATCTCCACGCCCCCAGTGGTGTAGTCTGATACGCCTTTTCAAGATGGAATAGTGACGTTAGTGCGTGATCGGACACAGGGATGTGCGAGATTTTGGGGGCGCTTTTGTTTCCCTTTCTAGCGAGACTCTCTCGTATAATCAAACTGCACACTTTAGCCACGGGCCGTTCACATTGCGAGAAAATAGAGCATACGCCAGTGGCGTTTGTTGATGCAGGTATCGTAGGGCTGAGATGGAATGAGTTATATATAGCTTGGTGCAATTGGTTGGAAGATGTTCGCATATTTGTGGCGTTGGAGTTCGCGGATAGCAAGAACAAAAGTCCGTTTGTTCAGCGAAGGGTGGTTAGTCCATCAAACGTCTCCGTGTACTTTAGAGATGCACATGTTGCTAAGAACCGTGCCCTTGCATGAATCTTGTCGTGTCTCAAGTCCACCTATTCACGATGTGGGTACTAAGGGGATACATGGAAGTGATTAAGTCGTGCTCTTTTGAGTACAGCCCTATATTCTACATCCTATAAGGCGTTTCCCTTATGCAGAACGATCTTATTCGCAGCAACTTGGCGAAGTCAGCAACCATCTTAAAATGGGAACGGCCAAGCTATGTCGACAAATCGTAGGTATAGATACAGGTAGATGAAATAGTGACCCACGAGCAAAATCCACCGCATCCATTAAGTAATGCACACGAACGGGTAGAAACATCAAAATAGAGAAACGACACATAGAAAAAGTATCGTACTGTTCATCCGCGCATCACACTAGACTGTATAATTAGTCAACACCCCAGCATGGTTCGATGAAATTGTATTTCGATTTTATTCATGTTTTTTCCTGCCGGTGAGGGCATTCATTTTGTCTACACTGTAAGATGGAAAATTATACAGCGATGTATCTAGAATGCAGAATATACGTGGATGGATTGGAAATTGGATGGCACAAATGGCAGATACCATAAGCGAAGCTGTGAATAGATGACTCGCGATGTGTAGTGTGATGGGAGATAATGGTTGCGTATAAATGTCAGGCTCGCTCCATAGATATGCAAAGATTGGGAACAAAACCGAGATGTGCGCGAATGGCTGGAAAACAGAAGGGCAAGGGCGAAAAAAAGAAAAATTGAAACAGTTGCAGATCATAATCATATCGAGTCAGCTCTTGACCGACCCTAAGAAAGTAGAAGAGCAAAAAAAAGGAAAGAAAAAAAAGACAGGCACAGATGCAATGCATAATGATTCCACAGCACTTCTTTCGCGAGAAGGGCACGCACAAAGAGAAATTTTCCTCTAGCAGGAAAAAAAGGAAGAAGAAAAAAATGCACCAACAATGCCAAGACGCTTCAAATGCAATGCTCAAATCTCCCATGCGGAGAAACTGTCTTCGTCTTGGTCGAGACGGGTCGTGTTGTTGTCAATATCGTGAAACTTTGCACACCGCTCTACTGGACAGACAGACTGACAAGTGGACAAGTGACAAGTCTGGCACTAGCGATGCCGCAAAGCTGCCGAAGTTGCCGCAGAAAAAAAAGCAACGAAGAAAAATAAGACGAGTGAGATTGGTGGCCAGAGTGTGTCTGATCGGCAAAATGGCCGAACGCGAAAAGGGTCCACCCAGGAAATCAAAAAACGACCGAGACCGCCTCGCCGGTTTTACTCGATACAATTTGCAACGCAAGACCCCCACTCTAGCAAGTGAGGCTGGTCGCGGCCCCCGGTCACCCCTCCGATCCACTCAGCTGCCCGGGCTTGTAGGGCCGTAGGCAGCCCCACCGAGGTACGGCACGCGACATCCTGGGTGGTTAGGGGATGCACGCGACGCTCACTCCGTAGTGGCATCTGCTGTAATTCCGGCCTTCCTAATGGGCAGCCTGATGCCGGGCATGATAAAGAATCGCGTCTTGGATTGCTAAGGCTCGACAAGACAATGAGGAAGGTGCAGATGTATGCAGGGTCGTCCGGAAGGTCAGATGTATGCGTATGCGAGATTGGGTAGAGATTGGCGAGGGTTGCTGAGCTGGCATGCTGTGAAAATTTTCGCCACCAGGGAATAATGGCTAGGTGCCTCGGGGGATTTGGATTGTCATGTTGGAGCTTGCTTTTCCGGTCAGTACATGGCCAAAAACCAGAAGAGGGTCCATTCCGAAACGGTGTTCGTAGGGTTGTGCAGCCCAGCGCCTGGCACGATGCTTGATGTGTCGCAAAACAGGAAAACTCTAGCAGCCGAGGTTGTCGCACCGAGGAGGCACCGCCCGTTGACGTAGTTGGTATTGTAGCAGAGAATCCGCCGTTGGAGATCCCCGCGTAGATCATCCTGCTAACCATTACCTGTATTTTGCATTTTTGCAACAGGTTGCCGGTTTCGCCTCGGTGCGAGCGTAAGGGTGGGTGGTGGAGATGCATGTGTGCCCAAAATCGGATGCAAGTATGCACCAACATGGCTCACACTTCGTTTGCGAGAACAGAAACCCATCTTGCGGGCACACCGCTCTGAGCTTCACTGGTGGAAGGCGATCTGTTCCCATCCAGCTTCCTTGGTGGTAGCCAAATGCGTGCTTTGCCGACTGCCTTTGCATCCAGCTTGCCAACGCGGCGCATGTTCATTTCGAGCACGATGACTCTCAGAAAATCGCAATTTTCTCTGGGTTCGCGCTGACGTACAGGTGGGGATGGCGATAACGCTCTTCCGGCTTCAGAAAAGGGATCGGTGCCTTTGCGGCGTCTGTTGGAGCGTCCGCGACGTTCGTAGGTCTGCATTTGGATCATGGGAGCGGCCGTCTCCTCATCAATGTCCAGCATGAGTGAATCGTGCAACTGCATTGAGAGCTCGGTCGCGGAAGTGGCCGTTGGCTGAGGGTTCAGATAGCGCCTGAGTGCCGGAGACGGCAACCCTTGCATCTGTTTGGGTCGCATTTCGCTTGTGAACTTTGGTGACAATAACGAGCGGGTAAGTAAATCATCCGGCGGCACACTGGGAGCGGTGAAATTGGAAAACGATTTCGCAGCCGACTTCAAGGCTTGGAAAGATGCGGTCAAATTCGATTTTAATGATCGGAATCTTTCCGACGACGCGGTGGGCGCGGTGACGATGTCGGCCACGGGAACTTGTATGGCGTCTTCGTACTCATCCATGTTGTAGTGAAGCAATGGATGATCCGAGATACAGTCTTCTTTTGGTGGCGACGATACGCTCTTCTCTCGGCGCTCTGATATTGACCGTGTCCGGTAAGACTCTGGTGTGCTCATGTTGTCCCACGTTGATATGAAGGATGGGGAGTCCGTATCCAAAGAAGGCGGTATCGTAGATATTGACTCGCTTGAAATAGATCGCGAAGTCACTGAAACAGACTCTTTCTCTTGATCAAGACTCGCAAGGCTGTCGTATTCGTCGTCGGACTCATCCACACGACCCAGAAGCAGATCCAAGGGTGAGCCGACGACAGAAGCGACCAGGTCGGTGTCGTCCTGTCTCCACTCCTGGATCAACTCGTCCATAGACATGGTCTTCTCCATGGATGAGCCTTTTCGGCGGCGCTGAGGCATCTTTGGGATTTCGGTGACGGCGAGTAAAGCGGCAACAGCAGGCGGGACGGCATCGGACTTGTGGTTCTTGGGAGTACGGTGTGGCCTGCCTCCGTGGTGGCCTCGGGCTCTCAAGGTGCGAGTCGAGGTTGCGACGCCAGGTCGCGTGGGCGTCGAACGCGGCGGGATGACGACGGGTTTTGAATGCATGGGTGCTGCAGGAACGCGGCTACGATCCGAATGCGATATGGGTGGTGGATCTTCCTCGAAGATTGTGGGCGACGAGTAATTGGGCGTGGAGGGTTTGGGTTTGGGTGATGGTGATGAGGAGTGTTGCCTTGCTCCCATGGTTCGCGGAGGAGTGCGCAGAGACGATGAGGGAACGGGCTGGTGAAGGAAAGATCTAGGGACCATCATAGTGGGAAGCTGCGGGAATCCCGTGACCGAGGACGGGGCAGCAGTGGGCTGTGACGTTTTGGCGGATTAAGGGTTTACGTGTTGGCTAGTGTGGGATTGGACGGCGGCTGCAAGGGCACTTAGGTAACGTCCATCAGGGCAGCAGGGGGGGATCGCAAGTGGCCGAGGGTGCCCGTTTGGGAGGATGTTGGTGCTGATCGATATCAAACGGGATGGGGACATGTACGAGACGAAGAAGAAGAAGAGGAGGGAGAAGAGGAGAAGAGGAGCGATGAGGATAAAGAGGTGTAGAGAGAGAGAGACAGAGAGCGTGGTGTATGTAGTGTCGTGTCATGGTGGCTCGGGGGTGACGGATGATAACAAAGATAGATAACAAAACATGGGGTGCATGGTACACATGTCAAGCCATTCCGATCAGTCAGTTGGTTGGGGAAAGATAACCGCAGGGGGGGTTCGGATGGTGGTTAGTTGGGCGGGCTAGCAATCGTTATCGCGACGGCTCTGCCTGGCTTGGTGGTGACTGACCGGAAGGCCGTGTAAGTATGTATGTAGAGGGTACACTCCACCCACAGTATAGTGCATGGTACAGTGCAGTACAGGATACTTGGTACTCAACTCGACAGCCACACCTCTCGCACGCGACCGTCAACACCAGCCCACGACATTGTGCAGCCGCACGGGTTGGCGGGAATACTCGACAATCCTCCATAGCTGTGCATGTACAGTCAGTCAGTGAGTCCATGTATGCCATGCCAACACACACATGCGCACACCCCTACATAGCATCAATAAAACAGCGCAAATGACTCTTCATTACCACACATTACATGCTCGTGAGTTGTGCGTGGCTCACTCAGCACACATTGCACCAGGCCAGCCAGTCAGCCAGCCAGCCAAGCCACCTCCCCACTCAGCCGCGCGCCCATCCATCTATCTATTCCCTATACCCGCATCCCCATCTCCTCACCTCCTCACCGCGTCGCATCTTCTTCAGCCTCCCTTCTCTCCTGCCCTTCATGGTCATCACTCCCGCCGACAGGGCTGATCACTCCCCCACATCAGTCCATTCATTCCTTCCCACAAATCCTTCGCTTCACTCCCAAAACAAAAATGCACTATACGTGTGGGCCTCGGGCTTCCCGACTATCGCGGCTCTTTTCTTTTATTCTCCATCCTCTGTGCTGTCTTGTCTGCGACTCTGTTGAATGCCCGGGGCGAGTACGATAAGTCCATGTGCGCCTGTGCGGTGGCATGACCGGTGATGATGTGGCCATTTAGACTGCTGCTTTGCTTTGTCCCTCACTTCACTGGTCCGTCGGTGGATATCGCCGGCCCGGATAGATCCGTTCCTTCAACAACTCGTCGGCACCTCTTCTCCCCCACACTTTTTCCGCTTCTTCTCCAGTCTTTGGGCTCCGATGGTCGTGTCTTTTCCCCACGCCGACCAAGCGTCGGTATTCTGGTTTGGCGACCGTTGGTTGACTTGATGTAACCTGTTCGCGGGCGCCGTGCTGTGATTTGATGTGGCTTGTTTGCGGCTTTGTGTCGTTTGACTGTGATTGGCTCTTCCTCTCTGCGTGGTGCTTTGCTGCTTGTGCGTTTAGAGTATACTTCACCAACATTTGATGATTGCGAGTGAAGACAGTGTCATGTTTGGGGAACCCAAGTTTGCACGGTCAACGCCATCCCACGTAAAATAATAGAATGTCTTGGAAAATGGGTATATCTATCGCTTGATGCTGTTCTATCCCGCCGCTGAAGTCCAGTCTCTAATGCTGGTTTGAACCGCGTGGTCCCTCTTCATAGCTCCCCAGTCGCATTGCGGGAGCATCGCTGTCTCATCCTTCATCGTTGATCGAGACAGATGGACATTTCCAAGATAGACTATGTGTCCTTGACGCGATGCCCGAGAAAGCCCACTCGCCATCCTCCGGCACACACTGTCGATGTTTGGTGAAGGGCGGCATCCATAATTCGAGAATTGCAAATCGTCGAATCGGATCAAACGTGTAGCATCAAACCTCGATGGTAGCCTTCCCTTTACATGCATAGCTTTTTCCCCTCGAGACTCCATCCCCTCCTCATCTTTGTCCACACCATCGGGCTTCCCTCGAATCAAATCTGCTTTCGACTCAATCGTTTCCAATCGCAGTCTCTCCATTTCTTCAAAGATACTTCTTCGCGGCAGCAGCAACTCTCGCCTTGAACACCGGGCTCTTCACCACATCTCCATTCCCCGCATGGAAGAAGGGATTCATAACCGTCTTCACCCAAGCCTCGTAAACCTCCACGAAGAAATTCTTGACAGCTTCTTCCGTCGCAGGTGCAGACGGGTTATATAGCCCCCCACCACCCGTCATACCCGTGCGACCGCCCGCGAGACTCCCGCGATTGTTCCCAGAGCCGCCCAGTCCTAGTGCCTCGTCCCGCGGCCGCGTGAGCAGGAGGAATCGCACGTTTGCGCCAGTAACCCAGCACGAGACGAAATTGTTGGCGTATTTGTCGATGTGCTTGAGGTACATGGGCGCGGAGCCTGATGAGGTTGAGGGTCCCCATTGCACTTCTTCGACCATGTCTAGCGCCGAGTGCAATACGAAGGGTGCCATGGAGCGCTCGGCGGTTGTGAAGTGTGGGACGCCATCGCCACCCGATCGCGATGTTCCAAACTCATGCGTGAAGAGAGGAGTGTCGGTTGGTGAGAAGATGGTGAAATAATAGGACATGGCGGAGATGTAAACGTGGGATGTGGGTGGTCTGAGCGAGGATAGATGCAGCCTCAGGTGATAATATCCAGGTAAATTCCCTCTGACTCTTTCTCCTCAAACACTCTAAGTGAGTCTCTTCTTCCTGCACTTTCGCGGATTTGCGACTCTGGAATTCGCGGCTGTCTTGTCAACATCATGTCCATCTCGGAGGAGCTGCGGAGTTGCTGCCGACAGGGATGCGCGCCAAGCACGGGCCCAAGCGCATCTTTTCCACGACCTCATCCATCAACTATCTCCATCGTCCGATCCCGATAATACATCACGCCGCCACAATGTTCGGTCCATTCCGTCTCACAAACCCGCTCTCGGGTGGCCTGCTATGGTACGTTCTCTTACTCTGCATTGGGGAGAACACCTGTCTTCTCTTCGCGAGACTTCTCTCTCCTTACGAATAACGGCTCACAACTCATTAGGAAAGTCCCATGGCGTCTATCCCGCCACCAAAAGTACCGACAGCGCAATCGCCTCCGAGCTGTTGATACCGTCGTCAGCACACTCGAAAATGCCCTTGCACGCGTGGGTCAGAGCATGAAGAAGGTGGAACGGTGGAAAGTTGAGATGCCGACTGAGCAGGAAATGCTGCCAAGGGATAAATACACGGTGTTCGACCGCAAGGTGAAGAGATACAGGAAGGGAATTCATAGTAAGTGGGAGATTATCTTTTCGTCGAACCCGGGATGGGAGGGATTGAAAAACACCGTAATTGGTTATGGACTGTTTACATGTCGCATGAGATCGAGTATGAGACCAGTCTGCTAACAATCAAGCAGAAGTGCCGAAATGGACAAGAGTGAGCCAGCGACTCAATCCACCCGGTTTCTAGACAGTCAGTGGCTTTATTGGGCGCCTTTTCGATTACGATGTACAATACTTGTGTGAAATAACGAACAATTGTTCATGGTCGCTGCTTCCTATCTCCAACCCAAGCCAGCCTGGCTCGCCTTTGAAGCCGTCCTTGCTGATATATGTATCACGATACCTCGAGCGATGCGCGCACTTGACTGAGCTCTGCGAGATCCTCAAGACCTCACCTTCTTATGAGGAAAGTCAGTCTTCGATCCTGCCGTGTTGCTACGCCTGTACTGCAGGTTGTCCAGTCAAAGTTGGACGACCATCGAGATTTTAGCACCTTGTCGACCTCCGCGGATGTCTTGCCTTGGATCAAGGTAATTGACGTCCCCAAGCTCTTGATGCGACCTGCTTCCAATCACACTCATCGCGAAATGGCGGTCTACGCTGAGGTCCTCACCTCTGACCCCATATTGTTTATTACCTTTGACGGCTCTTGAAAGCGCGCTAGTCACTTGGCTCCTTATACGTCCTTCTTCTTCCTCTTCTTCATACACACTCGTGCTTCACCTCGATTTTGATTACCCCGCACTTCACATTCATCTTCACCATGGAGTCTTGGCTCTGTCTGCCCTGTCTAACTTTTGTGCTCTACGCTTGTCTCTCTGCTTCTCTTCTACCAACACCAACACCTTGATTTTCTACCTTCTGACACACCCACGCAATGGCACCGCCTCCCCCAGTCACGATCGAGCAGCTGAAGCTGCAACAAAAACTGGAGCTGGATTCATTCGAGCGAAAAGTTGCAATCGCCCGGCAGAAGCTACATGCCGAGCACAGACGTCAGCGAGACAAACTACGAGTTATTGGTCTGTGCGATTCAGATGATGAGTCGGTCAACCAAGTGCCCGCTGCTCAACCACAGGCTGTTCGACCTCAGACTGGACCTTCTCGTGGGCGATTTGACGTCTTTCAGCAGCCGCTGTCAGATGTTGTCAACTCCACTTTCTCTAATCATAGCCCGACTGAGGAGCCTATGCTACAGACCCCCACAAGTGTGATTGATCTAGTCACCGATGACGAAGCCGTAAAGACGCCTACGAAGTCAGCTACCACTGCGCAAACAACACCGCCAACTACCCCACAACAACAAGCGCACACACAAGCTGATGCTAATGCTAGCACTCCTCAGAAGCTGGCAAATAAGCAAACATTAGACTTTAGTCCTAGCTTGTCTATCACTCGAGCGTCGGTAGCACAACAAGGTCAAGCCCTACCAGTTCGGTTTCAGAAACCCTCAGATCGCAAACGAGTACGGAATGTGAGCGATGCCGAGTCAGCCGATGACACAATACCATCTACCCCTGTTGGCCGTCGCCTTCCGTTGTCTACGCCCGCACGTCCAATTCCCAACAGGACTCTTATGGTACCTACCCAAAAACCTATCCGGCAACCAAATTTTGGTGATGGGAGTGACAGCGAACCTGATGTCGATACACCTAGCAAGTCAACCAACGTGTACGGTATGAAGGCATGGTCTCGCGACCGGTTAGGTGGCGATCGTTACCTTGCGCGTAAGCGTGAAAACAATGTTGAAGAAACACCTCAACTTCAATCGCCGGAGCAGCAAGTGCAGAAGAAGAAAAAGAAGAAGATGGCCCGCACCGATCAGGATCTCAAGAAAAATTCAAGGACACATAAGGCAATTTGGGCGAATGGACGATTGAATTGGGTCGAGAGGACTGAGAACGTCGAAAAGATGGTGTGAGGATCGTACAGACCGCCACCCAGCCTCTTTCTTCCTCGACGTACGAGCGCACTCGATTTCCCCGCTTGACAATGTCTTGAGTCAGATCAATCCACATTCGCCCACCAATCGATTATCAGACATGGCTCTGGGTGAACATCTGGTATACAAAATGGGGATATCAAACTCGAGGGAAGATTTCACAACAACAACTGTCATACCAGCATGATTTTACACACAGACGGCTTTTTTTTCCTTTTGCTCCTCCCCTCTCTTTCCTTTTATCCCCCTTTCCCCCCGTTATGGTTATGTTCTTGCTTTAGAGTCTTTGACTTGCGGGACGTCTCTCTTTCTCCTTTTCTCTCTTTTGGACAAGGAATAATCGGGCGAGTCAAGTCAAGTGGATCAGGGCAGAAGTTTTGCATTTGACTGCTTGGATGAGTTGGGGATGGTCTGAAGTATCGGAACTCGAGGGGCGGCAATGGAGAGAGAGAGGAATAGTCCACTAGTCTTTGAATAAAAGCGTCTAGTACCTAGAAACCCTTCTAGTCCCGAACAATGTGGAAACTCGTAAACCCACATTCAAAAAAAAAGACATGGTATACAGAATGATTGACCTCTTTTTTGTTTGTCTGCGTGCCTTCTCCTTGCATGGGTAGGATGTATCAAGGAAAAGAAGAAGAAGAACAAGAAATCGTTGTTGATTCTTTTGTATTTCTTTGGAAATTACCTGATCAGGTATTTCGCATTCAATCATCACAAAGTCTAGATACATAGATCCTTTTTTTCAATGTCTCCATTATTTTCATTATTTTTTTCGTCGTTGATTTGTATGTTTACGGTATACTCGAGTCCCATCCTCCATGGCACCTTCGCATATCCACTTATCTACCATCCTCGGTTTGATTCTCGTCTTCGAATTCGACGAGTGCGGTGCCGGCTTTACATAGATCCTGCGAAAACGAGAAAGAAGAAAAGTTAGCGGCTATTCTCAACCTTGATGATCCAAAGAAAACGATGGAAAGAGAAATGGGGGATTTGGGGGGGGGGGAGGGGGGGAGAAAAAAAAGGAAGAGAGGAAGGTAATAACTCACGCCAGCACCATGAACAACTCTCCTCACAGTCCCGCGACTCGGACTGCGAATCACCGTCTCCATCTTCATGCTCTCAATGACTACGAGAGGTTGGTCTTTTTCCACCACATCACCTTCTTTGATTTCGACTCTCAGTACTTTGCATGGCATGGGCGCCAACACGCTGTTCGCTACGTCCTTGACGCCGAGCGCTTTTTCCGCCCATGTGGGTAACGCGAGTTGGAGACGGTACTGTTTCCCTTGCTGAAAGAGCGTTAGACGGTCCGCGTCGCGGACGAACGTTGTAGCGAGGCGCGTGTGCGGATAGAATGTAGTTAGGGTGTTGGAGGAGGGCGCGAAGGAGGCGGTGACGTTTGCGAAGACGTGGGTGGAGTCGCCGACGGTGATGTCGAATGTGGAGGGGGCAGTCTGGTGGATGGAGATTTTGGTGGGTGGGGTTGTGTTTGGGATTGATGTGTTTGCGGGGACTTCGACGATGGAGAGGGTGCGGCGTTGAAAGGATGTTCCGTTGAATCCTGTGGCGGTGACGGGAGGCGCGGTGAACGGGTCGCTGTTCTGCGAAGAGGAGAGTTCTTGGAGAGCGACGGCGAGAGCGGCTTGCGCGTAGACTTCTGGGGCTGGCGGGGATGGCGTGAAGAGCTCGGCGTGGTGCTTTTGAATGTATCCTGTTTCGACGTCGCCGGCGACAAAGTCTGGGCTTGTGCAGATACGTTTGAGGAATTCAATGTTGGTAATGGGGCCAGCCACTTCGTAGTCTTCAAGAGCAGCTCGGAGCTTTTTGATGGCGGCATCACGGGTTGGGCCTTGGACAATGAGTTTGGCGATCATGGGATCATAGTGCGAAGAGACTTCGTCACCAGCGACAAAGCCCGCGTCGATGCGCACTGTGGGGGTTGCTTGTGGGGTTTTGAGGTGCAACAGGCGGCCCGAGTCTGGGATGAAGTTCATGTCGGGATTCTCTGCATAGATGCGGGCTTCGATGGCAGCTCCTCGCTCTTTGATCCTTTGCTCGACTTCCTGCTGGGTTAGGGGTAGCCGACCTCCCTCTGCCACGATCAACTGCCACCGTACCAGATCCTCGCCTGTGACCATCTCAGTGACAGGGTGCTCGACCTGCAACCGCGTGTTCATCTCCATGAAGAAAAACTCGCCGGAATCGTTGTCGAAGATGAACTCGACGGTACCTGCACCTTCATACTTGACGGCCAGAGCGGCCGCCCTCGCCTTCTCCCATATATCCTGGCGGATCGACTCCTCAAGATGCGGAGCAGGTGACTCCTCGAGGATCTTTTGGTGGCGGCGCTGGATGCTGCAGTCGCGCTCGCCCAGTGCTACACAATTACCATGCTTGTCTGCGAAAACCTGGACTTCGATATGCCGGGGAGTGGTAATGTATTTCTCCACCAGCATCACCTCATCACCAAATGAGTTACGGGCCTCAGACTTAGCAGACGCCAATTGGTCGAAGAATTCCTCCGGCTTGCTCACAATGCGCATGCCTTTTCCACCTCCGCCCTTGACAGCCTTCAAAAGTACTGGGTATCCGATCTTAGCAGCCTCGTTCTTCAAATGTTCAGGGTCCTGATTAGCGCCATGGTACCCGGGTATACATGGGACGCCAGCCGCGGTCATGATGTCTTTTGACTCGCTGTCAATCGTTGATTAGACTGCTGTATGAACAACAACGTGGGAGCTGTCCAAAATACCTCTTGCTTCCCATAGACTCAATGGCTTGCCACGGCGGGCCAATGAATGTGATACCAGCCTCAGTACACTTCCGTGCAAAGACGGGGTTCTCGCTCAGCTACGCTGTGGTCAGCCGTATTCTGCTACAATTGCCCAAACCGCATACAAAGCCATAACCCGGATGTATCCCTTGACAGCCCTGCTCTTTGGCAATCTGGATTATTCGGTCTCCATCCAAGTAGGCAGAAGCTTCGCCGAGGTTGATGGCATAGGGCGAGCTCAGAGCATGCTGGGATTGAGCATCTGGGTCGGTGTAGAGAGTTGTGGTCCGAATGCCGTACTCTGAGGCTGTCCTGCCCACTCGTCTGGTACATGAGTTAGCGAGTTGCTCTCTCCAGATGTTTAGATTTTGAGCAGACACACAGAGCAATTTCTCCACGGTTTGCTATCAAGACCGAAGTGAGCGGCTTAACGGAGGAAGCTGCTGCTGTAGAGTTATGGCGCACAGCGTTGGTAGCTAGCAGGCAGCGCGAGAGGCGGGTGGATTTCTGGACAGCACGCATTGTCACACACAACCAAGAAGACAATGGGATCCAGTTGAAGCAGATTACTAGCTATAGAAGAGAAGAGAGCAAAGGAAGAGTGGGACCAGGAATGACACTTTTTGCTGAACAAACATTGGCATGCATGCGGGATAGTTGAGGATAGACGGGGGAGGTGCCTCGGCTTAGGGACAGAGCCGTTGGTTGCCGGACGCATGTCCTTCCCCGGATTCTTGGCGTGAATACTCTATGTAGATCCATCTGTTGACGTATCGCGTCGGTAGGGGTGAGCTGGCTGGCTGCTTGCCCATGGCCGAGGGGCACGACGCGTGTTTACTTTCTTGACTCGATCCTCTACACACCTCATCCCGCCGCGGACGACCATTACCTTGTACCTATTGATACTGAACTAAATTGAACCTGATCGATCATACATACACTCAACCAACGTCACTACCCGTCTGTGCTACCTCCGGGTCAGTGCTTACATTACACGTCAATTCGCTCCCTCCCGCAAAACTTTATCGCACATCGCCGACGACAGCCCGACTTCACCCAAACTTCCAACACCCTTCTTTCCACTTCACCTCCGCTTTTCCGCTCGCATTCTGATCTCCGCCGCCCGACCAGGCTCCCGCTGCAAGCGCCTCCGCCCGCCGCTATCGAACGACGTTTCTTTGTTCCAGTTGCGCCGCGCCGCATGCTCTCTCCCGCTGCCCCACATCCACAATGAGCGACTACGGCGACGACTCCGATTACGAGTATGGTGCAGGGGACTGGTTCTATGTCGAGGAGGAGTATATGCCCGCCGACGACCTCGCAGAGCATGCTGTACAATCGCCGCCCCCTACCGCGTACGATGAGGAAATGATGGAGGAATGGGACCGCTTCGACTATTTCAACGACATCGAGTATGCCTCCGATGGCTACGATAGCGCCACATTCGAGACAAAGAACTGTCCGGGGGACACAAAAATTGGTCAGAAGCGAAAGCGTCGTCCCGCGACGTCCCCTCGCCCTCGGAAGAGGCATCAGCCCGTTCAAGCACCCGCAATTGGCCAGGGAGACGCCGATATGCTCACCAACGCCCCCGTAGTATGGCGATCGCAGGCGGACCGCGACATTGCTCCCAAGCCGTGGAACGGAGATACTGGATCTTACGCACTGCTGAAGGACTGGAGGGAGAAGCTGGCTGATGCGCCCTCGTTGACCCCAAAGTCATCACAACTGGCAACCCCAGCATCAGTCGCAGCACACACACCCAATATCAATTCCTCTCGATTGACGGAGTCACTATTGACCGCTACAACTGTGGAACCTGAGGGCGACGATGCTGGAGTAGAGGGTGACGAGGGCGATGAGGGCGGGGCACTGGATCCTGCAGCTATTCTCGCTGTCCTGCAGCAACGTCTAGCTGCCGAAGGTGGTCCACTCAGCGGAATGAACCCCGAGCAAGTGCTGCAATTCGCCATGCGCATGGCCAACGGCGAGGGTGCAGACGATGATATTGCAGGCGAAATGGCCGACGAGATGCTGGAGAACATGCTGGGCGCAGGCGACGAGGACGAGGAAGAAGATGCCGACGCCGAAGCAAACCTCCGAACATGGGTCAGTCAACAGCGTAATCCATCCAACACCACCCCCGCGACGAACGGAGACGCATCGACCGTCAATGCAAACCATTCTCCTGCCGAGCCTTCTTCCTTACCTCCACCTCCCACCAGGCCACCCCGTAAAGACGCCAACGAAGACGAAACTATGCACGGCGCTTCAGCAGAAGCGGACGGCGCCAACACACAAGAGGAACCCAGCACCGCTCCCTCTCCACCTCCCGTAAAAGGAACCCGTAAGCGTAAAGCAGCGCCTACAGACGCTGGTCCTGCCACCAACACCAAACGTCGTGCCACGCGCTCTTACCAATCCTCTACAGCAGCCAGCCAGGCCAAAACCGTGCCTGCTACCCGCACCACAAGGAGTACACGGAGTAAGCGCTGATTGAGCAAACTTGGTTCGATGGAATGGCATATCCTCTGGACCTGCTGCGCGCGTACCGGTACGTGAGGTATGTCCGTATGGTTGCTCCACGTGCTACGAGAAAACCTCCTAGGCATGACTCATGCTTTCACTTTCTAGAGAGGAACTTATTCTGTTTCTACCCTTTTTCCCCCTCTTCGCAATGTCCCTCGGGAACCTTTTTGCTTTTTAATCTTCTCCGTTGGGGTTTTGGTCCCCACGCCATCTGGGCAAGGAGTACGGTGGGTATATAGCGCTCGGTTGCTTCAAATCAAATCGGTAGCTAGCTCTCCCCTGGAAGAATGGATTGAATTTGAATCTGAAACTACATGACCCTTTTGACAGCTATTCGATATTAGCTCTGAGTGGATTGCCCCCGCCGCCCCTTTCCCCTCTTACTCGTCATTGCTGTGGTTAAGAATTATCTTCCAGAATCGTTTTCTTCCATTCATGCGCCGACTAGACATCCCATCTTCCTTTGGCCATCCATCACTGTAGTTTAATATCGATCACAAGGAACAGTCTTGGCGTCATTAAAACCACGAGCACCCTAAATAATCCTCTGCTCTCCACACTATATTCTCCGCAGTGAGTTTTTTTTGATTGGAAGTTACAGTGTTTCCTACACTCAAAAAGGCTAATAAAAATGATCTAACAAAAAGTAGGCGAGTACTAAAATGTCTCCGCAGTGATTAAGGAAGAAATTACGTTTTTTTGGTCATAACTAGCTACGCCTCCCCTTAATTTTATGTCTTTCTCGGGGCGTTTACAGTGAGGACTCTTGCTAGAGTTACCACAAACTAGCAAAAAGTCTGGTTCTTGCGAGAAAAAAAAATAGGGTAATAGCTACACAACAAAGGTTGTGTGTGGAGATGGTTATTTTCCTGTTTCTTCCTTCTCCTCCTCCTTGTTCTTCTTTTCTTACTTCTGTTCCTTCTCTGCCTAACATATTGTATACTACTTGAGTATGACTTGCAATAACAAACTAATGTGTGAACTACATCTATACTACTTCTAGAAACTATAACACGCGTTTGTTTGTCTGTTTGTTTGTTTATCTATTTCTACAGGGCAGTCCATCTGCTGTACAAGTCTTTAACCTAACTACTTACTTACTTACTAACTTGCTTAATTACTCAAGAAATCTAGAAACTCCAAGGAAAACCATGTTAATCGCGCTAGAAGAAGAGGAGAAGAGAAAAAGAAACATGTACTCTTTGTCTTCTTCTCCCCTCCCTTGGGCAGAGGGAGCAGCACAAGAACGTTATAATAGCCCTTTCGAAATCTGTAAACTTGCTACAAATACGGTCTAAAACATAGTCTACTACTGTCGACGACAGCAACAACAACAACGCGTTATGTTATCTATGTTATGTGTATACCTATACTATACAAAAAGTCCGTGATTGTACCGTAAGCGGTCAAGTTGAGTCGAGTCGATGTTAAAGGCCTGTCTGCACGGCATGTATACTCTCTCTTTAACTAGGCACCTTACACTGTACTACTATCTATCTATCAAAATCATCTAGCCTCAGCCCTAACTAACTATCTTGAGCTAGCTGTATAAGCAGCCTATTCTTTTTTTCTTTTCTTGCTGCGAAATTCTGCATATATGTAATACGCGCCCTAGCGCAGCGCAGCGCAGCGCAGCACAGCGAATCTAACTAGACCTTTACTTACCTTACCTTTGTGTTTCTCAGCATTCTCTCTCTCGAGGAAAAAAGAAAGAAAAGAGCAAAAAAACTTGAATGTCTGCAAGGGGGAAAGAAAGGGAAAGTGGGGGAAAGCGAAAGAGAGAGAGTGTGAGGAAGGGAAAGAGAGGGTGGTAAGCTGGTACCCACCGTGCATGCATGCACGTCGCGTTTCAATTCAGGATTTCGGAATGTGGGGGGGGGGGGGGGGATGGAGGAGTGATTCAGGGGCGAATGAGTGTGCAAAATAAACAAGTAGATTATTAAATATGGGGGGTGGCTGGGAGGAGGGTGTGTGTGTGTGGATATGTATGTTTGGATGCGGTTGGGTGAAATGAGTTAGGGAATGTGGAATGTGGGGAGGGGGGTTTGATGTGGTACCTTGATTACACGGGAAAGAGGGAAGAGGTTGGGGGAAAGTGTTTGGTGTGCCTGCGATGGGTTCTTGATGTTCAAGTAGGATGGTGTTGTTGGGGGTGAATGGTATGGATAGTATTGAAGATTGCATTCACTGTATATGAGAGAAGAAAATAAAAGTACGGTCGACGAGGAAGATTGATGTTGGAAGTTGGCTTGGCTGTACCTGCGCAAGATGGTGTCTTCCTAGTCTAGCAGTAGCTAGCAGATTAGCTTCAAACGTGGCAGTGACATACATAGGTGTTCCGCGTTTGTGGTTTCTCACTCGACACCACGAGGACATCAAGGCGTGTGTCCAGGTGTCTCCTCGCGTGTTTAATTCCCGCAGCTCATCAAACCCCATCAAATCAGAATGGACAAAGCAGGTTGCATGTGCAACACCATCCATCTAGAATTCATGAATCTATAAATGGTATGTAGGGATCTATATATGTACGATGCAGGAGTAGATTGGGGAGGGGTGGGGGGGTTTGTTTCGTGATATTCTTACTCCTCAATGCTTATGCTCTGTGAGCTTCTCAAACTTGCAGCGTGTCGTAAAGTCGAAAATTAGGCGCGAAACACGCTAGATGGTGATTAGGCGGTGATTAGGCTGTGATGAGCATGTTGAAGGTGCTGTTTTCTTTTACCGGTTCAAGATGGCAAGGAACCACTACGATAATTTCAGGACATTGCGGATCATACGAGCAAGATTCTCAAGACGCGCTGTGGTACGGTGCAAAGGTGGTACTCTCGGGGAAATCGCGGCCGAAATGCCATATCGCTCGCATACAGTCCTATTTCGCATGCATATGCTATCTCGCATGGACCGAAGCCCAGAGGGAAGAGACGTCCCAGGATGCGATTCGATACGATTCCGAGTGGCTGACAACGGAGAAACAGACTCGAAAAGAATGCCAAATGCAAGATCAGACTGGGGGAGCGAATCGACCTGTATCTTGAGGCCAGTTTACGGGTCTTCTTGCTCGAGCTGGGGGCGAACATGGTAAGAAAATCAATATGTGGAATCGCGGAGCTATTGCCTCATCCTGTGCATCATAACCCAGGGTTGAAGTCTTGCAATGTGGTTGCGTTCGCGTTCGCGTCGCGCAACACCATACGGCCCAGCAGTAGCCGCGTTACAGTATGCCCTTCTTTTTCCTTTTTTTTCCCCCCGAACCGAATGTAGAGTCTGGAAGCTCGTAATATGTTGGTACCGAGGGAGTAGGGCGAGTACGTCGACTGCTGCTCGTGAAGGATTGTCAGATACTATATCCGCGCATGCGATTCTTGCAGTCCAGCCTTATCATCATATGAGGAGCTGAATGCAAAACAACAAAAGCAACACGGGAATTGCTTATTTTTGGGGCCCTGCTAGTATGCACGCGTGTGAACTCTTCCTTGTGAGAGTGTGTCTATGGGCCGGCTACTTGATCGCGCATATTACGAACGCGTCGCCAGATCCCTCCATGTGCATTGTTTCCAAATGAAATGTGCTTACGGGCACCAACCACCCCTCCCTCGTACTGCATTGCTGATACGAGATCACGAGACGAAGCCTGCGATGCGAGATGCCGCTCCACCGCGTCGCTGCTGTCCGAGGCACTATACGCTGGTGTACACCGGGAGGTAAGCAAGAATGGCGAAGGAGAGGCCATTGCCAAGCCCGGCGACCTTTTTTTGGTATTCGTTCGATTGCTCGATTCTAAATTGTGTGCCATATGTATGGCATGATGTAGGTATCATGTGTGTTAGCCCAACATACGCCACGTCAGCTCAGGCAGAATGAGTGTTGACGCGCGAGATTGATTGCATCACGGCGGCGGCGATTGGGTGGGGCTTTTGCGACGGTGGACCGCATTAGGTCTTCGAGTCTATGAGAGTGAACTGATGGTTGCGCGCCCAAAGGGGCGAAAGAGTTGCCGACACACCCAACAGCAAGCATGGAACTAGAGGCCTCACTCTGGTGTCTGCATGCTGTCTGCCTGTTCCCCAGCTTAATCCTCTGGGGACAACGACTATAAACCGCATTGGGAATTTAAGTCAATGGGGTGAATTGGTGACTGCCCCGAGAGGCACCGATTCTCGCCGAGGAACTATTGGCTGATCTCTTGCAGTTGCAGTGAAGTGATGTGCGGCGTGGGTTGCCTGTCCTGGACTGCCGAAAAATAGATGGCCAACACATGGCGAACCAGCTTACTGATTGACACGGCAGTAAAGGGGGAGCAAGAAGGATTCGAGAGCTGTGTCGTTTCTCATCGCCACATGTTTGAGATCCACACCACAATGTGATTGTCTCGCCGCGATGTTCCACTCTTTTAAACGATCATGAAGAAAAGACTGGCCAGAGTGATGATACAGTATCCTCCACCCCCTCCCAGGTCAGTGACCTTGACACGACGCGCGAACCCGACGAACCGGTTCGAACACGAGCAGTTTCCTGTAACCTCGGGTGGGCCAATCAAGACTATCATGGTGCGGGTACTCGATAGAAGGCCTCCCACTCCAAGGTCCAAGTGTCCATCGAACAAGGCAGGCCTGAAAAATGTCCGCCAGCCGAGGCCCAATTTGGCATCAGAGACCGATAGCGAACGAGTCAGTGGATTGCAGCTGACATCACCAGAGTAGCATTTGCAGTGCTGCCACAGAGCTGCAGACATCAGCCCATGTCGAGGCTCGCCCACACCCTTCACCCAAGTCCCGTGCGAATCACGGACATCTCCCGCCGACCAGGAAAGGGCGGGAGGCCAGGAGGTCCTTGTCCGCCATGCTGCGTTATAGACCGGGATTCTTTTGCACCGTAGTTTCGCCGCCCATAAAAGCCGATACTCTGTACATTTGAAATGATAATGTCTACGCGGGGCCCAATCAAGTGCGCGAGCAGTGACCTGACGAAAATGGCGCTTATGCAGAGGCGTTGACCTTTTCTCACCGCGCTCGGTTAGAGAGGTGTGCTGCAATGGCGTAGAAAGAGAAGGCGATTTCAAAGCAGAGACGGAGCGAAGTGGGAGGGTAGTCTGGGCGTTGAAACAGATTTAATTTACGGACAAGGCGGAGAAGGTAGGTGTGTTGGCGGGCAAGGTGGATTTTCCCGTTGTGCTGCTGCGTCTTTATCGGATCCTCGTTGCCGTTTTCCTTGCCCCCTATTGCCCGTGTCGGTGGGCGGTCTTGTCCATGTTCCCCTCGTGTACGCGCTGTTGTTTTTTTGCGACAGATTGCCGGCCCTGGTCGAGTCGCCTGTGCTGTGCCTGTGCCTGTGGGAATCTGTGAGCAACACGCGATGCTGGGTTGCGAGAGACAGCGGTAGCAACCCTCAAGGTAGGGCGGGAAGCAAGGTGCCCTGAGGCGATCAGCCCCGCCCCGTCAGCGAGCAGAGGCGTGTGTGCAGTTTGCTTGCTCCAACAAGACATGCTTTGCCTCCCCGTCAACCAGGTGGGAGGATCAATATTTCTCCATTGCATGGCCGCACAGCAGGAGCACACATGATGTTGGGGATTGGTGGATTGTGTAGGATTTTGGCCGCGGCGAATGCAACACTATGGTTTTCTCCATGACGTTAGTGCGTCTGGCTTCCTTCTCCATGTGTACAAGCGGTCGGTTACTATTGACGAGAATCGATTCTGACGGAATCTGCCACGGCAAGCAAGAAGGAAATGAAAAAAACACATGCAAAAAATCCTGATTGGAAGCGCAAGCCGATGGCCTTTCAGCCGGTCACGCGGGGGCAGGGCCGAAAAGAAATAAGTGTGTGTTCGGCAGCCAATTCTTGCTAAGAGCCAATCAACGAACTTGGTGTTCTGGATATCTTTTCTTTTCTGGCTGCGCAATTCAAAAATGCGCTCGCAGACAGGCAGATTTGACAGGGAGACGATCCTCATGGAGGAGAGACGTGGGCTGGGAATATGGAGCTGCAGACAGGCAGGGTGAACCGGGACGAGTCGGGACATGGGAGGGATGGGAGGGAGGGAGCGCCACCTGTTGCGATCGCCAGCCGTTGTGGTCAGATTTGGTCAGACACACGACCCCTGCTTCCCGCCAGCAGCAGTCCACGGTGGAGGGAGGTGTATGTGTGTGTTGTGTGTGTGTATGCGTGCGTCAATCAATAGATCAAGACGATTTCCACACCGACAAGTGCTCGCCCTCCTTTTTGGTCCCTTGTATGCACAAGAGGGCCGACTTCTGCTGCAGGTGCGATTAGTACACCAGGCGAGCAAGCAAGCGTTGATATGACAATGCGCATCAGCTGCGGGTGGGCGGTGTACTGTGTGTAAGTAGGCATGCAATGTAGTGCCGCCATCACGCAGACACGTTGCCGCCATGAGCGTGCAGGGAAGCGACGCGCCATGCGCGCACACCAAGTACTCTGCGTAGTAGATGGGCTCCCAACGGGACATCAGCATGATTGATGTGTACCACGCGGGAGACGTGTTGAGAAGCGATGGACAGTGTGAGTGTCCCGATCAGGAGGGCCATCTCTGCAGCCAGGGGCCGGCAGTTGTCTTTGTGGCAATTGCAAAGTGGTGATGTGCGCTGCTTGATGGATGGGGTCATCATGTACATGTATGCATTGCAAAGGTGCTGAAGGTCCTCCGCAGCAGAAGATAGATGGCTACGCGGTGCACAGTCGATGGCATGTCGAGGCGTCGGTTTAGAGTTGATGCTGGCTCGGTACCTGAATACTCTCCCTGGTCACAGAGCAGGCCAACGCGATGCGATGCTCCCAGGGGTTTTCTCCGCACTCCACTGCATCGCCATGGTCGGGACATTACTTAATCATGTCCCATGTCACGATCGGCCAGGGCGCTGCCACCACCAGCGTGGACCGACGACGAAGAGCGACGACATCCATGGTTCACGTCTGGTAGCTGGCCACATGACGGTGACGGCCATGTTTCTGGCGCACTGCTGCAACGGCCTTCTGGAAGGCTGTCAGCCAAACCATCCATCTCCAGGCGCTGTCTGTTTGAACCCGGAGCCCTCGAGGCCACATGCAGGGGCGTTCCACGCATTTGCTTCCACGCATCAACCGGCCATCCCTCGATCCATCAGCCTGTCTGAAGGGAGGTCCGTCCATGCACCTGTTTTGTCGCGGCGCGTGAAACGGCGCCGGACGCATAACGCAATCAAACTGATTCTACAGCCAACCTGTGCCGGTGGAAACGCTCACTCGAGCGCACGGCGACCACAGCGCTCTGCTCGACCTCGGCGCATGAGCAACAAGGAGAAAAAAAAAGCAAAGAAAAAAAGCCCATCGACGCCGGGCCGATGACAGCGACGTTGGGCTACCTATTGGGTTGTTGCTCTCCACGACACGCGCGTCTCGGAGCGGTGGACCCAATTCGCATAGGGCCGTTAGTCATGGGCTAGGCCGAATTGACGCTTGCATGCCAGACATTGCAAGTCGAACGGACAGGAGAGCGTCCTGCCGTTGGGCGGAAAACGTATAGGCAGAGAGGGCAGGTAATCAAAAGAAAAAGCGCCACAGTGGTCATTGTCGGCGACTGGATGGCCTGGCGTGGACAGCGTGCCGACGGTGGGCCGCTGGTGCGACGCCATCAACGGTCAGCCAACGTGGGAAAGGCGAGACTCGACAAGCAAATGGTTCAAGATGAGAATGCATCGACTTTGAACGAACGGAACGAACAATTCATGACCCAGCCCCACGCGAGGTGATGCCGGCCTGGATGTGCGCAAGCAAGAAAGTGTAAAAAAAAAAAAAAAGAATGGGCACCGAACGACACAGGGGCAACTTGGGCGTGCGACACAGGCAGAGAGTGACACTACAGATGATACACAGGTGGTGTCCAGCTATTTACCTTGCACACGTACCGAGGGCATCGCATGACGGGCGGCAGGCAAATGAGCAGGGGTGGGCTGGTAGATGGAAGCGGAAGGTGTGGGACGGGTAGAGGAGAGAGCTTAGCTGGCCCTGCCATGGCACTCCATGCAAGCAGGGGGGCACATCGTGTCATCACTGTAATCGTCGTCCATCTATGTATCGTCGCCATGTAGCTTCAATGCAATAGCAGAGCACCGCAAGCAATAGCAATAGTCATACTATCTGTCAGTCTGTCTGAACGCATGTGTGCGCATTTACCCGAGATGATGGTCGCTCGTCTGTCTAGACGATGATGCTGTCTGTTTATTGTTTGCGGTTAGGGTCTGCCTGCGAAGCTTGAATGTGACGGATCGTGGTGATATGGCGGCGGAGCTGGCTGCGATGCGCAATTTATCATCAGCTGTCCGAAAGGTAATATGAAGGAAGGATGAAGGAATGAGCACGGCATAATGATTCGCAGCTGATCATGCTTCTGTTGATGTTGGTGGTGGTGTTGTTCAACTCAAGCTCGAGGCCCGATACGTCACCGCCATTCCCCAGCTGAACTGCCCTCTAGCTAACTAAGTACATACCTATCTATCAATGCCTTTTGCTCCTTCTGTTCTGGATACATACTCGAGCGCGAATCTAGTAACGGATGAATGATAGGCGACGGACGGCTGCTTTAAATCCGCAGTAGCAGCAGCCGGTGAAGGGAATGGACGGCTGTGGACGGATAGCTGGATGAAAAATGGATGGAGACCACGTCCCCTTGATTTTATTTTAGGGTGCTATCTATAGAATAAATGGTGGTGGTAGTGGTAGTAGTGGTACACACACACGCACACACCGCTGTAACCTCGACTCGTTCGTCTGCTGTGTCATTACCTAATCACTCACACCTCTTCTTCTTCTTCTTTTCCGGTCGTCCCCGTCTGTCGTCGCATTTTTATTCAAACATGTCATGGCAACCCCTTATTGCCGGACTGCCCCAATCAGCATCACATGATTGCATCCCCCCCCCTTCCCTTTGGAAGCGAAGTATCGCCCCATGTACATGGATAGATCATAGATATAGACAGACAACAAGAAGAGAGAGAGAGAGAGAGAAAGTCGCGTCAGACTTCAAACCATTCGGCGATCCCTGATCCCGGCGTGCACACACACACACACACACACACTGGCTCACCACCACCAGCGGCCAATTGCATGGGTGCGCGGGCTAGGCCAATCGAGGGCAGGTGGACAGCACAGGCCAGTCGCTTGGGCACCCAAAAGGGCTCGTCGTCCGGGCGTGCATGCGAGAGCAGGGAGAAGGCTGGCGGCCGGGAGGCGTTAGTTGTTTTACGTTTATTTCACCGTCTGCTCCACCCCTCGGCGCTTCCACCGCCCGCCTCACACACACAGACACACACACAGACAGACACACGCAGTCAGTATAGTGTAGTATAGTACGGTATTCGCGGAGGGAGCCAGCCTCTCTAACAGCGTCTCGTCCCAGGTGCGTGCGCCGTGCGTGCGTGCGTGCGTGTGCGTGTGAAATTGCGCAGGCTGCGCTACTGCATCGCCGCCGTGCTCGTCGCCCGCGACGGCGCTCGGGCCCTAGCAGCTAATCCGGCTCGAAGACTCTGTTCTGCCTGCCCTGGCTCCCAAGCAAAGCAAGTTAAGCAGCAGGCGGGCAGGCAGGCAGTCATCACAGCACCAATTCCTAATGTAATGTCCCCGTCGCGTGTGCCCCCCGGGAAGTATAAGGAAGAGCCGGCGCCTGTAGTGGGCGGCCCCAAAACAATAACATCAACACAGGACATGGTGAGTCGTCGCTTTTGAACCTCTTCGCTCGCTCCTCCCTTGACCCTTACCCTACCACCTACCCTACCTTACCTTGCCCTACCTTGTCCGCTCGCTCGCTCGACTACGCACGCACGCACTGGCTTGACCTGCCTGTCTGTCTCCCATCCATCTACCTACTACCTACACACACTACTGGCGCCGCACCACTCACTCACAACCAACCCTTGACCTCCTCCACGACCGTTGGAGTTTGGGATTCTTTTCTTGCGCCCCCCCTCCCTTACCAACGACAACACCCCAGCCCTACTACTACTTTACTTTACCTTACCTCACCGTACCTGGTCTTGTCTTGTCTTGCTGCCTTGCGACTTACTCGACCTCTTCTTCTACTCTGCCTCTTCCTCCCTTCTGGCTGCCCTCTTCGCTCGCCTGCCTCTCCCTCCCTCGCGCTTCTTCATCCACCCCAGCGTTTACTTACGCGTTGCATGCTGCAGCAGCGCCCATCCTCCTCGATGCACGCCGCACCCTCGCTCAAGGCATCCCCCCAGCCACCGCGCGCTGGAGGCTACATGGTATGGTAACCCTTCTCTTCTCTTGCTGCCAAGCAGCCCTGCTTGCTTCAGACTTCCCACACACGCGCGCACCCCCTCTGCCCCTGTTCTGCCCTGCACCTGCGCAACAAGACCAATTCGCGACCGGCCAGCCAGCCAGCCAGCACGCCTGTCCGTCGCCCGCGACATGACACCAGCGCCCAAGCAGCGGCATCCTGGCCACGCCATGAGATGACCGTCCGCCGCCGCCCCGTCGCTGGCCCGCCCGCTGTGTTGTCAGAGTCGCCCAAGGTCGCGCCTCGCTTTCCTTAGCCCGCCTTCCCCATCCTATAAACCCAGGGTGTCTCTTTCCCGTTTGCACAGAAACCCTACCCTGCCCTCGCATATCTCTGTTGCAGCTCCAACCGATCTGCCCTCCCGAGCCTGCCCCTCCTCCACCCCGCCACAACAAACTCGCACACACACACACACCATTCATCATCACTATACCCCCCTGCACACCCTTCTTCTTTTTTCTGATCCCTCTCCATCCTGCCCGCTTTGCTTTTTCTTAGCACCATTCTCGCTATAATTCTTCTTCTTCGTCCTCTGCCTCTTGCCGCTGCCGCCAATCCCTGGTCCAAGCCTCTGCCTCACCGCACTTTGCTGACTTGCTTCCCTTCTTCCAGCATCACCCTCACCCGTCCCAGCCAGGCTTGCCTCCGCCAATCCACCAACCACCTCACCCACACCACCCACACCAACAACAGCAACAGCAACACCATCCTAGGCCAGGTGTTCTCCACCAGCAGCAACAACAGCAGCAGCAGCAGCAAGCAGCCCAGCAGCAGCATCAACAACACCAACAGGCGCAACACCACCACCAGCAGCAGCAACAGCAGCAGCAGCAAGCTCAACATCCTCAGCACCCCCACACCCAACACGCTGCTCAACATCACCAGGCCCATCCGGGATCTCCCCACCCGTCGCAGCCTGCGCAATCGCCCGCACAGGCTCACTATCCCTCTCCGCACCCCTCCAACCCCCAGGGACAGCCTCCTCACCAATCGCCCTACGTGCAGCAGATCCAGCAACCTCCTGCTCCATCTCAGCAGCCGCAGGACGTGCCCTACTACGGCGGTGCCCACCCGAGTCCCTACAGCACAAACAGTGCGCCGAGCAATTACTCTTCTTCAGGTACGTGTGTTTTGAGTGTGGCGGAGATGAGCGACGCGTCCGATGCACGTTGCACGCGCCGTTCCAAAGTTCATCGGACCTCGCTCCGCTCCCCCTCTACTCCAACGTGGAGCCCCACCACAACCACTCTTTGCGAGAACCGTCCGACTAACCCGTCTGCAGAAACTCCAGAACTGATGGCAGCCGCGACAATGAACAGGCCGGGTTTCCCGCCAATCTACCACACCCCACAGTCCAACTCGCCCGCTTCAGTTCAGTCTCCCCAGCACGACCAGCACGGAAGGCCAATCTATGGACAGCCCCCTGTACAGCAGTCCATGTACTACACGCCCTATGGCTCCACCAGTGTGCAACAGTCGCCCTACACTCAACACCCTTCCACCCAACAGCAACAGCCCCCGCAGCCACAGCAACAGCAGCAGCAGCAAATGCCCACCGGGTCATTGATCATCTCCCATCAGGCAAACCAGCAGATGCATCACCCTCACCCGGCGCACGCGCAACAGCAGCAGCAACAGCAGCCCATGACCGGAAGCCCCAAGTCGCGCATGCCACAAACCCCTCTTACACGTCCCCCTTCCAACTTGGGTGGTGCTCCACAGGCTCCGCCTCAAGCTCCTCCCGGTGGAACACCTGGGATGCACGGTGGCCCCCCCAATGCGGCCAACATCAACCCCAATGCTGCGCCTGGTCCCATCCCCGCGACCACTCCTTTGGTGGTCCGCCAAGACCAGAATGGTGTTCAATGGATCGCGTTTGAGTATTCCCGTGACCGTGTCAAGATGGAGTACACGATCCGTTGCGACGTCGAGTCGATCAGCGTGGATGACTTGCCCGCAGACTTCAAGACGGAGAACTGTGTTTACCCCCGCGCATGCTGCCACAAGGATGCTTACAAAGGCAACCGCTTGCATTACGAGACCGAGTGCAATACGGTCGGCTGGGCGCTCGCGCAACTCAACCCTTGCCTGAGGGGTAAGCGTGGATTGATCCAGCGAGCCGTCGACAGCTGGCGCAACAGCAACCAGGACCCGCGCCTGCGAAGCCGACGCGTGCGAAGGATGGCCAAGATGAACAACCGCAAGTCTGTTCAAGCTAACCACATGGCTGGGCCAGGTGGACCGGCGGCTCCCGGGGTTCCCAATTCGGCTGGTCTGCCAGCTCCTCCCCCTCAGCAGAGCATGCCCATGGGCGCGCCTCAGATGCACCATCACCACGAACACCCCGGAGGACCTCAAGGAGGAAGCAATGATGTTAGCGGTATGTTTCACCAGATGTGATTGATTGCTTTGATGATGCGATACGCATGCATGTGTGCGCGCGAAAATGTTTCTTGTTGGATGTTTTGATTGAATGATACCTTCTGTCGTTTCTGCTTTTTCATGTACATTACACTCCTTGGTTGTAATATTCCCCTTTGATACCACTACCCCATGCACATATACACACGCTGTACACAACAACCGACACAACATCACACTTTACTGTACATGTTTTGATTCGCTTGCGCGCAAGCGCACACATCCATGCGTTGATCTTTGATGGTGCGAAACACAATTTCCTATGTTTAGAGCTAACGCGATGCCCAGACAACACCCATCACCATCAACCACCAAACGGACAGCAGTCATCATCACCTAGCGAAGTACGTCACACACAGAATTTCTACCCGTCGTTCCCAACCACCGACTCGGTAGGGAGCTCAAGCGGAATGCCGCCCATTCATGACGGCATGGGTCACCATCCGCCGCATCACGCTTCTGGCGTTTCGGTATCGAAACAGGAACAGGACGAGGAAGAGCGCAAAGTTGCCATGTTCGGCGACCTACCTGAGAACAAGCGCCGCAAGTTCATTCTCGTAGATGATGCCCAGCGCGGAACTAGAGTCCGTGTGCGAGTCACCCTTGACAGTGTCAAGATGGAGGAGATGCCCGACTCGTATCGCAAGATCAACTCTGTATTCCCCCGTAGCTACTTTGCCATGCAAATGACTTCCCCGCCAGCTAGCCCGCGCGGAAGCAGGGTGTTCGATGACGAGCCCGACAACGAGAGCGACCCAAGCTTTCCGTTGGGAGGTCGCACGTCTGTTCCCGTGCCCACACTCGACGGCGAGGTCAGCGTGCCCAAGCCGCGTTTGACGCGGGCCAAGCGATCAAAGGAAATCACGCTCAACGACCTCGGGTACCGCATGAGCTGGAGCCAGAGCCGTGTGTTTGCAGGCCGCACTCTGTTCCTGCAAAAGTCTCGTAAGCCATTGCCAAAAGCAAAGCAACCCCTCTATATCTATACTTACTGACTTGTAATTAGTGGATGCTTATCGCAACAAAATGCGCAGCAGCATCATGGGCGCGGGACAAGATGTCGCCACGGTCGCTCCTCACTTTGAAACCCGCATTGGAAAGCGCAGGTGGAACGAGAGGATCGAGAAGAGCAAGAAGAGAGGGCGCGAGGGGTCACCTTAAGAGTCCTGGGCGGCCGAGGGAACGTGGCCTGGTTCAACGGCCTGGCTAAAACCTGCAGCGGTCCCCGCTTTTCCGAAAACCATGCAAGGGCGTGATAGCCGGGGTTGTTTGCCGCTTTGGTCACGGCACTTTCACGTATATGGCCCGCCTCCACCGGCTGGCCATCGATACCCTGCGTAGGGTTTCACGATTTCATTATGTTTCAGGATTACGATTCTCGCTGTCTTTCTCGATCGATGCTCGCCATTGTCGACTCATTGACGCCATGCGACTTCTCGTCACGACTATGGGGCGCAAGGAGCAAAAAAACCCCTTCATGTTACTGGCATTTGATACCCTGTCTCTGCAAGTCATGATCCGTTGCAGATGGCATACTGCCTGCATATCTGTCTATCTGTCCCCCCACTCACATGTTTGTGCGTTCGGTATACTCTTTCTGCCGTCATTTCAGTTCGGGGTTGTACTTTGCTCTAATACCCGCCTGCTCCCAGCAAGCGATCGGGAATGGCAATTCTTCAGGCGCTAGCGGGGAATGCATTGTTGTGAGGACGGGACAAACGTCAACTGTCACTTTTCTTCATTTTCGAGCGGGGGTGTTTACTACAGGGATATGGTTATGTTGTCTTTTTCCTCACTTTGTCCAGGGAGCTTCCCTTTTGCCACGGTTTCTATCCTTTTTCTCTTCTTCTCGGGTTTCACGTTGCAGTTTTTCTTTGCCACATTCCCCGCGCCGTCGAGGGAACAAAAAAGAGACTTCCAGAGAGAAAGATTTATTAGATATATTTTACACTTGTTAACAAGCAACATGATGGGTATCCTCTCAAGCATGGTTAGTCTATTCGTCCATGTGTATCGCGTGCATGGCCTGCAACGTGCATGCATGCCGTGATGAATATTGTTGCACCCGTGACCAATCACACCATCCACATTTACTCTAGTGGGCCTTTTTTTCCCCCGCTCCGCCAACGGTTAAATTAAAACCCACGAAAAAAACCGTTGGCAGGCCCGCAGCAGTGCGTGCAGGGGGGGCACGAATACAGAAGGAGAAGGAAGGAAAAAAGTAGGATGTAAAGTACCCCTGTTCAATTCTCAATCCTCACACCATGCTTGCCATGTCTCCATCTCTGTGTCCCCGACTCGTATAGTTCGTTCCTTACTCTCCTACTCTCCCTCTCTTTCTCTTGCCTCCTCTCCCCCCCCTCCTCCCTTTCTCTCTCTGTGTCTCTCTCTCTGCCTTTATCTTTTTTTCTTTTTCTCTCCCACTTGCCTTCTTTCGCAATAGTGGGAGTGGGAAATGGCAAATGATAAATGGAGGAAGGGAGAAGATAAGAAACGGATGATATGTAGGTTTTTGAGATGCCATGTGTGCTGTGCTGTGCTGTGCTGCTTCTGTTGCTGTTGCAGTGATAACAATAACCTGTCACATGGGTGTGTGCGTGTGTGCCTGCCTGCCTGCCTGCCTGCCTGCCTGTCTGTCTGCCTGCAAGGCTTTCTTGCCGCCCGCCCGCGCTGCTTTTGGGGTCAAACTAAACAAGTGAGAAAGACTTGCACGAATGGCTCGGGAATTCACATGGCTTGCTAATTGTTGCGGGAGTTGCTTGCTGGTGGGTTTTTGGGAGGCAGAAAGAGAGGTGTGGCTAAGATGAAGTAAGGATTAGGTAGGATGGAGGTAGTTCTATCTATCATAGTTTGGTAACGTTTTGTCGCTGTTTGAGCTTGCTTTGATGGCATCATCGTAGAAAAGGTCGCTGCATGCCGCTGTGGTGAGCTGGGTCTGACTCAGTCCCTATGGTATGGTATGAGAGGGGTTGCTAGGAGATGCGTGTGTGTGTGTGTGTGTGTGTGATCTTTTGCCCTTTCCATAGATGTGGAAAGGGGGCTAGTTTCTAGTTATTTGGACTGGAGTGATGTAGACTCCCGTGGCTTTATCAGTAGTTAGTTCCATAATCTACAGTGATGGGCGTCTTACCGATAGGTCATTTCTTTTGTTTCGCGGGTATCTGGCCAAGGGACACGGGAGAGTTTGTTTCCATGCCGTTCGCACTCTTTTTTTTTCCGCATGGCACCATTGAAAGGTTAGAGGTGTCTTCAACTTATTGCTCATTCTCACGTGGTATACACGATCATCAGGAGGACAAAAATAAATTCTTATATATGCAATGAAGAAGCAGATTCGGTCTAGAGTGCACGTGGGGAGAAAAGGTCACGGTGACATTGCACTCTGTTGATTACGCAAAACAAACATTTCGACAACTCTACTACATGATCCCAAACAAAACTGCCGCAGGATGAAAGGTGGATCAGAGTACAAAGCGGCTAACGGCCAGAAGCGCAGCACATTAGTTCCAGTACTTGACACTGTCATCTCTACCTGTTTCAAATCTTGTCATATCCAGATCTTGACTTTCTTTTGGGGCGATGGAAACTGAACGGGATACTAACAGTAAGACCGACCAAGCTTCTTCGCTCGGTAAGGGCCATGAGAGCGCTGCTGCGTCTGAAGTGAGTGACGGGACTGTTCAAGCTTCACTGCCCACTGGAGAACATACGGATCCAGTGGCATTTCATGTAAGTGGTGGGACTATGAAAGCGTCTCAGTTTCATGGAGACGGGCGTCATGCCATCATTACCCCGTCCCCGTCCACCTTTAATAGTACAGTTTAAGCTTCACCATCTAGTGCAGATAGGCATCATACTAGCGTTGATGTATCTAAAGTTAACAACGATACGGCTCAAATTCCCTTGCCTACTAGGGATGAAACGAGCACTGTAGCCTTCCAAGTTGATAACACGGCGCCAGCTTCCGCATCCCATGAAGAAAATGTATATCGTCCAGGCTTCGGGGCAAAAGACAGCAGCCTAGTCGGTACTTCCTCGTCCGTGTACTCCTACACACACACATAGGGGGGGAAACTTTCCAACGAACCCTTCCCCTCTGGCTGCTGCTTTGCGTATGAATTCCGAGTTGGAGTTTAGGTGATCCTACACACAGCAATAGTCACGACGATAGAGGAGCTATCAAAACATTGCTTTGCTTATAACTGCTCTGCTGATTTCGTATTATGTGTTTGTAGTTAATATCAACACTGCTTATTACTATCCATTTTCTCATGCACCGTATGTAGTCATACCCGACATTACACTGTCGCTACTATTGTTCTCTTTCTACCCTCATTGTACCAGCAAGGAATCTCTATGGCCAACTGAATTGGGTTGCTGGGAGTGATTGAGAGCAGTGAAGGGAGCAGTGCTTCCAGATTACGGCCTCGAGATTACGACATCGTAGGTAAGCAATTTGGCGAACATCAAAACTTCTCTGCTGACGAGCCATCTTCGTGCAGACATCTTGATCCGGTATGTGCGCGATGGTGATAATAAGGATGACGATTATGAGCGTTACGGATTGAAGCTGCACCGAAAGCGCGGGTACTACAGGATGGTCATGTATAGGGACGACGAGGTGATTATGACGGGACCCAAAAAGCCGACTGCGAAGAGAGCGGTGGAAGCGTTGCGCCAGGTGGAGCTGGACGATTGGCTTAGTGACATCAGTGGCGGTGATTGATCGTAGCAGGAGGGCCGGATGTTTCTCTGGTGTTGAGGCTCAAACTGTCGAAGATGCCTAAAAGGGAATGCATCAGTTTGCCATTGAACACGGGGAGTTGGAACAATGCGGTAGCTGGTCACTGCAACCAATCACATGTACAGACGGCGCTAGCGCAGCTTCTATTGGTGGAGCTAGGCAGCAGCGTCACGTGACGTCGGCGATGGAGTAGTTCCGGTCCGTGGCACGGGCCGCCCAGCTCGTCTATAAAGCCGCCGCCCCCCTCGGCCTCCTCTTCTGTTCCTCATACTTACCTTCTCGCGGCTGCCCAAGATCAAGAATTTGGGAGCCTGGGATCTTCGACTGCATTGCACAGCGCGGATTGGAGATTCTACTAGCTGCCCTTCGGGTATCTAGGTGGGGCAATTTTTGCTGGTCCAACTTGGATTTTTTCTACTCTTTTCATTGACTGTGCTGCGCCTTGTGCGTGGTGCGTTGAGGAAGATTGTCATGGGCGAGGCTTAGTGAATGGAGGCTTGTAGTCAACTGTCGATGCTATCTTGGTGGGAGATATGTTCTGTAGCCTGTTGGCGCGACTTTTTCATCTTGGAGCGTGCGAATATATGTATCTGTTTGAAAGGCGACGTTGGCGGTATCGTGAAAATCCTGCGTCTGTACGCACGTCCCAGACAACAGCATCAGCAACATCTCGTTGCGCACTCAATGGGCCCACATTGCTGCGAGGGATTGCGATTCTCTGACGATATTTGCACTCGCCCATGTCTAGGCCTTAGACACTGTTTGATCGTGGTCCTTCTGCGGCGGTGAAAGCTGGTGGCAGCTGGTGGCAGCTCTTACCCCGAGCACGCTTGTGCAGACGATCTCGTAAAGTATCTGAAATGAACATCTCCAGCGCCGGCATCGCGCATCAAGCATGTCGGCCGTGCCTCTCAAGGTAATTTCTGATGATTGTCACCGTGGCCATCAATCGGGCAACGTGAGCAAACCGTTGTGTTGAGTCCGGCGAGGGCGCGCAGTATCACGTTGTCCACACCAATTGAGCGCAAAGATGCCATATTACTCGCGCATCCACAACAATCAAACGCAGATCTACAATAAGAACAGACGCTTGCGCATCTCTACAGTGTGCGTAGCTGATATCCCGGGACCGATTTCCTACCTACGCCAGCATCGCCGCTCTCCGCGCTTCGTGCCAGCTCCGATGATCGCGCTGCTCGTATGCCCCCCAAGCCAGATAACCTCGCATGCCTGTTCTATTTGGAGGACTCATATCGTGGGGAAATAGTCGAGCGTCCTTTCGACGAGGCAGCTGGTTCCTAGATGCAGCGGACAACTTCCCAGCGCTGCGGCGCTTTTGCCTTCGAGTACCACTACCATACGCACATAACAACAGTGCAACCGCGTATAGAGACATGGACGATGATAGGAATCTGCTACCGGGGAAAAACCAGCATACAAGCAAGATGTTAATGCCGAACAGTGGAAACGTGAAGTCAAAAAGCGTGCTGTTCCAGAGGACTCGCAATGCCCCAAGCCATCACTTCCTGTATATCATCTCTATCAAAACAAGGATCCGCCGTGCCCACAGCATGTGCATCAGTTTCCAAGACACATGGAATACACGTGGATTGTGATTTTACAAGCAGATCATCAAGCTTGAAAGCGAAATCCATGAAATCCATCAATATACACCACTTTATCGAACGATTTTGATTTCTTTCCTCCATCTAGATCCAATCTCGAGCTTCCCGTTACAAACCGCGGCCGCACATCTCGTTACTGCGCAGGTGGGGTCCGCTAAGACGAAGCCAGCACCCTGGTCCCCACCAATACACCACAAAAATCCCGAATTTCTGAAAAAAATTCAATGGCACGCTCGCTAAAGGGGGAAAATAGAGAAATTCGATCTCTAGGCTGAGATTGATTGTTGAAGTAGTCGTTTGCAAGGTCGTGAAGTTCTCACCAACTTGCAATTCATAAAACAGCTTTCACAATGACAACCACCCATACACGCAAAAAACAACACCACTCAGAGATGTTCTTCCCAGAGTCGTACCTGCGCAAAAAAAGTATCATGGAATGGATCATCTCCTCTCCCGGAATCGAACCAGGGACTAATGTCATTATTAGTTTGCTGAATGTTGCAGGTTGTCGATCAGATCGATAACTTACCCTTTCGATAACAATGAAGCTATTACAGTCGAACGTGATGAACCAACTACACCAAGAGGAGAATCAAAGGCAGACGCCTTCATTGGGTTGTTGATACTCGGAAGATGTGATTCCGGAAGTTTTAACGCATCATATACCCAAAGAAACGAACTCCACTTTTGCTACTCGTTGGGAACAGGGGGTTAGAGGATGCAGTTAGTGTACTAGTAGAAGAGAAGTAGCGAAAAGATTGATTGGAGTGGGACTGGAGTGGGATGGAAGGGTCGGTGTGGGGACATCGTGTAAATCCCTGATCTGTACCATATCACCCGTCACCATCTCGGCTCGGCGGTCCTGAACCCCCAACCCAACCATCAAGTGTATACCTCAATGCCACGCTGTCTGCCGTATCACACAGCTAGATGCTCAACACTTATGATGCAATAGCAGCAGTTATGGCACGATTATCGGGTGTTGCTCAGTTGTGTGATAACAACACAATCAGATCAACTCGCTGCCTGCAATGTCCGCGACGTGACATGTTTGTAATCATTCACAAGGCCGTAAACGCATGCAGAGAACGCCTATGGCACTAGACGTGGGAAACAATTCAGAATTTACTGAATGGGGCTCATTTTGTAGGGGAAGGAACACTGTACTCTTCTCTTGACATGCAGAAGAGAACTGTATGTTTTGGCACTACACACCACATTTTGATTTCTTCGATGTGTTTATTGTGCCCTGTATGACTACATCGAATGATGCACTGCAGTTTCCACAGTGTATGTATGATACCCGATCAATTATACCCGACTTTGTACTCTTCCGTGCAAAGAGGCTACATTGCCACTTCTTTCTCGAGCTTTCCCTGAATCTCGGTGTATTATTTGGCTGATACAATCTATAGATGGTCTTGATCCTCTAGGCAAACCGGCACAGGAAATAGATTGCATAAAATAGATTCGCATGCATTCGTGCTAGTGGAATTGATTCCGAGTTGGAGTGTAGGTGATCCTACACACAGCGATGGGTTTACAACGAAAAGAGTATCAAAAAAACAAGCGATTACTAAAAACTCTTAACGATCGAGCCTTCACACAAGCTTATTGCAATAAGCAAAAGCGCTAGTGAAATACATGACATGTTTTGGAGAGCTTTTCCTTGTTAGCTACATATGTAGGTCCGACATGACTGCTAGGTAGTCAATCAAGACGCAAGTGCGCCTCAGTGCGTTTCCGAAGATCGACACATCTTCTCTTTTCACACACCACGCATTTCCTCTCTCTAAAAAGAACTCTATTTACCAGTCTCTTTCCCTAGTTTGCAAGCAAGTGCACAGGATGAATTCTGTATCTGCTTTATCCGCTAGTAATGAGCATCGTTCCGCTACAGCGGTGCTAGAAAAAAAATATTGAAAAGAAAGAAAAGGTGCTGAGGCATGCCAGCGTAATGTCCACTTGACCGGAATAAATGAATATGTCTTCGCGAAAAGAGCATAACAAAGGAAAGACAAGAAAACCCGCCCGGGCATAGAGTCGTCTGGTGAAAGGAAGCGGTGCCCGGGGGATTTAGACAAAGTAGACTGAACATGAGTGATCGGAGTTTCCATAGGGAATTCGTGCGTTCTGGTAACCGGGATAAAAATCGACACGAAGTCAACGATCTCCTGAGACTCTGCGGCTAGTGGTATTTTGCAATGTCAAGTGTGGACGTAAACTTGTTAATTCACTGTATACTAGTCCTTGCATGGTTTGCTGTTGGTATAGTATACTTGAAAACACCAGTACCGTTTGATCAGCTCCTGACATTTTCAAGGAACGGGAGGCATAAGCTCTCAAGATATGTGATGTGAGGTCCAAATTCCTCTAAAATATCATCACGCAGCTACCAGTTGATTTCATGTACTCTAAGGTCAGAGCAGCCATTTTAAAACGCCACTTTTAGTGGATATCTGCATTATGAATTGATTCTATTGATGTCTGTTTATGAAGTAGTGTTGTGTGTCTCGGGACCTGGCTCTGAAGGAACTGATCGGGATAATGCACTCCATTATACCAGCTCTCTACAAATGGTTTTAAAATCTTCCACCTTATATTTATCGTGGACTTCACCAGGCGATGCTTTCTTTGGTCTGAATTCTTGTTGAATCGACCGCTGTTGACTATTACTTTCTGACATAACGTTGCTACCCATAGTTATCTTGAACCCTAATCAATTTTCCGATTTCGCGAAGCGTTTTACCGGACCAGATGAATGCAAAAATAATATCTTAGGTGATAAATTTTCTATCTCATGCTGAAAGATTCGATTGACAACATTAGGATGCAGCTCATCCGATGGTACGACATTTCAGGCATCTATAAGTTGACATATGAGTTGCTGTGTTCTAGCCAATCGCAATACATTGTAACGCCCTGAGGCAACTTAATGGACAGCAATTAGAAAGGAAAAGCTGCATAAACATGAGCCCCGATATTTCTCGGTAGTTACTTCTTTGAACATGACCACCAACTCCACACCCAACCTTCCCTTTTCCTCCTCCAGAAGAAACCGCTCAATTCTTCAGCCTATACGTGACTTTCAACCTCCTATCCAAATGTTGCTTCGCCGTCAAGACCTCTTCCACCCCCTTCTGCAACCCCAGCCTCTCCCTCTGACGCTCCAACTCCGCTCCACCTTTCCCACTCTCTACAAACCCCCTTATGACTGGCCCCGGTACAGCCTCCAACGCTGCATCGTCCAACGGATGACAAAAATATGCCATGCTGTACCTCTCCTCCTGCGCTTCATCACCCGTGAAAGCAACCCTATGCACGGTACTCTTCAGCATCCCACCGGTCCAGAACGACAACAAATCTCCAATATTCACAAGAATAGGCGGTTCAGCGAGCGTCAAAGGTGAAGGATTGACAGGAACGGGAATCCAGGTGTTGGTAGCTTGTTGATAGAGCTCGAGGCCGGGTTGGCCTGGGAGACGGAACAGTAGGGTTAGGGAGCCGTAGTCGGAGTGCGCTCCCGCGCGAATAGACTCTCTCTTCTCACTGTGCTTTGGCTTACGGGAAGCGGGGTAATACAGCATCCGGAAGATGGTTCCAGACGGACCAAGTGATTGGTCGTGACGTGAGGAGAAATAGTCTGAATCTGGAATTTGTAGCGCGATGTTTAGGAGCGTCAAGATGCGCGTGCAGAGCGTGTGGCAGGAGGTTTGGAAGCGTGAGATAAGTGGTGAGGAGGTTGAAATGGGCGAAGGAAGGGGTTGAAGGGACTGATTGGGGGGTGGTGTGCCGATGTTGAAGGCTTCTTTTGGGTCACCTTGCTATTTGAGATATGGTTAATCGGTGGCGGGGTAACGGTGATGATGTCGGAGAAGGATATGTTGGACATAGTTCACATCACCTGAGGATAACAGCGTACTTTTTGGCCCTCTGGATCTAGAGACTCTCCTTGCATCTTCACCCAGCCGCGATTGATACCGCCTGCTTTTTCCGAGTGGATGGCAAATTCACTCTTCTGTTCATCAGGCTGCTGGAAATATTGACGAGACTGCTGATTCTCAGATAGACTATCACTATGATTACGACAAGATACATCAATCATACCAGCTCAAACATGTCAGAGATGTCTTTCGGCGGAATAGTGATTCCATCGTTCTTGATGAAGAGAAAGCCGTGGGACGAGGCTGCGTCGAGAACTTGCTGAGCTACTTCGGCGGAAGAAGAAGAGATGTCGATGACGGGAATAGTGTCATTTGGGTTGCTTTCGTGGGCCATTGATTATACAGTCTCGTTCGATTTCTTTTGTTCTTCGGTGGATGTGATGAAGGTGGAGTGATGCCTACCTACATATATAGGTACATGTGTTGGCTCCTCGCGCCAGGCACGATAAGCTCGGTACAGCATTTCGGAGTATTTTGCAAGACTAAAATCACCAAAGGTAGAGCCCAGATCAAATACACGATCTGAATTCTCAATTGATATCTACTATATTATAATATCCATGTGAAAACTCCTGGAGAACATTTCGTATTGACATCCTCACGGTTCCTGGCTATGATGAATGCGGTTGGCGCATGACATGGGTGACACGGACCACCAACATGTTTAAGCTGTCGCTGAGCTCCAAATTCACTTTCCACCCCATCATTCCCCACCTCGTCTTCTACCCCCGGTCTCCCGCCACAAGTCCCTCCTTCTTCAAAAGCACTCGCCGCTGCTCGTACTGGAAAACGTGGAGCAACTTCCCGCCCGACCATTGCCCAATCGAGTCCTACTTTTCGCTCGCAAACAAAGACCACATCTTTCGCGATGATCCGCGACTTTGAGATCTGGAATACCAATCTCGGAGAGGCGTCACAGTTGGAGGAGCTGCGCGGTCAGCGAGTCGGGATCGAAGCCGCCCACTATCTTCAGCATCGTGTTCTCAACCACCCGCACGTCAAGGAGCCGCTTGTCCCTGCGCTCGGCGGTCTCCCGTTTGGCTTCGAGCCGCATTTCAAGAGCGACCTGACCAAGTTTGCTGCTTTCGGGATCGAGCCATTCTTCGTCTTCAGCGGCCTCGACATTTCAAAACAGGACAATCCTTTCCGACAAAGGCAGGAGGGTTCTCAAACCAATGCTGAAGCCTGGTCGTTGTACGAGGCGCATCATGCCACCCAGTCTGTAGAGAAATTTGGCGAATCAAGTAGGGTTACACGACTTTCTGATCAAACCACCTCGCAAGGCTAACAAGAAGCAGCCTATGTCGCGCCAGAAGACCTCTTCTCCGCCCTCCAAGCTATTCTCGTGGAGTACAATATCTCATTCCTGGTTGCTCCTTACAGTTCTTGGGCCCAGGTAGGAACACATCTCTCCAAGTATCTGCCGTACATGCTCATATTGAATAGTTGGCCTACCTCGAGAAAACCAATGAAGTGGCCGCCATCTCCGGCTCGTCCGAGCTGCTTCTGTTCAGCTGCGACAAGTTCATCACATCATGGGAGCTGGAGGCGGACACTTTCAAGTGGTTGAAGCGGTCGAAATGCATGGCGGACCTCAGGAAGTACAGCCGGGACAATGTTGAGATTGCCGACGATATCTTTGTCGATGCTTGCATGCTCGCTGGAACACATTTCCTACCCACACTTCCCAGCCTCGAGTCGCCGAACAGAAACAAACAACCGAAGCCTCTCAGCGCCATTGATATGATCATGAGTCAAGGACGATCGGGATTCTCGGTGGTACTCAACAGCAAGGACGATCCGCGTTTTGAGCAGACCGATTACTTCGACCGGTACCGCAAAGCTCGCCTAGCCGTCAAGCACCACCCGGTGCTCACAAACGAGGGCAAGATCGAGCCTTTGCTGCAGACACAACTCCCGAACGACTCACACGAGTTCATCGGACAGCGATTGCCGGATGAGGTCTTTTACTACATGTCGAAAGGTCTCATCAACTCGCGCGTTCTCAATTGGCGTGCCAGCAGCGAGATCATAGAGTCACCACCCGTTGATGGAGGCGATTCCGTCGAATATCAAAAACTTGTCAGCGCAAAGCTGACGCCCCTTCGAACAACCGCTATCAATCTCCTATCCTCCTCGCTACACAATTGGTACCAACACAAGGACATCGATCTGAAATGCTGGTTCCAAACCGACCAGAACGGAAAACCCCAAGCTAGCACTATCAGCATGAAGGGTTTGCCAGAATGGCGAAAGTCGGTCGATACTTGGAACGTGAAAGAGGCAACTTTTAAGAATGTGGTAGCTAAACAGGTATGGACTTGTGTGATTCAGATTACCATCAATTATTAACACGTTTAGGGGTGCGGCCGCCTAGGATCTGCCATCTTGGCCCTGCAAGATGCGGATTTCGTCTCAAAATCCGTTTCCAAGAAGAACTATAACGACGTAAGTTATCATATGTTGTTGATGGACCATAACTGACACTCCCTTAGCCTCTGACCACAACCGACGAAATCTTGTACAACTCCATCTGGCGTTTCCTTGCTCTGCGCGAGTATGTTGATAACAACCATCAATTGACCGCTTGGGGCAAGGTACTCGTGAAGGCTATCTCCGCATTAAAGGGCAAACAGGATTTGGAGGAGGCCGCCGTAGTCATTGTTGAATTGCTGCGCCTCAACGTGCTCAACTCAGACCTGAGCATGTTCCACTATGCGGGCGCTCCGATGCGCGGTGAACGTAAGTTAGTGTCAATTGTGTTTCGACGTTTTGTTCTGACGAAATTTTAGTGGCGGACCGCCAATTCAACCTCCTCATTGCTAGAATAGCAGGTGTAGGAAAGCTTCAGCATGCCCCTATCGGCTTCACTGGCCCCCTGAGTCAGCATCTGCTCGCCTATGGCTCCATCATTAACCTCGTGCGTCAAACCTTGCGCGACTTGGTGGAGGTGGCAGCCACGCACATGTTTATGGGTTCTTTTGCGAAACGGGATATTCCGAACTTGTCCGAGATCGCTGTCAAGTGAGTGTTCTACCCCCCATGTTCGGTTCGTTTTCTAACCCCGCTAGACTTCCATTCCCCTTGTCTACAAACTGTGCACTTAGCATTGCCGTGAAGTCGTACCTCGACGAGATGTTCAATGATGCCGAGCCGGGCTCCGCCGAGGCAAAGACCCGAGTTCGAGAGTCCACCATCAAGCGTTACTTCCCTCAGTCTCTGGATGTCCTCGGCGACCTCAACGTAGCGTTTGAATTCTGGGACGCCGTGTATGAAGGTGTGAAGAATTCTGGCAGTGTGATTAAGGATGCGGACAAGAAGTACTGGGACGAGGCCAACGAATGGCTCAGAACGAAGCGATGAGCGATTGGCGCATGATGGTGACGGTTATGCTATTCTGCAAAGAGGAGAGCAGAATCCCCCTGGAATTACAGGGCAACTAATGTCTGCCCGCATCGTCCAATGGCCTAAGCCGCGCGGATTATGAATCTGATGACGGAAACGACAGCGAAATAACAGGACGTAGATCAGCGTTCAACAACTAGGTTTTATGAAATGGGACTATAGTTGCTTCTCCTAGCTTGTTCATTTTTGGTCCTATACCATGGGGGAAATCAAAAAGGTTCAATCCACGGAATCACAGATATTATGGCTATTGGGCATGTGCTTGTGAATTTGTACGTCTCTTTGACCGAAACATTGCCTGCTTGACAGAAAGGAGGAGGTTGATGCGATATACGCCCTCACCGCTTCTCCAACTTCAGGTTCGCAATAATTCACATCAGGAAATTCCCTAGAATACTTGTCGAGTGCTTGTCCAGATTGAGGTGTGACGTTCGTTCAAAAAGCAACATGCCTACTCAAAGAATTCCGGGAGATTCATTGCAAATCCTCGGATGTTGCATCCCTGGCCCAGTGCTGAAAGCAAAACTCCTTTTTTTGAAGCTTTTTGTACCTGCCTACTTTTTGTTTAACATTTTCATACGCCTTTTTGAGTGTAGGAACTACTGTAACTTCTAATTAAAAAATTAAAAAAAAAACTCATTGCAAATCCGTTGATCGCTGCTGTCCCACAAGTATACAGCTGTAACAGTTCCACCAATCACCAAACAATCAAACAGTCAAAGCCTGTGTTCCTTTCTTTCTCTTCCCAACATCCATACGAACCCGGGAAAACTTGACTGCGCACAGACTCCATACAAAGACCACCGCAAGGGATAGGGATCTTTTCGTTGTTGGTCCGTCCGCCCGTCATCAATTAGAACAGAACAGCTCAGGACATATATACATACCGAAGAGGTTAGGCTTCTATAATGGCAGATGCAACACGTGAACTGTTGCGCATGAAGAATTGTGAAATATCATGCGCTCTATCTGCACTACCCCTCTGGTGGTGGCAGACAGAGCATTTCTCCCCAGCCCTCCAATCTATCCTAGTCCAGTAAACAATTCGAGTTTATTAGTGTTAGTGTTGTTTATGCTTACAAGTTTTATTTTTAATTAGAAGTTGCAGCGTTTCCTACACTTTAAAATGCCAATAAAAACATGATTTAACAAAAAGTAGGCAGGGTCAAAAAGATTCACAAGAGGTGTTTTGCTTTCGGCACCGGGCCATGGAGCAACCCAAATGTTGGTGTTTATTTCTAGCACAGCATGGAAGGGACAGACGGACGTCTGCATACATATGCCTGTCACCCGCAAGCAAGAAACCATCCGTCCGTCCGTGTGTGTCGACTCAACATACCCAATCAGGAAAGTCCCCCATGATTTCCCGGGAAAAGTGTAGATTGCAGTACAAAATAGTAATACTATTTTTCCTGCTTACGTAATTTAGTAATACTAACGTGTCGGATCAGTAAGCCGCCCAGGACAGTAAGCCGCCCACCCCTCAACGAAAATCCACGCTTCTTGGGCGATTGCTCAACAACGTCACATCGTAATATTATGTATATAGATTTAATTGATTCGCGCTACCTAGCAGTACACTGAGTTCTTTTGTGACCTTGGACGAAGCACTTGGTGCACGTTGGTGGCGCGCAAGGTCTCCTTAGTTAACTGACCTGCTCGACCTCTTAGACTACCCTATCAGCCTCTGTAGCTAGCCTCTGGCCTTCCTGAGCCTGTAGAGCTCCTCTACGGGCAATATACTGTCGGCGCTGCCTTTTTTTACGCTCTTTACGCTGTACAGCTGCCTGAAGCCTTGTATTCTCCTCTACAAGGATAGTAGCTGAGTGCATAGCAAGCTGGCACCCCTTTACAAGCTGGCGGATAGCTTGATTAGTAGGGCTCTGTGATTGTCGGCGAAGCAGGTCCTGGATATGCTAAGCCTGCTTCTGGAGCTAATCTACTGTATGCAGCGTCTCAGCTGTCCACTGTCCCTCTGCGTTGCCTACTAGCTGACAGGGTGAAGGCGTTCAGACGATAGGTAGGGAGGATAAGACGCGCTCAGGGCTGTATGGCACAAGCCCAGTAGCTAGAAACCCAGCCTGAATGTTCTTCTCTGTAATAGCTTGATCCCTAACCTGCTTGTACGTAGATAGGAAGTCTACCTTATCAATATGATAGACGTGTTGGCGGGCGAGCTGCTGAATCGCCTGCCCGTACGCGCGTTTCAGAGGCGAGAAACAGCCCACATCAAGAGGCTAGAGTAGATGTGACGTATGAGCTAGCATACAGAGCGTGATAATGCGATTCTGCGCACAGTACTGATCAAACTCAGGAGTAGCGTGGCTGCTGTGGCCATCTACAATCAGTAGTCGATAGGTGCCTACTGTACAAGCCTAAGTACAGCGATTGAAGTGCTCTAGCCAGGTAAAGCCAAGCTAATCTGTTGTCTAGCCGTTGTCGCTGACAGCGATCACCCAGCTAGGGGGTATATCGCGATACCAGGCAGCCTAGTGGAGCTTTCCAGCTAAGATAAGGAAGGGTGGGATTGACCAGCCTGACGCGTTAACTCCCTCAATAACTGTTACCTACTCCTGGTTCCCTGGCTGGGTAGTGACTGCCTTGCCAACTGTATTAGAGCTAGTTACTACCTTAGACGTGCTGGCAACGCCCATCTAGAAGCCAGTCTTATTAAAGTTGTATATATCTACGTCCTGTATCCCATATCTCTCGCGTGTGTCCTGTACGCGCTGATACCAGCCCTAAATCGCGATAGGATCCTGAGACAACGCTCTCTGTGAGTTAAACTTCCTATTCCACTTTGTCTAGAGCTCTGGCTGAGCCTAAATAAAGCGTGATACCCACTTCTGGCCTAGAGGAGGAGGAGGAGGCTGTTCGCCTCGCGCGGCGACTAGAGTATCAGCTATTCGTCGTACGTCGATAATCTGTGGCGGAAATCCACGTCGGTTAAGGTCTAGGATCTATTCTACTAGGGCCTGCTCCTTAGTAGGAGATAGCTTTTAATTTGGTGACCTAGTCGCGTACTTTAGTTGGATACCTTGAAGGCGCTCACGTAGGGTAGTTCTTAGTATATTATAGGCTGCTGCAAGCTTGCGCACAGATAATAGAGGGTTTAATTAAAAAGAGGCAATTGCAAGGCCTAATTGACCTTCTTTTGCAAGCTTCTAGGCATGTGGTTAAGACGCTATAGTTGATGGATGAGGTGGTGACGCGTAAAGTCTGGTGGGGTAGGCGGCTTACTGTCCTAGGCAGCTTACTAATCCGACACGTTAACGTGTTTCACTAGTAAGCTGGCTATACTAGTAAGCTGGCCACCCTACCAAGAAAATCCACGCTTCTTAGACAATTGCTTAACAACGCCACGTTGTATTATACTATATATAGATTTGTTTAATTTGCCCTATCTAGAAGTACACTAAGTTTTTTTATAACCCTAAATATAACAATTTGTGCACATTAGTGGCGCTTAACGCCTCTCTAGTTAAGCAACCTGCTTAGCCTCTTAGACTACTCTATCAGCCTCTGTAGCTAGCCTCTAGCCTTCCTAAGCCTAGAGAGCTCCTCTACGTGCTATATACTGTCTGCGCTACTTCTATTTACGCTCTTAGCGTTGTACAGCTGCCTAAAGCTTTATAACTTTCTTTATAAAAATAGTAGTTTAAAGCATAGCAAGCTAGCACCCTTTTATAAGCTAGTAAATAGCTTAAAGTGTAGAACTCTGTAACTAACAACAAAAACGTTCCTAAATAAGACAAGCCTGCTTCTTAAGCTAGTCTACTATATTGTTACGAACCTAAGAATGGGGATGCACAGGTTATGAAGGAAGGTAATTACAAGAACACTCACGGTCAGCAAACAGGACACTACGTATGAACCAATAGACTTCGCCACCCCGCACGTCACGTGGTCCCACGAGTCTTGGCGGAAAGTTGCTGTGGGACAAGTCACGTGTGTCCCACAGGGTCCTACGAGATCCCACGATATCCCATCTATGAAACCCTATGGGACATATGGGAACTATGGGACAAAATATGTATATAGTCAGTAGACAAGAAGACCTTATGGTTCTTGTATTCACTCTAAGTTACAACCCACTTCTTGGAAATACAATCTAGTTGTTACTTTATACTTCTACCTTTGTTACTTCAGTGTTACCCGCTAGTCATCCGCGAAACCCAACCAGAGTTCTCCAAGATCTCAACATTGTGAATACCCTTAAGATGTCTAGCTTCAGTACCACTGACCAGCCTACCCTTACTCCCGATATGGACAACGACACCCCTGTCAGCATCAAGACCAAACAACCTGACACCTACTATGGGGAACGTGTCAAGCTTGAGGAATGGATCCTGCAACTCGAGTTGCTTTTCAAGTTCAATGAAAAGATCGAGAACGACGACAAGGCCACCTACGCTGCGACTTTTATGCGAGGTGATGCCCATAAATGGATCGCGCCTCAGCTCACCAAATATCTGGACGACGATATCGAAGACGACGAAAACACCACTCTGTTCGAAAACTGGGGAGTGTTTAAGACCAAGCTCCGCCAGGTCTTCGGAATATCCAACGAGAAAAATAAGGCAGTGCGTGAAATTCAACGCGTCAAACAGTTCAAGTCTGCCGCCGACTATGCTGCGAAGTTCCAACACTACGCAGTCCAGACTGACTGGGATGACAACGCACTCATGGCACTGTATCGCCAAGGACTCAAACCCAAGGTCAAGGAAGAACTCATGAGGTCTGGTGTGGTTATGGACACACTAGAACGACTCTACGAGGAAACTATCCGCATTGACAATGACTTGTTTGAGTTAGCCGAAGAAATGAAAGGGATCCACGGTTATAAATCTGCCTACGGAAGGACTCAGGAAGCTGTTCGCTATTTTCCCCAGGGAAGAGGCCGCAGCGTCCCTGTTCGACCCAGGGTCAGATACACCGAGGAAATGGACTGGACACGTGACGTTAATGCAACGTTTCCATCCAAGGCTGGAGATAACAATGGAAGAAAGAAGTATGACAAGAAGAGCAAGGACCCTAAGGGGATAACCTGCTACGGATGTGGTAAAACCGGCCACATAGCTAGGAACTGTCGATCAAAGAACAAGGTCACACGATTTGTCAACGTAACGACCAAGTCTTCATGCCCCGGGGGGGATGAAGGCGAATCGGAATGGGAAATCCTAGAACCCACGCCGGGTGAAGGACGACTCATGGTGGATGACCCAGATTCGGAAAGCGGTCCCGAGCATCATGAAGATGCACCACCACCTAAGAAACGTCGAGCGGAACGGAACGCCCGACAAGCTGCTGCAAGAAGCAGGAATGATCGACGAGAGAAGCAACGTCTACATCTGACACAGCAGTTCTGGGCTGAAAATCCTACGTCAAGGAACTATGCACCACCAGAAGCTAAACAGATGTACATTACGAAGAATCCACGGGGATTCGGATCAGACTCGGAAAAGGAGTACTTATCTCCTGAGGAACCCGATAGCCCGAGAGGATCCATCGAATACGATGATGACGAACTCGCTAAACAAATTGAAGAACTGGATCTGCCGAACGAAACAGCAGATGGTAATTGGAAAACGAATCAAACCAAAACAGAAGTCTTAGACCTATGGGGAGACAACTACGTACAACATGTCTCAGAACACTGGCAAGATTGTTGGAAGTACGAGGAGGACAGCAAGAAAACCAAGAAACCTGAACTGCCATCCATGCGTCAACCTATGTACGACGTTGACTCACGAAACCAGAATCATGGACGACTACATTTCAGTGCTTGCATGTACGACCTTTGCTGGACACACCAGTCAGACAAAGGTGCTTCCTATTATCCAAAAAACAATCTGCACAAAATCTGTGGATACAATTGGACGAAGTGTCACAACGACTTCTGTCCCATCCACCTGTTCGATAAGAGACTTAGTTCAAACTTTCCAGGCAAGACACCAAAGCAAACAGTGGATATGCAGATCGCAATAAACCGACAATGCATCGGAGATAACACATGGCAAACCTGCTTATGCGATGATTGCGAACGCCACTATGACGCTAAATGCGCCAACGGATTCAAACCAGTTCATTCTTTTTTAGGGACACGCCTAGCACCAGGAATACATACAGAACCGTATGTTCAACGAACTCAGAGAAACTAGTTAGGCTATCGGTTGAGCTTAACGGACACCATTTCAGAGCACTACTCGATACCGGTTCTTCAGTCAATCTCGTGTCAAGCCACGTGGTTAAGAAAGCGGGACTTTCTACTCGAGGAAAACATGAGCAGTACGGTATTCGAGCAGTCACCGGGGAGCGCTTACCCAATGAAACTTGGGTCGATAAGGAAACTAACCCAACGTTTATGGAAATTGGTGGACACCGGGAAGAGATCATCCTAGACGTTTTGAAGATGGCCACCTTCGACGTCGTACTAGGACTCCCCTGGTTACGAAAGCATAATCCAGTGACGGATTGGTCCAAAGGGACACTTTCGTTTGCGAACTGCAAATGTGCACGCAGTTCAAAGCCTACGCACCGCGCGCCGCGAGTGGTAGATGAGAGGAGCGTTAACGCAACAACGCCATCGCCTAAGATACGCCCAGAGAGAGCGGTCGACTCCTTAGACACTGGTTGGGTACCAGGTCACGAGAAGAGAGTTAAGGAGACCAGCACAACTCCTGAAGTCCCTGTACAGTATCGGAAGTACAAAGCACTATTCGAGGATTTAGAACCTGAGCTTGAATTACCTAAGCATCAGCCCTGGGATTGCGAAATAATCCTCAAGGATGAATCGAAACTGCCGATTGACCCATTGCGCCCGAAATCCGAATCGGAGCTAGCAGCTATACGAGATTACATCAAAGAACGACTGGCTAAACGACATATCCGAGAATCGGAGTCGCCAGTAGCACACGAGACCCTCTTTGTAAATAAAAAGAATGGGAAACTACGAATGTGTGTAGACTTCCGCAAGACCAACGACAACACGGTAAAGAATAGGTATCCATTACCTAATATTGAAGAATTACAACATCGACTTGCGAAGGCCAAAATCTTCACAGCTCTGGACCTTAGAGACGGGTACCATCTGGTACGAATGAAGAAAGGCGAAGAATGGAAAACCGCATTCCGCACTCGTTATGGACATTACGAATATACGGTTATGCCTTTTGGACTCACCAATGCACCAGCAACGTTTCAGGCACTTGTGAAC